GTAATGCCAATGAAGAAGACCAGCATGCCCTGGCAAGAGCTTATGTGCAAGTGGAAGAATTGAAAAATAATATCAAGAAGAAGGTCGCTCATTTCAATGTTGTAGATATTCTGGCCCACCATCAGCAAAACCCCACAACAGGTCCAGCACCTGCTAATGCATCAACTGCCCCCAGGCCAGTCATTAATTCTGTACCAAATGATCCCATCCATGTTACAGAGAACCCAGCCATTAGTAAAACTCTGGCCATCTCTAATTCCACAGATCCCAGGAAATCTAAGCCTACAACAATTCCTGCACCCCAATTTTGATACCAGAGCAGTTTTGATGAAGTGGCTGCTACCAGACATCTCATAAACCAAGTGTTAGAAGCAAAGATGGAAATCTCTACCAAAGACCTCTTTGCTGTCAGCCCAGAGATTTGCAAGCAGGTCCCAGAACTGGCTGCAATGAAGAAGATAATGATTGGTAGCTTGGAAACAGCATCAGAAGCTGTGGCATCACCCACCTGGGCATCCTATGAACAATTCTGGGTCAGAGACATCAAAGGGAAGTGTGTAGGCCTTGCTACTGCCCCCTTACACGCTGTCAATGGCATCTTAATGAACAAACTCCATGTCAAATGCATCCTGGACAGTGGTTGTCAGGTGGTAGCCTTGTGTTGTGAACTATGGGAGGCCTTAGGGGCTCCTCTTCATTCTGACATGAGCATGATGCTTGAAGCTGCTGACCAATCCAAAGAGAGTACTCTAGGGGTCATAGAGAATGTGTCCTTGCACATAGGGAATATCAAAGCACACCTCCAAATTCAGGTCATTGATCACACTCCATTTGATCTACTTCTTGGGCGACCCCTCTTCTGTCTGCTCTCCAGCATCCTACAAGATTTCCCTGATGGAGAACAGTCCCTGGAGATTCATGACCCTAACACAAGGAGACAGGTATTAATTCTGACATGCCCTCAAAACAGACTACAGCCTCTTCCATGGTTCATAAATTCTGAAGACAAAGAAGACTACTTTGCATGCAAGGAGATGTGTTGCCACATGAAACAACCTGAGCAGGGTTTTTCATGTTGGTTGATGACTCATTTAGATCATGAGGAGGCCATGATAACATTTTCTCCATGTGTTTGCTCTATGTTTCTGATTCTCCCTTGTTACCTTCAAAGCCAGCTTCTCTTTTATCTACGGATACTACCCAAAATTCCGCTGCAGCATTGCTCTATGATTTACAAAGCAACAGTATGCCCCCAATTGACCCATTCAATTCTAGTTCTGTATCTTCAAATGACCCCTTCTTATTTTCTACTAGCACTACTGTTTCACCACTGACAATTTCAGCCTTATGTTCCACTTACCAGTTTGACCCTGTTCTTCACATCTTAAAATACAAACCTGTAGTGAAGAAGGTCAGGCCTGTACTGATGTTGATGCCTGTGGAATTCCAGGTAGAGCATTGGGAGGCTGGAGATCCTCTTGCAGACCTACCTGTGTTACCTACACATCCTCCTCCATTCATGCCAGGCTCCAGGTTCACCCAGGAAAGGGCTGATGAGCTCAACCTGGACCCTTCAAAGTTCCTCTGGCCCATGGAGTTAAATCTGGTATGATGGCTGGTCAAGACACACAAGACCACCTTCACTTGGGATGCTTCAGAAAGAGGGACCTTTCGAGAGGACATGTTCCTGCCCCTGAAGATACCTATGCTAGCCCACAAACCCTGGGTCAAGCAAAATATTCCCATTCCCCCTGCTATTTTCCATGAAGTCGTTAACATCATCAAAGAAAAGATTTCCACAGGGGTTTATGAACCATCTACCTTATCCTATTGCTCAAAATGGTTCTGCATAGTCAAGAAGGACAGAAAATCTCTGTGCCTCGTTCATGACTTACAACCTCTAAATGCTGTTTCTATTCAGGACTCAGCCATTCCCCCCTTCATTGATTTGATTACTGAAGCCTTCACTTGCCATTCTGTCTATGGAATTTTGGATCTTATAGTTGGATATGATCATCACACCATACATGATGATTACCACAACCTCACTACCTTCCAAACTCCTATTGGTACTCTATGACTCACTAAGTTACCTATGGGCTACACAAATGCCATCCAGATTTTCCACAGAGACATCTGTTGGATATTGATGGATGAAATCCCCAAAGTATCCATCCCTTTCATCGACAATTGCCCAATCAAGGGTCCAAAATCTCATTACCAAAATCCTGATGGTACCTACCAGATGATTGCACAAAACTCTGGGATCAGACTCTTCATCTGGGAACATTTACAGAACATCAACTTCATCTTATATCATCTGCATCATGCAGGAGCTACTGTCTCAGCAAAGAAATGTGTCATTGCCATGTCATCTATCATAGTGGTTGGTCATAAAGTGTCATTCAAGGGGAGAATTCTGGATGAAGCTAAAGTCCAGAGAATTAAAGATTGGCCCTACTGCACTAATGTCACCAAAGTGCATGGATTTTTAGGTCTTTGCTTGTATTGCAGGATCTTTATCAAGGATTTTGCTAAGCATGCACATCCCCTCGTTGAGCTGACCAAGAAAGACATCTCCTTCAAATTCCATGACAAACACAGAGAAGCCATGGATTATCTTCACCAAGCTATCATCTCATCCCCTGCACTACACACTATCGACTACAACTCTGATAGGAAGGTCATCCTGACAGTCAACACTTTGAATATCACTATAGGATACCTCCTCATGCAGGAGGGGGAAGATGAAACATGCTACCCTGCAAAGTTTGGCTCAATAACTCTCAACAACCATGAATGCCATTACAGCCAAGCCAAACTGGAGCTCTTTGGTCTTTTCCACACTTTACATGACATCAGACTTCACATTTTCAGCATGTGGAATTTAGTTGTCAAGGTTGATGCACAATATATAAAGGGGATGATTAACAATCCCAACTTACAGCCCAACACTACCATCAACCACTGGATTGTGGGAATTTTTTTATTTGACTTCAAGCTCATACATGTCCCTGCACACAAGCATGCAGTGCCAGATGGTCTTTCAAGGAGACTGAAAGCAGAAGAAGATGAGGATGGGGAAGAGGACTATGAGGACTGGATAGATGAGTATGGAGCCTTCACTGTCAAGCTCTTGAACCATAGGGAGGCCCATTTCAAGTCTCAGCCTTACCCTTCAGAAATTCCGAGTACCTTGTCAGACTCACCTTTGGTCTTGTCACAGAGTCTAGGCATCTATTCCTCCAAACAAACCTCACCAAGTGTCTATGAGACAGAAATTCCACACTTGGAGAAAGTGATCCAGAGAGAGGAGTGGTTGAAAGTGGTGAAGGAATTTTTGGAGACAAAGAAGATGCCAGAAGGATTGGAAGAAGGGGAGTTGGAAAGCCATCAAAGGAGGAGAGCTGTGGAGAAAAGACCCTCAAGGACATCACCAACTAGTAGTTGCCCCTCACAAATGACTCAGGATCCTTCATCAGGCTCATGATGAGCTAGGACACAAGGGTATCCACTTGACCCACATGTGTTTGCTGACTTGTTTCTGGTGGCCTATGCTAGAGCAGGATGTCTGCTGGTACATCAAGTCATGTCATGAGTGCCAAATACACTGTTTGGATCATGTACATATTCCACCAGTTGTTGCCATCCCCAAGCCCCTATTCTTTAAAGCATATATGGACACATTCTTAATGCCAAAGTCAAATGGATTTTGCTACATCACCCAAGCTTGCTGTTCACTCACTAGTTATCCAGAGTGGGCTATGCTTCACACAGAAACTGGCAAGACCATCAGAAAATTCATCTTTGAGCAGATCTTGTGCTGCTGGGGTGCTGTTGTGGAAATTGTCACAGATAATGGTGGTCCCTACATCCTTGCCCTCAATTGGCTCTCCAAGACCTTCAGAATTTGCCATATACAAATCTCACCTTATAACTCACAAGCTAATGGAGTCATTGAGCATCAGCATTTCAATGTGAGGGAGGCATTGGTAAAGAGTTGCAATGGAGAAGCATCAAAGTGGTCAGAAGTGGCCCCTACAGTGTTCTGGGCAGAGAGAGTTACGATTCACAAGGCAACTGGGTTTTCTCCATTCTATATGGCTCATGGCATTGAACCTAGACTCCCCTTTGACATTGCCAAGGTGACATTCTTAGCCCCTTTTGAGGCAGAATTTTACTCAATGACAGAACTCATTGCCCATCATGCTTGACAACTCCAGAAACATTCAGAAGACCTCACTTGCATCCAGGATCTTGTTCTGAAGTCTCGCTTTGTGTCAGTCAAAGACTTCATTGCTCATTTTGCACACACCATCCAAGACTTTGACTTTGAACCTGGGTCACTCATCCTCATGTGGAATTCATGTATTGAGCGAGAACTAGATCACAAGACCAAACTACACTACCTAGGCCCCATGATTGTTGTTCAGCAAACCAAAGGAGGCTTGTACATCCTGGCAGAATTAGATGGTGCTGTGTCCAAATTCTGTTTCACCACCTTCTGTCTTTACCCCTATATCCCATGGAACAACTCTTGTATCAAAGTCATGCAGTTGACTGGAATTTCCACATGTGACTTAGATCACTTGGAAGATGATTTGCTACCAGACCCTGCACTTGCTGGCATCCCTTTGGACAAATCAGATGAGTGGCACACCTTTCTCTCTATCTTTTCCTTTCCTCTCTTTCTCCACTTTCCCTTTCACTTATATATTTACCCTCTTTGTCTCATATGAAACAAAACTGTCTTCACAACTCACAAAAAAAAAAACAAATTCCCCTCATCTCTTGTCTCTCATTGATTCGCTCTCTTTCCCTGCTCCCTTCTCAGTGATAATCCTGTTTAAAATACCAAAAGACTCATGAAATAAAATAAAACAAATAAATTCCACAATCTACTTATGCTACTGTACATGTACCTAGATATCTTTGAGCTGATCCTTCAACCTCTTCAGCTCCACACATCACCCCTGAACTGCACCAATCTGTCACTCTACTCACATCACCAACAGTCCCAGCATCTGGTGGATCTGGGTCAACTCAAACTCCTTGTCATCCACCCTACCCTCCAACAGTTGGATGCACTCAGCAAGAGCCTCGCATGTAGTTGATTCACTCAGGTTTGCAACCAGTGGAGTTTCTTCGACTGGGGGACCCTCAGACTCATCCTGTGCACTGATGATGGGTGCAGGTGGATCATCCAATAATCCCATCAGTCTGCCAAAGAGTCCACCATTGCCAAGGTCTCCCACATTGTCCATTGGAGGTGGAGTTGGCTCAGGGCAAGGTCAAGGTGCAGGGGTTGCTGATGGAAGGAAAAGAGGTGGTCTAGGTGCAGGAGGTGGAGGCATGTTTGAGGTCGAAGGGGGACTAGCACAAGGTGTTGGGTGCTTGGGAGACAGTTTGGAATTTTGCCTGGGAGGTGGTTTGCAAGCAGGGATTCAAATTTTCAACCTGGTTGACACCAGAGTTTCAGTCATTTCCATTACCATTACTGATTTGACCCATTTATGTGACAGCCCAGCAGCTGTCTCTCCACTTCCAGTGTTCTTACGCTGAGTTACAGTTCAGTGCCCTCATTCTTCATGTCATGGTCAGCTTGTACTCACCTTCCTACCCACTCTGAGTGACTGGCTGCACTTCCACTTGGCCTGTCTACATCACTTGCACAACTCCCCAGGAAGACCTTTGCACTCAGCATTGACCTTTGTGCACTCCCTGCATGGCAGGTTGGCTTCGGGTGCCAGTGCACCAGTTTTCAACAGGTCAGGGTTGGGTGGGCAGTCACCTTTGTTGTTCTCCAGCTCGTCAACTTTGTCTGTGGCCTGCAGAGTTTTTCTGAATGTTATCCATTGCACTTGGGGTTTCCTGGAGGGTAGGACATATGCTTTCCTTGTCCCTTTTCCTTGCCTGTGCTATCCATCTGTTGCCTCACTGGTCATCCAGTCCCCCTCAAAGACTCCCCTGCTTCAGTGTCACTGGGCATGCAGCCTTGACCTTCACCTATCACCATTGCTGCCTGTCTGCACATGCACATAGAAGGTTCTCTTGTCAACCTCTCCACCTCAAGCTGCACCCTCAACTCTACCCTCTCCTGGTAGTCTTTGAAGATGTCATCAATGTGGATCCATCTTTGCTCCACTGGGCACCAGAGGTCAGCAATGGCAATGGCACCTGGGACTAAAAGGTTTTGGCACATCACACATTCCTTGGTGTAGTCACACATGCACTTGTCATGAATCTTCAGTATGGTAATTCCATTGTCATCAATGTATTTCCACCATGAGTGAATGCCAGCCTGCAGAACTCTGTCAATGCATGACACACTGCAGTGGAAGGTTTACTCACCCACATCTTGTCCCAGTCCTCCACCCACATGTAGATTGTCTCCAATCTCTCCTCTGGCTGTGGCACCACCTCGATCAGGTCCCAGATGTGCCCTAGAGCTGCAGTGAGTGCCATGGTTGCCTGGTCCCTCATGCTGAACACAGGACATGGTGGTGGAGTAACAAGGGTGAATCTGACAATGAGACAGTTTCTGGGTGAGTTTTTTTAATTCTGCAGGGTTGCTGCTGATGCATTACCTGGGTGTGGAGTTTTTGCTCAAACAAGGCATGTGGCCAAACATGAGCCTTCTTTGTTTACATCACCTTCTGCATCTCTGCCACCCTTCTGTCGCAACTTGATGACCTCTGACCAAGGACAGTCAGCATTCAAGGACCCTGGGAGGTGTAGGAAGTGGTATACTCCCTGAGGCCAAAACAGGGATGCTAACACCAAAATCCCACCATTACCAACCATGCCTGTCATCTTCAGAGTTGTTACATCTGCCTCATGCACTTCCTTGCCCATCAAACCTTCAGAGCTCCCCTGTCCATCAATAACACACACCAGTCATCATCCCAGAATTCTGTGTCAATATCAACCTGACATACATCTATCTGGAATTCCACAGTTGTGTCACTTCAACTTTTGCCTTGCCACATAGCCAGGAAACTACATAGATCATCAGTAAAAACTCCAGTTACCCCTCTTGTTCCTTTCCCATGAACCTTTCTCTGCAATGCAAGAACCCCTTTTGCATCTATGGCCTCTACCCTTCATGTTCCACTCCACAGTACAGTGTACACTCATCCTGTTGGAAGATATCCATCTTTCCTGTTGGTCTTTCTCAGTTACTTCATCCCAGAATTCTGTGTCAACATCAACCTGACATACATCCATCTGGAATTCCACAGTTGTGTCACTTCAACCTTCACCTCATCACATAGCTGGGAAACCACATAGATCATCAGTAAAAACTCCAGTTACCCCTCTTGTTCCTTTCCCATGAACCTTTCTCCACAATGCAAGAACCCCTTTTGCATCTACAGCCTCTACCCTTCACATTCCACTCCACAGTACAGTGTACACTTGTCCTGTTGGAAGATATCCATCTTTCCTGTTGGTCTTTCTCAGTTACTACTTTACAGTTTGTTTTCACATGTTGCTGTATGGCCTTGATGTCTGACACATTGTCCCCTTTGTTTTTCAGAATTTTGCTTTACCTGCCCCACAATTCTCCAATCAGTACCTTACTATCCATGTACTATATAATTCCGCATCAGTGACAAAAAAGAATCATCATTTTTTATGACTCACAATCCATGTCATATGTGGGTCTAAAAAGTTGAAAGAGTCTGGCATCTACTGTGTCTTCCATGTCTCTGTGTCCTTGTGTCTACTGTGTCTTCTGCATCTCTGTGTCCTTGCATCTACTGTGTCTCATTTCCCCTCCCATGCACTTAATTCATCTTGGAGTTACTTTGTCAGGTCAAGATCATCACCTGGAATTTCTAAAGCAAGTCAATTCCTACCTCCAACTCTGCAGAATTAAATTCTGTGCCCTACATTTGACTCTTTGACCGACTCTACCATTGCACTCTACATCTCCTTCCTACTCAGCACCCCTTGGGTCAAGCCTAAGGATTTCCCCTACAGCTTTCCCCTATTCACACACTACCCAGAGGTAGTGTCCCACACCAGGTTAAATTCCCAGTTGATGACCATGACCCAGGACACCTACCAGCCACAATATAGTGGGCTGGCACAGGTCCAGGGCTGGTGGCAGTTGTTTGGCATCAATTCTGAACCAACTCCAGTTGGCCAGGATGGATGACACCCTCTGGGCTATTTACAGTGGTTCAGAAGGCACTCCAGTGGGATTCTATTGGGCTGGTATATGTTCTGGCCAAGTCCAGTCAGCTGGGCCAAATTCCCAGTCAATGACCATAACCTGGGACACATACTTGCCTTATGATAGGGGACCAGGACAGATGCCCAGCCTATGGTAGTTGATTGGCATGGATGCCCAGTGAAGGCTGCTTAATGTTACCAGTGTAGATGATGGGCTAGTCTTTTGGCATCCCCTGGCAAATGGATGAGCCATACAAATAGTGTCCCATATATATTGGCTTGGCTGGGACACTATTGTCTATGGGGCTTATATATCAGTGGCCTGTGTAATAAGGCTCAGCTGGACCTGCAGTGTTCCATTTGGAATGGTAGGAGCATATTTCAGTGTGCTGTGCACATTGGCCTCAGCCCAAATAGGAGTGCCCATGTACTATGGAGGGCTTATAGTCCATTGTACCATGTCCTTGGGGAGGGCCCAGATATTATGATCCCATAGGACAGGCTGGACAAATACTCCAGTGTTTCATGGTGTATGGGAGGCCCATGATATGGTGTCCCATCTGTCTTGAATCAGCCCATGTATTATGATCACCAATCCATGTAGTCTGGCACATATGCCATGGTCTTGTGCACAACAAGCAAGCCAATCTCCCAGTGTGCCATCTGACTGATTCAGCTTGAGCTGAAGTGTTCCACCAATTATGGGCCAGCCATAGTTGATATTTGGGGGAGGTATATGGAAAATAACTTGGCTTGGGATGGCATATAATATCTATAGAACTACCTTTACATGGACCCCCTATTGGATAAGTGTAGGTTATATGGAATGTCTCACTGGACCTGCAGGCATCAACCAAGTCCAGACATTCTGAACTCTCATCCAATCCCCATGGGGTATCCCTATCCAATTGTGTATGTTGTCCCTCATGTAGTAGGCAAAGCAACATTGGTTCCCACCCACAGAACTAACCCCATGTCAAAGAAGGCCAGTGCTGCAAGGCATCATGCATATCTTGGTTATGCTGACTCAACCATGTGTCCAATGACTGCATGGCTTGCCTTCCAGCATCATACAGGCCTGGGTGCATAATTGAAAGTGCACCAGAGAGGATGGCAGCCAGGAGGTAAGACTGCTGGGACCATTCACAACTGGCATCCATCTGTAGGTCAGCAGAAACTGATGGGGAAAAGTTCATGGTCTGGATGCCACTTGAGAGACATACCCCTGAGGTAATATAACCATACCATATGCCCCTGTTGGTGCCTGGCCAGGGAAAACTCCAGGCACCCCAGTGACTGTGAAGTGTGATTGAAATATTCAGCATTTTTCTGCCAGGAGCCACTTGTCATACTCTTGGACATTGCATGGTGAAGGGGGTCCAGAGTGGCAAGCATGTGTGTCTGCAGGGATGCCTGAATAATATAGAGTGTAAAGGAAATGTTCAAACTGACTTGCAAATCATTGGTGATGGCACTGGGAAGGTACCACAATGCAATGGTATCACCAGTACCAAGGATTACCATAGGTTCATCTACAAAGCCAGTGAGACTTGATGGATGTGCTGCCAGGTGGCCTGCCTCCCAGGTTTCATCAACCCCCAATTCCATAGCTGAAAGGTGCTCAGAAAGCTGGATCAGATCAATGCTGCTTTGCTCTGCAATACAATTTACATTTGACTTTACATTCAGCCAGGACATCAGCTTACTTCTATTATTGTATGCCACATGCATGCTGGCCACTATCTGATTCATAGTGACAATGCCATGTGTTGGAATGTGGAGTGGAGGATCTGGTTTGGGGGCATTCATTCCTGGGAAGGTTTGACTGGACAATTCCTGGCACATATAGTGTGTAATATCCCAAGTGGTGCTGTGATTTATTGCCATTAAGAATGGAAGATGATATAGTGAGCACAGTGTTGATGATGGGTTATCTGGTAGCTGTAGTGTGTAGTATGGAACTGTGGCTATGTATGTTGGTGTTTTCTGGACCATAGTGAAGCTGCCATGGTTGCACAGCATTGGTAAATGACCATTCCAGCCTTCAAAAACAGGTGCCACCATGGTGGCATAGTACCTCTGGCTTCCACATATTATTCCAGCATGGTACAGGTACCAAGATAGAGGCAATAGATGGCCAGTTCTGCTATGGCTCCAGTGCTAGCTACACTTCCTACCATGCCAGTTCCATTTCATGGTGTTCATGTTCCTTTATACACCATGCCAAAGAATTAGATGATGGACTGGGGCCTTTCAACCTAATTTCATACTCCACAGCCATTGAGAAAACACAATGCAGCCTTTTCTAGTACAGGTCTGGCAGTGCTGGTAATGCATGGATACAATGTTCTGCTACAGGTCTGGCACTAGCTACACTTCCTACCAAGCTGGTCATATTTCAGCATGTGGACCTTTCATTATACACTGTCCACAAGCATTGGACAGTAGCCTGGGGCCTTTCCAACTATTTGCCTATTCCACAGCCATTTAGAAAATGCAATGCTGCCTTTCCCAGTACTGGTCTGGCAGTGCTGGTAATGCATAGATATACTACAGTATCAACATCAGTCTTGTTCAGATTGATATCCAGCCACTTGGCTCATGATAACGATAACTGCTGTGCCAGGATAGGCCACTTGCTATTCTGGCCTCCTGGGATGTGATTATTGATGATCTCTTATCTTGTGGTCATCACATGTGTCAGCCACATTGCTATGTAATAACATTTGCACCCAATCCAACTCTACTCCAAATCACCATGGATGTCAGGACCACTAATCTATCCTACCTCTCCATGATAATCCAATACATCAGTGTCCAATTTAGATGGTTCACATATGCTTTGCAGCAGGCCAACAACCCAAGCAATTGACTGCCAGATGACTGGTATTGGCAGGTTCAGGTGGAAACAGTGAGTTTGTTGAAATGGATGCTGGTTTGCTGTGTCATGCACTTTTCCACAGTTTGACACAGCACTCCTTAATCCTAGTCAGGTGGGGATTCAAGCTTCTGATGAAAGCTAAAATGTCACAGGGACTCTGATTGCCATCATTCAGGTATGTTAACAGCCTGTTGGCTGTGAGCGGCATGATCAGGGTAATGGGATGGTGAGATGCTGCACCCATCAGATGCTCCATTGTACCCTGTACCACTATCAACCATTGCACCACCACAGGAACAGTGGCTTACCACTTCTGCCAGGAAATGTTGATACCAACTAGTGTGCTGGTATTCAGACCAATCTGGCTTCTTCATGGTGGCAACAAGGTGACAAAACCTTATTCCCAAGTACTGTATGGCCATGGAGAGTTCAGCCACAGTGAACGTTGATGACATGACTTACTGGCATGAAAGATGAGATGTCATACTATATAAGTGTTGGCCAACTTTCCCATGGCTTTGTGTGGTGGCATGTGTCTGCCATTAAGGCAGCACTCATTAGCAAATGCTCAGCTTGCATTCAACTACACCAACCAATATGCAATCCATAACCCCAGCATCATTTGGGAGATCTCAAAAATGATGTCATTGCAGATAGCTAGTGGTCTCTAGATGGAAATGGTTCACAGAAAACATGCTAATCTGCCATACATCTGGCATTGCTGTGCAGCATAGCATGCTGGCCTGGCCTGTCCCTTTGCCAATGTGGCAGCCTTTCTGCTGGTCCAAAATCTTACCTTGTTTTCAAAGAAGTTGTTAGTCCACTCCTGCTCACATTTCAACAGCTGAACCTCCTCCTTCCATCTGTCCTGCAGTGCCCTCATCTGGAGCCAATTGACCCTGTAGACTAGAGAAAATGATAAGTAAATCTCAGATGCTGCTGCCATGTGATTGCACCTCTCACATTCTGACATCCAATCATTAGTGGCCATGTCCCTTGGTACATCCATTGTCCAGATCCAAGGTAGGGTATTGTCTCTGTGACCTCTGGCATTTGGGTCAGATACTGCCATGCTGATAGTTAGGTCAGAGTCATTCAACTCTTTGTATTGCTCCAGGATATCCAGCCTGGCCCCTAACCTGTCCATTTGAATGTGGCACTGGCAGTACACAGCAGCATGATGTTGCACCACTGCTTCAGCATTGGCCACCCTTCCCCAGGCACATGTGGCCATGTGGTAATTACTTCCATGGTGAATGTCAGTTCGAAAGATGACTGCCTTCTCTGCAAGCATAAGCTGCAGTTCATGAAGACAATCATTGGCCTGTCCTTGCCACAGTTGCAGCTCCATTATTGTCACATACCCCAGGCCAGATCGTTCAAAATGATCTTTGCCAACATTGGATGGCAGCAGCAATGCAATGGTTTCTGGGTCATGTGGGTTAGATGACTGGCACAGCTCGGCATCCTTGAATCTGTTCCCAAATAGTTTTTTGGCAGTGTTGAAAATGCCATGTATATGGGACTGGAGACAATCACAGCAACATGCAATGGTGAGATTTTGAGCTTCTGTTGCTCTTGAGGTGATGTGCCAGCATGCCACTGTAAGCTGGATTTGTGCTTCCTCTATCTTCAATGCCTTTGCAATCCAGGTCACCATACCCTGCAAATGCCCTGGCTGGGGGATGGCCAGTAAATCTATCTCAATTGCCTTTGCAGAGGGAGCTTCAATACCACTCAGCACAAATCCTGTCCAGGTTAACCTTCATTACCTACCTTTCTGCAGCCTGACCTCATATATATCCATGGCCTGTGGCCTTGACAGCCAGTTTTCCAATGCCACTGCCACTTCTTCCCCCCATGATTGGCTGACTGCTGGTGGGACATTACCATTCAAATCAGCAAACCTGCCTTCAACCACTAAATAAGATTCCTCAGCAACCTTGAGTTTCCACTTGAGTCTCATTGCTGTAGCCTGTTAGCCATGCAGCCATGTCTGATACAAGCACTAGACTTACACATTCTGACCATTTTCAGGAAATTGCTATCATTCATTTGGAAATCAAGTACCTCCTGCTGATGGGGAGTAGCCATGCCTCTAGCAGATGGGGAAATGATATTCAGGGAGGACCACAAGGTTTCCATGATCTCCCCATCCACCCAGCCAGCACCCACAATGAAATTGGGAGCATATTGTGCAAACCATTCTGTGCAGTGGCCATGAACATGCCACAACCCAATGCCATGGCAGATCCACATGCCATCCAGCATGGATATATAGGCATTGGCATGTAGCTGTCATTCTAAACCTTTGCTATACTGGCAGTTAATATCATAGAAATGTATCACTTGCTGGCCAGGGACTGTGCCATGCCTGATGGCATGCACAAGCACATAGTCCATGTTAACCTGCCTGTGGTGTCAATGTCAATATTGTCATACATTGTTACAAGGTTATTCATACTGTTTGCCCTTCTGGAAGTTGACCATTGCATGCAGCACAAAACAGCCATGCCATGCACAGGCACATCCACCTATTCCTGTAGATGCAAGCTGCTGCTGGTTGGCATTTGCTTGATTAACTGCCTGATGATTGCTGCAATCTGAGATCTTGTAGTGTGATCAGTCCATCAGGTAATACATTCCTACACATCACCCACCTCAACCACATTTTTAGTGCTGCTCAAATATTCCTTGTATGGCTGTGATGCAACCATGTACCCCTTTCCATCCATCAACCAGGCTTCACTGCCAGCATCCTTTGGATGCATATGCTCTGCCTTGAAATTCCCATCCATGACCAAGCTTCTTGCCAGTGTCCAACTGGATTACACATTGTATAAATGGCTAGCAGTGTTCATGTTATCACTCACTGGGAATAATCTGTTTCATCTTCAGGAATGTTGATGCCAGGCTGAGGACATGCTGGACAGAATAACACTAATTCCCCAGGGCTGGCATCTTCTGCACTTGTGTGGGATCCCTGCCATTTCAGTAGTTTCAGGAGCTGCCACATCCTAGCAACTCTCAGCAGCTCCCTGTACCTATCCTATCATCCAGCTAAGAGTTGTGTTGCAGTGATACAATTCAACAAATAGGACACACTGGCACCAGATGAGGAAAGGCATTGGAGGTTATGTGATGAAGTTTGCTGTAGAAATTCATCACTGAGGTACCACATTCCACATTGTCCTGAACGAAGTCATTGAGTACTTGGAAGGTAAATGCAGTCCTTGTGGCCTTTGTGGTAGCAGGAAACATCCCAGCCCACATCAGCTGTATGTGTGAATCCTCTGCCCCAGGGCATCTACAATACTGCACATTGCAGTAGTGTATTCCATTGGTGTGCATGACAATTAGACAGCTTCAATTGTTTGGGGCCTGCAGATTTGGTGGACAACCATCTTGATCCACATCCTCCCAATCATCTTCCTCCTCAGCCTGTGACTTCATCATTTGAACAACCACTGGCTGGGCAGTGCTTCCCACCACACCCAACATGCAGTACCAAACTGGCCCAAATGGTAAATACAGGAACAACCATCATGATTCAGCTGCTTACCAGCTGCAGGGATGATTCCTCAAAGAATGTGCCATTCCATTGTTCCACCCTGTGGAATGGCCAGTGCTTGTGTTCTGCCCAGCAACACATGGTGCAGAAGACCAGCCAATGGGCACACTCAATGTACTGGAAGATTCCATCCACTCCACACAGGACACAATCCCTCAGCTCAGGTGGGGCCTCCATGTCCAACAGGATGGCTAGATCATGCCATTGGTGCAGCAACCACTGCTGCAGATAACTATTCTACAATTGTGTGACACTGTCATTGCAGGTTTGTGGGGCAATGTGGCATTCCACACACCTGACTTTTCCAAGGTTTAGAAGGTGTTGCAGGCAATACATCATTATTGGAAGGCAGCTGTTCACCCACATCATCCAACAGGCTGTCCAGGTGATCCAGGATAATAGAGCCAGGCTGCACAGGCAGCTGAGTTGCATGGCCTGGCACCCACTTTCTGGGTGCTACTTTTACCATCTTATCCCTATATCCTTGGGTGGTATTCACTTGTTGCCAGGTCACCTGGGTCACTCTTGTAGCAGGTCCCACTGGTGCAATCTTTGACTTCCCCATGATGAATGTTGCAATGCAGAAGGGTTTTGATCACAACAGATACATGCAGCCAACACATGCTAGCAAGGTCTGACCACCAACTATGGTAATGCTGTCTTAGGATCTGGCACATGATTTCAGTGCTGGCACCTGCACATTGCCTAGAGATCAATGAAATGAATGAGCACTTGCAAAAAGCCTTGTCCTACATCATGCCCATAGTGACTATACCATCCACAGTGTCTCAATGCACATTGCCCAATTACCAAAGATCTTGGATCCATGCAGTCTGAGAGGCACCACCTTTGCACATGGCTCAGGGATGGAAATCTCATGATTGACTAACAACCTTAGCCATCTTTGGAAACTGTCCAATCAACTGGCATGCAAGAATGGACTAGACATGGAAATGTAACCTTCATTGACATGGGAGAATGCCAGAGAAGTCTATTCTCTTCAACAGACATCATACTAGCTGTCCCCAGAAAATTTGTGCACAAGCACCTCCATCATCAATGGCATCCAGTGACTATGAAAGTGACTCTTTCTCCAACAATGCTGAACCCTCCCTGCTGCAAAAGGGAACCAGTCTTCAGCCAGCTGAAATTGAGATTCTTGAGGCCAAGCTAGAGTCATGTAAAAATGCCAACTGAAACAAGAGGAGCTCCATCATGTTAACCCTCAGAAACAAGATAAAGAACCTTGATGCAAATGTGATGCTGAAAATGCATGAATGGGTTTGAAGGAAGAAGGTGTGCCACACCTGCAATTGATTACCTGGCATGTCCTTACCATTTCCAGGCAATTCAGACTTGGTTGTACAACCACAGCCAGAGCCGTAGTCAACAGGCTCTGATCAAATATGGTGGCAGTTGGACACTGAGGAAGGTGGTCATGCACCATCAAAAGAAATCAATCAACAAAGTGTTGGAAGAAGCTGGTATCAAGCAGGGATCCACAGAAATGATCAAGTCTTATCAGAAGGCTGTTGACACCATCATGAAGTCCCTTACTGCCAAGGAGATACAAGAGGCTGAGGCATTGGCCAAAGAATGGAATGAGCAGCAGCCACCTTGGGATGTTCAGTCAGAGTACATACCATTTGGCAATGCTGCCCATCACTCACAAGAAACAGAACCACAGAGAAGAAAGGCCATAAATATGCTGAGGAATTTGCTAAGGAAATGTGGAAGTGGTGTGGTGCCAGGGTGGTAGTGATGGCGGCATGGGAAGATGCCAATGGAGAGGTGATAGTCAGAGCATGAGGAATTTGTTCTTTGTGCAGATGAGTACTGCCAGATTTTGACCAACTTGTCCAGACATGATTTCAACAATGAATTGGGTAATGGCAAATTATTTGAGGAGTTGGACAAGTGCCAGGATAAATTTGTAAAGTATGCACAAATGGCATTTGGGAATGGTGGCACCAATGCTGAGTCACCAGACAAAGATGCTGCTCCATGGTCAAGGCAGAGAAAGAGCAATGGGAAACCCAAAACCATCCTGCCAGTCAGCAAAAACAGCACACCATACATCCTGAACATATTGGACATGCAGGCACCAAAGTTCAAGGATATCATGCAGACATTTGTGACATTTCACTATCATATGTATAACAATAGGGGAAATACTGTTCATTGAAATCCATTACAGGGAAGGCCTGTGGGAATTCACAGGCAACTGTTCCATGGAGTGCAATAACAACCAACACTGCACTTTATATTGCACCACAGTTTCTGCCACCTGAGGTTCCCTTCAAAGAGCCAAGTTGACTTACCCAGAACAAGTTGACAGCAATCTTAGAATGGTGGCAAGAGAGAAAAGAGTGGCATCCCAACAATATATTCAGCTTCAAGAAGTGGAGAGATGCTGGAGGGTCCCTCCAAACGCCAGTGGCAGAGGCTGACAGCAGTGGAGCAAGGATGTGTGTGAAGCAGGATTTGGATGGGAGACCAGAACACTTGGCAGGTGAAAGGACAATGGATAAAATGATGTGGGGTAGGAGGAAGCTGCGATGGCAAACAGGTATGAAGGAATGCAACTGGAACTTAAATGTGCAGCAATATTATCTAATGGGGAACAAAGTTGTAGGGTCTGATTCTGACAATGAATCCATTCTCTGTCAAATTCCACCAACATTACCATCAAACAGAAATGACAGTACAGGCACAAGCATGGTGGATGAAGACACCACAGAGGCAGTACCATTGCCGGATTCCCAGCAGCAGATTGCCAGATGCCAAGTGGCTGAGGGTAACACCTGCCAGCCAATCGGTAAGCCAGCAGAATCACAACAGCCAAATATTGTTAACATTAATGGCTGACATGTTTCAGCCATCAGCAAGGAACCATTAAATGCCTTGTGGCAGGTTGAGGGTGGCATCACAAGCCCTGTGCAACCTGTGCCTGATGCCCGCTGCATTGATTTGCCTGATTCAGTCCACCTGGCAGATCCTTTGGCAGTGCCAACAACTATCAGGAGAGACCATAAACAGGAAGATTCAAAGTGCAAGTTGCCCATTCCATCAATGAGTCAGTACTTGTGCCATGGTCACTGAATTCTGGATTCAATTTATCTCTCAATCCTAGTACCCATGCACCAGACCGGCATAGACAATGTGAGGGGTATGCAGCAATCAAAACAGGTGTGGAAGGCACCAAAGCAGCCTGATGATGATGTTCCTACTCCTAAGTCCCTCCAAGAAACATAGGCGATGTTAGCATTTGTATATTACATGGCCATGGAATGTGATACTACATTTTGACAACCAATGGCTACATTACAACAAATCCTCATCCAGTTCCAATTCATCCTCACCATCCCAATCGCTGGTCATCAAATCTTGTATATATTGCTGAGTCCTTTCCAGCTGCACTCTCCTTGCAAGCAACAGGTGAAACTGGATGCTTGATTCCACCAATATATTGCTGTAGTGGTTGTAGGCCACAACAATTGGCCCATCAGGAGTGGTGTTAAGATGGGGCAGGTGCTCATCAGTCAGTCCCACAAGAAGAACCACAAGCCACCATGCTTTTTCCACTGCTGGATGATTGATATATATGTGAGGGATATCATAAAACAACTTACATGTTGTAATTGGCCCTTCATCATGAAGTCCTTGTATACCCAAGTTGCTGGAGAAATGTTGCAGTGCCAAAAAGCAAGCTAATACATTAATACTGGCAGCAACAAGAGATGACATGGCACTCACCAGCAGCAGCATTGGTGGCTGTAGGCTGGGGGGGATGGTTGCCATGATATAGCTGGGATGGGCTGTGGCTTGGAGACTGCTGCACCATCTAATGGCTCATCCATATATGCATGAACCACAGGAAATGGCAGTTTGTGGAATTTGTGTGGATGCCAGCAATGATCTAGGTGGGGGCGAGACTGCCAGGGAAGATGTTGGTGAATCCCAGCTAGGTGCAATGGCAGCCAAGGATGGCATGGAATGACTTGCTTGCTGCGCCTCCCATTGTTGATCAGCAGCAGATGGCTGCAACTCCAGTGAAAGTGGTGGTGAGTCCCAAGATGGCACAAGCATGCTGAGTGATGGCAGGGAAGGACTGGCATTTGGTGGCATGGAGGACAATGGTGATCCTAGCTGATGGCCCGAAGCTGTGGCATTTGCAGCTGCACCAAATGGTAGAAATTCTGGTTCATCTATGACCATATCTTATTGTCAGCACCTGGCAATACCTGCAGTTTATTACGTGGGGAGATGACTGGCAAAGGTTATTGATAGTTGTATCTTATAACAACTACTTACATCGAGTGTCTGGACTGCCTGGCCTCCACCTTACTGACTTTTGCTCCATGATATTCAGTGATCTGTAAAATGTTGATAAGTTGATTGAAATATTGTTCAGTTGTGTCACAATGTCAGATTTGGCTATTTGGGCTTGTTTGTCTACTGGCCAGTGTTGATGCTGGCACAATGGTTCATGAAAATATAAAATGCAGCTGCACTGCTGACACAATTGTCAACTATCACTTGACTGCACCGCTCTCACACCAGTACCCCACTTCCACAAAAATGTCCCAACATGCTGAAGCATCCCAAACTGCCACTGCCACTGCTCCCTCCATTGCTCTCCCATGTGAAATAGTCACTAATGCTGCAGACATAGTCATGGCAGAGCTTCTGATGCTCCATGACCACAGGAACAAGCAATACTGGAAAAGAGCTATGCATGTCATTTGGGAACAGTTGGTTCATGGCATGCCACTCTATTTATCCTGTGATATTTACAACATTCCAGACCTGTGTGCACCCTTTGGTTGAGGAACTGCCCTCAAAATTCACCACCCCTACCCACATCATCACTGCCAAAATGATTATGAGAGATCCGGCAGTGCTTATGGCATTGAAGGAGTGGCCAAACTTTGACAAGATCAGAGATGCAACAGATGCCAATGTTGCAGACCATCCATGGTACCAGATTGGAAGGCCCATCAATAAGGGTAAAGGGCATGCGATTCCATTAGACCCACTTCAGACAAGTGACAATGCTGCTGCCACCACCAAGACTTTGGAAGAACCCTGTGGCTGATCAACCAGTCACACTGCTCCTACTGGCACTTGTCCTAGAAGTCAAAGGCCACAGAAGCATACAAGGTCAGTGGCAGCAAGTGATGCTGATGTTTCAATGGCAACTGCTGGAGCATCTGCTGGTCATGGCCACTCAGTTGCTGCTCTTGCAACCCCTGCCACTGGCTATATGCCTGTTGCCAAAGAAGACTGATGTGATAGGTGCATGGAGAAAAATCTGCCATGTGCAGTTAAGCCAGGTTCTGTGTGTTGGCAGTGCAGCTGCCAGAAGTACAGGTGTAGTATCTTCACCAGAGTGAAGGCTGTGTGGTCACAGTCAAGGTGACCCCACAGTTGCACTGTAACTGAGGTGCCTGATGGAGCAGTGGACTGTCCCCAAACCATTTCAGCCACCTGTAACCCCAGCCGATGCCATCCTTAAAGCCCTTCACCAGGGCCATCAGCCACAATATCCTCAGAACCCACCACTCCCACACAGCAGACCCAGAAGCAGCAGGCATCTGCTAGAAGTATGACACCTGCCACTGGCAAGACCACCACCTCAGCCACTCCAAGCTCCTGCAGGCAAAGTAAGTCCTCCATTTCTTTCATTCTGCTATTCTTATTTGAGCCTAACATAGTTTTCAATGGAGTGGTCATCATCACTCCATCCTGGCAGCAGTCAGGTTGGCAGACATCAAGCCTGGCATCCCAGGGGGCAGCAACATCCCAAAGCCATCTCACTACCCCATCCTGCCCAGTGACCCCCAATGCCACCCCAATGGAGCATATGGAAGAGGAGATCACAGCATTGTGGCAGCAGCATATGGAGATGGCACATGATCTGCTAGATACCTGCCACAAGCTTGTCAATACCCAGCAGGCCCTTGCAGATACCCAGACCAAGTTGCAGACACTTTGCAATGTTGCCAAGGCCTTACGCCAGCATCTGTACCTGTTGCCACACTCCTCACCTGATGCACCTGGACCCTCCCACCCCTCCCCCATCACCTTTGCAATTACAAGTCATCAAGCAGTCATTCCCACTGATGGTGCAAGGATACTTGACCTTGTGCCCACTATGATGGTCCAGGAGGTTGCAATTGATACCAGCATCCTCCAGAACCTCCCAGGTGATATGCTTTTAGCCCCTTCTACTCTCCTGCCACCCCTGCACTGTTTTGCATACTCATCCACCCCTGGTGTAGGAGAAGCCCAGCCCCCTATCTATGTCTCTTTGGGTGCAGTTGCCAACCATGCTGGTGGGGATGATGCCAATGATGAGGATGCCGCTAATTGGATGGATGTAGATTAACATGTCCATAGAATGTACTATTACCATTTCATTGTCACTATTCCTGAGAATGATCATCCCTGCCCACTTTTGCTTTACATGGTGCAGATATGGTCTCTCTGGTGTGTGCCATCCCATTTGAGTCTGGCCAGGTGACTGGCCATGCAATTTATAAATCCACTGGTACCACTAAGCTAGTGCACACTAGCAGCACCCTCAATTCATGCATGGTGCTTGCCACATATGTTCTGCACAATTGCAAGGGTTTAACCCTCTGACCCAGGTTGTGGCCATGCAATTGTGGCCTATGCCACTTAATGCTGATGCTGTGAGTGAATAGTGCTTGACTTTGCCCATTCCTGTCTATGCCACTCAATGCTGGTGACACCTGACCCCTGCTGCTACCATTCCCATGTATGCCCCCTGATGCCATCAACACCTGACCCTGCTGGCACCTCACTTCCATGCTGCCAGCCCATTCCTGACTAAGCTTCCACTCATCACCATCTATGCCACTCAATGCTGTCAACTTCTGCCCCCTGCCAGTACCTCATATACATACTGCTACCCCATTCCCACATATGCCACCCAATGCTGTCAACCCCTGCTGGTACCTCATATCCATGCCACCACCCCATTCCTGTCTATGCTGCATGATCCTGCCAGCTTCTGCTCCACACTAGTGATTACCACTCCCTGCTTGCTACTGCTGTGTCATGCCAGTGAGTTCTGCTGGCAATGCATGTTGTACTCTCCTCACTACCCCACCCTGTCTCTATATGCAAAACTATGCTGACACATACTAGTGTATGCAGCCATATGCTTTTGCATCTTCACCAGCTTACCACTTACCACACTGTCAGATGCAAGAAAATGCCACTTTTGCCTCAGTTATGCTCAGATGGTCCTTGCCACTGGTACTCACCACTCCAGTAATCCACCCAGCATTTGGTGCAATGGCATATCATGTTTCCACCATGTGCCAGGAGTTGCTGCTGTGTGCTGCTGTATGCCCCAGACATACTGTGTTGTCATGTTGGGCTGCCCTATGTACACAATGCAGATCTAGTCTGGGCTATGCTATATATGTCCCTATGACATGATGATATTCTATTTGAAGCCTCTCCATGTGACACCTAAAAATATAATTGTAGCCGATTCTGGTGTCATGCATGACAATACAATTGTAGCTGATCCTGAATGACACATGACAACATAATCACAGCCAATCCCTATGTTATGGTGACAACTCATAGGTTGGCTTGACCTCCACTGGCCCATGTCACACAACCAATTGTCAACCTCCACTGGCCATGTCACACAGCCTAACTAGGTACATGGGCTCAATTCATTGCCACCCACAATTTGAATCAGACTTTGTTTTTGAGAGGATTGCAGTTGCCAAAAAATGCATGACAAATTTCGGGGTGCAGTGACCTTGTAAACAAGGTGATGCAACCCTCCATAGAATTGACCATGTATTTAGAAGGTGGAGTTAGCAGTTTGGGGGGTCCTTAGAATTTGTTGGCTGATTGGAGGCATTGGTTGGCAGACAAGTTTGACGGATCAAACTTGAATTGGGGAGCACTCTGACGTCTTTCTCAAATTTGGCTAATCTGCGATCTTGCTTAGAACGGTGGTCCCAAGATGAATGGGTTGACACAGATCCGCTCGCAATTGAAGCTAGCAAGAGCCAACAAGTCAAGCTGAGAAGTTTCTCCACAGACATACATAGGATCGAGGCGATGGTTGCATATCGGTACGAGGGATGGTGTTGGAGCAGTCGTATCGTCTGCATTGTTTGGCAGGAGGTCTTGCAGTACAGTAAATGGATGGACTGCCTTCGCAATGTTACAACGTATCCTAACTTTTTTAACGATGCCCATTCACCTGGAATCCAGGTCTGTATTGCGTGCATTTGGGTGACTCCGTCAACTTGCCCGATGCGAAAAAACGTGTTAAACTATGCTACACTTACATCCGACAACGGCATGTTGACCAATACTCGTGGAAGCATGCACGAGAAAGGATGTAAGCGATTGTATCAAGCGGGCTGTAGTATTGGGAGTAATCAGGTATCAATCATTTCCATTGCAGCGTCACTGGCTCGCGGTGTGCATGCTATCTTGACAGCGCCAGCGCTAGCACGCGAAGAATGGTGTGAGAGGACAGCCTAGCGAGGAATTCATGAACACAGGCCTGCCACGAACTCCGTGACAGCACGCCAATAATCCATCTGCATAAAAGTATCGTCTATAGCGCTCCAGAATCAGTTCCAGAAACCGATTCATGAAAACGACAAATAACGCACTGTGATACCCGTGTGGAAACTTCACGAACCTCGACATTCCATTCCCCACTTCAGGGTTCGGCTCACCATTTGGCTCACCTGAAGCTACTGGAGCCCCTCCATTCCCATCCCTAGTGTCCACTTTTGTCCCCTGCCTCCTAGACGCAATCTCCCATAACTCCTTCATATGCTGTGGGGGAACAACTTCGTCTCTCTCGCCGCTTAGCATCAAAATCGGCGTTTCACGGGGGATGAGTGGAAGCTTGGATGCTGAGTCCCATTTCTGGTGGCACAGGAACGTAAAAGGAGAGAGGATTGGAGTGGCGTGGGGGATAACTCGGGGAAGAGAGGTAAAGGTGTTTTCGAGGATAAGTGCACGGATCTAATGTGGTCAAGTGGTGCTTAGAAGGAGAGGCCGTAAGGAATGAGGTATGCTCGCCTTAGATGGGTTCCGACTTGCAAGGTGGATAGCGACGGCGCCTCCAAGTGATTGTCCGTACAGGATCTAAGCCATAGGAAAATATGCATTCAGTGTAATCGGTGCAATCAGATGGTCACAACCACTTGTAGGACAAATTACGCACTATGGGGGTCCCCCGCAAGTTCGCATGAGCGAGGATATAGTCCAGCACGGTTTGTGCGTCTATGCAGAGGCCTAGATACTTGCCATTCATCAGCATAAACAAACGTAGTGACACAAAACCCACCTGACTCTGATGGTTTTCCTTCGGAGCGGCCGTAACTGTACAAAAAAAATAATTGTTGAGCGCACAACGAGAAAAGGGATACACAATATGTACCCTCTGTAAGAAAGCATAAAGACATTGCAACGCATTGTAGTATAGAACACGTGTGCAAGCGGTATTCTATGTCCGAGGTTGCCCCCATTGCCGTGAAACATGAGGACCGTTGGACGCGTTGCTGTGAACTACGATGAAGCGGGTAGGGAGGGAACGATAAAAGTGAGATGCGGTGAACACCAAAAGCTGAACATATACCTCGTCGTTCGACATCTCATCGTTAACCGGGATCTGCAGTGCATATGGATGACCAACCTCCTTTCGTTGTGTCAAGAGATAGCACCGCAGTAATACGCCGTCCTCTGTCTTCAGCTCAACGCCTTCGTAATGAAGACCATACATATCAGGACTGGGAACCTCTTTGAGTTCAGTTGAGGAAGTTAATGCAGGGGCGGTGGCGGATGAAGAGTTTACGCGGGAAGGAATAGGGGTAAGTGAACGGAAGCGCGCGTTGAACAGAGAACGCTCACCAGTGCGTGATTCCGGAGGAAATGCAGAGGGATATATGAGATAGTTCTGGCCATAGTACAATAGTCCACAACCTGGATGAACGAATATTTGTCGAACGTCGGTCTGGTGAAGGCAAACAGTCTATCGTACCTATCGTCCCAACTCCTGCACAGACAGTTGCCAGGCCCTAGTGCAGCCGTTTCAGAGCACAACTATTCAACGCACTAGATGCAAGCTTACCCTTGTGAACCCCCCTAAGAATGGCACTATTGACTGACACATTGTCTTGCGGCAGGTCTTCGCTTACAATCCTGGCAGACTGCAGACAAGCTGTACCCGTTAGTTTGGTCCGCTTTACCACGGTTTGGCCATGTTTTGCCATCAACGAGGCTGGCAAAGACAATATTTGGAATGTGCCCAAGTCAGACCGAAGCAGCGACACACGCACACGACAATGCAGCAAACTTTGCGTCGTTCGCCACAAGGTGTGACACCCTGGGAGGGAAGTGAACTGACGGCGATTACATGTGCGTGTCTCACGGCAAGGTATGATGTGGGAAGGAGACTTATAAGATTGCAACGAACGTCTCATCAGTCAGAATGGCGTGAAAATTTACTGTCGATCAGCGAGCCGACATCATGACGGGCTGCCATTAGAAGATATAAACCATTAGGGCCGCTCAAAGTTGGCCCCGACGCCGGCGCCTGCAGCTAATTTATGGTAGTCGCGCTGCAGGCGTAGGTATCGTCGGCGGCGTCGGCGCCAGCTTTGAGGGACCCTATTTTTATACATTACATACTGCATCCCGCCAATAACCGGGTGAGACGGGAACGAGTGGGACTTTTCCTATTAGAAGTTCACACGGTAAGTAAATCACTATGTATTATCTCAAAAAATGCCACGCGTTGTGATTCGACATATTAGAGGGTGGAGTTAGCGGTTTTGGGGGTCCTTGGAATTTGTTGGCTGATCGGAGGCATTGGTCGGCAGACAAGTTTGACGGATCGAACTTGAATTGGAGAGCACTCTGACGTCTTTCTCAAATTTGGCTAACCCCCGATCCTGCTCAGATCGGCGGTCCCAACCAAAAATTCATTTGTAGTACGTGCAAGCAGACCAGTCGCATTTTCTGTATCAAGTGCGTAACGGGACAAGTTGGTCCCAATGGGATCGAAGAAATCGCTACATACTAGTTGTGTCACTCGCGGAGGTTCGGTAAGTTATTGCGATGCGATGTTTTTTGCTTGACTTCCTGCTCCAGTGACAGATCGAAGTAGCTTCCGGAATGAGAAACACCGTTGACATACCAAAAAATTGGCGCGCTAACCGGACCAAGCACCATCAATACAGAACCCGATCCTATAAAGTGTCTCTCTTCTCCCATTCCATCACTGACTGTTTTGTCGTCTCTTTTCTCCCTTCCCTGCTATCCACCAGTCGTCCTTGAAGACAACTCCCCACACTCTTTTAACAATGCGCTCCTTTGCTGCTCTCGCTCTCCTCTTCACCTCCGTCTTTGCGGCTCCCCTGAGCTCTTCCTCCCTTGAAAGCCCAGCTAACTCAGTTAATGGCCTTGGCAAGAGCGTTCCAAGCCCCGCTAATGCAGCGCTCCCTGGCCAGGTGGCTCATGCTCCCCGCAGTGAGCCCGCCGTCCCGGGCTTGTCAGTTCCTTCCGTCCCAGGCGTTTCCGCCGTTAAGGGACCCTCGACTTCTGAGTTGACTACTCGCTCCACCTGCCTCCCATCCATTGCCTGTATCCTTAACACTGTGACCGAGGAGATTGAACCTCTTGTCGAGGAATTGCGTACGTGCTCTTTCTGGGTTACGCATGCTAATTATTCTGATCGTTCCTTGCGCTCTAGTCGACCTGGTTCCCGCCAACGCGACCGTTGCTATTGTCACTCCCATTTTGACGTCGATCACGAGCTCTCTCCTTGCCGCTGTCCCTAAACTCGAGGCATTAGTTGGTACAGAGATTTCCAAACTCCTTATCGACGTTGAAGGTGTCGTCATTACTGTCGACCAACTTGCTCAGATCATCTTCAAGGATCTGGAGGTATGTAGGGGTGGCTGTCTTTCCTGGTCCATGCTAATTTCTGCCTCGTTTGCAGTTGGTCCTCAAAGCTCTTATCAAGGTACTTCAAATCATCGACTCGCAGCCTGGCCAGATCTTCGACTTGCTCGTTGGGGTCCTCAACGCTGTGCTGGCCATCCTCCAGGTTGTCGTCAAGCTTGTTGGAAGCATTGTGGCCTCCCTGGGCCCTCTCTTGGCTCCATTCATTCCCTTGATCGACTGCCTCGGTGTGACTGCCCTTCTCCAACTCCTCGGCCTTTCCGCCTAAATATGTGTGTTCCGGAGTTCTTGTCCTTGTATGGTGGACAAAGCTGACGAAGACCTATCTATAAAATAGACCCTTATCCTCCATGTGTGTCGCGTCCCTATACGGGGTAGTTGTTTCACGCGCGGAAGTACATCATACGAATCAATAGAAGTGTCATGTTATTTCGTGGTGTTGTTATTATCTTAGTATTCGCACGTTTAGTCGATCAATAGAGGTGACCATTTGGCTCCTCGCTTAAAATTTGGGCATGTTATCAATAATGATGACGCTTATCTCTGATTGTAAGCCATTGACATTGTGACCCAGCGAAACTTGTTTCATCACGTCCGCAATATTTCTGGTACCAATCCCAGGATTGACGGTCAATCATCATTTCATCGGTTGACATCAGGGTTGATGTATGATGGATTGATGGCTGGTCAACCAAGATGATGATGACCGCACTGAGCGATCGCTCGCAGCCGTTTCACTTCGGTTGTTGTTGGACGTGGTTTCATCAGGAAGCGAAAGAATGGTTTAAACCTGTTTAAACCTGTCACTGACTGGTCGTGACCGCGATTCCGTCATTCCCTGTCTCTCTGATGTTTTTTTATCACTGACTGGAGTTGCAGGTGAGTAATCAATCTGCTATGCGAGACCTTACAAGGGACACATGCGACATGTGAACGCGGAATAGACATGTGCATGTACCCTGGTCACCGCTAATCGTTCGACTGGGTTGATGCTGAGACTTGAGATTGACAGACGCACTTGGGGTCGTTCTGGGTCGTTTTGCAACCAACATTCAAACAACATCTGACAGTGGGAATCCCTATCATACGGCATGATGGCCTCGAATTCGAAGACATGCAAAAGATAACCATGCACAGACTCACGGAGCCCTACAGGGTCGTTTGGCAAAATATGGATTTCGGTGTACAGTTGGACGTCGGACATAGCGCAACGGTAAGTGCATAAAATAAGCGCATAATATTACTTAGGGGTGTACGGGGGCTCAGCGATAGTTTTGCGGCCTCCGATTGGTTGAGGGCGATATGCCTGAGATGTCGTTTTCTCCGCGGACGACGGTCTCTCGCAGTGTCTCGAATGCAATTAGTACTTACGTACTGTCACCATAATACTTAGTAAATACAGTTTATCCTACAGTGTAATTCCACACATCACACAAACCGGTAAAAAAAATCAGCCTCAGTCATGCATTCCCTTGATCAGTACTGCCATTATCCTCGATAGCGTCCCTGGGTGACGTTTCTTCATGGCCAAAGTCTGCTGAGCTTGTAGTTTGCACGTCGCTTGGCCCGTGGCTGTTGGAGTTGAGGTGCTCGCACCACTGGATACCAGCGTTGCTGTTGTGAACGCAGGCAGGTTCGACGATGAAGAACCCGAGGATGGCGACGACGAAGTGACAAGCGTTGCAACAGGAGGACCCGGGAACGTGTACTGAACAGGGGTATCGAAAACCGTTGGGTCATATATACCAGGATCAGTATCAGAGTAGCCCCCGGGAAAAGTGACTTCTTCGCTCGATGTAGGAGTGCCAGTTTGGTTTCCAAGGATGTTAACCTGAGTACATACAGGTGAGTCATGTATATGAGCAGACCGACTACGTACTTACTTGTGTACAGGAAGGATAAAATTCAGCCCCTCCTAACTCCGTCGCGAGATGGAGTGCGATGATTTCGTGACGAATAAGGTATTGTCCAGGTGCCAGGTTAGATGGAAGGGTTACATTAGCAGGCTCGCCATTCACTATATATGTTCCATGTTAGCATAACCATGTGAGACTGAGAGAAGGGAAATGCGACGGAAGCTCATGTAGAAACCATCAAACCATAGGGGAGGACGAAATGAGGAATGGAGAATGGACGCACTGATATTTTGCTGGTACCATGTCATATTGCCTGGCTCCAAGCCCGTCTCTTCGATCTTGAACCACTCTGCATTTGTCGAGTTATATTTATCACACGTCGTGCCTACACACGATGTCATGTAAGTCATGATCGGGCCTATATCGTGCGGCCACTATGTGCGGATGAACAACCGTCAACCAGTTAACGAACACGAAACACACGTTGGTTCCATCGCCGTCCTTCCACCAAAACTGGAACTGACTACCTGGATTTGCATCGGCAACAAGAGCAGCGAGCTGAGCTGCTTGTCCACAGTTCATGTAGGGGTTAGTTGCGCCTTTGACAGGTGAGATGTCGTCGATCTGGCGGATAATCGAAGAGGTGGGTTGAGCATTGGGTACGTTGCCCATGTATATCTTCCCGTCAATCGAGACTTGGGCGACGTATCCGTGGGCTTTCGCGGGGGAGGCAATATGGAGGATGAGCAGAGAGATGTACAGAAAGGATTGCATAACGTTTTCCAGGATCTGGGGTGTCCCCTACAAGACTGACTCAAGCTGGATGGACGAAGGGAATGAATAGAACTGATATAGGCCTATAAGAAGCTCATGTATCAAGGAAAGCGCGCACAGCGCGGCCAGATTAGTTGAATAAAGGGGAAGACTGCGATACGATACGGATCACTGGCACGAGGGAGGGTCGTGGAGGGAGTCGTTGAGTGTGAGGCAAAGGCGTGAAGGAGGTTCATAGGTTCATATCAGAAGGCCGGCTTGCCTTCTTCCTCCATTCTCCCTGATCCCCCATTTCATTGTCGCCTGGCCACGAGGCAGCTATGGTGACGGCGATCGAGTCGTACCACACTCATGTACCCAGCTTGGAATGACAATGGAACACGTTGCAGGCCCTGTTGTAGTTCGGCAAGGCAAGTTTGTCCCCCCCCCTGTGCCTGGACAGCCATAGCTGAAACGGCTCGACATAAGTACATAGGATAAGATGGCCTTTTGATCCAACAGTTATATAGCAGCGCCCGGCCACTGTCAGTTCCATGGAGAAAAACTAACAAGGACACATCCTACCTACACATTCATTCCCGTTTGTCTCCGATATCGCGGATATCGCCGCACAATCGTGGGTCACAACGGCATGGGAACCTCATGGTATACGGATGGAGTACGACAGCCGTAGTGCCTCTATAGACAAGTACGAAATCGCGGATTGCACGACTTTGCCCGAGGCTCGCTCGGCAGGGGAACGTGTTGAACAGAGTTGAACGTTAACGTGAACCAGAGTGCCGGGTAAGTATCGTTAAGATTGAGTTTGGCAGTCCCTTCCTTCCCTACGAGTCAGGCGGAAAAAAGAAAGAAAAAAGCTATGTACATAGGTAGTGGTCCCCAGTCACCGTATCGATGCACCGCCTGCACAGAGGATCCGATAATTGACAGTCAGCCTAGACCTAACTGAACTATAACCTAGGTGTACATATGCCTCGACGATCCGAGGAGTACTCTTGAGATGGGGCGTCGGAACCAAAATGCAGGTTCTTCTAAACATCGTTGTTCCTTCCGGAGGTTGTTTTCTGCGTAAGCTGTCGAACGAAGAACACCTCAGCAATTTCTTGCTGTAAAAAAAACCGATGCATTTTCTCTTCAGCCGCCAGGGTCAATAAAAGGATCATATCCGCGAAACATTCCCATCCGATTCGAAGGGGCGCGTTGGCACGGATGCCGTGTTCCAGGTTTATGCAGGCGCCACTCACCTTTAACCTGTACAATTGTAGTCTGCATAGTTGTAACTCACTTCGCAAGAATTGAAGGCCAGGATGTCGTGAAGGAACTCTGTTATTATGTAAGGTTAGCATGACAGTGTCTAGGAAGACGTTGATGAGACCCTACTAGCTTGGAATCATGCGCCTTCTGTAGCGCTTGCAGGGGCGCGAGTCTCGAATGGCACTATCCCGAGTCAGCACTGCGCGATATCCGCGACACTGGGAGAACCTGATGACTGATCTGAGGGAATTATGATTATGTCGGGCTCCGGTGGCAGGGTGACGTCTCGGAGTGAATCGGGTCCGACCCTGTAGCCTGTGGGCTATGCCCAATACGCTGGCCAAGTATTACTTGGCGAGAGACCTGGGGCGGGCTACTCCAATGTGTTCGTGAATGCTCGGCTAGTCGGACAAAGTAGTTAATCACGAAGTCTATCTAAGTGTAAGTGGTGGAGGGAAGACACCGGGGCGTTCCGGCACCAGATATTACACCGTGGAATCCATTGGCTGTTAAGGAAACGGGAGGTTACGGGCAACCTTGTTACTGTAATCGGAGGGTTGTGGAGAGGGTTATTTTGACTATACAGTACAGCATATATAAGTCACCCGATTATACAGCGGGTCAGCCGGCAGCTTCATTTCAAAACAGTACTCGTTTCTTCTTCTTCCTCTGATCCTCTCCTGTTGTATCTCCAACTAGCACGGTAAGCGCATTCTCTGTCGTACCACCCCGCACAGATGCCTCGCGCCACACGCCTACTGTGGAGTATCCGAGTGGCAGTGACATCTTTTCGCTCGCGCATTAGATATACTGTAGATCTCACGAACAATTATCAGGCAGCCATGGTCCTTCCCCACCAAACACCCTATGTCACCCCGCACATCCTTCATCGCAACTATGCTCAGGGACATGACAATGAGTGCATCAACAACCGTAGGTTCTCCAACTCTTCTCGGCATCTAGATGTCTCAGATGAGCCTACTTGGCAAACAGTCATCGGTCGTGACCTCGAGTACTTCTCGCAGGCCGGCTTCGACATGGATCGTATCCAGTTAAAGCGCAACGCCGCCCCTGCTCAACTTTACGAGGATGCCATCAAAAACGAAGGCGCCGTCATTTCCTCTTCTGGTGCTCTCATCAACTTCTCCGGTAAGAAGACTGGCCGGAGCCCCAAAGACAAGCGTATTGTCTACGAGGACACAAGCAAGGACGACATTTGGTGGGGATCCGTCAACATTAAGATGGACGAACGTTAGTTTTGTTCTTCATGTTGGACCTCCTCTGTTGCTCATGGGGCACTTGCAGATACATTCGAAATTAATCGCGAACGTGCCATCGATTACCTCAACACTCGCGACAACGTCTACGTCTTTGACGGTTTCGCAGGGGCAAGCATTCTCCCGTGCATGTGATTTCCTCTGTCGCGGTGGCTTACATACCATATTAGTGGGATCTCAACTACCGCATCAAGGTCCGAGTGATCTGCGCCCGCGCCTATCATGCTTTGTTCATGGTTAATGTCTCCGAATACTCACTGGGCCAGAGAATCTAACAGTACTGAACAGAACAACATGCTTATCCGCCCAACCGAAGAGGAACTTGCCAACTTTGGCGAGCCTGACTTCATCATCTACAATGCTGGCCAGTTCCCCGCCAACCGTTTCACCAAGGGTATGTCCTCGACGACGTCAGTCGAAATCAACTTCAAGCGTATGGAGATGGTCATCCTTGGAACCGAGTACGCTGGTGAGATGAAAAAGGGAGTCTTCTCCGTCATGCACTACCTCCAACCGGTCAAGTTCGGCCAGCTCTCTCTTCACTCCTCTGCAAACGTTGGCATCGACAAAGGAGACGTTACTCTCTTCTTCGGTCTCTCCGGCACGGGAAAGACTACGTTGTCCGCTGATCCTCGTCGCTTGCTCATCGGTGACGACGAGCATGTCTGGTCGGACAACGGTGTTTTCAATATTGAAGGAGGTTGCTACGCCAAGTGCGTCAATCTTTCGAGGGAGAAGGAACCGGAGATATATGATGCCGTCCGATTTGGCTCGATCCTCGAAAATGTGGTGTATAACCCACTGACGCGCCAGCCCGACTACGATGACGTGAGCATCACCGAGAACACTCGTTGCGCGTACCCGATCGAGTACATTCCGAATGCGAAGATTCCATGTATCGTTGAGAGGCAGCCGAGTAACATCATCATGCTGACTTGCGATGCCTTCGGTGTGCTTCCGCCCATCAGTAAGCTGTCGCCTGAGCAGGCTAGTTATCACTTCCTTGCTGGTTACACCTCGTAAGTATCACATTTTCAAATGTCTTGGATGGTTCGGACTGATAATTTAGGAAAACCCCGGGAACCGAGGACGGTGTCCTGGAGCCCATCCCTACCTTCTCGACGTGCTACAGCGCACCTTTCATTGTCCTCCACGTACGTTTAAGTTCTTACCTTGATTTCCATCATCATTGCTCAAAATACTCGAAAGCCTTCGCGCTATGCCGACATGCTCGCAGAACGAATGGCCAAACACAACGTCCCCTGCTGGTTGGTCAACACCGGTTGGACAGGTGGCAAGTTTGGTACCGGCAAGCGCTGCAAGCTCTCATACACCCGTCGTATCGTCGATGCGATCCACTCCGGGGAACTCCTTGATGCCGAGTATGAGACTTTCGATGTCTTCGGTCTGCAGATCCCCACCAAGATCGAGGGCGTGCCTCGGGAACTTCTTAACCCCAAGCTGGCATGGACAGACAAGGATGCCTTTGAGCGCGAGGTCAGGAAGTTGGCAAGCATGTTCCAGAAGGCGTTCAGGCTTTACGAAGGCGACGTCAGGGAGAACGTGCGGGTAGCTGGCCCCAGATTTGACTGAGAAGCTTCGAGATTTGTTGTACATTGAGATCTATTTCCTGCCATCTGCCACGCATATTAGAAGAGCAGCTCGTTATGCATTCGTTGTATCACTGACAGTAAAATGCAAATGCCTGGTCGTAGAAAAATACCACATAGGATATGGGCACAAAGAGTCATGGCGATGCCCTGACGTTGCGCCGGTCCCAGCGCGTGTGTAAACCTTGTGCGCTGAGCAAAGAAACCACCCCACACTCGATTGGGCCCCCAACTCCTGCATCCCGCATCCAGGTAGATACTTGACTCATCAGGGTAGCTCCTTGGAATCCTGACGATAAAAAGCGCATTAAACTTTCTGCGTCAACAATCGGTTGCAACGGTTGAATTTAACGATCGGCGGCCTGGGCAGGTCACACGGTATTACGTCACACGACACAAAATGTCACGCCTGTCACGGCTCACGCGATTTGTCACGTCGCCTGACACACCGCAAGTTGTCCATACACACTGGTATGGCCGTCTTCGATGGGGTTCACTATATACTGTCCCCTTCCTTGCCTCCCCATCGCAGGCATGAATTGGTCTCCATTTTAGATCTCAACGGGGCGACTAGCGTCGGGCCATACACTCATCTCATTGCTCTCGGTGGATCATACTCACATCACGACAAACAACATGCAGAATCAGCCAATACAACCCTCAAAGTTGTCAGTGACAAATGGGTGGACAGGAGCATCGTGATGGGAAAAATTCAATCGTATGCAGCCCAGCTGAAACCGTATGTGGCACATTCCTTACTAATGCATGCGGATAGAGAGCAGTATTATTCCCCTGACCCGGCCATGATATTCTCGGGAATTGTGGCTTGTGCAACTGATGTGCGTATTTCTGTTCATAGGAACTGACGCTGTTTGACACGTGGAGTCGATAGCTACCAACATCCGACGTCGAGGTATTATCTGCCGGAGTCACCGCTCTAGGAGGTCAATGGCGCATCGGCTTGACGCGGGATGTTACACATCTATTTGCTCTGCGTCCAGGAAGTGACAAGGTACGTTGCTCTTCATTGGTGTGGCCTTATACCCATGATTTGCCACGCCCCGCACCTCCACCAAAAAGTATAACACTGCTCTTCATTTTGCCCCTCATACTCGTATGTCAATTGTTACGCCACATTGGTTCGACGACTCCGTTCGCCTTGGGCGCCGGCTACCCGAAACACCCTACTTATGGCCAGATCCAATTGTCCTGCGTCCCGGCGCCGCACTTACTTTGGACGAGGATGCGATTAATAACGGCGATTTGAAACGAAAGAAACCACGGACATCTGATATTACTGGAGAAGATTTCGTTGTTTCGGGTGCAGGGCGAGAAGGAGAAAGTTTGGGGAGGAAGGAAAGTCCTCCTATCCCGATCTCTGGAATTGAGTGAAAGTCAGCGAGCTGCTGTCAACGCTGGGATAACCCGCTCTGGAGGCGTGGTGGTCAAAGCGGAAGGTATAGACGATGATGAAGCAGAGGAGAGGGCAGTGGATACGTGTGACGTGTTTGTAACGCGATGGAGAAGTGGCAGGGCGTACTTCAAGGTCTGTGTACAGCTTTCCCTTTATGTCGCGTCTGCTGCACACCTTTCTATTTCTCCACGTCTTAAACGCTCACCTAATCGCGACATTTTCCCGTCTGTCAGGCTGCGCGTGCTTCCCGTCTGATTGGCACTCTCACGTGGCTATTTAATGTCGAGTCAAGCGGAACTCTCCATTCTCCGTTGGATTCTTTGTTGTGGTATCCGGTCCCAAGGGGCGGAATCCCTGGCTTGGCAGGTTGTGTGAGTTCACGACAAAAGTCGCGCGTTTCTAGTGCCCCTCATTCACAAGGAATAGGAAATATCCATAACCAACTATACTGGCACTGCCCGGGATTACCTTAAGCGTTTAATATCGTTGACAGGTGCAAAGTTCACTCCGAGTCTGAGTATGGATAACAAGGTCTTGATTGCAGGATTGTGAGTTATTATTCTAATCCAAACGTCCGTGCATGTCTAAGCCAATCCCTCCCTGACTTTGTGCCGTGTTTTCCGTGTTATCTTCCTCTTGGTGTTTCTCCAGCCAACCCTCGCCCAAGACGACACGTGCCCTCGCTTGGTCAATACCGGTAGTGAACCACACATGGCTAGAGGACTGCATTGTTGAGTGGCGGTGAGTGCGCTCTGTTGGTATAGTGCATTACTCTGCTCTCTTCTCATGGTGACACTACGTTTGTCTGATATTGTGTTAGAGCGCTCACTGTCGGTCTCGAACGCTACATTGTCTTTCCTCCAGGGATAGATTTTGGGAAGGTCCTTATGGGTGCAGATGGGGGAGGTCAGTAGCTACACCAACGATACAAGCAAAATCGTGTGCTTGACTGAACGCTCTTTCCCCAACTACCATGCAGGTTCATCTTCCGCAAATGAGAACACCACTACCTTAGTTGGAGGTGTCCTTCCGGGTGGGCGTGGCGTTGGCATTGTAGATGTGGAATGTGAGGAAGCGCGTGACACCGAGTACACGCGAAGCATCGAAATTAATGCGAGCCAAGAGGGCGCTATTATCCGAGGCATCGACGCGGCCGAAACCGGAGCAGGCAAGGGTACCCCCGCTGAGAAGGGAAGAGGCAGAAGTACAGGCAGGGTCCTCCGTACTAAACAGAGCCCTGCCAGATCGCGTTCGAGGTCCACTAGATCCGCGCGTGTTGCTCAGTCAAAGGAACCTGTTTTCCGGGATACATACGAGGACAGGATCATCGATCTTCCTGACAATGACGATAGTGATGCTCGTACGACGAAGAGCAAGCGACGTGGATCATCGATAAAAAGTTCTCCAGTCAGTAAACCTAAATCATCACTGGCTACTACAAGATTCCACTCCACTTCTAAACCATCATCGCTTCGCGCTCTTCCACCAGGGACGTCTACGAGCACCAGAGAAGTAGAAGCAGTGTTGACATACGATGGCGACCTGGATGGCGTTCCTGAGGTTGCGCACGTGGACGATAACGTGATGGATGTGGACGAAGATGCGCCAAAGAATACAAAGACTGGGCGGGCGAAACTCACCAACACAATCAAGCCAAACTCCAAGGGCAAAGGAAGAGCTGTACCTCATCCTCAGTCTGACGGTGGCCTCTCCCGTGACGATGACGAACGCAGTGCTGCACGATCGAAGGGCAAATTCATGGCCAAATCCAATGTCAAATCATCCACAACTAGTCTAGCTCCGCACCGTAGAAGTCCGGTGCCTGCGGCAGGGAAGCCTCGTCCTAAACTCGTCCGAAGGAACCAAACCTCTTCAACTGCGAATTTGACTCAAAGTGAACCTGACAAACAATCGGAGCAGAGGATGGACAAGAGTCCTTTGTCAGTGCGCCAGCCTAAAGCGAAGGACGTTAGATCCGGTGACGAAATCATTCAGCTAGATTCAGATTCCGAGCCTGCACCACCCCCTGGAATTTCAAGAGCCTCGACACTGACTCCCATCAAGTCTGGCATGAAACCGAAATCTAAGTCCGGTCATAGCCAAAAGTTGGTAGACCGGGAGGAACCTTCGGACAAAGACCTCCCCACCATACATAACAAAAATAAGAAAGCGGCCGATGGCAAAGCTACGAGTAGTCGGAAAGCGAATACCACGGCCCACAAGGAACGCTCCAAGCATGCCGCGCAACCCGACGTAGCGGACTCAACGAAAGAACGTCGTCTATCCACACTATCATCGTCCCCCCCTCCCCCTTCCGCCAAGACGATGACCACTCCCAAAAGATCGGTGTCTGTGTTAGTACCGTCTCTTCCTGATGAATACTTCACCCCGAGAGGCAGCAAGGTGAAGCGTGCAATGGAGAAAGAGAACACAGATATAAAAAATTCTCGTGTTCCTGTGTCCAACCGTTGCCCTGCGGTTGCCGAGGGGGCTTCCTCAAGCAAGGGAAAGCTGGTTGTTGCTGATAGGTCGCCGGATGCAGCAGGGAAGAAACAGATGGCATCTCCTTCCAGACTCAAGGGCCATCGATCAGAGGCATCCGTTGTTGACGAGGGCGACGGGTATGTCTCCGCTGATACATTCGCCACCATGTCTGTCCGTGGCGGGCCCAGACGGAGTGCAGCGAATAAGGCTACTGTTAAGCTGAGGGATGCGGTTATGCCTGATGTGATCGACTATGAGAAAGAGAGAAAGAACCAGAAACGGAGGAGAAGTGCCGGGGGTCGGTCGTTGTTCTCCTTGGGAGAGGATGATGTAGCCGAGAGCAGGCTTGTGAAGAAAAGGAAGGTTGAAGGAGAGGGTGCCAAAGCGGACACAAAGGGCAAGGGAAAGAAGGTGAAACCTCAAGAGGAAGATGAGGAACAAGAAGTGGAACTAGCTGTTGCTATACCGAAAGAGAAACCGAAACTCACGAAGGGGAAAGGCGGACTCCAGAAGACCGCGTCATCTGACATGTGAGCTGGGACGTATGAGCGTTTCGAAAATTGACTCGTACCGTATAGGAACACGCCAGAAACGAGAACCATCAGGCTGATAACCACAGGGGTCACTCTTTCCGATGAAGTCATCAAGGTTTGCACATCCACGAAGTTCGCTAGAATAGCTGACATATTGGTCTCCTTAGGGTCTGTCGAAGTTGGGTGCAAGGATGACTACCAAATCGACCGATTGCACACACCTGGTAGCTAAGGGAATCGTCCGCACAGAGAAATTTCTCTGTGCAATGTCCGTTTCTCCATACGTTTTGAAGGAGGAATGGGTGAACGCGTCGATCCAAAGCGGAAAGCTCCTGCGTACGTTTAATATCGTTGCCTGCAGATGGTTTTCTGACAAAGCTGCACACAGCTGAACATGACTACTTGCTCTCGGATACTGCTGCTGAGATGAAGTGGAACTTCAAATTCTCTGAAGCCCTGGAACGCTCTAAGCAAAAGGGCTGTGGCTCCCAGCTATTCAAACAGTTATCATTTTACCTCACTCCGAAGGTGCCCATTGATAACAAATTGTTGAAGGCCGTTGTCTCCAGCGCTGGTGGGCAGGTACAGGCCTACACTGTTTTAAAGACGCCATGGACAACTTTGACCATTGTTTCAGATACAGAACGCTACGCCTACTGTTAGGATTCTGAAGGCGAAAGCAAATCGCTATGTTATCTCCTGCCCTGAAGACGTATCTATATGGCGTCCCCTTGTCGATGAGGGATACAAGATATACTCTACCGAACTCATCCTGCGAGCTGTCCTAAAGCAGGAAATTGAATGGGACAATGCGGAGTGCATCGTATCTGGGTCAGATTCATAGTATTATGTTATGGGCGGTGGCATTTGCTTGGTATCTATGAGTATTAGTCCTTATACCTACATATGGGACTGCTGAGACATTCTGATACCGAAACCTACCGAAACCCCCTGATTAGAGAGGTACGTGCAGCGCTCTTTTCGCCTGATTAGCTCGCTACAAGCGTTATTCTTCGTGCTCGCATGTCTGACGACCTTTCTTCCTGTTAAATTTCCCGCTAGATCGTAGCTACTTGGGTACGCGGTGACGATCTCCAGGGTGTGTCCGACATGCGAGAGACACGAAACACTGCGGTCCTCCTGAGATTGCTGCGGATACTTCACCAGTTGACATCCCACAGTTTTGATCATCACTCCCCGCAAATTCCCAGCATCGGGCTGATTACCGGGGCTACTTGAGAAATTAATGCTGCGCACGATACGCCTCCAGTATATAATACTGGTGCATGTAGGCCTCTTATCTTAGCTTGGGGTAACGAATTGCGATGACCGTTCACCCGGCTTTCTTATTTTTGGGCTTGTTTTCAGCACTGACTTATCTGCATCCAAATCTCCTGGACACTATCAACTGGGTTCCAGAGTCATTGCGTTCTACCAGCATTACTAGTCATGGAAAAGGCTCCCATGATGGCGAATACATCACCCCAGAAGTTGCAACGTTCATTAAGGACACGATGGTTGCATCGAACATTACTGGGCTATCCATAGCCGTAGTGCCCAAGAACGGTGAGCCGGAGTTGAAAGCATGGGGTTATAGGTCAGAGGACGGCGAGGAGATGACTTTGGATGTAAGCACCAGGCGTGGCTTCCGTTCGAGGACGTCTATACGCTCACGTTGATTCTGTCCTGGCTGGTCAGACGTTGTTCCACATGGCTTCCGTCTCGAAGGCTTTCTGCGCGACGGCCGTCGGTATCCTCATGGACGACTTCGCGAATGGGAGGAACGTAACGGCACTTCCACTAGGATTGATGGAGTTAACATGGCATACCAAAGTAAAAGACCTGCTCCCAGGCGAGTGGCGGCTTATGGATGAATGGGCGTCGGAACGAGCAAATCTCAAGGATATCCTTTCGCATGTCTCCGGTGTGCCAAGGTGAGTCAGTATTCGTGTCTGTTTTCCATGTAGAATTATGATTTTCTCCTCGCAAGGCATGATTTTGCTTACGGACCCCACGACACGCCGTTGGATGTGGTTCGTCGTCTGAAACACCTAAGGCCAGCTTTCGAGCTGCGAGAGCATTGGTCATACAACAATATTGTAAAGCTCCACCATTCAGCCCGAGGTGGACAGCAACTCAAACTGAGGTTATACAGATGTATATCACTACTGCACATATCGTTTCGAAATACGCGGCTCAGTCTTATACGTCTTTTGTGGAGGAGAGAATATTTGCTCCGCTGGGTATGGCATCGTCAACATTCTCGCCTAGCAAAGCTGCATCATCAGGCAAGTACACGCAAGGATGGACGAAAGAGGGACGCTTGATTCCGGAGTGGTTTACCGAAGAAATTGCGTTCACAGCAGCCGTAGCAGGTGGTGTCATATCAAATGCAGTCGATATGGTGAAGAATGTTCTACTCTTATGCAGTCTCGCTACTGCTCACAGACAGTCTCGGATGGGACGGTCACGTTTTCACAGACCAAATGGATCGCAATGTGGCTGAACAAAGGAACATATAGAGGAAAATCCATCATCCCTGCGTCAGTTTACTACAATGCCACTTCCTCATATGCCGTTTATTTGGACCGTCCAATGGGTCCCTATATCTCAATTGGCGGATATGGCATGGGCTGGCACCGTCAGTCATATCGAGGCTACGACGTAGGGAACTTCCGTATCATTTGATCCACACCTCACGCTGACGCTTGTAACTGCACGGGTTATTAGCTTGTGGGTCACACCGGCGCCATCCCTGGTGTATCCACTCTGGTATCTTTTTTGCCACGCGACGAGTTTGGTGTAGTAGTTTTTGTGAACGGTGGTGATCAGGGCTCGTCGGTCATGAGTATTTCACTGCACGTTTTGGAAGCGGTATTACGCCTTGAGAGATCAGATCCTTCGGAAAGGTTCTTCCCATTCTTCCTTCTTTGAATTAACTTACATCATGTACTAGGCCATTATCCGACTCTCTCAAATCTAGACTGGATGACGATGGTCCTACTGTGTGGAACTTATCTTTGCCGCTGGACGACTTCGCCGGAACATATACTAATCTCGGCTACGGCACCCTCACGCTTTGCGATCCGAATGACATGTCTTCCTATTGTTCTGGGGTCCGCGCTGACTTTGCAGCCGTTGACGGAGCGTATGGTAACCCGAGTGTGTCTACCGAACTTTTGGCTGCATGGCCTCGTGTTTGGTCGACTCACGTTCGCATGCGACATGTGCAAGGAACCACATTTACCCCGTACATGACTAAGTTTGTTTCCTAAAGGGTACGGCGAAGACTCCACTCCGTTCGAAACTGCAGAGATCGGTACGGCCACAGCGACAGCAGAGTTCGTCATCGACGATGGAAAGGTTATCGGGTTTGGAGTGTCTGGGCTCGTGGGGGGGCAGACAGAGGGCGCACGATTAGGTGCCACAGTCCGGGAGCGGGCCGAAGTTTGGTTCGACAGAGTCTAAGCAGGGGACAGGCACGGAGCGGTTATACGTATGTCGAATGGGTCGGATACATGTTTTGCATCCAGGCACATAGTATACACTGGCCTACCGTTCTGGCGGCGATCACTTGTACTACACGTGTAGTAACATCAAGGGTTACCACATATCCAGCCATTGAAATTGCATGAATGTCTCGATTGGTACATAGTCGTGATACATGAAGACGTCACCGGATTGCCTCATTACGCATAGGATGGCCTGATGTGTGACGTAAAAACGACTTTATTCTGCTTTGTCGTCAACTGATTGAAACACTGCGAGGGTTAAGTACGGATTTCAAAAATACGTGTTTGAACCCGTGAACAAGTCTTGGCGAAGGACACGACCAATGATACGGGTGGTAAAACGGTTGTAGATCCATACAAGGAAAGCACTGCAGCGGACTAAGCCCAACTCGATGTGTGCGCAGTAGGCGTGAGAGGCCAGGAACGCAGAAGGCGAACACACTCCGTGTCAAGTTGTGGAAGGGTCGCCTGCCGCCCATAGGTCTGGTTCACAAAGAAAAGAAAAATCAAGCTCGCCTTCCGTTACCAGGGAGCAGAGCATATCTTCTACGCTGTTCTGATCCCCTCTCAGGATATGGTCAGCTGAAGGTCGGAAAGCTGCGGCTCGGGGGGTATGCGACAGGAATGGAATCGCGGAGAGTTCCATGAGGGAATCAGAAGTGACGTCCAAACGGCCAACGATTGATTCTGTAGTTGAATGCGTGAGTAGCTGGTAAGGGATTGCTTGGCTAGGCTCATTGGTAACTAGATCCGCTGTTGGCTTCTGGTCAGTACTATGTACGGGCATACGCTGGCGTAATTGTGAGTTGGTGCCTCAAACCTTCACCTTCTGAAGAACAGAGAAAACAAGTGAAGCCAGTCTCATTTCTCTCGCCCTGATCGCAGATGAGATCTACTTCGAGTGAGAACCCCGTCGAATTTGCAAAGGCATCGCCCTGGATTTCCCGATTATCGCAATCCTGAGGAACACCGGCTGGACTAGAGCCGGAGAGTGTGAGTAGTTTTGAAAGTGGAACATATATTAAACCTTGAAGGTGGTTGATAACTACAGTCGAGCGTCATCGCACCGGATGTTGGACGCATATATGACCCGTTTTCGGACGGTTCGCCCAAAAGGAGATGTAGCGAACCGTCGGTTTCGTCAATAGACATGCTAGGTGTTTCAATGTGCTCGGGGAAGCCGCTATCGAGGCTCAGTTCTTTATCATCGGACAAGTCGCCGAAAGGAAGTTCTGGACCCATGGGAAGCGGAGAGCTGTGATTGAGCCGCAACTCCAGCGACAACTCGTAAGATGTAAGAGCGATTGGTTCCCCTGCACGCTTGGCTGCTGCCTTCCTGCGATGAAACCAGCTGCTGACGAGGGTAGGGTTTGCATTACGAGAGATAGCCCAAGCGCGTCTAGATGCGACAGACGGAACGCGCTGGTCCTCCTTCCATATTGCCCATAGCTCGAGCAAATGAATTGGCAAGAGGCCTCGCTTGCGCGACGGTGAGGATCTTGGAGCCACGTTTCCGAGTGTGAGGTGGATAATTTCACGCTGCTGTGCTGGCTTCCCCTTTAACGTCCAGCACTTGCTACGCGTGCTGTATATATCTGCACGTGACTAACACGCTTGTCGCGCATCACGTGCCACATCCCGGGGATGATCATATGCAATACTACTGCTTCCAGAAACCTTTTTGACTCGATGACGGAGTATAAAAAGCCACAGCTCCAACACCGTTGAGCGCCAACATGAGTACTGACGATCAGCAAGGTGAAGAGAGCCACAATAAATCTCGTCTTCACGTTAGGATACTGTCAGGGCCAGCGGAGATAATGGCCAGTGGGGCCACCTCTTCAAGTAGCACCCATCAGGATCCGTCTGATGCAACGAGAGGTGAATCTGCCCAGGCTCCCAAGTGCAAAGAGGAGCCTTCCAGTGGATCGACGAGCAACTCGGGCAAACGACCGGAACGGTTATCCCTCAAACTTCCCCGACGACTGCAGTGGGTGTCCGCCAACTGGACGTGGTCCAAGTGGAAGCCAGCCCTGCGCAGTGCCGTATCAGCATGGGTTTGCCTCATCATATTTGTTATTCCGACCATGGAGAACGTGTTGGGTCAGGTAGGACCTCTTATCCGAATTCGTAACATCTACTTACGCGACACATTCCAAGGCCAGCTTTCTCATCCTCATCGGCATGTCAGACTTTTGCCACCCACAATATCTTCATTGATGTCTTCGTCTAGCGTCATTCCTGTCCGCGCCAAGTGACCCTTTTGTCGCCGTAATCGAACGTGAGTGTATAATCCTCCTGCTTGTAGGTTTGGGTTGGGCGTGAGTATGGGCTTAATATCATAAAATAACTCACTCATGCGTTGGGTTGTAGATGGTTGTGTCTCGCTCTCAAGTTGGCAGATCTTGCTAGAACTATACATGTAATCAATCCCACCACAACAAGTGTTGTAAGCGGTCAATACCTTCAAACTGCGGTACGGCACACCTTCTTGTCCGTTATCCTGCTAACGGTTCCCTAGCCAAATATCATCATAGCTGTATTCTTTTTCTTTGGGAGTGTTTTCTATATGTATGTCAAAGCTCGCCAAGGTCCAGGACCGTTTCTTCTTGCGTGTATACTGGGTTGCATCGGGATGGGTGAGTCTTGTTTAAATCTTTGATTTACATACGACTTATCGAATCAGATATCTTGTTCGCCACCGGCGTTCTTTATCCGTATCCTTATTATAGCGTTAGTCGATTAACCAAGCTGTCCTTTTTTTCGCTCACAAGATCATAGCTTGGTAAAATTATCATGGTTCCACTTGCTTTCCACTCCGCTGTCGCTCTATCAACTTCGATCCTTGTCTTCCCGTCTTCGATTTCCTCTCTTTTCACAGCTCGTCTCCAAGGGGTGCTTTTATCTCTAGCAGACGCTATCAAAGAACATCGCGAGCATCTTGTTGCAGATGTAACATCCCCCAGTTTTTCGGCTGCTCCGATTACTGCCGCTGTTGATAAAGCAGAAGGGGTGTTGGGCCAACTTGCCGCGGCTTGCCGCCTGTTAAAATTGGACGTCATATACTGTCGTATTGCTCCCACGGACTATGGTGAAATGCATCAGTTGGCTAGGCGCTTGGTGATCGTGGCCAATGGGCTAGGTGTCTACTACACACTTATCGACCCCACAAGAGAACGGTTTCCCGTTACTCCTGCGCAGTCGAATCCTGGTACCCCTTCGGTAAACACGCCCGCGCCATCGCGGCCCTCATCTCCTGACCTATCGCGCCCACATACCCGCGAAGGCACTTCTGGTGATGTCACTCATAAACGCTCTCGCCGTCCGGGCTCAGCTCATCTGTCTTGCAACTCGTCGCCACACCTTTTCCACCGACATTCTTACAAGCATAGTCCTCACCACTCTCATCACGGTATTCTTCACAATAGTCTCCTCCACCTTGCTGCGCCTCGCATCCCTAGGACGGAATCAGCTGTTGGAGTATTTGAATCATATCGATATCTCAACCTGGAGGCGACGCGCTTCTCACATCCGGAATCTGAAAGATACATAGCGAGTTCTACACAGCTCCTGAGCGCGAGCTGTCATGACTTGCTCATTATCTGCGAAGCTATCCTTCGCGAGTCGTGTGAATGGCTTGCTCACATTCGAGAGCATCGCTTTGACTTTTGGGTGAACCCAGAGGAGAAAGACCGGATTCGGAATGACCGTGTCCAAAAGTTTGAGGGCCTTTTGCGTAAACTCTCGCAGGAATTGGATGAGTTCACCGTGAAGAAGAGGTTAATTGCGTTGCGTTTTTTTGGCAAATGTATCTCACTATTTTCCTGCTTTGTCAGGCTCCTGGTGCTGGAACCTTATCGTCGGATGTTCGACTCTGATAGCGATCGTGACGGTGTTCCTCCACATAGATATCTCTTTCATTGTTACGTCTATCAATACCACCTGATGCGATTTGCTTCTACCCTTCAGGGACTGGTATGTAATTGCGAGGACCAGATCATAATCCACTGATGTGTTGCTTATTAGCTCGAGGAGAATATAAGGCTCGACAGGCAGAGAAAGCACCCTAAATTCTGGTTTCCGTCGTTGAAACTTTCAAAGTTTGCCTTTTGGTCGACGGGGGAACCCCCTGAGGACGCCGACGGGAATGACGATGAAAATCCCGGTACGCTGGTCTGTCGGGGCATTGTCACACAACGTTGATAAGTTTTTCTCTATAGAGACCATCCCGGGCATAGCCCTCTCAGGTGCGACGGACCTTGGTCGAGCAGTCCGCAGAGACCCAGATGCGCTTCCTCCTCGAAATGCACTAGAAGCGGTTGCGGGTCATTTGTATCGCATGATTGCTGGTTTAGGTGGCGGCAATGCGTTGTTTGCGATCAAAGGAGGTGTGCTCTCAGGTCGGCGCTCTCCACACATAAATGTTTTCAGGGCTAAATATAGTGTTAGTGATACTGATGTTGCCTGTTCTTCTAAAATCGTCCGCAGAGTTTGCGTACAGTGCGTGAATTTGTACGTGAATGTTCATCGCTCTGTTCTAATTCTGCTGTAGTGGAGAAACTCATATGGGCAATGTGAGTCTCTTGTCCCTACCGCAGGGCACCGAGCAAATGGGTTATTCTTGCTCCTAGAGTCATGGCACAGACCACTCTCGCTCGGTTTCACGGCGACACAGTTTTTGGCGTCGTGACTCGAATCTTCAGCACCTTCGTTGGCGGCTTATTAGGCACCATTATATGGTTCGCGAACACCTCCATTTCAATGTTGGCCCGAGTGTAACGTCTAAATCAGGTACATATCGACTGGGTCTGGCAGTGGGAACCCGTACGGTCTGGTTGCTCTTTGCTTCGTCTGCTTCCCGTTTTTCTTTTTTGTTAGGCTTTACTGGCCTGTGCAACCTATGACAAGTATTCTCATATTTGTCACTGCTGGTTTGGTAAGCAAAAATGACATGTATGGACGTGCAGCGCAAACTCATGCTTGGTCTCAAGGTGATCGGGTATTCGTACCAAGATACTCACTTGATCACTCCATCCTCCCCTGGTCTGGGCATTGATGTTGCATGGGTAGGCCCGATCTACTGACTCCGCACATTGGTTTTCAAGGTATTCACTTCAGAGACGTTTTGTACTAGTGGCTATCGGAGTGCTCTGCGCTGGGTAGGCCCGTGTTGATACGTCATGTCCCAAGAGATACTCACTCACTATAGTGCATTTTCTCTTCTACCTCCAAGTACAACGATCCGGTCGTACCAGCGGAGAGCTCTGGCTACTACTGTAGCAGAGCTTGGTTCGACATATTGTTCTGTCATTTCCTTCACCAGCACACGACGGGAAGACGATATAACTTCAATCGTTCAGAGCCTACTTGCCATTCGGAGCAAGCTGAAGCGATCGATGGCGGGCAAGGCGAACGTGATATATGAGGTAAGTGAGAAGTAAGGTCCATTCCAGTCGAGCTTTGGAGCTTATGAGTATGGTAGTTCTCTCTCCGAGGAAAATGGCCCTCAAGGAGGTACCAGAAGATACTTGACATTCAATTGTGAGTCCCAAACTAATTATCATCCGTAACTAACCATATCACTAGACAATTGTCGTACCTGTTATCCGATCTGCTTTCAGTGGTTAACCAGTTGGATCCCTCATGGGCACGAGCATTTTTAAAGCGTACACGTTTACTGGACCCCGACTTTCAGGGAGACGTGCTGGCTGTCATTAGTAAGTCGCTCGCAAATACAATTTAGTGTTTCCCACAGGGTCCCTAGGCTTGATTTCAACATCTCTGCGGACTGGAAATCCACTGCCCCAAGTGACGCCTTGTCCACTTCTTGACCGCTTCATGGAGGGATCGCAGGGGTTTAATGTTATCCTCCAAGAGTCAGAAGACGACTTCGGGTTACCGAAAAATCTAACCCTCGACACGCTAGAGAGCCTGCAGTACATGTAAGTCACAGGGTGAACATCTGAGTACGCGCCGGTAGACTGAGTTATTTCGCAGGATATTCTGTGTTGGTGTCTCTACTGCATTTGCAATTGTGACCCGGCTGGACCGACTGATGATCACAACCAAAGAATTGGTTGGTGAACAGTATCACATCGATGGCATCGGACTACCGTTACACTATCGACATAGGCCTACTGGCATAGAGATGAGATCTCCGACACTTTCTCTCCGGTAGTCCTGAGCAGGTTTCATTTCCTCAAAAAATTCCCTCGCTTCTAACCAGCTCAGGCTGCGATGCTTGTTGATACGAGTTAACTCGTTCATGTTATGTAGTACTCACTTCAGACAACGGGGACTGCAAATATTGTGGAGTATGTGTACTCGTGGTGATCAGATCGAAGGCGATCTCGTGCTTGGATGTTGCACGGATTTAAATTTTTACCAGGAGAAAGCCCGTGTTTAAACTATACATAGTTAACTTCATGCTCAGCCTTGGACAAGGCCCTCCGAATTTCGAGTAAGCTGATATAACTTCAAAGCCAGGCTACTCGCTCAGGTAGGTGTTCAGAACTGATGCATTCGTCGTACTACTGCAACCGAAAAAAAGAAGGCAATAACAGCAAGACATGTCTGCTACCGTAAAGTTGGACTTCATCAAGGTCACCAAGCCAAGGCCACTTGTTGCACATGTACAACTTGCACGGTGAGTGCTGGCATGGTATTTATTTACCCGTGAAGTGAAAACGCTCGCTTCGCATCATATACAGAGGACCCGTTAACGCATTCCATGCTGAGTGTGTTTCGGAGCTGGTACGCTATCGCTTGAACGCTCACGAAACAATCGCGCGTTGTGTAGGTTCTGGAAAGAGTATGTCGCCGTTTTTGACAACGTGCGCGAATGGTATGGAGATGTCCGGGCTGTTGTTCTGTCTTCCTCTCTTCCCAAGGTATTTTGTGCGGGTATCGACTGTAAGTTTATCCACGTCTATTTCCGTTTCCCGTAGACCGACCACATTCTGTTATGCTTCTATGGCGTCCTTGAACTCTGCGGGTGTGTGTAGTCGAAGACTTGCTCGACCTCAAGAACTCCCCCTCGACTGATCCCGCCCGCACTGCCGTGGCTCTGAGAAGACACGTTCTCGCTTTCCAAGCCGCCATCTCTTCTCCGGAGCGATGCCCCGTCCCCGTGATCGCAGCAATCCACGGTGTAGCGTACGGTCTCGCAGTCGATCTCATCGCTGGGTGTGATATCAGGTATGCTGCATCTAATACAATGTTCTCAATCAAGGTGCGTTTACTCCCCCACGCGCGAGATCCTCGTTCTTGTGATGCTGTGACTGATATATATCGCTAATCCATAACCGGGTTAATGGTCTGTCAAATAGGAAGTCGATGTTGGTCTCGCGCCTGACATCGGCACACTCGCACGTCTCCGTCATATCTCTTCCAATGCATCTCTTGGCGCAGAGCTTGCGTACACTGCACGTACCTTCTCTGCTGAGGAAGCATTCAGGCTTGGAATTGTGTCGCGTGTGGTGGAAGGTGGAATGGACGAGGTTGTCAGAGAATCACTCGACCTCGCAGAAGAGGTAGCACGGAAGAGCCCTATCGCCGTTACGGGGGCAAAGCACTTGCTGATGCATGCGAGGGATCACAGGTGGGTAATTTCTTTCCGGGGGGGATTTCTACGTACCTTGGCGGTTGCCTCCACCATATTCCGTTGGCACAACGTCTCATAGTTCTTTTTATGACTAACAACCGTTAATTGCAGCGTCGGGGAAAACCTTGAATATACGGCTACATGGAACGCTGCTATGCTCCAGACGGAGGTGAGTTCTTGTGCTACTTCGTGATGTCAGCTTCCCCTCTCGTTCAGATGCTAACGAGGATCTAGGATATCCTCAAAGCCGTTCGAGTAGCCAGGTCGAAAGGTCGTGGGGAGGTTAACTTCGAGCCCCTACCGATGGATATCGTACCTTCTGCGTCGAGGTCAGACGCGAAACCAAAACCGAAGCTTTGAATGTGGTATTATGGAAGATATTAGAAGCATTATTATCGCCCGTGCCTTCCTTTCTGCCGGTTTTCAGGTAGCGCAAGCAAGGCCATTTGAGGATGCTACAATGTATCAGTACGTTTGTTGCAAGTCACAGGCCGACACGGGACTTAGGTTCATGAGAAGAGTGAATGCCGCACAACAAGTCACCTCGTGTAGGCATGCATACTGTAGATCATATACATCTTTCATACAAAAGGTGCATGAACAACAAAAGTGTACAGGTAGGCAGTTTTTCGCCGTTGACCCAGGACCCGCTATTCATTGTGATGAAAACGGATTGACGGAACCCAAGAAATACATATAATACTCGAACTTTTCACATACAAGGAGCCCACTTTACATTTTCATTCTGAGGTTCACGTGAACCGCCTTGACCTCAGTATAGCTGCAACGCATTATCAGTGCCCAGGCGGGATTAAAAGGAGAAGACAACCTACTTGTTTAATGCATATTCTCCACATTCCCGCCCCATCCCGCTCTGCTTGAACCCACCAAACGGGACGTTCGAATTCAGTTGATTGTAGCAATTCACCCAAAGTGTTCCTGCCTTGAGCTTGTGTGCTGTCGTGATCGCACGGCTCATGTCCTTTGTGAACACTGCCGCGGCGAGACCATACAATGTATCATTCGCCTGACGCACAACGTCCTCTTCGTCCTTGAACTTGATCACAACACTGACGGGTCCAAAGATCTCCTCCTGTACGATGCGCATATCCGGATTGGAGTCGGTGAAAATTGTCGGCTGGATGTAGTAGCCATCGCTTCCGTGGCGTTCGCCACCAATGTGGACCTTAGCGCCTTCCTTCTTTCCAGAATCGATGTAGCCCATGATGCGCTAGGTGAGGTGGACCATGTCACTGCGCCAAAAACCGGAGAGAAATGAAGGTGAAATCTCACATCGTATTGAATTTGGGAGACTTGCGGTCCCTGGAAGGTGTCGGGAGCAAAGGGATCCCCAACCTTGATTGAGCGTGACTTCTCCGTAAAACGCTTCAAGAACTCGTCGTAGACTCCTTCTTGCACGAATATACGCGAGCCCGCACAGCAGCACTGACCGTGATTGAAACTGTTTACAGGGAGTCATCATCCATGAAAGTCAACCTTTCCCCCACCTTCGAAAGCAATGGAAGAAATTAAAAACACCCACTAGATGCCAAACGCAGCCCAATTGACTGCTTGCTCGAGGTCTGCATCATCAAAGATGATATTCGGACTCTTCCCACCAAGCTCGAGGGTAATATTCTTCAAATTGCTCTTGGCTGCAGCCTCCATAACCTTGCGCCCAACGAGGGTGCTTCCTGTGAAGGCGACCTTATGGATCCGCATATGAGACGCGATGGCGTTGCCGACAGTATTGCCGTATCCAGTGACGACGTTCAAAACGCCTGCTGGGAAGCCTGCCTCTTGAACAAGGTGACACATCCGGATTGCCGTCAGTGGGGTGAATTCAGAAGGTTTCAAGACGATGGTGTTGCCCGTGGCAAGGGCAGGTCCGATCTTCCAAACGAACATGAGGACTAAGAGTAAAGTAAGTTCTTGCAAAATAGGAACAAAAACACTTCGACACACGAGGGAAGTTCCAGGGGATGATTTGGCCCTGTAAACTAGTTTAGACGAACGCAAGACCACTGTGCATGATGCTTACGACGACGCCGATGGGCTCGTGACGTGTGTAGTTGAATTTATCTTCTGAAGTCTGGAGGGTTTTTCAGAAACAGTACACTGTGTATTGCTTGAAGAAGACAGTACCTCAATCACTCGACCAGTTATCTTATCAGACCAACCGGCATAGTAACGGATACAATCGATGGCGAGAGCGAGGTCTCCGTTACGCGCCATGTTGAAAGCCTTGCCTATGTCGGAAGATAATATCATGACGAAGCCGCTGATAGAGTGCATAATATAGTGCACACACCATTGTCCAGGGCCTCGAGGGCAGCAAGTTCTTCGGTGTGCTCCTCCATAAGCGAAGCTAGTTTATTGAGAAGATGGCCCCTCTTATTACCGGGGCAGTTGAGACCCCAAGTAGTCTCGAAGGCTCTCTCAGCGGCATCGACGGCGAGGTCGACGTCCTTTGGGGTTCCTTCAGAGACAGAGGTGATCACTTTGCCATTGGCTGTTACGCCAGTGATTGAGCGCATTGAATCTCCACGATAGGGGCACGAGACATACTCGGGTTCACCACGCTGCCAAGTCACACGTAGCGATAAGATATCAGGGACGATGGAAGCGAGTGCACAACATACTCGATCGTAGTTCGGTCTGAGCCATCGACGAACTGGCCGTTGATAAAGAGGCCGGTGTTGAAGGATACCTTACCCTTGTAGACAGAGGTGTTGAATTCGTGAGTGAAGACGGTGGGCATGTCGTGGCTCCTGGGGGCTGAGATGAAAAGGAAAAGGAGCGGTATTATATAGGAACCTTGATGTGGGGTTCGTCACACGTACGTATTTACTTGACGGCATCGTGCTTCGATCAATTAATTTTCCACGCCGTATGGCCTCGCAGGGTCTCATAGGGCCCACTTCTAGCTACAAAACCGACTCGGTGCTCGTATTTCAGCACAGGTCAGGTTTAGATTACCCAGGGTCCTTTTATATGTTTTCTTTTTGGCAAACCATGTCGGAAAAATCTTGGACACGTGACAATTACATGTTAATGGATGTTAATGGCACAAGTTCCCACCCTCATTGTAGTGTACTGCCAATGATATGTTTTCATTGCAATGATTCCAAAAAAGGAGCTTCTATACAGAATACTTCGCATTTTAATATAAATATCAGATAAGATCATACATAGCTGTCATAATCTGGCAAAAATAAACCATTGTAATCGCTTACAATGTGGCACCATCGTAATGGGTAAAGTAAATTTTGCGACACAGAATTTCCACAGATCGGAGAGAGCACAATCTTATCATATCATTGTATCTAGTACACAGCTATGTATCTATGTAGAACTTCGAGTCATCAGTGATTCTCCCTGCTGGAAGCCCAGTGGCGTGAGTCAATTATGTGCGCCGCAAATGGGCAGATAAGCGTTCGGCGTCAATCACATCTGCGTCAGATGACCAGCCACGGAAAAACTAATCGGGTTGCTTCCACCGTCTAGAAGGACGGCTCCATGGGCACTTTCCGTGGTGCGCGTGGCAAAACCTATTTCCGTTCTCCAAGTCTCGCAGTCTCAGCCGCCCGCCGCCAGAAACCCGGGACATGCGTCGATAAGTTCGGAAAACCTTTGTGTGGGGTCACACGTGTGTGTACAATCCTGGGTGATATGACATGTCAAGGTCAATTTCGTTTCATGTAACTTGACCGCCTGACTTCGATTCTCGTGGCAGGGTTCGTGTGAATGGAAAATATTATTATTCGACGCATGTGCCAGCGGTATACACCGTGAAACAGGCTAATAGTAACTGTTAAGCTCCTCGGGCGACGCCGTCAAAACGGTCCGCAATGACCTTTTCCTGTATTCAATCTACCTCCACGGGCTAGCACTCCAGCAAGGAGACCTGTAGTACAACCGGTGTTGTACTGCATTGACTCTTGAACGATGTCTTCGGGCCCCGACACCCCAAACACCGATCTCTGGCTCGAACGGTCGCGCCTCGATGGCATGATATTGGGTGCAGTTTCATATGGTGGGCTCCGAGTTAACCTTTTCTCGAACTAAATTCACTCGCCGGTCGACGCGTAAAGGGGTCTTGCTTTTACTGACCTACCAAGCTGCGGTGGCCATCCTCTCCCGACGTAGAAGCGGAAACTGCACGGTGTATCGCCCGTGGCTCCTCGCTTACGTCCTTGTCACCTTCATCTTGGCTACGATAGGCTTCTCAGCCAACGTCAAATATACCGAGATGATATGGATCGATTTGCGAGACGCCCCAGGTGGACCTGTGGCTTTGATTCAGGATGAGTTGAGTTATTGGATAAACGTTATGGCGTTGACTTGGTACGTCTACGAGAACCATGTACCCCGCGTTGCAGGTTCATTGATGCATTCAGCTACTATGTCATGGAATGGTTCATGCAAGCCCATCTGGTAGACGTCTCTCTTTTTGTGTGGTATACAATGCTGAATTACACACGACAGCTTCATCGGTGTATCGTAGTTTGGAATGGGAATCAATTCATCGCAATGTTTATGACCGCCTTTTGGCTGACGATGATCGGTACGTATCAAGGTAGCACTTGCTAGGTTTATCTGGCTAACTACTTCCCTCAAGCACTTTCGATCATTATCTTAGCGGGGGCCAGTGGAACGGTGTTCTACAACGACAACATCCAACTAGCCTACCTTTGCGTTACAGTTGGCATGACGGTCACGTACACTCTTCTCGTATCATGGCGACTTCTCAAATTCCGACGAGGAGTGGAGGGGCTGATAGCAAGCGAGCACCTACGCACATACAATGCGGCCGTAACCATGGTTGTCGAATCTGCCGCTGTGTATTCCATCTTAGGCGTCCTCTTTATCATTTCTTTTGCTCTTCACTCCAATATATCTAACCTTGTATTTCTGTCTATCAGCCACGTTCAGGTGACGCTCCAGAGTTGCATGAATACCGGGAAGATCTTCTGACCGGTCCACTAGGCCATTGCCCAGCTCATTATCATCATCCGTGTTGTTCAAGGTCGGGCCGTGGGCACGCATACTCCCCGCACGAACTCTATTGCTTTCGCCACTTACACAGCTCAAGACCGTACCGTGCCCTCTCAGAAATCACGTGGCACGGAATCCGCCGAATCTGGCTTGTGGACACAAGGAAAAAGTAGTATCCCCTAGGCAGACCAAAGACTCGGCAGAGGACAATGGTTCCCTTGGGACTTAAGGGGGTCAGACGTTGAAATTCTGCTACGTTTGCTTGTAGCCATACATCCTCTGTTCCACGACACACAGGCTACGTGCCCTACTAACATACGTTTATACCTGCAACGGTTTTCGAGTTTGACTGTTGAGAGTTGATTGTGTGCATTTCTACTCGATGTCTCTCCGCGACGAGTAAAGGCCCCTGCGTTTAATAATGCTCGAAGCTTGAAGATCATTTTGCTTCGATGGCTACTTACCCCTATATTGCATTGCAATATGTGTGGAACCCATCGGAGCTCAGTAAATAAGCCAGTCTGCGGATTCTTGGAGGGCCGCATCCCACCCCCCTCCTTTGTCACTGTTAGCCCGTCCGTACAGCACTCTCACGCTCTCGACCTCTTCTTTCCCTAGCTTCAATCCATTATACACATGCGGGAACATCCCTTCCCCTCCACGCGGTCCGCACACCTCTGCTTTAGGATCCTCCCATTTAATATCCTTCTCCACTTTGTCATACGGGATACGCAAAATATACACGTGGGGGTCCGCGCCGAAGAAGTATTTTAGGGTGTTGGGGACTTGCTTCGCGGTGGAGAAGTGGAGAAAGCCCGAGCATTCGTCGATGGGGCTCACCGGTAGTTTTTCCGGGAAATCCTCGACAGAAGTAGGGGTTGGAGAAGAGTAGTTAACGAGTTTGTAAATGTAGGTCGGTTTGCTGCCGGACGTGCAAGTGACTGGGTTGGACATGGTATGTGGTTGAAAGTGGTCAAGTCGTTATCGCCGCCGTTATCTGATCGAACCCATATGAGGTGGGTGACAAATTTTGACATTACAATAAAGAAAGCACGAGAGAAGAGAGGTAGAAATACTAGAAGCTTATGTGAGGGTATATCAGCAGCGGTAGGCCGAGCACATACATAGCTACACGAGGTACACCCCATATGGTCATCCATTATAAGTAGCGAGGGTCATCCATACAGTTGAGAAGACGATGATGGGAGCGAGAATACGACCGGGACGATTCAATGAGAACTGCACGAGGCAAGATAATGTAAATGTAAAAAAAGAAAAGCACCGAAGAAGAAATAGAACGTGATGTGTACCCATCCTTGGCCGCACGAGACGTCTCTCCCTTTGTAGTCCGTCCCGATAAATGACGATTACCTTGGCGTCACCTCCTCAGTCAATACCGCTTTAACGCCCCCACTCTCAGTTCGCCCGCCGTCCCTTGCACGAGCGTTATTCATCCGTTTTTCAAACCCAACTCCATCGGCCTGGTCGTGGAAGCTTTCTTCCAATGACCGCGGGAACGGGAAATGTTCTTCCACTCTCACGGGAGGTGATGGAGGCTTTACCAACGGTACGGCTGTTTTCTTCTTCTTCCCCTTCTTCCCCTTGTCTTTGCTGGCTGAGCTACCAGTCGACCCAGTCGACTTGGTTTGTTTGATCGGTTGAGCGTGCGGCCGTTCCCGTGGCTGTGCCAGAGGCGTTGGCATCGAGGGGTCCACCCATTCGTCGTCATCTTCCTCGTTCGCATCAATTTCTTCGAAATCCTCGTTCTTTGACAAGCCTGTTTCGTGTCCCTCTTCCTGTTTGTCAACCTCAAAGGTGGAATTCGGCCCAGGGGTAATGGGTCCAATGGGGTCCTCCTCCGTATCGGCTTCAGAACCTTTCGTCCCCCCTTTGACGCTGCTGTCCACAGGAGATACAGAGACTGAACGAGTGTTATAAAAGTCATCGTTGTGTTGCTTGTCATCACTGCCTCCTGTGTCATCGGGCTCGTCTTCGAGGTCCACATCCAGGTCTTCGGGCTCATCGATCGATTCCAAGCCCATAAATTCATCAGAGTCTGAGGGCCAAGACGGCGGCTCGTCCTGGATGGTAAATATAGTCTTGTGTTGTTGGTTGAGCTGGAATGCAGTCCGGTGTCACATCGCGGTAATGTAAGAGATAATTTAAAAAAATACCTCGTTGATTCGCCTCCGCAAGTCCATCCAATCGTTCTCGTCCTTGCACAGAAATCCGAGGAGCATACTCGGATCAAGACCACTGAGTGGCATTTTGCGAACCCGGTCGCAATGGAAGGTGCGGAGTTCTGCAGGACTGTACTGGGTCACGTGATGCTCTGCAGCAGGATCTAAATCTTCTTCTTCCATACCAAGGTCGCGGGGGTCGAGATCGGAGGCGGTGAGTCCAGGCGATGTTGTTATATTCGAATTCTGCCAGTGTGAAGCATGTTGTGAGGAGGCTGAGATCGATGACGATCTGGACGCTCCAGAAGAGGTGGAAACTTGGTGCTGTAAGGGGGAAGGTGAAAGAGGTATATGGTAAGAGAATGTTGACGATCCGGTCCTGATGGATGATGGGGAGGTTGGAGCACGGTGGTGATGTGAACAGGATGATGATGATGCCCTTGGAGAGTGTTGATTCGTGCGGCCTTCGGACGTGTCGTCTGGCGTAGTCTCTCGGCTGCGAACGGCAGGATAATCGTCCAACGAATAGGGTGGAGCGGGACGCAGTGGCACTGCTGGACGTGTGTGATGTGGGTCAAGGTAAAAGAGGTTATCGGCTTGGGAACCCAAGAAGTAGTATGAGGACGAAGGACGGCCCCCAGCGATGCCGGCGGACTGTGGGAACGTGAAAAGCTCCTGTATGGTAGCAGTAATTGGTTTGCTATACCCGCAGATGCCAGGCGAGGAACTAACCTTGATGGCTCCATAGTAGATGGGGTTGACGCCTTTGAGACCGAGACGAATACCAATCAAGACCAGTACGGCACGGTCGCCCCAAGATGATCTCGCCAGTCGCCGTGGCGAGCGTGAGTGAACATTGGAGGCCGAATATACATCCGTTTGATAGACTACGCCGTCGGCAGCGACTGCAACACCGAGGCCCGCTTCTGGAAAGGCATGTACAAGCGTTCTAAAAAATGTTCATCAGCCCTTTCGGACCGCAAAAGCTTAGGATGCTTTACTTGATTGCACCCGCGGCTGTGCTAGGTCCAAACCACTGTCCGACGTCTTTCCCGAGATCTTTTCCAGCGAGAGCGATACGATGCACGCTGAATGGCGCTTGAGGCAATGGTGTGTCGAGGAACCAGGTTATAATCTGCACGTAAGTTGCATAATCCTTGGTACGAACGGGGCATGGTGGACACCTCCAATCTTCGACACGTAAGAAACGTGAGCGGATAAATGACGACACAGCCTTACCTCGTCCCAGATGGAGGTGTAGCAGGGAATTCGCTAACAATGTCTGGCCGGTGCGCAGCATACATCCCCATCCCGTGTCGCTAGTCCACCCCTTTTCACCTGTGCCGGGCCAATTCCATCTCTTCGGACGCGGACTGCATGGTGTAATAGACTGAACGCCGGAGGCGAGATCAGAATCGAGTGCAGCAAGTGTTGAATCCCGGATAGGCGGAAATTGATCGCGATACGTCAGCCATATTCGAGACGTAAAATCAGCATAGAACACAGGAGGCCAGTGGGCTGCCGGATTCTTAGCTGAAGGTGGCTGTGATTGAGAAAGCTGGGAGACGGTTGCCGAAGAAGACGTATTGGAACGGAGAGAGGGGGAGCGACGTGACTCGACCGAGGCACGACGGCCGGGTGTTGTTGGGGGCGGTGGTTCATAGCCTGAGTGCTGCACTCCGAGTAGCCAGATGGGTTCAGGACACTTATCGGGCATGGCGTCACTATCTCTAATGAAGCGCATTGCACGGTCGAGGTGGCTTTTGCCATGCTTGGCAGCAGTCAAAAGCGGGTTTGATTTACCCTTTGGTGACTGTGTGACCATGTGAGATTGGGATAGGAGAGATGGAAGGGAGAGGTCAGTTGAAGAGCTGCTGAAGGTGTGTGACAGCCAGCCAGATAGACGAGTGGGGAGATCGGATATGCGGGATGTCGATGAGGGGGAGTACATGGATATTGACGGTTGGATGTCAGACACCACGCTGAGAGGGCGCTCTGCACGCGTGCGAATTCGTGGCATATCCGCAGGCTCGACGATCACAGGTGGTTCGTCGAATGCATCCTCAGGCTCGTCGTCGGGTTCTGGCGGGTTGGTTGGATTGTCGTCCTTGGTGTCTGAGTGGGACGTTGCCGAGCTCTGAGGATTTCGGGGCATCGGGGAGGAGCTTTGGGAGGTTCGAATAGAAGAGCTTGAGCTTGCCAGACTGGCAACACTGTCGCTCGCTGGAGTGTCCATCATGGACTTTGACCGGTCGCGGCTCTGTTTCTGTAAAAACTTGGGTAACTTAGGGCCATGCTGTGGGTTAGGCGACGGCGGAATTGGAGCGCTGCGGATGTGCTTGTTCGTCATGGTCGCTCGTCAATGTGTCCGGCGTTGGCGGCGACGAGAAGCTCAGTCTCGTCGACTACTAGCGTTGTACTAGTGTAGTGTCTGTGTTCCGAGTTTGGGTTGTTTACCCTATCCAACTCAACCCGACCACCATCCCTGACACTGACACTGACACTGACGGTACACAGGCGCACAAACGTGTCCTACTGATGGAGTTCCACCTCAAACACAAAGTCCTGGGATACTTGGTGCATGAAAAATCCCACCAAGTCGCCTCCAACATCACTGGCTTTTTATTGGGTAAGTATATTTGGCACAAAAGGCCCCAAGTTGGTGGCCCCCCAACCACTGCAGAATTGTCCATGTCGGCGATCATATGCGTCGCTCAGCTGTTCACACATGTCGCTCACGCGTGCCACCACCATAATACCGTGGACGGAGAGTAGGTTTCCGCACTCCACAAATAGGCGGCCTGTGAATATCCACCTAGTCTCTCGGAGGCCGTGTCGCTAAATCCTGTACATCCAAATGCAATTGTTCCTTTTGTAATTCCACTTGAACATCATCTGCTAGATGCGGAGCACAATTGACGTAGTGACATAAATATGCTGCGATGGGCGCTGCCCACAGAAACCGAACTCGGAATTCCAGGTTCGGAGTTTTAGTTGTTGAACGGAGGGTTTCATTTTTCAGGCGTAATGCACTTTGGAGGACATGTCCGTGGCAGTACATATCAAGAAAGTTCCATGGAAAACAGTAACCACTGATGATCAATGAGCGCATCTGTCAGCGTCCGTTATCCACCCGTTCCATGCACTTTTCTACATAAGCACCAAATCGGAATTGTTCGGATATATATAGGTTCTCTCCCACGAAGGATTGGTCGAATCTGTTCCCCCTCCCCCCCCCTCCCAACCTGCCAGGCGATGGACGGTTATGCCATTGCGACGTTGGTCATTTTCGTCGTTTCCACTGTCTTCGTCATACAGCCTGTGTCGATACCCACTCATGTTCGCTCAATACCCCATGTCCACTTCAACCTCACCACTGCTCCCATTCTCGCTATTGCTATTCTCTGGGCTTCGCAATGCATCGATCCAACCGTCATCAGAAATGGTATCGTAGGGACTGGTGGTGTAAAGCCATACAATATTCTCATTTTATTCTTCTCCTTGGCGTACATGGCCATCACACTCGATACCACCGGTATCCTTGAGGCTGCTGCGTTCTGGGTTAGCAACAAGGGTGGCTCAAACGGACGAAAATTATACTTTTACTTCTATGTCATGCTAACACTCCTCTCCATCCTACTCGGCAATGATCCGGTCATCTTGTCCGGAACGGCGTTCTTGGCGTATTACACTACTGTCGCAGGAGTAAAACCTATGCCCTGGCTTATGTCGGAGTTTGCAGCAGCCAACACTGCAAGTATGGTCCTCTTCGTCGGGAACCCTACCAACGTAAGTTGCCTCGAATTTTCCTCGTTGTTTCCATATCTAGAATGCCGATCTTATTACCTAGGTGGTTATTTGCGAGGGTTTTGGCGTTAATAATGCAGCATTCACTGCGTACACCATTCTGCCCTTCATCGCCTGCAATATCGTGTGCTTTGGAGCCTTAGCGGGCCAGTATCGCAGTGGAGAGAATATTCCGCGCAAACTGGACAAGAAAGCCGAAGCCGATCCCCGGTCTGTACTACATAATCCGACCGGTGCCTTGGTTGGCAGCTTCTTACTTGGCTCCGCACTCATCGTGTGTTTGGTCGTCAGCTTCTTTGGAATAGACGTTTGGAAGATCAGCTTGCCCTTTGCTGTCGCGAAGTTTATCTTCGACCTAGCGTGGGACCATCACAGGTCCACTTCTGGGAAACTGCCAGATACCGAAAGGGCACCAATGACAGCAGCCCCAAACCAGCCGCCAGAAAGCCAACACGCTCTTGGGCTGACTTCGTTGTCGGAGTCGCAATCGACTGCAGGGGGGACTGGTTCTTTCTCCCTGGAAAAGGCCATTTTGGACGCCTCCCATTCATATCCCCAAACGTTCATCACACGCTTTCGCTCACAGTCATCCACATTGTATAGCCGCCTCCATTTGCATTTCCCAACTTTTTTCACCGCTCTCCCTCGACTACCTTTTGCCCTGGTGCCCTTCGCCTTCTCCCAATTTATTCTGATCCAGGCTCTGGCTCACCAAGGCTGGGTAAACATCTTTGCTGATTGGCTAGTGAAGGCAACACACAACGACATGTACGCTACTATATGGCTTGTCGGCGTCCTTGGTGTCGTTCTTTGCAATGTCGCTGGCACCAACATTGGAGCGACCATTTTACTTACCAAAATCGTGAACGCGGCAGCCCTCCCATCCCATTCCGCCCGCGCTGCCGCTATCGCCCTTGCTGTCGCAAGCAACATCGGTGCTGTCAGCTTCACCTTCTCCGCTAGTCTCGCAGGACTGTTGTGGAAGGATATCCTTGCGCAGAAGAAAATATTTGTGAGGCAGCGGGACTTCGCTTATTGGAACTGCATCCCGCTACTTGTAATGACAGTCACAGGTCTTGCTGTTGTCTGTGCCGAAATGTCGGTGTTGTACCAGTCGAGCGGTGCATAGCCATGGGGCATCGCACCCGCGATAAGTCGGGAAATACCCGGATTTTAGGGGCGCAAGCCAACAGCCTGTCTGAGACGACAATAGGCACAGCATTGGCACGCCAAGGTAACGCCGAGGGAAGGAGGGACCCGTACATAGAGAAGTCAACCACACGAAAAACGCTTTATACTATGGTGTTGTTGCTGCAAGTAATAATAGGGATGAAAGAAGTGCGGAACTATAAATTGTTTATGTCCGTTGTCAACGGTAGATCTTGAATACACAGAGCATGTGAAAGAGAGGGGAATGCAATGATGCACTGAGACATCAGCTGTAATGATTGACGGGACTGCAAAGATTTCTTGGTTCCTAGGGTTGATGTCGGTGTTAGGCGCGTCCACAGCAAGTTGCTTCCGGCGTGTAAATAACGTGAAGTGGCAGGAAGTACGTCCATCACTGCATATTTGTCAAGCGTACGTCAACAACGTTGTTTCCTTGTCCTTGATATTTGACCCCCAGGATATATACCAATGAGCTCGGCATTAGCTATTCCACTCGGTGGAGACACAATTCTTGGCAATATGCCAGGGCGAACTCCTGCACCAACGTGAGTTTTGTGGTCCGTTCAAACAGCATTTATGAGGCTTTGAACGTTCTTCACCACATTGCGCAGATACCGCCATGCTGCACCCTCCGGTCCTTGGCCGTGGATGGACTTTGACGTCGACCCTCATACATCTTCATCTGGGTCTGTTGAAGTTGACAAGTCATGGAAAGGATACCCACAAAACATATTCGGGAATTGGACCCCAGATCAAGTTCACCGGAGCAAGATGTTGGCTGGCCGTTCTTCCGGCACATGCAAGATCTACAGAGTGGATGTCCTCAAGGACGGGACGTTTGACGAGGGCATTGCGTCCAGGGCTCTTACCGTCCCTCCTGACTGCCGGGATGAGTGTTGGACATATGTCAACGCCGAGGTCAGTGTTAGAATTACTGTACAGTCACGAAGTGCATAGAATGAGCAGTATTCAGCGACCCAGGAACGTTCGAGTACGGTCGATCTTTGTCGACAACATGACTATAGAAGTTCTAAAGATGCTGGGAACTAAGTGCGTGATATCAGCTTTCCTTACCTTACAAGAGGTCTCATTTATAGCAGATACGTCGTTGAACCTTTCTTCTTCTCGTCGTCTATAAATTGGATACCCTCTAGATACCAAGAAGCGGAAAAGGAAAACGATCGTAAGCGTGCACACTGTGTGTCTCGATTTCTGCAGGTTCATGCGTTGTAGACATTACCATTGTACTACCCTTCATCCGAGTGCAGCAGGGTCGTAAAATGCGACCGCCGAGTGTGCTGTCCTCGAACTCAGCTCCCGCAAATTTCGGACCGGCACCGCTGGAAGGTGATTCTCAGCTGATTTCCCTCGTTTAGATTCTCATCTGTATGCTTTATTTTAAGATTCGAATCAAATAATCGATACCCAAGCACCTCTTCCTTTACTTTCATGTGAGGTCTTCTGCTGATTCAGTACGCCACTTCGCTGAACCCATACTTCAGCCGACTGCGTGCTGGTTCAGGACCTTCTCGCGGTTCATATGGTTAGGCATGTGGAATCCAGCACTATCATATCATATCATCCGCGTCAGCGAACATCAGCGAAGCGCCTCCAATCCCTCATTCATCGGACTGGCAAGAGTGTGTATTGGTCAAAGATGTTCAAGACATCAAGTGATCCTACGCTCTTGCTCCTTGCCTACCTCTGGTATGTCCTATACGCTTGGGATGAGACTTTCGAAGAACTTTACAAGTATATCACTTGGCTGGTATGTCGTGTCGTGAAAACATTTGACCAACATTAACTTCTTGTAGGAGACTCAGGTGCTCAGCACTAATGATATTCGGTTAACTCGGCAACTTCACATAGTACAGGCACATCTGCTGCACTACCGATCGCTCCTTCAGGACTTCCAGAAATCTGTAAAATTTGTGCAAGATACTCGAAACCCAGCCATGTCAGCCTTGAGTGAGCAAGAGCGAAATGAGTCCGTACAAATTCTACAGAGAGAAGCAAATAGCTTGTTGTCTGAGATCTTGCGCTTGGATAATCAGAGAATAATTCAGAGTGACAGACTTAAGAATGTTATGGATTTGGTGAGTGCATTTCTCAGCGCGAGCTCAATGACCTGGAAACGTTTTTCAGGCATTCGCGTCTGTGAACATTGACGACAGCAGGTACACGAAGAAATTAACGGAGGCAACAGTGCGCGACTCTGCAGCCATGAAACAGGTGTGTGATCGATTTGAAACCTATACCAGGTCGCTCAGCAAGGTATTGCTTTAGATTTCTTACCTGACTATGGTATTCCTGCCTGCGAACTTCGTGTCGGTGCGTTGCATTTACCATTCTTTCCGTGTATCTCATCGAACCCGGCAACCCGCCACCAGTCTCTTTTCGGCATGAATGTGCGAGAGTTCATTGGAGGTTCTGCCCCCGAGACCTTGCCACGTTACGTGGCCGTCACGCTGGCTCTCACGTCCTTCACCGCATGGCTTGTCATAGCACTGCAAACCTACAGTTCTTTTCATCCACCTGGTTGCAGTCGCTGGCGAAGGTTTGGTTGGCCGATCTGTTATGTCTGGAACAAGTTGAGAGGTCGCAACTCGAAGGTGCTAGAAAAAGATGTGTAATCGTCTTGTGCTCAGTTACTTGATATTGTGGGACAGTAACATGTACGATGGCTGCTGTAGCCTGCAATACCATAGTTATTATTTAAGAATAGGGTGGATGGAATGGTCGATTAGGGGATTGTTGGGTCTGCGAAATGTCGAACATTGTCAGACTCATCAGCCTGGAGAGAACCCATAATTTTGGGCACTTGCAGCAAGGATATAGTCTGGCCTGCTGCAAGGTAAGCGAACTCACACCAGCAATATGCAATGCAAGGTAAGCGAACTCACACCAGCAATATGCAATAAATCCAGGTAATGATGCTTAGACGTCCAGACTTACAAGACAGTTGTTGATATAGTATGTATGTATAACAAGCAATAAAAATATATATAATAAAGAGTAACCTATTGCCCACAACAGTTACCAGATCTAGGCCACTTCGTTTCGCTCCTGGAAAGCCGGATTGTGTCTCCTGCGGTTGACATTGCGTCATGGGCATGAAGTGTCAATGCCTCCATGGCTTCTTCATATTCCCACCTCATAACTACCCGCCTAGCGATATATTCAAACACATCAGAGACACCCTTCCCGTTTTTCGCAGATGTGAAGAAGAGCCTCGGTCCACGATCAGGCTGCGGCGGAAATGTAGCGGCGTGTTCTGTAGTGAAGGTGAGAAGTGGTGGAGTAGGTGGAGTAGCTGCTTCTTCATGGGCACGGGTGAATAGACTGGGTGTAACGGTGACAGTAGAAGAGGTACTGGATTGTGATGACATACGCCGCGGTGGACGACTACGATTGGGAGAGGATGGTCGTGAGGAAGGCCAAGGCCACGGGGATGAACGAGCAGAAGTGTATGCATCGAATAACGATGAGGACGGGGTATGAAATGAGGTTCTTCCTGTATGAGCGGACGATACAGTACCATTCAGCACGCTGAGGTTCTGAGAACGGGATTTGAACAGACTCCCGGCACGTGGATGATCGATATCTATATGCTGAGATCGCGCGATGGTGAACAAGACATCGATATCTCCTTCGCGGGGTGGGTCATTGGAATCCTCCTCGAGTAGTTCAACTGCAGTCCCGAGCTCCCCCGTGGTCAAGGGAAGAGGGACAGCCAACTGGGGTACAAGTTGTTCAATAAAACGAGACGCTTCTGCTTCAGAGACGACGGACACTGAATCAGAGTCGGCAAGGTCGATCTTGTTGCCGACGACGACACAACAATAGTCGTCTACCTCCTCGTCAGCGAGGGGTGCCCTTTCACGGAATTCCGTCCACCATTTGGTTAGGGAAGTCAGGGATTCGGGTCGGTTGACATCAAACATCAGTATCACCGCATCTGCTCCCCGGTAGAAGGCGGAAGAGAGCTTTGAGAAACGTTCTTGACCGGCGGTATCCTAAATCAGGAGGTCAGACGCGATATTCGCATGAGTGGAACAAACGTCCGACCCAAATCTGGAGTGAAAGGAACTCTCCGTGTCGTGTAGGATGGGGTAATGTTTTTGCGATGAAATCCGCGCCGATGGTGGCTCTGTATCCGGTCGAGAAGCGACCTGATAAGTACTGAGGTCGGCATAGATTGTTAGTGTCAACAAATGTACGATGAACACGAAACATGCCTGCCCGCGAAGACTTGTTTTTCCTACGCCTGAGGAACCGAGGACTACTAGCTTAACCGTGAGCATTGACGCCGTCTACGTTGGCCTGCATGAGCTGCTCAGTCGATGCATAAGCTGACTTTATCCGCATCCCGCGCAGGCCAGGAAGATTACCTAATGAGGAAATCCGTGTAAACACGACCAAAGCTTACTATCGTTGCAGCCGATGGCTTTGGGAACGAGTCGGACGACATGGACGAACAGACACCTCCACCCCCTGACCACGGTTCGACACCACCACCACCGCCATCCGTGTCAGGATCACCCACTGATTTCTTAAAAGGCGTCGTTGGAAAGCGCGTCATTGTCCGTTTGACCTCGGGTGTAGATTACCGTGGTAGGCATATCTCTTACATCTCACACACACCAATGTTCGGATCGTACATGTATCTCAAGGTGTGCTGTCATGCCTGGATGGTTATATGAACATCGCACTGGAGCAAACAGAAGAACATGTCAACGGTATGGTCACCAACCGATATGGCGACGCGTTCATTCGAGGCAATAACGGTGCGTAATGACCTCCATCGTGCACCCCGTAGTCCACCCATACCCCGCCATTGTACCTAGTGCTCTACATTTCGGCCGCGGAATCCTTGTGACCTGCCTAGGAGTCTTCTCGCCGTGTCTAAACCGTGATGCAGTTGTCGTGATAGGAATACTATTATGAATGTACCCATTCAGTGTAAATAAGGTAGAGCAGCGCTCGATGGAGTTTATTCCTGAATGGTTTCAGGATTGGCTACTGTTGTGGAAGGACAATCTCATATGCACTTGCCCGTAATCTTAGAATTGACCGTGGGAATATCACATATTGCCGTGTCTGGCGGTTAGGTCCTTTCAAACGTGCAGTAGTGCTGTTGCAATTGTTGTACTGTCAGTGCACGCTACCAGGCCTTGCTTCTGGGCACCGGTAAGTCTGTCGAAAGTTTACAACCCGTGCCTCCATTGCTCTTTGATATATTGACGTTAAAATAAGTAGAACAATGTCCACGAGTAGTGATGTCTCCGGAGACTCCACTGCAATTATCTTCCGCTCCTTCGCTACAATAATATTCTCAGAAATAGGAGACAAGACCTTCCTTATTGCGGCTATCCTGGCCATGCGACATCCTCGTCTTCTCGTCTTCGCTGGTGCCTTCGGCTCATTACTTCTGATGTCTTTGCTGTCCGCCACCATGGGCCACATTCTACCAAGTCTCATACCTAAAGTGTGGACCCAGCTTGCTGCAGGCGTCCTCTTTTTGGCCTTTGGATGCAAGATGTTGATGGAGGGACGTGCGATGAAAAACAACAGCTCTAAAATCATTGAGGAAATGCGAGAAGCAGAAGAGGAGATTGAAAACGACGAGGCTGGTGTGGAGGGACTCAATGGTCATTCCATTCCGCTAGAACGCATGGAGGAGGGTCAAGTTCCATCTTCGCCAACTCATGCTGGGAAACCCACGAAGAAAAGCGGCTTTGCGGAAGGAATGCGCAACGTTTGCAATCTCCTCTTGGGCCCTGTTTTCGTGCAAGCCTTTGTCTTAACTTTCCTCGGTGAATGGGGCGATCGCAGCCAAATAGCAACTATTGCTTTGGGTGCTGCACATGTAAGAGTTTTGCCATCAAGTGGGCCCCCATTTCTGAACGATCTCCAATTCTCTGTAGAGCGTCTATCTTGTGACACTGGGGACTATTATTGGCCATACAGCATGTACCGCGCTCGCCGTACTCGGTGGCCGGTATGTCTCCAGTAAGATATCTGTCAAGCATGGTTTGTCGTCTGGAACTATCTCTTGTATGGTTGCTTATGTTTCGCAGTTACTCTCGGAGGAGCCGTCCTCTTCTTGATTTTTGGAGTCATTTATCTCTATGAATCCTTCGCCGCATCCGCCGATGAATTACCGATACCCGTTGCCTCGGACTCGATTACCGGGACGTAGTTGCCATTCATTGACGCATGTTTGAACACTGTATTATAATGAACCCACACAACACCTTTCCATGTCTCTCAGGTGTGTAATAGAGTATAATTTTGTCTCAAAGGGGAGCGGGAGTCTCGTCTGGTTCCTGAAACTATCTTTAAAGAGGCCATGGTTGATTCCATTTAGTGGAGAGCAACATCATATTTTCGGGAATACGAACAGTCAGCTTTATGCTTGCATGCTAACGGAAATCTCAGACTACCAGTACTCGTTTACATGGACGTCTCATCGCAAACTTCACCAGCCTATCGGAATGTTAGAGAAGGATCCAACGTTAGAGTTCTATGGCATCGTTCCTATGACTCGGCAGGGGCAGCGGCATTCTTCTTCTGCTCCTTCAGTTTCTCGATGCGCTGCATGCATAATCAGGAACTGTATCGTCGAGAGCAGGATAAAATACATACCAGCCGTCGTTCTTCCTTACGTCTTGCCATCTCCGCTGCCTTCTCTTCTTTTGATATAGGCTTGATGGCTCGCTCTTTCTCAGGGTCAGTCGGTGCGGGCGAGGGTACTGGCGTTGAACGTGCACTTGATGCAAGAGAGAATGCGGAGACGTTGGGCAGGATACTAAGGCTCGACAGCGGTCTCCTTTGGGGGTTGACACTTGTCGGCGAGAGGACGGAGCCCCAATCGGCTTACACATGATCAGATATGCACAACACAAACCGTTTCGAAGATAGGACATACCAACGTTTGATGGGGAAAACCCTAGGCCAGGCCTAATCGCCGGCTTAGGCTCGGGGCCAGCGATGGGCGGGGCACTCTCGAACGCGCCTGGATTGGCATTGTCATGGGGTGTCGATGATGCTAAATGAGGTTACCAATACTGACCCCAATCCCCATCCGCAAAGGCATCACACAAGGCATCATTCGTCCAGGACCCGCTATCTTCGGTAGGCGCTTCATCGAGTACCTGCGCAGCAATGGAATCGACATTTGCCTTGTTTTTGCCGAGTTGCAAGCCTTTCGATTGCGATGACCCAGGTGAAACGCCAGTAACGGGATGTGTAGTGCCCGCGGCTGACGAAATAGCAACGAGTGATTCGGCATTGCTAGAAATCGTACTTTGGAGGTCGCTTGGTGCAAGCTGGAAAGCTTCGTGAGGCAGAAGGCAAAGTGCGGCTGATGAAATCACCTTTCTTCCGATGGAGGTAATTGCCCATGATGCAAGGGTGCCAGCAGCACCAGTTGCGGAACTTACAATACTTGTTTGGCTGAATGATCCCGGCATAGATCCAAGCACATTGGTCCCTTCCCCTTCAGTAAGCATCGTCTCCGGCTAGGGAAATCATCGCAGGTGAAAGAAGAGTGCGAAAGTTCAGAAGGCGCACCATGGTAGCCGCATGTGCCTCCAGTTTCTTGACAAAGAGTTCCAAAGCCTTAAATGCTTGATCACGTACGATTCTGTTAATGACTGTGAGATGGTGGGTGCAGTCGCGGCCGGTCTTAACACGCACTTCTCCTTGTCCAATGTTGCTCCTACAACGTTAGGAATGACTTTTCCTGCAACGTCTTCCATGTCATAACAATCACTGGTGGACATGAATGCCATAAGCCCTGCGATTCTTGCGTGGACAAATGGGTCCTTAATGGCTCGCGAGAAAGCAGGAACTAACACCTTCCGCTTAGTGTTATATCCTAGTATTGGTCCAAGTCGCCCAATAAGAATACATGTGTTCGTCCGGATGGAGGCTTCTGGATCATTTTGCATGCGAGCGAGATGCCGGAGCAGGTCATTGTTTAGTATACGATCATTCAACTGTGGAAGTGTCATAAACATCAAGTGTGGAACAGATAACAGATAACAATGCATACGCACTTTCGGAGACAGAAGAACTATCGCGCGTACCGTAGCCTCGCGAATAACAGCAACCGTATCCGAAAAGCCCGTTTGCTATTCAACGTTCTAGCATATAATGAACCCATAGGATGGCTAATCCACACACCAGATGTGGCCAGACCTGATCGACGACGACCTTCTTTTCTAATTTTTCTGCATATTCTGGCAAACTGTCAAGGAGCGCCATCCGCATTCCCCTATCAGGATTTGCGTAAAGTTTCATAAGCGGCATGAGAACAGTGCGTGAATAATCTTCGGGGGGGACGTTCTTCCCAAATTGCAGAATAAGGGGAACAATACTAGCTGCCGAAGCACCGCCGAACTCCAGTGCTGAGACAACAGATGGCAAGATGCGGAAAGCCGCAAACTCGGGAGGGAAAGACGTCGCGGAATCTTTCAGCATACTGGCAACGCATCATAAGTTCACGGCTCCATGCGGTCTCGAATAGTTCGCATACCGAATGAGAGCTTCCTTCTCGCTCTCGCTGCTCAAACTAAAGTGGTCTAGCCCACCGCAAACCTTCACTAATCGATTGTCGGAGAAGAAACCCGAGCCCTCTCCAGCAGTTTCAGCCATCCCGATATCCAGGAAAACTTTCGGAGACATTCGAGTTTTTGGACCTGGGTTGAGCAATTTTCTGAACGAGGGAAACACAGACTGCGGTATGGCACCACGAGATGAAGCCTGTGGAGGAGGATGAGGGGGTTGAACAGTCGCAGGCGGTGGGTCTGTCGGGTTGAACGTGGCATGGAGGAGAAGACCAAGTGCATAACTGTCCGCAGCGTGTATGGGGCCACTGTTCTGGATCTCAATACATTAGTTAGCAGACACAATGAAAAATCGTACTTCTTCAAGGCTGACCAACCACTTTTTTTCACCTCCGGTGATGCGTACGACATAGCTTCAGGCAACAAGCCGCCCATAGTCTAGTAATCGGAATCACTTCCTTGACGATGGTAGATTGAATAGATTCGTACATATAAAACTGCAAGATCATCTCTTGGGTTGCTCAGAACTTCGAAACCACCGAGCTTCCATTCTCCGGCGGGGGTAATAAAAATGGACTTGGGGCATACATTTCCGTGGGTAGACGAGGCTGAATCATTTATGAAAGCGAGAGCTACCTGTCGAACTGTAAGCTAGATACGTTGTTGATGTTCTCCGAGAGTCGCCCTACCGATACTCGATGTAGTCCCCATAGGAGCCACTCTTCTCTCTCTTGCGGACCCCGAGGAGGCATCGTTTGTAAAGCTGTCTGAAGAGGCTTTACCCGTTCCGTCATGATGAAGATTGCACTATCAGATTCGACAACATCCATGAACTTGAGAATATCAGGATGTCGGATAGTGCGCAGTTTTCGCAGGGCATTCCATGCGAGGGGTATCGTGGATTTGTTAAGTGGGTGAGTGAGGTCATACTCGAAAACGGACACGGGGGATCCGTCGTCCTACACGGAAGTCATCCGAGTCAGGTCAAGTTACATTGGTGTAAACTGGATACCAGTACCCGCTTTGTGGCATCATACAAGGTCCAGAACGTCTCGCAGGATGAAACCTTGGGGCCCAGAATAAACGGTAGATTAATGCCCGACTTCTGGACAAGCGTTGAAACAGCCGCAGAGCCCAAATTACGCAAGTACTCCATTATAATTGGTAGGGTCGTGTCAATACCGCGTCGCCGATCAAAATCTAGGAGATGAGCGACGGATCAGGCAGCAACCGTGCGTATGTAGATGAAATGCTTCTGAGGAACCTCCACTAGTGCTTGGGGCTTAGGGGCTTGGCTGGGCTAGTGGTATGAAGCTTGAAGTGTGTACTACGCGCCACCCGCCGCCTGACTTTCTGCCGCACCGCTAACCCTGGGCCTGCCCCAATTGCGGGCCACACGTACGGTGCACCAAACGTGGTTGGTTCCGCACCCACACAGCAATCCTTGGCTTGTTCATCAAAATTATCACTTGTTACGAGTGACGAACTATATAGTCAAGCAAGAGTCATGAACGCGGTACACTGATCCATGTCGTACAAAATGGCGAGTTACAGGGCTTCTCCCACCCGTCTGGACGGCATATCCTCTCGCTCTTCATAAACGTCATAAACAGGCAAAGCTCCCTCTGACTGCAGCTTATGAGCGACGTCCTCCACCGCAGCGAAAATGCGAAGAAAGTTTCCGCCTGTGAGACCCGCGAGCTCGTACTTGTTCCAGCCCCTGCGAAAAAGTTCTGCAACCTGAAAGAAAGGTCTTCAGTCGGATAATGACAATAACCGATTGATCTCACAAGATTCGGATACTTGGAGACATCTTCTAGACCCTTGGGAGCATCCATGATCCCGTCAAAGTCACTACCGATACCGACGCTGGGATGGAAGTAGTCGAAGATGGTCTCAGGTGACAATACCACGCTTACTGCTTTTTGCTGACCACCCGCGCTATATGTTCGACGTGATCTGCTACTCTCTCTACGTCTGCCTCACCTTCGGGTGCAACGAAGGCTGGTGAGAAATTAACCTGTTAAGCTAGGAATGAGATCGACATTCCCTTGGAAGAAGAAGGTAAGCACCATAACAATGCCATCTTTCTGCCCCTCACCCGTTCCAATCATCCTAAGCACCTCGTCAGGCACATTGCGCGCCACATTATGCACTGCCCTTGCGGATGAATGTGACCACATGACAGGTGCCTTAGAATGCATAATAACCTGTGTAGCGGTCATATCTGATGTATGCGAGAGATCTACCAACATCCCAATCCGATTCATCTCATCTATAAGCTTGAATCCGAGAGGACTGTGGCAAGTGAAGTCAATCGTGCAACCCTGACATGGAGCGATCCTACCTCAATCCATGGTGTAACGGGGAGATCATGTCGATATAGCCACAAGAATCCGCAAACGCGTTGTGACATACATGAGTGAGTGTAACGTATCGAACGCCAAGGTCATAGTATTGTCGAAGCACTGCAATGGAATTTCCAAGTTGATGCGCCCTGAGAGTACGTTCAGCGGCAACCTATCTGAACGCGATACACCGTACCCTTCAACCCCCAGCAGACCGGCTATTTTTCTCTGGAAAATAGAATCCTTTACATCGGCTGAGCTCACTGCATACTGGAAGGTCTGGAGCAGAATAAAGTTTTAGAACACCGAGATTGGTTGCTCAAATCTCACCTCCGGATACTTCACAATCAACCCTTTGGCGACATCAATCTGTTCCATCGTGTCCCTGCAACCGAGTCAGTGGCCGTGATGGAAAAACAACTTTCTGCTGCTTACCTCACCCTCCAAGTCGCGTTCAAGAACTTCCTTCCCTCAGCCGACGCGCTTGCACAGGGAACATATGCCGACCTACATAATGTTCGTCATTACAGGAACCTGTAATGTTTGTCAAATATTACCAGAAGAATCCTCCAACCCTTCCCTCTCTAAGTCGCGGAATATCAACATGCATAGGCATCTTGTCATGCAGTGGTATGGCAGAAACATTATTCCGCCAACCATAGCGCGCAACCATAGGCAAATCTTGTGTATTTCGCATCACCATCACGGACATATGTTGCGCATAGTCTAGAATTCTCACTTACCAATGTGCCCATCCTGAGTGGTGAGAATGATCAACAAGGAAAAGGTGGTGATAGGATCGACGGACTTACTATAACAGGAGCCATATCCAGCAGCCTGCGAGCAGCCAGGTCTGGGTCTTTCGGCAGCGCTCCAGACCAACCATGGTCGGCGTAATAGTCAGGACCGACCAGGCCGATGACAATACCGACAATAAACAGGAGTCCTAAGAGAGACCAGACTATGGTGCGGACGCGAAGCGCTCGTGACTGCTGCTGCGCGGCTTCGTGCTCGGCGTCGTCATGAGCATAATTTCTCTGTTCTGAAGAGTTTCCGTGTATCAGTGGTTCTGCTTCCCCGCTCATGCCTGCGGTGATCAATTGAAGTTGAATCAAGGTGCAGTCTCAGTACTTGCAGGTGAAAGTTGCATCACAACATAGCCTCTAGTGACGACATCGAATATTGAAATATTCTGACCAATCAGAACGCCAGGTTGCTATCTCGCTGGCACTACAGCCTGTGTAGCAGCAATGTATGTAGTACGAGTATTGCTGTAATGAGGACGTATTGTTCGACGTCGAAGGCACAGTATGCATCAGCATTAATTGGCTTTAAGCTTGTACATATTCCATGCTAGCACGCACGCTAGTTCCACTTCTCTCGTTCACTTTGAGCCGCTCGTCTAAGGGCTATGACGAAGAGCAACGCCAAGCGCGACAAGGACGATCAAAGCGACCCTCTACCCATTTATGAATGCCATCCGCCCGCATGGGTGCCTTCCACACACAGAGCAGCGGATGTTGGTGAGCGTCCCTTCTACACGCCTGGGGTGTATCATCATTTATCTCGTACTAAGGCTACCCTGGGTTTGACCCCCCTCACCCCGGTCAGGAGGATGTCTTGTCTGCAGCCAAGATCAACGATGGGTTCAGCCAGGCCCCGTATGTTCAGGTGAGTCAATGGCGAACAGCCATTTCCACCGTCAGAGGATTCATATTGTTGCAGTCCGAGCACTCTGGAGCCGTCGAAGCACGCTTTCCGCAGGAGTCGAAACGGGGCCAGCTCTTTGACGGCGACAGCATTTCGGTGCTAGAAACTATCATGCATGAGGTATTTTGTCGACGTGCGCCGCATGCGCCTGTTGTCCCGTGAGTGTTCTTCTGTCTTATCGCGTCGTCGCTCAGCGCATTTTGGCAGTGCTTCGACGTTTAAAATACCGTCTCGTGTTACTCTTAATGATACCCGGCGGCAGTCCTGGTTCGCCGACCTGGCGAACCCAGATGTTCCGCTTCATAAACTTGGGAAGAGTGTACCCCACGGTGCTAAAGGGCACGATCTCCTGGATCTTCTCCAGTCTAACAATGTAGCGATCCCCCGCGCAGTATGGTTCCTGAGGGTTTTTGGCGCGAACGAAACAGTAGAGCGACTTTATCTTTTGTTGCGTTCCTTTTTAATTGCATCTACTAGGCCGGCCTCCGAAACAAACCGAACTTCAACCCGATGCAGTATAGCATCGACTGGACGAACGTAGTGACCGGGTATATCAGGAAACAGCTCGGCGAAATCGCACTACCCAGTGCACCTCGACCAGGGTTGAACATCAAGCAAACCTTTAAAGGTGTCCTCTCAGACTCCGAATCGCGTGAGCGCTGGGTATCGCGGTTCGGTTACTGGTAAGGAATCTTGCCTTGGAAATGTTTGTTGATTTATAGGTTGCTAGCCTTCAGCTGCTGCGACCATTTTATGTGGAAGGTCTGGTAGACCGCCGCACGTTTCTTACTTGGTTGGTACACCAGATGTCGGGATGCAACCTTGCCCAAGCTGGCTTCGTCGCACATCTTGCTGATCAATACCTGGATGACATGTTGTCGAGCAGGGCTCTCACGAAGCCATTTATGGATGCGTGTGTTGCGAAGCTGACTGAGGTGGGTGAGCTGTTGCTACATGAGCTATGCTTATCTCTTGTCAGATACGGACGTTCCTCCCGGACCAACTAGCTAGATTAGACGCCTTGCTTAAATCGCTGTTGCAGGTGAGCCTACCCAGCAATTGACAGGGCCTTTTATTCACCTCCTTAGCGTATATGTTTGACTCTTCCAGACGCATTCGTCAGTCCTCACACATGGGCGAACAGCGCATCATTCGTAGTACCAATATTATCCAATGATAATAATAGTAACTCTACTCCCGGCGATACATGCAACCGGGAAATACAGCGTGTCCTTCATCATAATATCACCGACATCCAACGTCGTACCGATGCCATGCTCTTTCGCAATCTCCCTCCCCGGGTCCCGGAGAGGCTTGGCTCGATGGTTGTTGACATCCAGGTATGCTATCCTTGACCTGTCATCATTAGTTAATTAGGAGGCATTGTGTAGATTCTCAATTCTATTTCAAGTATGACCGACATGTCGACCATTGAGTTTTTCTCGTGTAATGCGACGGACCATCCTTCCACATCCACTTTCTACAACAAACTTGACACTCTTCTGACCTGGAGTGTCACCCCTCTTCAATTTGGTCCCCATCGCACCTATGCTGCCGTCTTTTTACTCTCGCAATATCGCCAGCGCACAGCGCGGCGTGAGGTGTCATCGAGTGCACTTCAGGACTACCTATTTGACTGGTTGGATACGAGCGAGGTGGCAGTGGAGAGCGGAAACCTCAGAAGTGTTTCGGCCCTTTTTGGTAAACTCGTGAAGGATGGCCTGTTCGACTATGCGGCGTATCTACAAAGACTTGTGGCGAGGGGAGGAGAGAATCTTTCATATGTGCAGGTACGGTTTGAAGAGTCCAATTAATGTGGAATGTTGATCGCCCTGTTAGTCGACTTTGCCTGGTTCGAAACATCGCGAATTTCTCCGTTGGATACCGTTGCATAGCACGACGTCTTCACTCTCGCACCAGCGCAAAGTAATTCTTCATGGGCCTCGAGTACGAGAAACACCGGAGGATGTATGCGAGCGTGCGATGCGTCGAGAAATAAGGACTGTCATACCACTGGTCTTTGGTGGTAAGGTTATCCCGTTCTGTTGGCATTCCGCGCTGATGGATGAGTCAAGGCACTGCACTATTGTCACCCCCAAGTCTTTCTGAGCTCCGCCAAAGCTGCAGTACTACCATACAAGCTCCAAGATTTGAGCAGGTCGAAATGTTTAAGCAGTGGCTGCTTCCCAATTACAATAAATTTGCGGCTAGGTATGCGGTATCTTTGCATAAATGCGTGAGACTCTCTAACGTAATTTAGCTCGGACGCATATGACGAGAGTGATGTGCTACAAACATATAGTATTGTTGCAGAGTTACTTAGTTGCACCAAATGTTACGGATCGTTACTTGAGGTATTTGCGTGTCGTGTTAGCTGACGCGAGCTGAGATGTTCTTGATAGCTCAGCTTATCTGTGTTGTCCCAAACCTCGAATCCTCAAATAATTCAAGTTGTTGGGGAAGTTTTTCATCGTTTCGCGACCGTATGGACCTCAATGGGTTGTACGGGAGCCATAACAACAGCTCTCTACTCAGCACATATGGAATGGAAAAATAGGGGCATGCGAGTGCGATCATTGCTGGCGTTGTTGATTCAAATGGATGCAGGTCGACATCTTGATGAATCTGCAAGGGCGCAGATCACCGCAGATATCTCGTCCTTCACTCATGTTAGTCCGCCAATCAGATTTTCTAAGCGCTTTTTTCATCTATCTCCAGGCTTTGGCTCCTGACACCGCGAACCCTGGACATGTCCCAGAACACCTACCAGAGATCTTGTTGTTGGCAGATGACCCCAAGCCGGATGCCCCTTCTATACTCGCCAATGGGTTATGGTACCGGTATCGTACGGCTCTAGACTGGGGATGGAAAGTTTGGGATAACACGATTGCGTCCCTGCGACAAGTGCCCCTCATGACTGCAGATATCGATAAGCGACGTGCCATCGGTCTGCGATACGCTCAGTTTCTTCTGCACATTGATCAACACCTTCCGGCTGGTTTAGATGATCATGTTTTGCAATGGTGCTTAGGAACAGGTAAAGGAGAGATCCTAGCACTCACCGTAGAAGCTTGGGATGTCTGTTCCGTGGTGCTCCTCTTCTTGACCGCACACGGCGCCCTGTCCACGACCAGCCTTCTCCGCGGCCTTGTCTACCCAGCTTGGCATATCTGTGCAAACGCGACGGGGTATTCAGCACAGCTGCCAAGTATATTTGTACAGTCTGCAAATGAACTTTTCGACCGTTTAGTCCTTCACGAAGAAATTCAAATATCTTCGACAGTACCATCTTCGTTGCTCGATACGCATCGAATCCACAGTCGGCGCCGAAACGTCTTTCGCGGGCCACACTTCCCGCAGCTTGCAGGAGAAATGCCAACGCTTCTGTTGATTGAATGCAACGAGGCTATTGCTTTGGAGCTCCGGGCGACAGCGAAAGATCTCCGAGTGCGGACATGCGAGAGCCGCGAATTCAGGCAAGCAGCATATCGCGACCTCGATGTCATACGGAAGGCATTCGAACAACCTATTCAATCTGGGTCCATTGGAGAAACCCTGTTTGAGCCCCTCGTTAATGCATTGAAGGTGATATTAAGCGACTCGAGTGAGGGTGGGGCGCTTCAATCATGACACTTTCGAAGATGCTGATGTTACTTCACAGGAACGGACGTGAATGCATTTCTTACTGGTCGTAGTCCTTCGGAACTAAGTCCATGGCGGCTTGCGGCTACAGCTGTCCAACTTCAGTTTGGCCTTCGACAGCTTGGCAGAGCGATGGCCCATGACACAACGAAGCAGGCAGCAAGTGCATCTCTTGACAAGATGACGTCCATGTTATTTCACCATTCAATGGCATCGGACGAGGCATATTTCATTGCAGAGACTGCACGTGACATTGATGGCCCTGTTGCAGAGAAGGTAGGGTGTTACCCTCTGCCCCTTGTTTTAAGCTTACTGCTGTAACCAGTTCTTCAACAATGGCTTCAAAAGCATCGTCGATATCTTCACCCGCATGCCAATAGCCTCACGCGACACACTCTTCGACAGAGTAGATCGTGCTGGGGAGTTACTTCGTGTTCTTTCTCATGTAGCGGAACCCCTGCGGACGAAAGGAGTTGTCCTTCATTTGGATCCAACCGTGCAAGAGCGGCTCAGTAAAGCGGTACTCGAGACGCTCGTCACTATTGAGACGATGCTGTCAAAATTAACAAGCATCTCACATGAGGTGAAGCGATGCGCCATTTTTCTTGCGCGACTTTTACAGTTCAACCTCGGATTTATTGGACCGTGGTCGACTTCTTGCATGGAAATTCACGAAGGCTTAACGACTGTCTTGTTCCGCTTGTTGCTCGTATGTATCCTTAATTTCGAATCGTCCGGATCTGACGTTTCACAGGTACACGCAACTGGTGCCCATTTCGATCCGGTTGCGTTTTCGTTGCTGGCGGATACATTCTATTTTGTTATTGACGGTAAGTCACTGGGCAAAAGTTTCCACGGCTTTTTCCTCATGTCTAAAAGAACTCAACTCCCATTCAAAATCTGGTACACCTGATCCCTTCCGGTTTTACCCCAAACATCTGGAGTCCGATCTTCCTCCAGGTGTTCCAGCAGAGTTCTATACCCAGCTGTGCTCCCTTCTCCCGCAGCTACCACCTAATGATGTCGTCAATGCCTTAGTGCATGCTTACCGCGACCATTCCGGTCAACTTGTCTATAGCACGTTGGTGCAAAACCGACCTTGGGAGTGGATCGAAAATCTAGGAGAACCTTCCGTCGAGACCGGCTTACGGCCCAAGACCGACTCAGCTATAAAAAATGCCGCGTCACTCTCTCTTGAATTTTTCGCAGCGCGACCGACAGGAGACCATATTTTCCAAACATCAGTTTTGGCCACCAACGAGAATGCATCAGACCAAGACAATATGAGACTGGAAGGAGATATGAGATCGTTTGAAGATGGTCTCTCGGCGGAAAGCGTCTACACGAGAGACTGGCGTGAGACACGCCTCGAGGCTCACCGCGACATACACGCTGGCATCGCTGAGAGTACAAGCGGAGATGGCACCGATGATATCGGTGCCCTCACTATCCCCCCCGCCCAGATACAATCTGTGTCGCGGAGGGCATCGCCTGCGTCCTCAGTGCGTTCAAGGGAGTCAGCGTATGAAAGCATCATGTCATTAAGGCAAAGCCCAAGCATGGGAGCTAAAGCGTCTTTGTCGACCGTGAGTGAGACAATGGAGGATGCTGAAGGTAGCACAGCGGAAGTGGGGGTAACAGGACACAAAAGAAAGGCAGAAACAGATGACGAGGTGGAGATAATCGAAGGGCCAATACCCGAGAAAGCGAGGAAAGGTAAAGGCGTAAAGCCTCGCTCAAGGAGGAAGTAGTTTCTTGTTTTTCGCTCTGTACATTGTAGAATATATGCAAGAATTCGGGATGTCTTTCGTTGGCGTGAAAGCCGTCATTTTGTCGCCAACCTCGTACAGTTGTCCTGCAGAATGGGACGAAGGATCCAGAATCATCCTCTCTACTAACCTTACAAGCCTTCCGTCATCTTTGGTAGAGAATAGGAGACAGGGAATGTTTCGTTTCGATGGGTCATTCACTGGACGAAATGTAAATGGGTAAAATTAAGACAACAGGCGTATAGCGATACACATGATCAGAATACGTAGATAGAGACCCCGTCAGAATGGATCGTACTAGTTTAGGGAGGATGTCATCCGATTCCGCAACTTTTGTATTACTTCCTTCGAGAATCACAGTCTGACTTCTATTTCTTCAAGGTGCCGATCACTGAATCAGGGGCGTATCTCGGAATGACCTAAAAAGAAGAGTTAATGTCAAGGAATATTTCCTCAGCGAACCAACGAAAAAACGAACCTTGGGATCGTGCAACATGTTGAACTCCTCTGTTGCATCCCTTCCCGCATACAACAGGATCGCTTTCTCGCCTCCTGGGTGGTCAGGCAGGAACGAAGTAACATCGAGAACCTGTCCGTTCACAATCACCCACACGTCGTCCTTCTTGTTGTGTTTTGCAACTTCACTCTCCGTGAATGCCTGGGAGGCCGGAGCTGCTGTCGAAGGAGCATCCGTGGGAGCTGGTGCTGACGAAGGCTGTGAAGCGGTAGGCGGAGCCAGCTGGCTAGCAAGCGCCCCAAGCCGACCCCCGGCCTTTTCAACAAGCTTACCGGTCGTTTGCAAGAGATAAGCAGCGGCTGAATCCCCGGATACACGGCCGAAAACAACACAACCCAAAAGAGATGAACCTCCAAGCCGGTTGGCACCGTGTACACCACCTGCAACTTCTCCTGCTGCATATAGACCGGGGATAGGTTTCCCGTCCTTACCAACAACTCGAGACTCCGAATCAATCTCAAGGCCACCCATGGTGTAATGGAGGACAGGGGTCATGATGGCCACATGGAAATAATCATTCATTGTCCACGCTCCTGACGAGAAGAACTTAAAAACGAGTCAGTTCTAAGTCACTTCTTCCTGAAGACAGTATACACATACCTTTTTGCCGAAGGGATCCTTGTTGGCCTTGGCGCCTGCATTGTATTTGTCAAAAGTTTCTTTGAGATGTTGGGGTGAAATGCCCATCTCCTTTGCAAGAGCTTCACCACTCTCGAAACGTTTCATCAGCTTACGACCAACGTAGTGCTTGCAATGCCACTCGATTTCCTTCGATGCTTGGCCATTGAGGACAAGTCGAATGGGATACTGGGCCATCATGAGCACGCGTCTGAGACTATGTAGGACATGACTTACTTTCCCATTCTCCCATATCTTACCAGTGACATAGTCACGATGTTGAAGTTCATCCACGAAGCGGTCACCATTCTTGTCCAGAAGCAAACCACCAACACCACGGAGTGCCTCGGCTGCCAGGAACTTTACTTTCGCATCGGGTTCATTGGGATCAACTAGACCTGTGGGGTGCACCTGCACTTTTTCGAGGTCAACCGCACTGGCACCGATTGCCATGGCCATTTTCTGACCGTCACCGGTACAGTGATCGCCGTTAGTAGTTGGCAAGTCATAATACTCGGGCCTGTGCTGCTTCAGCAGCGAGTCTGGGGTAAAATCTGCTGCATAACCTCCAGTCGCAAGAATGACAGGACCATATGCAGTCTCTGTCTTGCCATTACGGATGTAATCCACACCAGCAACGGCCCCAGACTCATCCCTGATGAGCTTAGTCACTCGCGCCTTCTTATAAATCTTGACCCGATCCGGCTGAGAGACCGCTAAGTCTTCTAGTCGCTCCATCTGGGCATACGTGATAACCTGTACGAGTTCGTATGCGGAGATAAGTTTGTGTTCCTGCTTGTAGCGTAAACACGCACCATTCCAGGGAATTGCGCACTTCCGCGGTGAGTGCGAGGTTGGGTGTGACCGCCCAAGCGGGCCACCTTCGAAAGGTCTAAGCCAAACTTGTTCTGAAGCCAGTTGACGGCATCACCAGAACGTCCAGTCAAGACTCGAATAAGATCGTCACGAGCGAGGTCACGGGCCTGTGATTCTAATGTCAACGCGCAATCACTCGCCGCGTTGTGATAGCTAACTCACGGAACGCTTCGTGTCCTCGAAGAATATCTTTGCGTTGTCAGGGATGCCCAACTCCTGCTGGGCCTGAGTACCAGCACCGTTGATGCCGGAGGTGGCCTTGGTAGAGTTACCACCCATAAATCTAAATAATTTTCGAACGACAGAGTCAGTACGGGCGTGGACCTTTGAGCGGTAAGACACACCCTTGCTTGTCAAGTAGGAGAACATTGGCTCCTCGTTCGAGAAGGGTATGAGCTGCTGAAAGACCGGCGAGACCACCGCCAACGACGATTACCTGTGCCATGGTTGTATCCGTATATACGTGGGGGTGGATGATGGGTGAACCTGTACAACTAAGAAAGCTTGACCTGCGATACTTTGTACGGTGCCGGTAAACCAATGAGCGGCTAGCATGTGATTCTCGAATGCTTATGTCAGCCGGCTCATACACCTGGCCCATCAGAGAAAACACAGGATAAAGCCCCATCATTTAATGTGCTGTAAACATGCTACATACACCAACTTCAGAGGCGTGATTGGGCTACGGTTCGTGATGGCGGGAGTTTCTCTTCTGCGGAAATGCCTGGAACTCCGCTATTTCCTCGCAGCACCGGTTGACAACGTCAGTGGTTGACATCTTCGCGTTCCCAAGCACAAGCATCCCCCGCATTTTATCCCCGGTCGGCCTCCCCGACTCTACATCACCGTTCTCAAACATGTCTTTGTGTGCTGCAACGTATCCAGGCCATACGATGTGTTCCCAGTACAGCGGAGGGTCACGCCAAATCGATCCATCTGAATTGGGTTGCGCTCCAGGTAGTAAGTCGGATTAGTTCGTGGTCGAACGCGCGGGGATCCGTGGGAATGAATGGCATTTTTGAGAAGATGCGGAGATAGTAAGGTAGAGCGCCATGTGTGGAGATAGACGGAAAGCCACGCCAGGGAGAGAACAGAACAAACGGAGCAAATTAATCGTGATTTTTCGGAGACCACTCATTTCGTTGGATCATCTTACCTGCTATGTAATAATCTCGCTCGCGTCTCCGTTCTTTCAGCGTATCGTGTTGGACACGCAAAAATATGCGGATATCTAATTGATCCATCGATCCCTAAACAATCACGGTCAAGATCGAAGTCATCGCAACGTTAGAGCATACTAGGTCGAGCGCTCATACCTGGTCCCAATAGAGCAGGAAGCCGTCGACCAGAGCCCATGTAATCTCTATCCCGTGATCCTCACGACCACGGCGTTCGACTTCTTCAAAGTGTGACCTCCACTTCGCGTAGCACTCGGGGTCAATTGGGAATTCTTTTTGCTCGTTAAGAGGATCGTGGCTTATATGGTCCAATGGCATTTTTCCGTCTTGCTTCACTTTCTCCAGGAACTGGCTGAATCTACGCCAATCTATGGCGTTCTCAGGACTGTCCCAGTCTTGGACGTTGTACACAGGGTGAATCGGAATCAATTCTTGAGGCTAATTCAGGGATTTCATCGACAGAAGGTACGGCTCTAGGTCTTCGGCCACGTACCGGTGCGAAATCCTGTTGTCAGCTATCAGTCCGGTTCACTTTACAATTACTGCGGCATGCTCACATCCTGATGAACGATGACGCTGTTTGGAAGGATCGTGCGAAGATGCTTTGCAAGGGTCGTCTTCCCTGAGCACGTAGCTCCTCTGTAGATAGGAATTGCCTCATCGAAAAAGATCGAGTAACTCTGAGTAGTGATCTTTACCCGACTCCAATAAGAATGACTTTGGTATTGGCCATGCAGTGTGAAAGAGGGGGTATAGATGCGAAGTTAACAGCAAAGAAGCCACAAGCGCTGGAGATAAGAAAATGCCTAATTCGGTCAACTCGAGCGTTTACCGATCTCACAGCGGAAGATGTTGGAACTTCGTCGTGCCAACGGTCCCATGGCATGGCATGTCCATATCACGGTAGTACGAGTTACTTGTGTACATGTTACAATGACCCGGCACTTATGTCTGCCTCTCCGCTTTCCTCTTGACGTCTTCAGCCGTGCCCGCGACCTGTCCCGCGGTCTGCTTCTTCGTTTCGTCTGCCTTTTGGCTCCCAAATCCAAATAGCTTCCAACCCGAATCCTTTGCTTCTTCAGCCTTCTGAGCGGCTGTATCCTTAGCCTCCCCATATCTTCGCTCTGAAGCCTTGCGAGCGTCGTCGAAGGTCTTCTCTGCGGCCTCTTTATACTCATCCACTTTCGACTGTGCTGCTCGCACGTTCTGGCGCGCTCGCTCTGTGAGCTCGTGCCCAGCTTCTTCAGCTCTCGCCTTCGCGCTAGTCTACGATCGGGTCAAGCTTTGGTACTCGTCCTGGTAAGAGCCGTCACCACACACCTTCATCCCTGCGTATTTTTCCTCGGTCTGCCGCACCCCGCTTTCTGCGCGAGCCTTTGCCGCTTCGGCAGCTTGTCGCGCGTCGTCCTGCGCCTCCCGCATTTTCTGTCGAATCTCCTCCTCTTCACGAGCAGCCCGTTCCGAAGAACTTAGCGGTCGATTGTGTCCCTGGTGCTCTCTTGTATAATAATAGTAAATGCCCGCGAGCACCGCCGCCCCCCCGCCGAGTAGGAGAGCGTCATTACGTTTCTTCGTCTCTTCACGTCCAGACGATGGTGGTGGCGGTGAGCTGGTCGCTAACGGTCTACATGTCTGAGGTATTGGTTAGATCGTTGATAGTCAATGCAGCGAATGGGAACTTGCAGCGGCAATGCATCTAGGGTATCTCATAAAGCGCGCTGTTGCCATGTTACGTGGTAGATTGTGATAGTGCATTGTGATGGGCCTGCGCGCTCGCAGAAAAATTAGTAAATGCGAGTGTGGTACAAGGGAAAAACTGTTGCAGTGTGGGTGGACGTCTCCTATATAAGCTCGTTGTGCAATGACGACAGGGCAAACTATGACGTCAATGCTCCATCACGTGTACAGCTGCGTCCATTCCGAATCCGGTGAAATGTACGGAGCCACCAACAAGATATGCGTCTTGGTAGACAGTCGACAACAGTTACTTGCACGCAACAGCAAGTAGCATGGGTATGCGGTGGATCCATGGTCACACCCCCGCTCCAAGCTGTAGCAGCGGCTGTGTATCAGCCGAGTTCGCCGTCACGTGACGTATGTTGAGGAGGGCAAGAAGGATTGCCCTCCCCCTGTGCCACCGCCAAGTACCCGTCGACATGCCAGCTACCCGTGCAGGTATTTCTTCTGCGTCATCCGAGCAGAAACGTCACCGGACTCCCATTTCTCGTCCTCAGCCAATGCCTGGTGGTTCAAAGAGATCAATGAAGCCGCCACCCCATTCGGAAGTCATCATACTCTCTTCGGACGACGAAAATTCCCCCGTCACCAGTACTCGACCTAGACCCACCAAGCAGTCTTTCGGACACTCGAAGAAGAAAAAAGCAGTCCTCCGACCACCTCCTCAAGTCTTTGGGGAAGTTCTCGAAATATCGGAGTCTGATGAAGCCCAGCCATCACTGCCAGCGGCTAAACGGAAGACAGAGGACAGCACTACCGAAAGTCTCAAGCGCACTGTAAACAGCCTTGAACAGGTGATGCCTCTTCTCTGACACCCACACGCCCATTATATATCTTAACGACATGCACTATGTGGTATATAGGCTCTGAAACTTGCCAATCAGCGTGCAGCACAAGAACACTCGGAGCTCAAATCTTTAGAGGAAGCCCAGGCCGAAGAAATAAATGCACTTCGAAGCGCACTAAGCAAAGTCCGTACTCGCTTGTTAGTGCCACTTACAAGCCTTACGTCATATATTCCTTCGCTTCTAGGACTTCTCAGAACTCGAAGATCACATTCTTTGTGAAGTTTGTACACACAAGATGTGGAAACCCTACCTGTGTGTTTGTTTATTGACACCCACATATGCCATTCTCATCATATATCTCCAACAGGTTACCCGACTGTGGCCACAGCTTCTGCCAGGATTGTCTCGTAGACTGGTTCACTACGACGAAAGCCAAATTTATGAATAGCCACCCCGATTATGATGCTCAATGTGCCATGGTCCTTGGTCAACTCCGCATACTCCTCAACAGCATACCCGCACTCTTAAACCCATATGTTCAGCAGCAGCTGAAGGCTCTCCTCATTAACTTGCGAAGGATGCAGCCGGAACATACTTGTCCATCCTGTAGAAAACCTGTAGTGACCAAACCGGTTGAAAATTTTCGTCTGAAGGCGCTCGTCAGGCATATTTCTGATCTGCAGGGCGAACCGACCCCCCACGAACTGTCACGTTACCACCCAGTACTAGGCACCGGTCCTTTTGACGTGTTCTTTCCTGACCCCTGGGTATAACAGCCAAAGCTTGAAGCTTGGTATTCTGCTCGGTCGCTTCGTCAGAAACAGCTCTCTCCATCGGTCACTGGGGTCATCGAAGTTGTAAATCCACATATTAATGTTATTCTACATAACTTATGCAACTAATGCATATGTCTACCTGACGCCAGACGCCGCTCGGTAATCACCTAGACGAACCCGGTACATATCCGTCCCGTAACTACGAGGTAAGAGAACTCATCGATCAATCTATCAGCTGGGGTGAATCCGAGGTCTATTACACACACAACAGTCCAGCCACGATGTACGTTGGTGTTTTGGATCCAACCTGTTCCACGTTCATACCAAGGCGGGAGTAGAAGAATTTCCCTGCCGTATTAGAATGGGCAACCTCGGCTTGGACGAGGACGGTTGAATATCCGGGTCCATGCCGAACATCCTCGGCCGATCTAGGCTCGGACGGTGTCTCATACCTGCACGATGATGCACGTAACCGGCGGGCAACATCGTGGACCAGTGCCCGGCCGATGCCCTGTCGTTGATGGGTTGGCTGGACCCCCAACGTGAGAAGTGTAATGTGCGCAAGGGAACTATTCCTGTGTTCAGTCTGTACAGTTCCATGAGAGGCATTAATCTCGGCAGAGGCAAAGGCAATGACTGAATCTTCGTGCGTGGCAAGGACGCAGAGATACCGAGGTTGAAGGAGGAGATGGATAAAGAAAGCAAGGGGGTATTGGACAGGGAGGAGGCTCGCCTACTAATGTGTGAGTAGATCTGCAGGAGCCGGCATAGCAGAGCAAGTGTACGTACGTGAAGTGCACGGACCTCTGGTAGGTCCGAGGCTTTCATGAGTCGGAAACGAATTCCAGGTGGAATTAGGGGTAAAACGTGTTCGCTGTAGCTGCCTGCGGGAGATGCGGGACTCATGGTGGGATAAGTTAATGGCAGCTTCGGGTTAAGATCGGACCTTCCCTACGTACACTTGGTACTGTCGAAGCTACACGATGTCAAATCTTCATCTCGAGAGGATGCTATTAAGGCTCATCTAAGTACAGGCAATACTGTAGATTGCACGTCTGTTGGGCATAACAACTAGCATCATGCAGAGCCCGTGACATGCCTGTTCCCTGTATCCCCGCCGGGCCCATGTCTGTGGTGTTCAGGCCGTGATTAGTGAACACATCAGACATGGGTACTTTGGAAGATGCAGATTCAGGGGTCTGTCCCTACGATTACGGCTCATTGGTATACCCACCAGCATATCCTACATTGTTACCATTGGATCGAGTTGTTGTGTCGGTGCTGCCGTAAGCGTAATAGAAGTCGCCCGGCTCGGAGCAGTGTTTGGTTTCATCACCAACGATGGCACTGAAATTCGCCCCCTCCGGCTACCGCTGCCTTCGCACTGCACGAGGTGTTCACGGCATTCGTCTCTTTACAACGAGCCCACCTGCTTACTATAAGAACGTGATTGTGTCGAAACCTGACCCGGCAGTCGCATTGATTACTTTGAATCGTCCCAATGCCCTCAATGCACTCAACGCTGCTCATTTCGATGACATCTCGAGCGCACTCAGAGAGGCTGACGAAGACCCCACCATTGGAGCCATGGTGATTACAGGTTCCGACAAGGCGTTCGCTGGTGCGTGTGGCAATCTTGACGAGACCCTACCCCTTGACCAACCCGCGGATAGCCGGTGCCGATATCAAGGAGATGAAGGACAAAACATGTATGCACCCATGCCTTCCTCACATAGCGATCTGACATTCCGCCTTCTCAGTCGCAGAAGCTTACATGTCCAACTTCCTTGCCAACTGGGAAGTCATTGCCAAGCTCCGAAAACCAGTCATCGCAGCAGTCAGTGGGTATGCTGTAAGTGCAAGGTCCTTTCCGTCAAAGTCGGTTTTGCTGAACATTCTACCGTTCTATCCGACAATTTCACACCTCTCCGGGGGAATGTCGCAATCTGCGTAAACACTCATCGGAAAGCTTGGTGGTGGACTTGAGCTTGCGCTTCAAGCTGACATCCTCCTTGCGGCACCTTCCGCCAAACTGGGCCAACCTGAAATTAATCTCGGAGTGATTCCAGGTGGTGGTGGTACCCAGCGCCTTGCCCGTCTGATCGGTAAATGCCGTACTATGGAAATGGTGCTCACCGGCCGCATCATCGACGCCGAAGAGGCTGAACGCTGGGGTTTAGTAAACAAGGTCGTGCGTGAGGAAAGCGGAGTCGTGGATGCGGCGATCAAGTTGGCCAGGGAAGTTGCCAGCAAAAGTCGCGTGGCAGTCGTTGCCGGAAAGGAAGCGGTTAACGCTGCGTTCGAACTGTCCCTTTCGGAGGGGCTAAGGTTTGAGCGGAGGTTATTCCATAGTTTGTTTGCTACCGAAGACCAGAAAGAGGGTAAGTACAATGCCAAGCGGCGTCCTCGTTTATGCTAATACACTCCTGGTACAGGCATGATGGCGTTCGTGGAGAAACGAAAGCCCAAGTGGACCCATTCGTGACTTGCCATATGTACCGCGTGGCAAGCTCCGCATCACACTTTTTCCAAATTGCTACCTTCTGTACATTATCACTAATACAGGGACTACAATTACATAAGAGAGTCACTAAAAGCGGACCATTACTAGGAAGCGAACCCTATCAGATTATCGAGTGTGTATTACTATGCATGTAATTGGTTCTAAACGTCCTTGTCCATCAAAATTTTGCGGGGCAAAACTTTTTGGAGTGCATCGTTTGGACGTCGCGACGGCACAGGTCTTTGCCGCATAAGTCGCAACGAACCTTAAGGCGCATGTGGTGTGATAATATGTGTCGAATCACATTCTCCTTCTGCAACAACCTGCCGCATCCATCCCACTTGCACTTCACGGATTCTCTGCCCGTGGAAACGAAACCGTGGACTTGTTTGAGATGGATTCGCAGGCTCTTGCGATCTCCAGTAACATGTATGCCACACGGAGATGAGGGGCACCCCCAAGCACACAGGCAAGAACGAGTGGCAGGATATAGGGCGTCGCGATTTTCGGCTTCCTCCTGATCCGGTTGCGGCGTGTTAAGGACATGTCCTTCATGCCCTGTGGCTCCGGTGGGCGAAGTCGTAGTTGGAGAGGTGGTGTTGGCCGGGGGCTGGCTGCGCCGCATATTTACGTACACGTTATGAATTTCGGTAGTTGTCTGGGATGTTGTTGGTTGCAAAAAAGGGGAGGGAGCAATATCAGTGGGAGAGTATTCATAGAAAATGGTAGGATTAGGAACAGTTGGGGTAAACCGAGGCTCTAAGCTCATGTTGGTTCCGTAGGGTGTAAACAAATAGTCAATTCCTCCGTGGAACTGTGATGTAACGTGGATGGGAACTTCCTGCCCCCAAGGTCCTTCAAACTGGGTAAAGTCTTCGGTAAGTGACGGGATAGCGACGCAGTCATCAATGATGCTATCCGTTTGGTGGTCGCAGTTGGAGTCATAGTCTTGCGTGCCGGGAAAAGCACGACCGCCGATGCAGGAGTGATCTGCAGCTGTCGCATCGTAGGCGCTCTGGTCCCGACATTCAAGCTCGTCTGGAAGATAACGGTATGGAGTGGGAGACACGGCGTTGATAACGCTGGGTAAGCAATCAATGCGCATATTCGCACCGTGCGAATAGAAGGAACTGATTGCAGGACGTTTGAGGCTGCGAACGGTGATCGCAGCAAAACAAAACGTACTGTGAGGAAAGTTGACAACGTTGGGCAGTCCATGGAGACAGCCGGATAACGCGCTCGCAATATGCATGCGAAGCTTCCTCGGATGTCGCAGACGTGAATGGTGGAATCGCAGCCATTGCGGAAAGAAATGAAGCAAGCTAGATGTTCATTCTGACCTTTATATGAACAATCTTTTCGGGAAGAAAGACAAGGAAGCTAGTCGGAGCATCAGATCTCATCGGAGAACGACCCATCACGAGTCCACGGCGGACGGGCGGCCATCTTGTTGCGTAATACTTCTCGACATGCTGTGTTGGCGCTGATGCACCAAATACGAGGACAGTTAACACGAGTATAACGACATTTATTTTCCGCAACTTTGACCACACCTGCGCAACGTCAATCAGTAAATAACCTGGCGGACGTAGATTCAAGGCTAGGTTGGCTCACCTGTTAGAATAAGTTAATAGGGTCGCCGTCACTGCACTCCAAGGCCGAAGGCAGGCGGGCGAGCTGTGTTGACAGTCCTGAAGCAAATCTACTACTTACAACATGATCCTACACCAGCAAATGCACTCCGGAACTTGCCAACTTGTCCAAGATTGAGCCGGATCTGGACCTACACGTGCGGTGCCGATAGCAGCCAACTTATTGGCGTGGGTGACTGGCGAAATATAAATTTCACTACCGGAAGATGTCAGGGGTCGGGGGTGCAACGTAAATTCCCGCAGTATTGCGTACCATGTACCATGTACCAGTAGTTATTAGTGTTGCTGTCGAACTGAAATCAGTTCGAGGTGAGTCGAAGTGGCAACTCGATCCAGTCCACTTCGATACATCCGAACTGGGACGAACTGTACTTTGTTTACCTTGCAAGATAGCTTACTCCAATCAGTATTTGTCTCCTGCGTATAGATGAGTAGACTTACGAGCCTCAAGCAAAGCAAGTTTTGGGTGTTTGCCATCCCCAACCAGCTTGTACGGAAGCGCGTTCTTCCTTGCCCTCACACAAACTTCTTCATGCAAGGCATCGCGGTCTCCACTTCCGTTATCGTATGTGTGCTCTCATCGTTCTTCCCTGCCCCTATTCAAGTACTCTTCGTTTAAGGCGTTGTGGTCACCTGTCTCCTTTCGACCTAGTGTCTCCTTTTGTTACTTTACTCAAAACATCTTTATTCAAGGAATCGTGCTGTGTCTCCTCTCGACCCTAGTCCACTCACCCTTCCTTATCCTTGCTTAAATAACTTCACACAGGGCACCTCGCAATGACATCCCAAACGCCCCACATCTCGGCAATGATGCCCAGTGACCTAACCGGCTTTGAGGTCACCACAGTCAGCACTTGCGCCGAACACGAGCGACCTCATTGGCGGGCTGAAGAATATGGGCGGTGTGTGGTTTTCGAATTAAAATACTTCGTCAATCTCGACGACTGCGAGACTCTGCGGCCTCAAGTTGCGACGCAGAAGCACATCCACTGGCATGCAAAGTCCGACGCAAATGCACCACGCATTCCCGAGATTTTGCACTTCTTCGAAATTGGAGAGATGGGACACGCGGTGTTGGAATTTATCAAGCTCACATTGCCTTCGATCAGCAGAAAAAGCTGCAGATGCTCTCAGGTGGCTTTCTAAGATTCCAGCTCCTTCCGACCATGTCGGAATTGGTCCACTAGGGAATGGTCGCGCCAGCCACAAGCTCTTCAAAAACAATACAGTTCCTCTGTCCTTCTCAGCCGTAGAGGCCTTGCAATGGTACTTGGACAAGGTGCGTCCATGCTTACATTTTTTGGGCTAGGCGCTTACAAGACGCTCGAGCACAGCTCCACCAATAGAACCCGTCAGGATCAGCCATGAGCCGCTAATCTTCACCCAATCCGACATAGACCCAAGTAACTTTGGCGTTGATAATGAAGGGAAGAAAGTCATTTTCGGCTTCGGCAGTGTAGGGCTCTTGCCAGTATTCTTTGCCCTTCATACCTTGTCTTCATCCGCCACCTTCACCACCGCTGTCGCAGAGTACTTAGAGTGGCCCGCCCTCTGCCAATCTAAGTCGATGGCCCTAATTGCTGAGCTTTTATGGGTGACGTCCGACCTGACCCTTGGTACGTCAACTTGTATTTAACATGGGGTTTTAACTGACGTTCGTCATAGGTCTGAACAAGGACGGCAATCCCCGACGGTAGGATAAGTTTCAATATATATATGCTTACGGTCTTCAAGCCTAGTAAGTTAACTTCTCTACTTGCTCTAGAATTTGAACACGTAACTATGTGATCTAGAAACATAAGCTCTAGGTTTGGTTTCCCGAGCGTGTAAATCCTGCAACTGATATCCTCAGCCTTTATCTTTCGCGTCCCGTTTATTATCACAAATCCCACTGTGAAGAAACTCGCCTAGTCACCCGCTTTCCCAATCGAGTTCGCAGCCACCGCCTCATCCTCAGCCACAACCCACGTTTTCGTGCTGTCTTCATGCAAACTTTCCTCCACAATCATACTCCAAAGGCGAAGGTGGCACAACTGGACATATGCGACGGGTCATGAAAAATACGATGCTTCATCAATCAACTCGAATTAAACTTCGCAACTAATGCTTCCACGTTTACCACCAACGCTATCAAAATTAACTATGCCATGCCATATATGAAGGCTGGCCGTGCCCAGCAATGGGTAATTGACCTTCATGACAAGCAACGAGCAGGAGGGGCATGCCCAGAGTTCGACAATTGGGAGGTTTTGCTGATGCACTGAAGGGGAAATTCGGTGAACCAAACAAGAAAATGCGGGCCCAGAAAAGGCTCCCTGCCCTGAAACAACGCGACGGCCAATCGGCCGACGAGTATCTTGCAGAATTCGAGCTGTTTGCGGTCGATGCCCGGTTCGACGATGAAGCGCTTCTCAACATCTTTCGTTCCGGGTTAGGTTCCGGGTGCTGTGACCCGATCACTCGCGCGGTGACCCTTTTGAGAGATGGGAAACTGCCCTCGGCGTGAGGTTGGACGTACGACTTTTTCAGGCCAAGTTCGAGTTCGAAAAGGCATGCAAAAACGTACAAAGCTCATGGTGGTTAGCCTGGGAACTGGCAAATATCAAGGGAAAAAAAATCTTCGAGGGCGTCTCGTGCCCAGTCCCATGTACATTTGGTCAAAGACCACGGGAGCTGGGCTTCCGTAATTGTAAACCGGTTCATCAGTGAGAGCTGAAACAATTAAAGAGCTAGAAAATTAGCGGCAGTTACCAGATCCCTTGAGCCTCGCAACGCACTGATCTACCTTCCTCGTAACCTGTGCAGAAAATGCGACACTTAAAAGGGTGACGAGGGGGAAGCCGACATATACTTGTCAGAAGTTGTTACGTCCCTGGGTGAGGATGATGTTCCTCGTCGCATATCAAGACACTAATATCGCAGCAAAGCAAGTGCAATCTGAAATCGTAATCTGGGGCATGTCCTGAGGAACCTGGAAAATTTCTGTAAACTCCACAAGCACGCTGGGTTGTGACTTACGGTAGGGTGTGTGTCCGAGAAATAGTTCGTGGACGGGTTGGCGGCCAAACTCATCGATAAGGACCTACGATAAGGTTATGCTCTACCCAACACTTCCAGGCATCCACACGCAAGGAGATCAGTTGCGTTCGGAAAACACGTCTCATATCATAGTTTTTCTGCCGGAAAGGGAAAACATCGTTTTCCCGGTTGAGACGCGAGCTACGATCGGATCCGTGGCGAGTTTCATGGTCATGCTGGTAGGGGTAACAACCGATTCTTCATGTCACCTTGGTCAGTGAAAGTTTTTTATGGTTCCTGCTTACGCCCTCAACATGTCGAGGCCAGGAACAACCTTGGTCGTCGCTGTCTGAACCTTGACGTACGGCGTCTTGAACCTCCTCTAGTTACGTAATCAAGTCAAACATGCCTCCACCATGTGTCTGATGGAAATCTCGGACCAGTAGTACCTGAGTTCGGGACATCCGGAGTGCCGCACACTGACCAGCGTTTGTTTTGTTCACTTAACTCCGCTCGACCACTGTGGTATCGATGACTACTTGTTCAACTGTCTCTTCCTGGGACGTCTGGAGCCTGACAAGAGTCCCACCACCTGATCAACGGCTATAGAAGACAGGGCTGTGACGGACGTGCGGGTGACCTAGATAGAGATGTTGGCAATGGAAAATGGAAAGTTCCCGCAGTACCATAGCACCGACAGAACACGATATGAAGCCAGCTGGGCATATGGATCAATTTGAGCGTACGAGAGCTGTAGTTAGGAGCAGACCTTAACAATTTACGGTGAAAGACCTCTCAACAACTCCTCCAGCTGCGCATGTGTCCTCTGTATATCAACGTTCTTCCTCTGCACATCGCCACTGTTGTACTCCCTCAACGCTGCTCGCGTCTCCGCTACGAACTCGCGCGACAGCTCCACGGACTTCAGAACTCCTGGATCCTCAGTGACGCCCGTATTCCTGTCAGGAATGAGATTTGAGAGGTCAACATTTGAAGCACGTATGAGAGCTAGGTCGCGCAGCGTATCTGCTAGTGCGAGTGGCTTGGACTTTTCCACTGGCATCGTTGGGCATCCGGATGTATGGAAAGTGAAACAGTGCCAGTCGCTTAGGTAAGCAGAATTGGCGTTGTTGTATTGAGGTATGCAGCAATAAGGTTGATCAATCAGTTGTTCACTGACACTTTCAACAAACGTCTGTCGTCTAGCGCAGCAAAGTACCGAAGTCTGTAGGCTTACAAAGGGATAGTTAATCCCTGACAGTTGGACAATGGAGACGTTGCCGGCTGACCTCACACCTACGGACGTCGTACTACCTCCAAAGCGGGAGACTTTGGTTCACCCCGCGTTCGACTCACCCGAGGCGGATATCATCATTGTCTCTAAGGACCTCACATGCTTCCGTGTCCACTCATTCACACTCAAGACTACCTCGGGCTGGTTCCGCTCCCTTTTCACCCTTCCGCATCCTGTCTCCTCCGGTCCCAGTAATTCTGCAATTCCGAGTAAAGAGACCCTTCCACCAACTGCCTCTACGGCAGAAACGATCCACCTTGATGAGGACGCTGAGACCCTCGAGATCGTTCTGCGGATGATAAGCGGTCTCCCGATTACACCCTTCACGTCCTACGACACCGTAGATGCGGTCTTATACGCATCTGAGAAATACGATATGCCAGGTCCGGCTTCGCTTGTGCGGATTGCAGTACTGACACCCCCTCTCGCCGACCAGCCCCTGCGCCTTTACGCCTCATCTTCCCGGTTTGGGTGGATCGAAGAATCTCGGGTAGCTTCGGAGCGCACTCTTGCATTGGACTTATGGTCGGAGGAGAACTGGAAAATGCTAAGGAAGGTCGATGGTCCCGCTGCTCTTGACCTCTTGAAGTTGCATCGATCCAGGAGGGAGGGGGTGCGAAAGAGATTGGAGGAACACCCTTTCGTGAGCGGGAGTACAGCTGCACTTTGTGCGCGGTGCCGCAGACCAACCGACCATCATACATGGAGAGAGCTCAAGTACAAGATCATTATGGAGATGGACCATAGACCACTTGGAGATACCGTGTTGAACGTCGGTTTGCAGGAGTGGCCAGAAGCAATGGCATGTTGGGAGGCGCGTTGTCCACATGATGCGTGCGCGTCAGTAATCTATGACAAGACAGAGACAGTACGACTTATTAGGGATTGTATAGAGAGCTTGCCCAAGACTACGTAGCTAGGAGGTCGTCTTATGTAAGCATCACTAATAGCCGACTGGTTAAATTTAAAGGCTATTTTAGCAGCTTCAGCTTCAGCGGAGTCCCTCCAACGATCGACCCAACAAGCTGACACCGTTTTTAGTGCCTTCGCGATGAGTCCGTTCGCTCCACGGTTTCGCTGTGCGACCATTGCGCGCCAGTCGTGCCGTATCTGGACGTCGTCGATCGTTCGGGCATCCGATGAGTTGCCTAAACCTCCCCGACCGATCGATGACTCGACCTCTGCGCTGGACTACAAGCGTGCTCAGCGCACACGTCCACCACCCCTGCCTGTGAGCGACGTACCGCGTGCACGTACGGCGGAAGAAGCTGTCACCAATATTTTGTACAACACACCTCCACCGAACTTGCAACCATTTAAAAAGTGCGTTGGGTTACGCTCTAGACCGAACATGCCATCTCATTGCTCTTGTCCATTCTGTCCTGCCATCTTGCTCACGTTAACGGCTGGCGACCGGTTCTGCCGTGGTACCCTTTAATTTTACAGACATATGCTCAACTGTCTTGTCCAAAATGAACCCGGTGTGCTCTCGCGTGTGTCAGGTATCCTCGCTGGACGCGGATTCAACATCGATTCCTTGGTCGTGTGTCGCACTGAGATACGTGACTTGAGTCGAATGTCCATCGTCATATCTGGCCAGGATAGTGTTGTTGAGCAGGCGCGCAGGCAGCTTGAAGACCTTGTACGTCCCTGTTTATTTGTTTCTTGCATTTTTCACGATTGGACTCTTTCTTCGTACCATAACCTTTCTTTGTCCCCCCCCCCCCTTTTTTTTTTTTGACGCAATCTCACGAACACGGTACAGGTCCCAGTCTGGGCTGTCCTCGATTACACAGATACAAACGTCATCTCGCGCGAGCTCCTTCTCGTCAAGGTATCTATCCTAGGTCCTGAATACCTTGAGGATCAGTTTGTCGGTGGTCCTTCGCACGAACCCCGCCGGGGCGTTCTACCACACGAGCCAAGTTCTAAAATTGAGAAGGAGACCCTCCTAGCACAGAATTTTGAGCGGAGTGGTCATCCTGAGCAGGCACAACCCGCTCACACCTTGCCTTCCGCACAGAACCATGCACATGCCCATAGCCAGATCCCACTTACCCCCTCGGAAGCTCTCCGCCTCAAACATCAGCACCTCCAGTCCATCTCGGCTCTCGTGCTGCAGTTTGGTGGGAAAGTCGTCGATATCAGCGACAACTCAGTCATCGTTGAGCTCACCGCAAAGACGAGCCGTGTGAACGCGTTCTTGAGCTTAGTGAAGCCATTCGGAATCCTCGAGTCAGCGCGGACGGGTGAGTGTCACGTCTACAGTTCCACTTAAACCTACTCTTTTGTGGGGCTCCGGAGGGACTGCTGATAAAATGAACACGCGGTAGGTCTCATGGCAATGCCGCGCACGCCGCTTGCGCGCTCTTTGGACGAGAACGACGATATTTTGGACGAAAATGGTGCAGTTGACGCTAGCCTCCTTCCGCCCGGTTGATTTTTTGTGCCTCTGCATTGGGATCCGTTTGCAATTTGGTAGATGGCCTCTAGATGTGCGAGGGCTGATATTGAAGTCAGCTTGGCCACGAATTTCTCTGGCTGGGTTGGCCGAGGGGTGGTAGTCGCTTCGCAGAAAAGATGTGCTAATATACATTACCCTGTACTTGGCACCTTTTTTTTTCGCTCTGGGTTGATTTTTTTGGTTTTGGAAGTCTAGTCGTTGGGCTCGCCGTGTCACTCAACCTGTGGTGATAAGCAAAAACGGGGTGCACATGAGAGCATAGGACACCAAGTGATCATGTCCTCGGAACGTGACTATTGGCTGTCGGTTTTCATACTTACGACTCTCACGGCAGTTCGGGATCATGAAGTGCAGATCAAGAAAATGCATTAAGTAATTAGGTGGTATGGATCAGGGAGGCCAGCAGTTCAACCTATAGATACGAGTAACCCGAGCATAGAAAAGCGGAAGGGTAAGTCTACTCAAACTCTAGAGGTTCGCAACCTGCTCCTCCATGTAAGTCCAAAGCTCTCTCCCGAGTTGTGGATCCTGTGTATCAGCACAAGGTTTGCCTATTCGTGCCCACGGAATAAGGTACTAGGGACACAAGTAAATCTCTTTGCCGATACGACGGGGGAAAAAAGCGAGACAATACCTCTCCGCCGAGGCTGACAGCATCCGGTGAGGTCCCCGCGTACAGCTGCGTGATGGCACCGTATGAGACGTCATACAAAAGGATGGACTATGTATGATAAGAGTGTGAGTATCGTTAGACTAGCGAGTATAAAATATATGACACTACAGAGATCCATTGGACGAAGCCCCCCTGATGTCGCTGAAGTTCAGTTCGGATACCACCTGAAACCCGTGTAAGGTTCGTTATAGCGTACGCCGCTTAGTACTGACCTGGGTTGAGAGAGGTAGACACGATGCCCTGGTCTCGATACCGGCGGTGTAACTCAGCGGAGAAGACGATGTTTCCCTATGAGTCCGGTCATTTCGGTGCTCATATTTGGAGAAAGAAGGGACATACGGTTTTGCTCTGACCGTATAACGCCACTTGGTTCTTCGCCCGTCGCTTTGGACTGTCTTTGAATGTGTCAAAATCAAGCCCGGAGAACCAGTGACCGTTTGATGACGTGTTCACAACGCGTACGGTCCCATCGGGGGAAGACCTCGCAGTAGAGAGCAAGAGGGGGAGGAGGAGGTTAGTGAGGTAAAAGTGGCCAAGCACGTTGGTGCCAAACTGAAGATCGTATCCGTCTTCTGTGAGTTTCTCGACAGGAGGATTCATCACACCTCTGTCCATGATGTGGGACAAGAATACAGGGGCTGACCAGGTACACTCACGCATTATTGAAGAGCACGTGGAGCTGCGTTTCTTTGCTTTTACATTGGAGTGACAGACGTTCGTCAAATAATGGTGATGAAAAGAGAAAGAAGTGCTACCTCAGCAAAGATTCCGCAGACTCTTTGATAGACCGCAGATTGGCGAGGTTTAGCTTCAGTAGGTGAGCTTCCCGACCTGTGCGATCTTTGAGATCCTTGATAGCGGCCTCCCCTTTGCCGACATCGCGGCAGCCAATCCAGACTTTGGCATTCTTGGTAAGGAGCACCTGAACCTTGCTTTCAGTATTGGACCCACGGTAATCAGGAAAGAGGTAGATTCACCCTAGCAGTTTCCTTTCCGATTCCAGCATTTGCCCCCGTGACGAGGACGACTTTACCAGTCATGTCGGGAACATTTTCTGCAGTGAACTTTGGTTTTGGAGGGGCTAATTCGCTGAGGATGGATGGTATCTGGCCCATGGTACGAATCGTAGTGAAACAGCGATAGCGTGGGACCGGTCTTGGCTCTAAGCACTCGAGGTTTTATATGCAGCCAGTCATAGATAGCACTGCGGAGCACTATCATGGATTGCACATAGCGGTAGTGGGCGCAATTGAACGGCACAACTTAGTTGCGGCTTCCTTGACGCGTGTCCACGGCCGGATTGGCTGACGCACTGGCATTTACTTGGATTACTGACCAACCCACTCTCAGGATCCCCGTGGATCGCCGGCACGATCCACTTGCAACTTGTTCGACGCGTGTCCACGGCTGGATTGGCTCACGTAACTACGATTTCCTTTGGCTACTGATGTGTACTGACGAGCAATATTACGGTAACATTTAGCAAAATCCTGCCATTCGCTTGTAAATCAAAACCAAAGTACAGACTGAAGCGATCAGGGTAGAGGGTTATGGAGGGAAAAAGGAAAGTGATATAATCCTAATCGGAGTGCCAACGAATCGCGGCTTGAGAATGAATGATTAATATCGCCTTACGCGTACATGCAAATTACGAGGTTGGTTGTGACTATAAAGTCCACAAAAGACAGTCTGAAGAACAGCGTGGCGACTCCTGAGGGTAAACCGATAAAACACCGCATGTTAGCGCTTGCGCGGCGATTGTTGCTGCGGTGACAGCAAGGCATTGATCTTCTCGACCCATTGTGCCGACAATGCACTCGTCTCCGCCGCGTAGGTCTGTGATGTTGTCGACTGTGTAAAGCGCATACGTAAGATTCAAACTGCCAGCCTAGTTGGAGAAAAGAGAAAATGAACTCACAGTTAATATTACAAACTCCCTATCTCCCTTCCTCTCCGCGCTCTCGACGACTGACTTTGTCTCCTTGTCCTTGTCCTTCCCGTCCTTCCCGTCCCGTCCCTTCCCTTCAACACGCGCGAGCCCCAACTCTGTCTTCACCGAGAAGCTTACGCCAGGTGAAGCGACTTCCACAGCGTTTCCGTCCCCGCTGCCGTTCGCACATCTCGCTGCACCGTCCCTAAAACTAGTCGAAGTCCCCCCAGATCCAGTTAATACCTTCCTCTTCACACATAGGAGTCTATGGTTCGTGAGGACCAGCTCCCTCGGTTTCGACCTAACCGTTGATGATACGACATTGAGTGGTAGCAGCAGCCGGCTTCCACGACGCTTGGGCGAGCGCGCTTCGACGCGTGTATGGAAAACGACGCTTTCGCCTGGTAGCAAGATTGGCGACCTAGTTGACCGCAGCATGATAGAAGGCCACGAAATTAGACATCATTGACGAGAAATAAGGTCGGAGACAACGCGACACTCATCAGCCACCCTTATGGACATCTGAAAGGGGAGAAACGTACCAATCCACCTTCCTCACAGGTAAGGTATTCCCCTGTACAGGCGTCAAGGTTCTGTCCCTACCTCGTTCTCCACCCCCGTCTGCCTTTACCACTTCAACTCGTTCTTTCTCGTTTCCCCCATTACTCAATCCAGCAACGCGAGAAAGCGCTTCGTCCACAGTAGACTGCGTTGGCTTGCTATCGAGCTTGTCCTTCGGCTTCTCCACAAAACTCCCACCCAACGAGTTTGTCCCCGATCCTGAACCAGAACTTGAATCCAAGGGCGACGGGGAGGGGCGAGGCGTTCCCGTGGGTGAGGGTGCAGATATCAATGTTGGTATGGATATATGTTGCATTGTCATGGTAGTAGTAGTCCCGTCCATTTTACCCGCCTTGTCCACGACATCCTGTACGTCTTGGATAATCGTCAGGGTTGGCGTCCGCGTTGTGTCCTCAACTTTGTCAACCACAAGTCGATGTCTTCCGCTACGTGCATCTTCAGCCTCATCCTCGTCGCCCTCATCGCACCGCATCAGCAGCTGATTTTCCCTTAACCTGAACCGCTCAAACTCGGGACCCTCTGCGTCCAGCGCCCAGCCTAATCCATCGGGATTAACGTGATTGTTGTCCTCTGTAGTCTTTGGACTTCTCCCGAAATGCCTGCCAAGTCCCCCAGCTCCTCTCCTGGTGGTGGTGACTTTGCCACTTCCTTCTCCCTCGCCCCCGTCGTCCCAGCCTATCCCACTCGACCCATTCATTCTTACCTCGCCGACGAATGCGTCCCATATACTACCCACATTCTCTAACCCCTGTCCTCCAACCTGCTCCTCGTCTCTTGCCTCCTCACGTACCTCTTTCTTCACTAGCCCCGCCTCCAGCGGAGGGACAGGATCACTCCAGAGCGTCTCCCACTTTACAGAGGCGAGGAATGGGTGAGCACGTAATGCTGTCCGGGAGGTCGGGCTCCTGTCGGCACCTGCACCGAGTCGTTGCATCGGGTCAAAGATCTACACAAGATCAAAGATTGACATAACAATTCAGCATTGGGATCCGAAGCGGTGAAAGATGCCAATGAATGAGAACGACAAAGACTATACGAGAACAACTTACAAGCAACCGCTGCACGAAATCCTTCGCTTGTTCGTCGAAGCCCTCGGGAAATGTGTAGTCGAGGGCCTTAATCTTTTGCCAGGTTAGATATTCGGACAGACCGTGAAATGCGAATCGGCCAGCGATCATTTGGTAAACAATGCATCCCAGAGACCAAAGGTCTGAGCTGTGCAGTGTAGGAGTATCATGACGTGGTGATCAGCAACGTAAGAGGACGAATGATCTAGATCAGATCTGTCATGCGTTAACGATCAATACGAACCTTTTACTTGTTTCACTGCGTTCGAGGAGTTCGGGAGCGATGTATTGAGCGGTGCCTACCCATGAGTTCGCACGTTCCTCTGAACACATTTGTGAAATAGAGTGTGGGGAAGTGGTAAAGAAGAACTTACGCCCAGATTCGAGTATTTTTCCCGTCCCAAAATCTGTGATTTTAATACGGAATTCGCTATCGAGGAGGAGATTTTCTGGTTTGAGGTCCCTAGGATGGGGTAAACAAGAGCAAGAGGACGGGATGATGAAAGGCACGTGCCTATGGATGACGTCTTTTGAATGTATGTAATCCAGGGCATCTATAATTTGTGCTGCGTAGTGTCTGGCGCAGGCTAGCGAGAGAGAACCCATGCGCGAGATGCGTGATTGCATTTCGCCGTTGACAGCGAGATCGAGGACGAAAACTGTGTATGTGTGAGGACACATTCGAAGTACCAGGTGAATACCGACAAAGGCTCCACTCGTCTTGGAATGTCCAGTGGAGATGGATAATGCCGGGATGACCCGTGCCCAGTTTGACAAGGACGTTCTTCTCGGCCATTGCGACGGCCAATTTGTCTTTTCTGATGAGATGGTTCTTGTCGATGATCTTAATGGCGTATTCCTGACCCGTGCGGATGTACCTTCCACGCATGACCTGTGGCGGGAGGTGAACGGGTGTGGGATTGAGGTGTGGAGAAAACGCACGGTGGAGTAGGAACCCTCGCCAAGAGTGGACAGAAAGGAAAAGTCCTGCGGGGAGGGTCTGCTGTTTGCGGAGGGATTCTGAGAGCGAGACCGTCTCCGAGATTTCGACCGGGTGTGTGGGGCGAGAGAACGAGATCTGGGCTCTCGATCTGACACAACAAGCTCACGGGTGAGATAGCTGGGAGCGCGAACCGTTGGCGGAGAATGTGGGCTGCGTGAGCGGGGAGAAGAGAAAGTACGCGTTGGCCGAGGACGCGGGGTCGTCGGCACCTCATTGATGGATTCCGAATCGGACGAAGACGATATCACAGACGCATTCCGACTCAAATCTGCCAACGTGGGTGGAAAGGTCGGCCCACTAGTGCTGGAAGAATCCCCCGGGCTGGAAGATGTCCCCGTGGACTCAGTTGGCAGCATGTCTTGAACAGTACTCACTGCGCCAGCGCCGCTCACCTCATCCTCCCCAACCAGACACAGCCACTGCACGTGATCCTCGATGTACACATGATGATCCGGGATTTAGAGAGCGGTGGGGCCCCGCACAGCGGGCTTCACCGACATCTCGAGCGTGTATTTTCGCAAAACTTATTACTAAGTGCATAAATGAAGTTGGAATAGGGTAAATTTTCGTTGTGGGGAGTATGTATGTCCAAAGGGCCCGTCACGTTAAATACCCTTTCTCTTAATGATTACTGGCTCGCCACAAGACCAACGATAAATCAGGTTGCATTGACCTGTCCTTGCTAGCGAACAGGGTCCATATTCGGATCAGGCAGGACATGATTCACCCTGGACAGTGGGGCTGCCCCCTTCCTCAATCCTGGGGATTTACGCAACCCGACGCATTGCAAGGATGCTTGACGTTACCACACGGCATGATCGAAGTGGTTCCGGGCGAATTCAGCTCGTACACAGGCGCGTAGCGCAAACGAGGCCCCTCGACGAAGATGTATTGTACTCGGTAGCCGTGCCGCTGATACGGACTCGAGTGTCGCCATCCCAAGTGCACTGCCGTCCAACAACCCTTCAAGGAGCACGCCTCTCTTTGAGACCTTCAAACGTATCATATCGTGCTCGAGCCTCAAGGGTACTTGGTGAGGCGTGGTTACACTTGCTGTCGGGCTCGCAGGAAGAACTGGGTGTCAAGTGCTTCTGCATGGGGCACACTCTCAGGGCCTTACTTTGCCAGGGAGATGATATCGTCGTTTTGCATCCTATCGGCGTGGTCAGCTTGACCATGTGTGATATCCCGAGCTACTTTGATAGAATTCTTGGAGGTACGGTCCGAGTTGAAGAGGTGGAGACCTCGCTGTGAATGATATGTAGTAAACACGGATGTTGGCTTGGCCGACAACCCACCCCAGATTCGTTCCCCTGAGATCCAATGAACACTGTACGCCCTAGCTCGGTCCCGTCCCTGTATGCTCCATATGATTGTGGTGACTCTACCTTGGCAGTGTCACTTGGCAGGTTGACATTGCAAAGGAGTCTTAGACTCCTTGACCCTTGACCTCACGGTCCACGGGGGAAAGAATCTTCCACACGTGGTGTCGACAGACCCGTTACCATGCGTCTTGGGCTCCAACCCAAACCAGACTATCGGAACTCTTTACGACGAAGTCACCGGTGTTGGGCAGAGTGGTTGTGGGCACGCATGATAGTTGGTAGTCCGCCGAGCACCCAAAGTTGCATACATAGCTGGTGCAACTCTCGTGTCGTCGTTGAACGCTAGAAAGACCAACAAAACCGTCATTCGCAGACCTCCGAAACCCAGTGAAAACACGTGCGAGGAAGAGACTTTGCACGACGCCGATGCGGCTGATCAAGTTCACAGTGAGTGTCCAGATGAGCCAGGCTATCACTTCCTCCCCTAAGCCCTTGCAGCCTTTCCTCCCACCCATTCTGGCCCACGCACACGGAAATGCGTACGCTTGCACCCATCATCTAGGCATTGTTTGCCTCGTGGACTGCCTGAAATATGAGTAGCATTCTTTGGTGGCGACAACTTGGGTTGCTGAGCCCAGACTAGGCCATACAACCGACCGCCGAGATTCAGATCATGATGTCCACCATCCGTTCCCCCAAGCACCCTTTATCGATCAACCCATCACATAGAGCAAACTCACACCTGTTCAACTGTCGCCCATCTTCCACATCAGTTACGATCAGGTTATTTACCGTCGATTGGGACAGTTACGTTGCTCGAAACATAGTGAGGATTACGTTCTATTCCTCTCTGGGCTTTATCAACTTATCTTTGCTTTCAGGTGACCGCTGCGCACATCAGTCGAAAACGCTTTAGGTTAGAGCCGTTGGAGTGCACTGGGAAGGTACAGTTGGTGGTGGGAAGTTCCCAATGCATCTGAAACGTTTGGTAGCACCCTAACCTTGCTGAGCGCAATGTCCACTCGCAACGTCGTTATAGTAGGAGAATCCGGAGTGGGGAAGAGCTCGCTTATCAACCTTATTCTCGGTGAAGCGAGGGTATTGGCATCGAACGACGCCGTGGGGGTCACGCTTGGAGATAACGCGCCATCCTACGACGATATGTCAACATAGCTACTATCTATGGGATACCCCTGGCTTGAATGAGGGGACGCAGGGAAACATCGCATCGAAACGGGTGGAGGAAATTTTACGGAATCTCCTAACGCAACTCGAGAAAGCACATGGTGTCCATCTCCTTATCATCTGCTTCAGGGGTACAAGAGTCACGCGGACGATGCAACAAACATACATGACCATTACAGGTATATGTTCCAAGGTATCCCAGAACATCCCCGTCGCAGCCGTCATCACTGAGCTGGAGAAGATTGGAGACTCACCGGGAGAAATGGAGGTCTGGTGGGAGAACAACCAGAAAGGACTCTTGGCATACGGCATGGATTTCACCGGACATGCTTGTATCACCACCTTGACAGATGAATGCCACCCCCCGACGACGGGACGGTACCGAAAATGTCCAGGTTGCCGTCCACCAACTCATTCAGAGATGTTCCCGGTCACCGAAGTCTACCTCTTCTAAAGATCTCAACGTCGTCCTTTTCGGTGAGACGGGCGTAGGAAAGAGCTCTCTGATCAATCTCATGGCAGGCAAGGAGGTCGCAAAGGTCTCGCCTGACGCCGATGCGTGTACCCTGGACTCTGAAGAGTACGGATTTGAAATAGGTCCGACGCGAATCCGGATGTGGGACACCGTTGGACTGGAAGAGCCTGATACCATCAGCGAGGATCGCTGCTTCACTGCCATCGAGAAGGCGATCCAACTCATCAAAAGCCTGAGCGCCGCAGGCGGCATCAACCTCCTCTTGTTCTGCATTCGCGCAAACCGCATCACCGTCACAATACAAAATAACTACCGGCTTTTCTATGAAGTCCTCGGCCGCAAGGAGGTTCCAGTTGCGCTCGTGGTTACACACCTTGAGCGTGAACAGCAAATGGAGGACTGGTGGCCCCGGAATGAGAAGATTCTCGAGCGATATGGCATCATGGCCGCTGGACACGCTTGTGTCACCGGTGTGGTTGGACATCCCAAGTATCAGCAGTCTCAGGACGCAATTCGTGCGCTTCTCTTGCAGTACGACGAGCAGGGAAAATTTATGATGCCACCCGAGGCGTGGATCGGGAGGTTGCTAAAGGGATTTGTGTCTTTTGTGGGCGATAAAGCCTTTTTGAGGGGAAGGGATATGGTCCGTATCTTGACAAAAAGATGTCAGTTACGCCCCGATGTCGCTCAGCGTGTGGCGGCTTGCCTTGAGCAATGAAGGTGCGATATTGCCCAGCACGCGGTGCCCGAAGGTTGTCGTCACGGACTTCTTCATAGATTTTCTGCGTTCCACAAAAGCAAGCTACACACTTTGCTCCTCACAGTGATGCAGACAATCAGTTTATTAAATAACTTCGACATGGGACGAGTTGTATCTACCAGCAGTGTCCAACGGCCATAAAGCCACAAATAGGGTAACACGCCTTACAAGCATACACACAGGCCTCATTTTTCCGACATGGGAAGGCCCGTCTTGATGACAAGGTACTTGGATGGCCAGAAGGGGACGTACACACTGATGCCAATAAAGAGCGGGAGAGTGTCGAGAACGTAAAACCAAACTAGATGCGAAGTAGTCGGTCAACTGCAAAAAGTGACGAGTGGAGAGATGCACACACTTTCATGGGTCATGAGATAGCCACCGCTGCCCTGACCAAGTTCAATCGTGCGGTAGATACAACGCACCTGTTACGGACATGTGCGTTACACACGGACCGGCCGCAATCACTTAACGACTCACCATGAACATAGCAGAAGAAAAGAACAAGGTTGGCACAATCGGGCCCCAGTGCTCCCTCGATGGTGAGATGCCATCTGCACGGATACGCCTATAGACATGGAGGGAGAGCAAGATGAAAAATGCGAAAGAAACGGCTTGGAGGGCAAGCCCAGCCAGCATAACGTTGGCCCCCAACTTGTCCGTCGATACGTTTTTGGACGTTTGCAATCCTCCTCCACCCGACTGCATGTGAGAGTGTTAGAAAGTTGTTCAATGGAGGTCAACAGGGAAGTGGCTTTTTTACCTGGATCAGAAACGTGGTCACATCACTCGTAACAAACCACTTTGCAACCTTGCGAGGTGGAACCCAAGAATAACTAGGGTCTACGCAATTCGCAACAAACCGGCCATATAAAATGTAATTGAAAGCCAGAAATGCAGCGGGGGAGAGTAAAATTAGCAGCTGCTGGAGTATGAATATCATCAAACTGTTGGGGTCCTTTGGGAGCGCAATTCGAATGAAGAACCCTACGGCGATACCTGCAACTGATGTGTTAGAGACTGTTCCTCTTAAAATCGCTGGAGATACTAACAGAGTGATCCAATGGGAAGACACAATCCCCACCACGCTCGATTTGAAAAAGTGCGAGCAAAAAGGCAGGCACTGGCAAGAAGATATAGGGACCCTGCCACTGCTGCAACCACCTGGCTGGGGTTATAATCTGGTGAAACCCTTCAGCACCATACTCTGGTACGCATGGAAGTACAAGCTCACTGTACACGACCTGCACAATTGTCTCGCCATTGTTATCCTGTGCTGCATACGAGTGAGCAAAACGTGCTGCGCAAAGGTCTGGAATGTACGTACTAGCACCAAGTGTGCCAATGACAAGTGTCGCCAAAGTGAACAGAAACGAATACCAACGCATTTTAGGGAGAATGAGGGAGGAAATAGGGCGACACCTACTCACCACCTTTGGGATATAAGTACCAACAGGAAATACGCCGTAGCAGACGTTCTCCGACGGAAGACACGGCCGTGCCGTCGGCACACGGAAGGCAGTGACCGATGTCAATATACTGTACAGCCTGCCGTGTCACTTAAGGGCTGCGCGTCAAAGGATAATGCGATAAGAGCTGTATGCAGGAATATACTCGGAGCGGGTTGCTGGTATATGTCGAGGACAATTCCGTCGGCTCAATGATTGAGACTACGAGCAGACAGGAGCAGACTTACCTTTGTCACGTAAGTAATGTCCAACGGAATTTTCGACATATAGCTGCACGAGCGCCCCCCTTAACGACATTGATAGTCATTTGCAGAGGCTACCCAATAATAGGCTTCTGTTCTCTGATAAAGCCGGATTCTGTGCTTGGAACAGCAACGTGAATACCGACCATGTACTAAAAGCGTTCGAATAAAGTCGTACAATTGCACAATATTGAAGCTTTAATGATATGGTTCCCCGTCTCCTTGCAAGGCTTTGATATGGTTTGCTTTCTCGATGTCTATCTCCATACCACCCCTGAGGATGAGACTAGTAGTTGATACCTCTTCCCACGCCCGCCAACTCACTCCGTCTATGGCTGACCATGGCCTTGGAGGCTCGACATACGACGCTGTAGGAGTCCCAACTACGTGCGAATGGAGGTACAAGCGTCCATCTCATACCCTCATCAGAGAAGAAGCGGCTTTGGTGGAGGAGCGCAGCCATCAACACTTGCTTCATCTTGTTATGGTACGACCTTCTGTTTTTACCCCCAGGCTACGACAGAATTTTTCGCCTGTAATTTCATGTTCTATATCTGAACAGCTGACGTCTTGTCTAACCAGGTTCACTTTCGCAACGGTGCTGTCTGTGTATAATAAATGGATGTTTTCTCTCGACCATTTCGGTTTCCCTTACCCGTTGTTCGTGACGACCATCCATATGACCATCCAATTTCTTCTCGCTGCGGCATTGCGATTCATATACCCACGACGATATCGCCCGGAAACCAGGCCAAATTTACAATCCTATGGGTGCGTCAGGACGGCAGCACTCTCGTCACGGCTTTATCCCCTAATTTAAGCACGGTGTGTAGCACCAAGGCTGTCCCCGCTGCAATTTCCACTGGTGTGGATATCGGACTTTCGAACGTTTCATTGAAGACGATCACTCTTTCATTCTACAGTGGGTCCCCGTTCAAACTTCGTCTTTTGCGACGTCGTGCCCTCCGATAACTAAGCGAGAAGGGCACATCGCATGTTTGAATTACGCAGAAGTTGACGTTTTTCCCAGCCATGTGCAAGTCGTCCTCCCTGATATTCGTGCTCATCTTCGCCTTCCTTTTCCGTCTCGAGAAGTTCTCGTTACCCTTGGTTGCGGTAATCCTCGTCATATTTGGAGGTGTATTGCTAATGGTCGCCTCTGAGACCTCGTTCGTACTGTCTGGATTTATCCTCGTTATGACTGCAAGTGTATGCAGTGGTCTTCGGTGGAGTCTTACTCAACTCTTGATGCGAGACAAGAACATGGGAATGGACAGTCCCGCTGCGGCCATTTTTTGGTTGTCCCCGATCATGGGTATAACTTTGGCTATCATTAGTATACTTTGGGAAGGGTGGGACAGAGTATTCTCCACCCCCTTCTTTGACGGTTTAGCTTCCACAATCAAAACGATAAGTGATGCTAACGCTCCCCGGATTCTTGGCCTTCTGTATGGTCATGAGCGAATACTAGTACGTCTCAGAACTCTACCTCGAGTTACGAAGTTGCAATGAGGCTAATTGCTAGTTCATGGCGTCAAGCATAATTCAACGAGCAGGCGTGCTTCCTATGTCAATAGCAGGAATAGCCAAGGAGGTCTCGACCATCACGATATCGGCCTGGTTTTTTGGCGACGAACTCACTCCCCTCAATATCACTGGCGTGGCTATTACTACCTGTGGTGAGTGATAGTCTTGTTCCTTTTAATGTAAGGAAGTTTACATACCATGCGTCCTCAGGCATTGCACTCTTTACGTATCACAAGTACCGAAAGACAGTTGACTCCCACGTTGCATTAGACACTCTCGGTAACACAATACGAGCCGATGACGACAGTATTTTAAGCCCCGGCCGAGATTTCGAGCTCAACCCTGCGAGGGTCAATGCCGTACGGCCTAAGGACGTGCCTGCAAGTGAGCTGCCTTTTCGTGTTGATGGCCGTTTTACCTAGATTAGTTACTGACCAAACGTCATGAAGCGCCACGAGGACGATGAGATACACCAGCATCTTTTATTTTCAAGCGAAGAACTTGAGGAAGGCGAGGAAGATGCCGAAGAACTTCGGAGCGTCAGGACCTCGAAATTAATGCAAACTGACGAAAATGAGAATGGCCAAGCCGATGAAGAGAGCCAAGACATTTGAGAAAGTGTCCCTGTGGACCGACAATGGTCTGCCATCGTCTTGGTTGGTTCGCCTCGCCTATGCATTTATTGTTGTCCGCGAGATAGAAAGGATACCCCGGTTTCGTTCACTGACATCTCCGCACTAAATTAATTATGGTTAATCGGAACTGGAAGTATGACTTTATACTGCATGCTTGAAACATACGTACTCTGGGTATGTGTGGTGAACAGGATCATGCGTGGGTGATTTGTTTCGCTGATCCGAGGAGTGAGCGGGAGCTGCTCCGCTGAGTGTGGAGTCACAGCTCTGTACGATCGGCAAGGCAGGTGTCATGGCCCAGAGACGGGTGATTTCTACTGACACGGTTGAGACTGTGATGTTCTGATGTTTTTGCCAGCTGACACCCCGGTCTGCACGAGGGTGACTATGGAGCGACATATAGTTGGCGCCGACATGGAGGATGGTGTGTGATACCAGTGCTATATTCGGCCATGTACATTCCTGAGCCGGCCCACGCGCCGGAATCATGTACACATGCATGTTTTTCCGTCCAGAAAACCCACAAGCTGGGCTCCACATGGTTGGTCATGGTGACAAGCTTGTCCATCCGCAGCGATCATTCCCGAGCATCAAGGGCTTGGGTCTGCTGCCTGAGCCGCCGCTCGGACGGGGAGGACGGTGGGCCACCCGCTGCCACCCGCCGCCGGGTTTAAACTCTTTTGCCACACTGACCACCATCATTTTCGTTGTGTGATGAGATAGGTCCTGACAATCCGTTTACGGCATGCAAGAGATTTGACTAATAATGCCACCGGCGGGTGTGCAATTTCTTGATTGATCTTGATTAATTCAACGCGCTGGAGGACAAGGCTAATAGTTGAGTAAGTAGGTAGCTAGCAAAATGCTGCGCTGGCGGTGACCGCTTAGAAAACCTTGCAGGGCTGCAAACGTTGGAACCCTCCTCCGTTCGCCGGTGGTTCACCAGTGGCTCCTGCCGCCTCGCGGTACCACATCGGTCCACGGATATAAACTTTACCATCGTCATTGGCCTTGCAGTCTAGCATTCCCCATGGACACTAATTTTCAGTTCATCTTCGAGTCTCCCAACGCATCTCAAGGTCAGAAGAAACGCCCTCGCCTCGTTACCTCATGCGATAACTGGTATGTATTCTACTCCGCATTTGCCTTCCCTTTGTCATCCTATTCGTCAGTCGTTTGAAGAAAATAAAATGTCTGCAGCCAAGTCCAGAGACACAGTGTGAAGCATGCACGAGTGCCAAAATTCCTTGTAGGTTCCGAGATCGCGAGCGGTACTTCGCCGAACGTAGTCGGGCCATCGCTGGACCGAGCTCCCCTACCATGTATATACGACCAGCAAGTAGCTCGGTCGCGCAAGACTACCAGGTTGATGGACATCCGGCGGAATACTCTTCCGGTCAACAAATACAAGTCTCCTGCAGCAATCCGCCATCGGCATCCCACTCCTCGCAACGTTCTTCTTATTCGCCACCTGGAACTGGCTATGGTAACGAAGGTCATGCCAGATCGCAATCCTACACATCCTCAGAGATCTCGAAACCTTCTGGAGTAGCAAGGTGGGCACCCCAAAGGATATGGAGGTTGTGTCCGACTTATCACGGGCCAGATATTCGTCCACTGACGAACACGCACACCACCGTCCAAGCGTATCCACGTCACAATCGTACGAACGACAAGCTAACCAACCCTCCCATTACCGTGTGTCTCAGCTATTCGAACCTGGTCAACCCCAGTTTCCCCGGCGTGACTTGATGTCTCAATTCATAACACTGTTCATTAGCCACATGGGCGGGCAGTGTCCCTTTCTCACATATGAAGACTTGTATGACAGATGGCGTCGTCAGACCATGTCAGCCCTTATGGCTAATTGTATAGCTGCGCTTGGTGCAAGGTGTGTTCTAAATATCCCGATGAAACCTTCTCTGATGAGACCATTGTAGAGCCTCGGAGATCCCTGAAGTAGTTGCTAGGGGGCCATCAATTGTTGCAGAAACCTATTGCGAGATTGCCAGGGTAAGTCACCCACTCGCTCACTTTGTGCGCTTTGCCTACACTGAATCATAGGAGTTGCTAACCGCCTCTCTCAATCAACCAACTCTCGAGACCTTGCATTGCGTAATGCTACTTGCGTGGTCCGAATATAAGGCTGGGCGTCCCCACGGTATGTCCGCGCTTCTTATATATTTGGCTTCTTCATATTTATTATCATCAGGCTTCCGCCAATACGGTGATGTTGGTGCTGTTTCTGCTTAGTTATTGGTTTGTTTGATGGTTCCCACAGCTCGCCATGCGCACTGCCATGGCAATTGGATTGTCGGAACAATCATTGCAACTCAGTCCTTACGACCCGTACCAAAATAGAGTCCGGATAACGTGGACCAGTGTCAACCAAATGCAACTCTATGCATCTTCCAGTACGTGCGCAAGTTTGCATGAATATATTCTTGCAAACCGGTGTGTGACGACAGTGTAGATATACCAACATGATCTCCGTCCCCCCTTCAAATAATGGGAGGTGACTCCATTAACTCGGTAGAGCCGGATTCTTGAAGGCACAAAATTCAGGCTGTGATTCAGCACATCGTTCAGTAGATTCACCCAAACTCTCATAAAGATATTTATGTACACAATGTCGGTCATAGCTACAGTCTTGCCCCATCACCCTGCATCAGTCCAGCATAGCCTAGTAGATTACTGCACATTATCACCATACCTCAATGCAAACACACTTGTTAGACCTGGTTCTCCACATTGCCTGAGCTAGTTCATGCACCCTCTATAAAGTCAGGGGAGCACACCTAGTGTCGGTACTTGTGTAGTAGGATGATTTCCCTGATCACGGTGGGAACGGCGGCCAACAGACACTTCACCATGATTCTTACAGGGGCCAGGCCCCCATTGAATGATTTGAATCCCGAATTCGAACCCTTAGTTGTCGCGCCCAACAATTACGGCCTTACGTAGCATCGTAAGTCCCAAAGCCAACGGAAATTCAAAGAATGTCCAGCTGCCCTCCCGGCAGTCATCACTCTGAGGTGCTGAAACCCGGCAGATACCGTACATGCTCAGTGACTTCCTTTTTGCTGCAGCACGACAGCAGGCACTTCTGTAAAGGCTTCGTATCAAGGTCCAGGGGTTTCCCTGAGGTAACCGCAAACAATGAAGAAACACGTTGCAGACGTTCCGTGAATTTCTCAAATATTCCGCGTTGCCGTGGTGGATGTAATCTGAAACAGGCCTGTCGGGAGCGACGAAGGTCGTATATTTTGCACATTTCAGTGGATCCATGAAACGTGGAAATATCAGGGGTGGTGGTGAAGCTGCGCATCCTAGTGGTTTGGCTCCGTGCCCTGCGATCGGCCCGGATTAGCATACTTTGCGAAAGATTTCAAATTCCCTCAACACGGCGCAGAGTCTCTAGGTCGTTGTGGCCGGGCCATTGTCCCTCGTGTCACAGGGAGGTCCACGGGTGTTCACTCACAGGGTCAGATCTGCCGATGGGGGGGCAGTGAAGCATGAAACTTTGAAATCTGATCCCGACGAACGAGGTGTTTACTACTGTTTGTACCTCGAGACCTATTGATCAACCTTGACTTGAAGAGTCCCCGAGACAACTAGAAGAGAGGCCCTTTAGTTATGAGCAAATGAATTTGTGTGCAGGCTTTTCCTCTTAAATTAAGCGCGCTGATTTAATATCCTAATATATATTTTCCTCACATACAAGTGAAGTCGTACTGTGGTCCAATTCCGTGCAGCGGGCCCGGATTCCGGAACCACATGCGCACGCGGCCCCATGGAATTCTCTCGTTCAAATGCGGTAGGATACTAAGAATTCTTTCAGCTTGCACGCCGTTCCAGTAGTGCCATGCGCGATACGACTCCCCGTGATGACTCGTGTCTCCGATGATTTTAGGGCACTCTGAGTTGGCAGGCGGTCGCTGTGGCCCCGAAATGTTCGTTTTCTCGGTTAAGTCCCTAGGTATGGAGGGATCAGATCATGCGTGATGCCGTGAATATACTGATCACCAAAGCACTGATTACAAGGGCTGTACGGCCTTTTCCTGAAATACATTTGAATATCATTTGCAGGTGCTCTACTGCTGCTGGCCGCAAGCATTTCTACGTTTTCTTCATCCTTTATGACCTCACGAAGACACGCACATCCAGATATTACCTAACGACACTTTACGCTACCACGGAGGTTACCGTTGGGAGTGAGTTCGTCGCCTTCATCCACTGATTATCAGATTCGTCGGTAATTTAATATTTTACGACGCCGAAATCGCCGCAACGAGGCTGACACATCTTCAGAATGCATTATGTATGTAGTTGGCACGCTCGTTCTGACATACAAGTTTCTTTTAGAGGATTGGAGCAAGCGTTACCCAACCATAACGAACCTTCGGCAATTCTGATTAAAACAGCAGCACCAGGATGGTACGTGAATTGACGAAACCCCTCGCTTCGTTCTTAACGACAATACATTTTCACCCAGAAGATGACAGTTCATCAGGTGTTTCCCTCTTATTCACCAGAACTTAATTCCGCCTTGCATCTCACGCACAAGCTACTACGTTGCCACTGATCATAAGCGAGAAATCACGTCAGGTGTATCACCAAGTCATCAGAAGTGCTCCTGTGGTTCTGTTCTCTGTATTGTTTCCAGAGGCTCGGAGATGACTCCGCAAAAATGCCCCTAGCAATGCAAAGCCGTATCTAGGGCCAGTGACTTGCTTTACACCATTTGCGCAGCGGCAGCCCGTCCCAATTCAAACGACGGAAATAGGGCACTGGAATACACCTCCATCAATACTGTACGATGCAGGCACGGTCACTTTACCAAGTTAAAGGTGAGACTCCGCCGATAGCGCTCACAGCGCCACCGCACCGACAGTTGCAACCGATCGAGTCACAGTGGGTTCTTGTCAAGGGAAGATTGTACATGCTTCAACTGCCCTTTTTCCCTCTTGCACACCATGGATGGTGGTCCTCACGTGGCTCTATGGAATATGCTTGTGCTTCGCCTTAACCTTGACCTTCTGCCCGATTGTTCTTGTCGTCTTCCCTCTTCGATGACTATATCGCACACACCAACAACTTCCGGTACTACATTTCGACCCGGTTTGTCAGTCGCATCTGGGGCGAGCTCTTGCGCCGCTGTCTTCCGTTAAATGCCAATACATTTTCACCTATTCTTTCATTACTCTTACCTATACATGTTGTATCCGATGTTCAGCTCTTTTCCCGAAAACTTCTATCTTGTCATCGTTGAGCCATCGAGGTAGTACTGCCTGAACTATTTGAATGCGTAGATATCCAAATGAACGTCGTCATCTTATTGTTTGCTTAGCATCTGCTCTCCCTATTAAACCAATACCTGTTAACATGTTACTAGACGTAGACGACCAAGTAAAGTCAAAGCTCTGAAGCGCTAGCGATTCATGCCTCAAAGTTGCACATCTGAGATTTCTGTCGGGACATGCAGAGGGCATGCGGTTCCAACTACATGTGCATGCAACGTGAGGTGGACAACATATGGTGGGTGGATTGGAACGGACGGAACATGATTCGTCCCGTTTTTTCGGCGGGAAGCGTGTTGTGGTTTATCGATGTGCTGGCCGACGGCCAGGCGAGCTTAGTATTCATCAGACATGTGCGATGGTTTCAAAGATGCATTGTAGTGTTGGCATATCATCAATGCACGTTGAAAGTACGTGAGAGTGGAAGGGAATGAAACATTAATCGAGTGGGCGAGCTGGGTATCCGACCATTAACGACAACAGCAGTAAGATGAATATCGGGTAGTATAGCCTCTGCAATCTCCTCCCTACTGCAACAACCCAACACAGACGTTTACCCAGCCGTCTGCGCCTGCCAGACACACACCAAGCCATGCCATTTCTGTCTCCGGCGGTAAAATGACGCCCTGGGCTAGCGGGAATGCGAGATCCGGAGCTGACACTTGTAGTGGGAATAACAAGGGTAGATGTGTCGATAGATAGTGAGTAAGTGTATTTGGAGTGCCTGGCGGTATCACAGGGAACAAGACATAAGCCGGCAGCCGGTTACGACGTTATTCCTTTCTATGATGCAGGAAAGCTCACCATCTTCCAGGACAGGAGGTGCGAGATCTTGTATCACAGGTCCATCTGGCAGGTACAATCTAACAGGTACACTGCGTACGTTGTACGCACCATCGCGATCTTGTGCATTTTGAGGATCATTGGAAGGTGGACGACCATGAGCGGAGGCAGATGAAGAAGGTGGTGGTGAGCTCGGCCGCGTGGCTGGCACGGTTGTAGGTACGATCTTCGACGCGACTCGCCAGTAATCGTCAAAATTATCTAATCATCAGAACACGGATCGGATGAGATGATTTAGCATCCAATCCCGTACTCTCTCGTTCAGAGAGATCCGGCATTCGGAAAGAGAACCAGAGAAGAAGCCACGTACGTTCCCGTATACCCTCCCATATCCCGTCCTGTTCTGCCTTTCGAAGACCAGTCATACGTTTGGTATTTCCCCAGCGGATAAAGTCTGCCTCTTTAAGCTGTCCCATAAACGCCTGTTTGCATGCTTCTGCAGATGGGGGGAGGAGTAGCTTTTCTGTCGGAGGCGAAGCAAGGTGGAGGATCAGTTTGAGCGGGGTGATCTGCAACTCCGGGGCTGCGCCGGCGCCGGCGCCGATTGACGCAACGGAGGACGGACGCACTGATGCAGAGATGGTGTGGTTGTCGTAGATCAGACCTATCGGCCAGTGCCTGGAACGCACGAGATGGTAGGTTAGCATGAGTCCAGACGAATGTATCTACCGAATGTGGATGCAGCGCTTCGACAAAGAAGTATTTGAAGGATCACTCCGGATTTTCAAGAAGATGGAGATAAACGGGGGACAGAACATTCTGTGAGCTTACCACTTGAGCAGTGCGCCATCCTCGCTCTCAAACCACCAATCCTCCTCCTTCAGTAGCCTGGCTGCCGCATCGTCAAAGACAACATCCATCAGGAAACGTCGAAGTTCAGGCATGAGGAGCGGCAGATAGCTCACGCGGGGTGCTTGAATGTAGTAGCACTCAAGCCCGCGATCTGAGTTAGCCGGCAGTTCTTTGGGGTCGACGCGAATTTCGAGGGGAACCGTGCCCTCCCATGCAAGTCTACGGAAGAGCGCCACTGACGCCGATGTCGCGAATGACGCGGGAGGGTGGTGATGGCGCGAAGTCCCGTACGCTGACATTCCCGGGGGTATGTTGGAGATTACAGTAAATAAAAAGCAGTAATACGTAGTAATTGCATTGTCCCACGCTGACTAATACAGGCAGTGACTAAACTGGCTCCCGCTTGACAGGGGATGGTTCGTATGAGTGATTCCGCCTGCAACGATAAGGTCAGTTGCGTCGATACAGTACTGAAGCACAATCATGGTACCATGTACGCCAGTGGTCGAACTGCTTTTGATTGAGGTACTCCCTCCATCCGTCCTTCTTAATTTCCGCTCTGAATCGACCATGTTGGAGCAGCTCTAGATGGTGCAGCGCGTGGGGGTAGCTATATTCACATCAGTCACGATACCAACGCCCATGATTATGATACCAACTGTATAAACCTGGCATAATCCTTTTCTCTCCAATACTGCAAATACTCGATGAAGTTGGCGAAGGCTGGTTGGTCAAGAATATTCTGCTGAGCGAGCGATTGCAGGTAGTAGGGATTTGCGAGGGACTGAACAAATTCTAACTCAAGCTCAAACCGCTCCCTGTTTTCCGCGCGTGCATCTTGTGTATTGGCATCGTCGGCAGTGGACATCTCGTTGTAGGAGTGCTTCTGGCAACCAAGTGTGGAACCTAATTTACGAATCACGTGCCACCGGTGGTTGACGCGTAAGATGATATTGTCAAGGCTCACACTAGGCAACCAACCATGTCCGGAGACGATGATTCAGGTGGCTGGCACCTTACAGAGTCAGATCCCGCCGTGTTCACGTACGTCTGTCCTTCACCAACCGAAAGTCAAATTGATAGACCAGGCAAGGAGATCAGGCAGCTCCTGAAAACTTTGGGAACGCCTTATATCGTGGACGACTTACACTCCCTTGAACCTGACGCCCTTTCCGAACTGCAGCCCATACATGCTTTCATTTTCCTGTTCAAATGTCTCCCTTTGGCACTGGAAGAACCGAGAGCTCTGGCGGGTGAATACGACCCAGATTTTACGGGGTTCTTCGCCCACCAGACTGCCAACAACGCATGCGCTACGCTTGCTGTCATCAATGCTCTCGGAAACATACCGTCTCTCAAATCCGACAGCCGATTGGCAGACCTGTTGAATTTCACCACTGGTATGGATCCGCAAACGTGCGGGATGGCAATCGTCAGTGCCGACTGGCTGCGTGAAGCACACAATGACCTTTCGCCGCCAAGCACCATCTCATTGGATGGCCTTGGACTCCCAAATAAAACCGAGGACGCATATCACTTTGTGGTATACCTTCCCGTTTTAGGTTGTGTCTACGAACTCGATGGCTTAAAACCCCATCCGGTGTGCCATGGCACATTCGAAGACTCGGATAACGGTTGGCTTCGCAAGGCAAGGTAATGCTCCAGCTACGGTAACTTGTGCCGGAGTAACCACACTTCCAGAGAAGTCATTGAAAATCGGATAGCAACATATCCTCCAAGCGCCGTACGTCCTCTGTTTGAGGGCCTAGCGTTAGGTGTGAACTCTGCACTCCCAGATTGAATTTAGCTTGTTGGCCGTTCGGGATGATCCCCTACCAGCTATGAACAGACAATTGGAGCTTCTCCAGCAATCGGGTAATGACACGGAGGCAGCGGAAGTGCTATTGAAAATCTCAAATGAAACCTCCAGGAGAGAGCAGTGGGCTGTGAGTTATCTCGACTCTTGGTTATCCTAAGCGCTCTAAATCTTCAGTAACAGTTCGAGAACAGCCTTCGTCGCCACAACCATATCGGTTTAGCTCATGCTGCGTTGCTCGCCCTTGAGAAAGCTGAACTACTACAGCCTGCTATTAAGGACGCTCGAAGGGCTATGAGGGAACGCGTGGAGCAGCGCCGGCGAATTGGATTCACTGGGATGGATGAAGACTAACTTCGGCATGCATATCGACTAGGTTGTTTCTTCGTCATACGTTTGAGATTTTGCCATGGGTTTCGCTTTGGCAATGGGGCTGCTGGCCACTATCTTCACGCACTGCACATGACACGAAACGCGAGAGGAGTCCGTTGAGGCAGAATGCCAAGCGAAATGAGAAGACGCGAACGTTGTGAGACGAGGGTTTGATTCTTGGTCCCTTCCGCAGGAGTTACCCGGTTTGGTATAAATGTAATGGCGAGTTATAGGACTTCATATGGGTAAAGTAGGATCAAGGGACATGAGAAGATAAGTAAGACTGTCATAGAGAATTCACCATCTGAGCATACGGTCGACAGCGTCGGACCGAATCCTTACAATAAATTATTACTGAGAACTCGAGTATAAATTTGCTAATGGTCATCCACTGATCATCAATCGTCATCCACTGGTGCTCTTGCGACGCAAGCCTGTTTTTGATATGACGCTCACTGTCAAGTCTGCAGTTCAGTTGACATCAGGTAGGACTGAGAAGCGGAAACCGATGACGACGTTGACCATCGTGTATTTGCGACTCAGGGTTCTCGATGCCTCTCCTAGGGTTTGGTGTGTATCAAAACTACAACACGAAGTCCTCTGTGCTAGAGGCTTTCAAAGCAGGTTACAGGTAAAGTACCTGACTTCCTTGGCCATTCCCATCTGATTATTTTTTCCTAATCGACGGGATCCAGGCACGTCGACTCAGCGCAGGCCTACAAAAATGAGGGTGCAGTGGGCGAAGCAATCAGGGATAGTGGTATCCCCCGAGGAGAGTTATTCATTAGTGGGTTCCGTTGAATTTCCGATTGGTGCAGAGTGTATAGCTGCTCACACCTTTTAATGAAAGCAACTAAGTGTGTCAGCAAGACGCATGGATATGATAGCACCCTCAAAGGTGTCGAGGAATCATTAGCAAGATTTGGCTTCGGTAAGAAACATCCATCACTGATGTCACTTACTTCTTGCTCTTAAAGTCTTCTACGTCAACTAATGCATTTCGAAGAATACGTTGATTTATTTCTTATCCACGATCCGTTTTCTGGCACGGAGCGTCGCCTGGATACGTATAGAGCATTACTGGATGCCCACAAAGCTGGTAAGATCAGGACAGTGGGAGTCTCAAACTAGTATGTTATTCGAAACTTATCACCATCCTACTGTTTTACATGGATGGCCATCCTTTGCCAGCGGCGTCAAACACCTTGATGAAATAAAAATGGCCGGTTTGCCTATGCCCGCTGTCAACCAAATAGAGGTTCGTCTATCTTCGCGTCACACAACATAATCATCATGTCCCTTGTGCATGCAGCTCCATCCCTTCTGTCAGCAGCGCCCAATTGTGGAGTACTGCCGTGCCCATTCCATCGTGGTACAAGCCTACTGTCCCATCATCCGTGGGCAAATGAGCCATCTGGCGATCCAGGCGGTTGCGAACAAGGTTCAACAGCAACGTGTTTTCGCTGAGGCCTTTTTGATCTCACCGCATTTCCCAGTACGGAAGAGATCCGGCTCAAATACTGATCAGGTGGTCCCTGCAGAAAGGGTGCGTTGGCAACTTTACGCTGTCAGGTGGGAGAGCCGGGCCGATTTAACAATCACTACGCCACAGATTTGTGCCTCTTCCCAAGTCTGCAACACCTAGCAGGATCCGTTCTAATGCGGCCGTGTACGATTTCGAGCTAGGGCATGAGGACATGGAACAACTCGATGCCCTCGACCTCGGGAAGGCCGGTGCCGTGAGCTGGAACCCTGTTGATGCGACATGAATTCGAAGCGACAACGAGGCAGCCGAACGGGGTATGTTGTGGTATGTGGTTCATCCTGTTAATCATCTTCCGTCCGATTTTGCAAGAAGTCGTTGCATACATACCGCAGGTATGTCACTGTGGCGGCATACTCTGTTACCCTGTGAAATGTAATTTGTGGTATACTGGAGAAGCCTTCCTCCGCTCAGAACAGGAAAAGATTCTGCTAGTCAGGAACAAGGTAGGCCGGAGAAGCGCAGTGCTCTTCCTCTTCCCACCTTGCCAATTCGGCACTAAACAGCGGTGCTTGTAATCGTCGAACCGTACAATCAGGAAATATTTCTTCCCGAGCAAGCCACACTAGCCAACGGAATTCTGAGCTTCAAGGGTTATTATGCCTGACTTCTGCGGTCCTGGTTGATGCAGACGTTTCAGAGCGAACTATATAATAGTTCCCGAGGATCCTCTTAAAATTAGGCCTTTAATCGAGTGACTTTTCGTAATAGAAATGACGCACGTACGAAGTTAAATTCTGTTTGAGGCGCTTTCGCAAGAGTGCGATGACCAACAGTGGCGGTGCTGACAATCCCGCCAGCTCCTCAACTTGCCTGTGATCATATCGATGATGCAAGTGGATGTACTATCGCACTTCGGCAGGCTAGATGAATTGATACAAATCGTTTATCAAGGTTTTGACCGGTTTGTTGTGATCTCTCAAGTCATCGAGTCCGCTTGGACGATACACCTCGGTCTGAAGGGCCCTGGTGGACGGTGGTGGAGAGGCGCAACGTCTGCGCAAGACATCCTTGGCATTGTTGTCCGCCTCTTCTTTCCACCTACTCCATTTCCAATTTTGTCTGATTTATTGGATTCTACAGGGTACCAGCGCCACCCCACAAGCACTTGATACGTATGCGGAGAAGCTGTCAGAGACATTTATCAACGGTGAACTTGCCATCGATGATTGGAGTCCTGAGAAAGGTGCAAAAATAAAGGTGAATACGTTTCCTATCAGCAAATGCTCCCAACTTATCAGCTGGACTCTATTAGCTCACACTGGGTCCTACGTCGAAGAATCCCGTACCAGTCTCCTTGGTCGAGCTATCACCAACCGAGGCAGCTACTTATGCAACCGCCCTCTTGAGCGAGGTAAGTTTTCCAGACATACTTCTTGTAACCAACGTCGGGTCACGATCACTGTGCACAGATTGCCCTCCAAGCACAACCCCGTAGGTGTCGCCTAAACCCGCCAATCTTTTCTGCTAGCCCCTCCAGGTTGCCACCATGTACGTGGGTAGATTGTCAGCGAACTGAACATCGTTAAGCAGTAGGAGCACGGCTGCTAATAGTGCGAGCTCCTTCACCCCCAAAAACACTGGTTGAGAAGGATGTCCGCGACGTCCAGTCGTTACCTGCTGAAGCTTTGCGGAAGATTCGGGTTCTGGAGGCTGAGCTTGCTCAGGCTAAGGCACAGAAAGCGAAGAGTAAATCTCCGCCGCTTAACTTGGGCACGAGTGGGTGTATGTTACGTTCACCCTCCTACATTAGCTCAAAGTTCCTGCGACAGAGTCTATAGCTGTCACCCCGACCGCCAAGGGAGCCTCTCTCGCCAATCCTCACAAGAAAGCACGGAAGTACCAAGCTTTAGAGTTTGCAAGTGATGAGGAGTAGCTCTGTATGGTAGTTTTTTTCTTTCTTTCTTTTTCGGTGGCGATGTGTGTATTTGAATACAGCTCATGGTGTGCTACTGTTGCATTGTCTCTACGCTGATCGGCACGTAGCAGCTGGCGTTGGAATTGTAAATTGTTATAAGTACTGTCGAATGGAAGTCCATCATGAGGTTGATTGGCATCTGTTGGGTTTTTCAAATTGACAGGGCCGCGACCGAAGACCCGAGTTAGGACAAAACGCTGACACAGGAACACAATACCAACCATTTGCACGCAAATCGCACGTTTGTGAAAACCATAAAGACACTCTTTGAAGTCGCTCGACTCGCAATACCCTTGACCTTGACTACCATGTCATTCCTATCCGGCTCCTCTGCTCAGAGCACGCTCTCTGTTGAGGCCATGTTCGCACAGATCCTTGGGGCTGTCCAAAATTCCGTACGCACCCTCTGGAACGGCATGACGTGTCTATTCTGACAGTTGAATTCTGCTTACAGCAAGCAGAGATTGCAGAGCTGCGGCAGGAATGCGCAGAACTGAAACAAGCAAATGCTAGCTTGGAGCGTCAGGTTCGGGAGGGCATGCAAGTCAGTTGTGTACCAATTCAACACAGGCATTTCAACTCATTTCTTGCAACATAGAACGGCAATAATACCTATAACAATGGCCGTGCCCATGGGACATCGGGTTTCAGTACCCCAGTGCCGGGGAGTCCTCAGCTGCGGGCCAAGTCACCCTTTCTCTCACCCCACTACATCCCCCCTGTTACTTCCATCGCACCTGCCTTTCATGTTCAGTCACCCTCGCCTTTAGGGGACAATGCTTTGACACCCTTCCTCTGTTCTTCTAGAGACATCCCGGGTTTCTATGTGGTCATTCCTGCTGGAGGGGCTGGCACACGGCTTTGGCCACTGTCAAGAGAGGGTCATCCAAAGTTTCTCCTTGACCTTACCCTCAAAGGAAGATCCTTGATTCAAGCAACTTGGGATCGTCTATTGCCACTTTCGTCTCCTTCTCGTACCACAGTCGTGGCCGGTCCAGGACACGTCAAGTCTATCCGAGAACAACTACCAGACCTCAGTCCTGATAATCTTTTCTGCGAACCCGGTCCGAAAGACTCTATGGCTGCTATCGGCCTGGCTGCTGCTGTCCTGCAGAAACGAGACCCTGACGCGATTATTGGTTCGTTCGCTGCTGACCACATGATCTCCGGAGATGATGCGTTCCTTTCTGCCATTGCCGAGGCAGTTGAAGTAGCGAAGAAGGATTATCTTGTAACGATTGGTATCGCGCCTTCTCACCCTTCGACTGGGTTTGGTTACATCCGGCTCGGCGACAAGTTGGGCATCAAAAAGGCTCCGAATGCAAGGCTTGTATCGAGTTTCAAGGAGAAGCCTGATGCTCGTACGGCTGCTGCCTATATTGGCACAGGCAACTACCGCTGGAACGCTGGTATGTTTGTCACGAAAGCTAGCGTCCTCCTGGACCTGTTGAACGATTACAAGCCCGATGTTTGTGAGGGCCTATGCAAGATTGCGGAAGTTTGGGAGGATGAGGCGCAACGTCAGGCAGTACTAGCAGAGGTTTGGCCAGGCCTTGAGAAGATTCCTATCGATAACGCTGTGGCTGAACCTGCTGCTACTGAAGGAAAGGTTGCTGTTGTCCCTGCTACATTCGGTACGTGCCCTAATGACCAAGAAATAGCCCGAGAAACCAACCATCTGGTTTTCTATCTTACGTAGGCTGGGATGATGTTGGAGACTTCTCTTCGCTCGCAGAGCTTCTCCCAGCCGAAGCTAATCAACCTCGTATACTCGGAGACGGTAGCCTTGGTAAGTGTTCATTAGCCTGTATAGGTTGGATCTAAAAGATTGCCACTTAGTCCTTATGGAACAAGCTGCTGGTGGGATTGTTGTTCCTGGATCGGGCCGTCTCATTACTTGCTTGGGTGTCGATGATCTGGTCATTGTCGACATGCCCGACACTCTCCTTGTGACAACTCGTGCGCGGTCCCAAGAGGTCAAGCGACTCGTGAAGAAATGCCGCGATGCGGGTTGGAAGACTCTTCTCTAGTTCTGTTATCGCTATATTCTTGGTCTTTCGGTTGCGAAACACTATTCGACTCGAAGGAACAACTTTTCCCAAGACACTTGCATACTTTTTTTTTTCTTCGCTCCAAAAACTGACTATATGAACAGTGCTAACCCACATAGTATACTATACCCGCCTCGTCATCTTTTGGTTAATCCTGGACTGATCATGTGTCTGTCGCCTGTTGCTACGTATGCTGTTTTGTAGGTATGGTGGCTCGTTAGACACCCTTTAGTTTACTCCCAAGTCATGAACACTGTCGCTGCTACCCATCAGAACTCGCACCCTGAGACGTCCTTGCATATAAGTATGGGTATTATTTTCGAAGACCACTTTGGTTCACACACCTAACGACTTCACTGCACGTCACGGATGTCCGAGTAATACCTACAACGCGGACCCCTATTATGGCTCCATCGTCTTGACCGGGTGTCATTCAGGTGTTCTTGCAACTCTCGCGTAGATACCTTCTATAGTTCGACATGCACGAGAAGCCTGCCACCTCAAGTACCTAGGATAGCGGGAAGATTGTACTACTGGTTAAGATGGAGATACATACTATGTAGTTCAATTCGGGAGGAAAGTCGGTTTACCAGAAGAATAATTTATATTATCGTAAACGCAACGCTCGGCGGCGCAGACACGATTCCCCGTTCCCTGAGTGGTAGCCTGGGGTAGGAGTAGGGATGGAGTCGCATCAGTTTCGACGAGATTTCCTTGTACAGGACGGAATAATACTACACGGCATTTGAGAGGAGGTAAGACACCCTCACTCCCCATTCGCTGTGCGTTAGATGAATCATTTCAGAAGCCGCGAATTCGTGATTCTTCCGGACCAGGTTCTTACTTCCTGATCGTCGTACATAAAGAGAAAGAGGTCTATGAGTACGCTGCGATATCAATAGATGATCTGTTATGATGTTAGTTACTAAATGGCATAAATGATGAGCTGCTTACAGTGTCATTGGTCCTATCTGACTTCAACTCGCGAAGGGCCATCGAGTAGGGACTAAAACCCTCGATACAAATTCTCTTCCGTGGCATCACAACATTTCAATCATTTCCCATTATTTGGTTCATCTGACACTGCAACGATCGATGTGCACATTACCGTAGCAACCCTACCAGTCTACCCGAGTCTACAGCAATGTTATCTCGCCCATTCCGACGACGGGATATTGGATCCGAACGGGCTTCTTGGCTGGTCTGACCCCAGCTGTGCCTGTGGGTTTCGTGGAGCGGGCAGTGCCGGCTAACCGGCACGAGTACAAGAGCCTTACAATGAGCTGCACGACTAGAATTCTTTGCACAGTCATGACTCGGGAGATGCTGCATGTCGGTTTGGAATGCACGTTGTTCCGCAGCATGCAACAGCATTCCTTGCGACAAGGCTAAATATTTTATTCGCCCAAACAGGGTCCGACGGGGTTCCGGTGAAGCAGCCCAGCAAGCTAGGATGTTTCAATGAATAACTCGCGGTGGACGGAACTCATGATTTTGGCGGAAAGAATTTTTGCCATCTGGAAACGAAAAGGCGGGAAATTATGAGCATATTGTTCAGTTGGCACCCTGCCACACCCGCGTGATTTACCACATCCAAACCGTGGTCCTGGGTAAGTGAGAAGCTCTACGGTGAGCCGTGTAAATGTGGTGGTTAGGTTGGGCACCACAGTGACTTCCTCGTTCATTTCCGCTGGCCCCTTGCCTCCCAAGAAAGCATCGCATAGCTTCAAGTAGTATGGTTTTGCAAGCCAGCCAAGTCTCAGGAACACGGTAATTCCTGATAGGCCCGGGTTGTACGTGTTCCCGTCGCGTTGTGTTGGTCCCGTAGAGCTGTAGTGCAGGAGGCAGGCTTTGGTTCCCGTGGCGGAAAGCCACTTTCCACTTCTATCTTCAAAGCCGTAACGAGGAGCTCCGAGAGACGGGGTTTACAGACGTACGTGGAGATGGTCGTTGCATTCCTCCACTCCTTCCAGATGGCGAAATTCCTCCGATCGCATGTTGTGATTGGCCCAGCGCCCTTCTGCCGTGGAGGCGAGGGGGGAATCATAACCGAAGGCGAGCGTTTAGCTGAATGACCCATCACGAATCCATTTGAACACGGAAAAACAGGCTAGTGCTGACTGCTGACAGGTACATATACTGCCAATGACTGCCACTGAAATAGCTGAGTTGTGAAATTTTCATGTTGCCTGCATGATTAGCTTCAGCCCCCAGAAAACCACGAGATGTACGAACGCATCAGTAGTTCTTACGCGAAATGGCTCAGGTAGGTCAACATACCAGTACTACGAAGTCACGACGGTGACCTCCTAGGCGCTCTAATTTGTGTATGGGGCAAGCATGAGTATGACAAACGGCTGGTTTGAACTTCCGTGCATACAAAAGTGACAACTTCGCCAGTACTATTAACCCTTCATCATCGCCAGAAGTCCACCACACTTCATCCTACGCAACCACCGGTTATGAGCTTCTCCCGTTGTTAACGGTCCACTTCCGGAGCTTCGCAGGAAGACGCAAGGGATATCTTCCAGTGTGGATATTGATATTTCACATACGGGGTTGGGTTCTTGCAAGGCCCTGCGACAACAAGGAGCCAAATAATTTTATAGCCGGTTGAGACTCCTTCGCAGACCATCACCACATGCTGGAGATTCAAGTCCACTGGTCCTGCAAGATGGAGCAGGCAGCCGTTTTCCTATAAGGAAACCCTGACACCTGCGAACGGGGGCAAGCATACCTACTTTCACTCTATTTCGCCCTGCAATGCACATCGTGTACACCGCAGTCTGCCGATGCGTGCAATGGCGGCACGTCGCACTGTCTGCTACCCACAATTTTTTCCATATCGGGTTGTGATGCAGTGGGGTCCCAGAGTCTCAATCTGATATCGCTGCTAATTGTCCTTCAACCACGTGATTGATGCCGTGCGGTCTGCGGCAAGTCTTTTCACATTAGTTTACGTCTATTAGACGACAAACTATCTAAGTTCACGCGATGCGACGGCTGGGCGGTGCAAGGGTAGGGCTACTAGTCGCATTTACTCGGTTGCGTCCCAGGGCAGATGACCCTGGTATATTGACCTAGGGTCGCTGGGGCACCAATCTAGTAGGCCACGCAACTCTGGTGCGGAAGTGTGATACGGGTGAAAGCGTAAGAACGGGTTCCTTGCCCGCCGCTTAGCGAGCAGGAAGTCGTGGCAACCATACAGGTCGGCAGTGTAGGGCTTGTAACCATTCTGAAACTGGAGAGCAATCCAACGAAATTCACAGATAGCGCGACCACGAATCAGAGTACACTATACATCCACGTGGGTGTGAGCTCACCTCGCCTTCCCGAGCCCTCGTGGAATCCCCGCCGCCCTCGTGAGGTTCCAGTCCGACATATTGAAAGAGTCGCGCTGGAAATTGGATGGCAGCTCGGTGAAGCTCCTCGAAACGTCGTCGTTTCATCTCATAACCCACAACTGTTACCCGAGATGGGTATCGACCAGTAACTTCGTGAAAACGAGCGAGGGAAAATAGCAAATTTTGGTACGAATCAAGAGCGTAGGTTTCGGTAGTTGCGCGAGGAAAGGGTGGGAGGGCTGAGGATGAAAGGGAGTGGTTTTTGAACAGGCCCAGACTGAGAGCCAACCGCATGTACGATTCCGCCTCTGTGGTGGTCGACAACAATCTGGTCTGACCGCTGTAACATGGATCAACTTGTGTCTGTTAAGAAAAGTCAACGAACTGACCCACTGAAAATCAACAAGGAGCTTTCATCTTCTACAGCAAGAGCTACCCTAGACATAAGGTGCCTGAGTAACAGAGGAAGGTGAATGACAAGGCCGGGCATACGCTTGTTTGATATGATCAGTGATTGCCAGTACATGACCATTATCCTTCTGGTAGTCCTCTAATGTCCAGTATTCCTCGTTCAAGGCATGCTCTGGTCTCGACCCCGCCCAAATGGCATGGCCGGGGACAATTATGAGATGGTCGAGGCCCTTCAGAGTCTCATTGCGCTCTATCGTAGCAAGGATGCTTGACGGATATACATCAGAAAACACTGCTGAGGTCGACGAAAATATGAACGAGAGGTTATAGAGGAAAGATAGAGAAGCGAACACAGTCAGCAGCCAGACGCCAAGATTCGTGAGCCGCGAGCGCGCACGAAGGTAGCGAAGTGTCGCCCGTATATCAGCGACTGACGGGGAGAGAAGGCGACGTGTTTCTCGTCGGTAAACGGCAACCCTGGCTGCTGAATGGGGTGAGGTCAAAGCTGGCAAGGGGAGCATGATTTGACTGGGACACTTGTCATTCCACGTGCGAACCCCAGCGCGGTACATTGATTGAGCCAAGAAAGGAAGGCGTCGTGGATCGTTTTGATGGTGTCTGCGCCCCTGCCACAACACGTACTTAGTGTGCGGACAACATACCAGCAGCTCACCCCTCCGATGTTCACAATTAACCCTGAAGCCCATTCTTTGCCTCCGTGGTTTGTGTTTTTTTCTTCTTCTCCAGTCCCCAGGTGTTTCCGTCTAAGCTTGCCTGCAAGCCACCTAGCCACGTTACAGATCATAATGAACGCTGGGACATATGGCAACCGTTTGACTGTTCACCGCAAGTGAGTATTCCATTGCATGTCCTTCTGGAAGGCATTAAGATGCTCGAGTTGTCTCCGATCAAGAACTGCTGTTCGTTATCTTCTTTCAACATTTCACAGATGCAATGTGCTTTCCTCAGCACGGTATCTGGCGTTGGCGAAGTAATTGCCTTGGTGTTTTGTCCACTTATGCAACACCAAATGTATTGCCCCACTGTTTTACGCCTTGCCGTGGAAATGAATATGGGGCACCCAGTCTTCACACGCGAGTACTACTGGCATCTCGAGCAGGCAGGTTGCGACATTGGCCAGGCGTTCATGAAACTGCGGCGCCTTCCATTATACTTTATCCCTCAAGAGGAAGCTAGTGAGACAAGGCAAACTGAAGTGACATGCGAATTCCGGTTGTGTTTACTTGCGGTTCGCGTCGTGTTTCCCCTGACAAAAGCGGTGACAATTGATTATATATGGGGACATAGCCAGTGCAAAAGACGGTTCAGGTGTACACTACGATGAGATACTGATTTCGGAAAGGTCTCGAGCATAATCGGCTGTCTACATGATTCATGCCTATACCAACTTCAACAGCCCTGCGGATGTCAGGGTCCACTGAGCGTGCCCTCCTATGACGAATAAGGGTGATAACTGCACGAGAAGTGACGTCGCTCAGCGTGAGATATGCTTGTGATTCAGGAATTTACCTAAGGCTCATGCAAAATCCGTACTTGTGACCTGACGGCGCATGACGTTGTACCCATTCCAGCGAATGACATCCGTTAAACATTCTGATCGGTAAGATCGTGATGTCTGAGCGTCTAGGGAAGGCTGTAAGCGGAATGGATGAAAGCGTTCCTCGCAGAGCACTTGCCACCCTCAACATGACGAGAGGAAGGGTCACTCATTGCCATCCGTACCATTTCGGACGGAACAGCCCAATGGTTGGTGTAGTCGATCCCTACCCGCGGCTGGTTAGTTGTTGGGCAGCGGTAGGGCTTCTCGCCTGGTCAGGGTCAAGCAAAGCGTAAATACTAAATTATTCGCAACACGTACAAAATGCGTCCCCAGCACCTTTTGCCGGATAATTGTATTGAGGTGGAGAACTAACCAATCCTTCGCACGAAGTACGCCACATCCCTCCACTGCCGTAAGGACTGGCTGGTTTGGTGCGGTTTCGGGTGTACTCCGAAGAATCTACGTGGCCTGCAAAAAAAAAGATAAACACAACGAAATGCACATAAAATTCTTGTGTGGCTTACGGTAGTGTTGATGTTCTGAGAGAGCTTGATAACAAACGTCTATAGCAGTTGTGTATTGGGGTATATAATTATCTTCTGTGTAACATTGGCGTTGCGAGTGATCGGCGGAGGAAGGTACTTGCTGACTAGATGTCGGAGGGTAGAGTAGCGTGTCGGTGTGATGCGGGCGTTGTACTCCCACGACTTGAGATGCAAATGGCAAGGACTCCTCCGTAGAAGACGATAATAGTGGTGTATGTGGGAGGCAACCTTCGCGTGTACTGTTGTCACCGACAGGTACGGTATTATATCCGGGAATTTCACTAGGAAGAAACGGCTCGAAGACCTCATTACTAGAGTAGAACGTATTAATTTGGGTTTGAACAGCTGCTGGATCGGAGGAAGGCGATAGACCAATGTCGCCAGTCGACGATATTGCCTCTGATGGTGGTGAGGGAGATGACCCATCACTATAAAAGCCAAGCTCTTCGGGTTGGTTCTCCAAGTGACCCGATGCTGACGCATTCCAATTGTAAGAACACTGACCCTGACGGTCTGGCGGAACATTTGGATGCGGGGATGTGGGATGCGACGCAACAGGGGAGGGGGGCCGCAGGGAAATTAGCGGTCCAGCAATCTTCGACCCCGGCCCGTTTATGGGATGGGCAAGGTGCTCGGGTACGGCGGCCGGTGCGGCCGTCATCTTTGCCACTGCTGACGACCTGGGTGCACGAATAACGAACACGCATTCCTTGCCACGTGCCTGACATTTGCTGCATGGCTGCTGTAAATCACACTTTACTTTGGAGTTAGCACAGGCTTGACAAGACCGCCGCCTCGTGCGGTTGGCATGGGATCTAGAATCATATCATAAGAGCAAAAGAGGACGAGATCCTTGCAAAGCACTCACGGGTCTCCGCATGTTTTTTTATGCCTCGTCAGTAGGTCACTGCGCGTGAACTGCGCCTCACAGGTCTGAAAAGAGTGTCAACCACATCATGTAGAAAAATAATTTTTTTCGAGGGCGCACATCGCAACGATGCAACCTCTCACCCGTGTCTGGCAGTCATAAATGGCGGGTCAGTTTATGACGGCCAATTAATATCGATATGCAAGCTTACGGGTGCGCAGGTGCCGGTTAAGGTGGGTCGTACGGGTGAACTTTGCTGGACACTGAGGGCAAAGCTTTGTCTGGGGGAGAATTGGAATATTTCCCTTGTGCGAGCGCATCTTGGACACTGTGCCATCCTTGCGATACTCGACTACAGTCGTGGGGGGAGATGGTCCAGAGGAGCTACCAGGATCTGTAGAATGGCGAGTAATCAATCCACCGTAGGCCATGGTAGATGTTGCAAAGGTTGGGACAGGTCGGAAGTCAGCTAGGGCTCATATTTCAAGTCATGGTACTTTATACATAGCAATGTCAATCTCCTTTCACTCCGATGTGACAGACCACTGCGACAAGTAACGACTTATTTTTTCGGCCAATTAACCTAAAATCACTTTCACCTACCAAGAAAGGCAAAGATAAGCTTCTTGATAGGAGTGATCGGAGCCAGTTTGGGAGGAATTTGCTGTACAAGACTTTTTTTTTGTCTTGGTGCAATGGAACAAATAACTACCTAGAGCTGTTCGGGGTCCCCCCCCCCGCGTGTTGAGTGCCAGTTGAGGCCGTTAGCCGTTTGAACGCGCTGATCGACACACGGCCCTAAGTCACATACGTTCAACGGAGGGACGGAACACTCATAGCCATGTCGACGGCACTTTACTCCCTTACGTCCAAGGTACTCAAGTATCGTCAAATTCCAATGTTACATGTTGCAACTTCTCGGCAACGAATGTCCTCGCCTCTCTATAGCTGTAACACTTGTTCTAAAGCCCACAGGACTGCCTTCTCTACGTTTTCAGCTTCATGAGTCGGCTTGTGCTTGGGTGGACCTTGTTGCGGGTCGTATACGCCAGTGTTTACTAGGATAGACTTCCACCCTGCAGCATTTGCGCCCGCGATGTCAGATTCCGGGTTGTCTTGCAACAAATCAGCAGGTTGAAGACGCGGGGTTAGTGTAATAGCAACCTACCTCCAACCATATATCTGATAGGGCAGTTGCAAATTTGTGAGCATGACACGTAAGGTATCTTGGAACTTAAACCGACATTTGCAGTGAGGAATTACCTCCAGCATAACGCCCTAAAACGGTCTCCGAAAACCTATACGTTTGCTCGGTAGGCTTTCCCAACTGGACATATGAGTATGTTGTTCCCGTTAAAGCCTACACTAATCTGGTCATCATCCTGCGGTCGACTTTGTTAGTGCTCTCACCTTGAATACAGCCTGGAATGCTTCCTTGAAGGCACCCTGACCGAGGCGTGGTCGGTCAAATTCTGATTTCCATACCAGGTCTGGGTTGCAGAACACCAGGTCGACAGGCCTTCGCGAGCATTCTGACACATACGGTGGTGCCCCAATAACACCGCCTGATCTTAGCACGTCACACATTACTTGAATATCTAGAGCCCAATTTCGAGGATCGTGAAACACGAAAATGGCGCCGATGGGAATTTTGGAAAAATCTGCGGCCTAGGTAGCACATGAGGGTAAAGTAAGTGGAAACGTTGATCGGGGAGTCCAGGGAAAGCCTGACCTTAGCTGATGTCCGCTCTTCCATCGTCAGATCGTGAAACGGCCATACGCTGTGGCGAGTTGAGAAGCATTAAGAAGACAAACATACGGAGCCTCACGACGGGTTCCACGCCAGCACATCCAGGGTGTTGTAAACCTGCCTGAAGCCATAGCTGGTGGTCCCGAAAACATCACATTAGCATAACGGCATCATCACAGCGTCTAGTATTACCCTTCTGCAACTTGACGGAGGGTGTCACCTCTGCCACCGAGCACTAGTACCGGGGTGTCCGCGTATTTGTGTACAATGGAGCGCACGACAGTATGTGCTTGAATGTACTGTTCGGGCTTGATCTGTACAGTCTCTGCATCATGAGACCCTTGGATTGGATAAGTACTGCCGCAGACCTAACCTGAACCCCAAGTTGTTCACTCAGTTCGTTGCATCGTGTTACTTCGCTCACGCCACCACCATTGGTCAACTAAGGGAAGATTGAGTTTGATCGATGATGGAGCTGCATGCAGGTCATACCAAGATATATGGTATCTTTCTGGACAACCAGTATCAGCATGCACGAGTGAAATCAACTGGGGTGAAGGGGAAAACATACATGCCGAATCTATTGTTCCCATCAAGGATCGCCAAAGCACGTTTTGCGGCTGGCAATGCACGCTTGCCACGAACCAGAACCCCGTCCTAAAACTGAACGTGAGACAAGGAGCGAACCTAGACCTTCTGACGGACAATGTCAAACACAAATGCCAGTGATGAGGCGAGACGTTTGAGTCCTGAAGAAGCCGGAAGCTCGAAAACACAGCGAGATGGCATGCCTGGGAACTCACCTGGATAATGTCGTACAAAGGACTTGATTGGAGCTGGGTTGACGTACATGTACATGTTGATAGTTGGGTGAGTGTAAAGTTAGTTGATAGGTGCTGCACTTAGGTGCCCTTTGCGTGAGAAGTCGGATGCACTGAAGTGAGAAGACATCAGTCAGTGACAATCCCAACAAGGTGAAATGGATACACCTTTTTGTGAGAATGTGAATGGGGTACTTCGGCGGTTTCGTGTCTGTCCAAGCCGGACCCAAAATGATTTGCGCGTGGTCGTTGGCTCACACCAATGGTCGGACATTACTACACAGGAAGTGCGGCGTTCATTTGTCCGACTGACTGACGTAAATTACAAGGTGGCACTAGGAGATCAACCTTAGAAGCAAGTCGGCCTGAAACCAATTGCCTCAAGTACCCACTTCTGTTTCACTCAGGCATAAAAAGGTTCGGTGTGATGTGAGACCCTCCTCCCAATAAAAAGTACGTCAGTGGTGGTAGCGCTATGGTCCGACTACGTGGAGGCCTCCTGTGGGATCCTCACTGAAAGACATTCTCCGGTGCTTCGGGGGTGCTCCTGCCACAGAGTCTCGAAGTGGCACGCGTATCTTATGAGTACAATGTCTTCCAATCAGTCACTAAACACATGTCTCATTCTGGTGATTCAGGCCCTCGACATTAGTGTCCGGTGGTAGCGGCACAGCTCCCTGCCACCTCCACAATGCCTGATGCAGGCTGTTGAACGACGAACGTTTGCCCGACATGTGGTCGAGACCTTTTCTGAAAGCAGGAGCTCCGCTTTTACATGTCTTCTACGTACCTGGACATCTCTTTGATTGACATTGGATTCGAGAGCTGGCCCGTTCACAAGCCAGAGTTGCTGTAATGATTTTACAGAACGGACCCCACGCACTGTCGTATTCCCCGCTTGAGTGTAGCGCGTCAATTATCACAGTGCGGCGTCGGTTTGCTGACTTCATGTCGAGTCAATAAATAAGCTGCCCTGTTCCGAGTATAGGTTCACGCACTTTACCTGACTGTGTATCGGCTCATTAGTTTCGCTTCCGAGGTGCTGCCTCTCGCAACGTAGGCAAATAATTTGCGGGTTTCCATGCTTTGAGGTGCACTTCAAGGTAGTCCAGTACGCACCAAGGGGCTGCATTACGCCCCATGTCACAGTATTTTTCAATTGTTGGGGCTCGGAACTGCCTAATCTCCTCTAGGCCAACTAGAGACTCGACAGAAGACAGCCGTTCCCTCTCGACCGGAAATACCCTTGGCGAGGGGGCGTACAGACGCATGAAATTTAGGAGTCGGCAGGCCAACAGAGGTGATGGTGACGGCTTTCGAGTATTTTCATGTCCGTGGTACAACCCCCGAACTCACAGACCCAGGTATCATGGAAACCCGGCCCAGAAACTTCTCCAACGTTGTGTGGACATCGCCCTCGGGATGGGGAGTTGAGGTCCCGCCCTCTCTGCAAGGGGAGACGCTGTACTTCGAAGTTCATCGCACCGACGGTCGACGACGTTGGGTTAGTGATCCATACACAGGAGATTGGCGGCTTCGTCGGGGAACTTCGGTGATATTCATCAAGGGTTGCCCAGTTACGCGAACTTGCTGAAATGCGGGGCGGAGATCAAATCACAGTACTGGGGGTGATCTGGGGTGATCCGTCGAAAGCGCGAAACTTAAACCTGGGGCCAATGCGCAGAGAACCGAACCTCACAATTTCATCGACCTGCGAGTATTCTCGTAATGAGAAGAAAATCGCCTTGACTACAGGCACCGATTTACTTCGTCTTGACATTCTGATATGTGTAGTGGTGATCTAAGCAGGATAGAAGAAGGTGAAGAACGGAGAAGAACTCACCACTTCATGGACAAGGCTAGAACATACATGTACTAACAGTCCATGTGGTGACAGATGGATCAATCAAGGCTGGTCCAACACTGTCTCTCAGGTTTGCCATTTGGAGGTAATTAAAGAACGATTACGGCTTGTTTGTAACGGAGAAGGGGATAGTACGATATCTGCTTCACCACGCCCTCGACGTTCAAATTTTCTCCGGCTCGAAGTCACATATCTCACTCTCCCTTCAGTTCAGACAGCTATCAACACCCTAATAGCAGTTTTCTTTTGTAGTCTGTATCAATATTTTCATCTTCAGAACAACCACAGTGCGCCCAAGTTGCTTCGCATCTTCCCACCCGTTTCCGGACGTCGCACGAGAAGCCCAGAGAGTGCGAGAGGATGTCCACGGCTGTTGTTGATGGCATCGATCAGAATGCTCTACATACCACTTCTACATCGCCTACATCACAACCTTCCGCCGACGCGGTAACTCGCGACGCTAGTGCAGAACCAGCTCATACGAACGGGGCCCCCGACCTTCCAGCAGTGCCGCAAGTGAATGTGAACGGGGAACCAGTAAGAACTCCACGACCTTCAGGAACATATAGATCTCCCGGAAAATCCGACAAGACAACGTGGGGGGCGAATTTTTGGGTGACATTAGTGGACCCACAAGTGCGTGGCAACCACTCGCATAACTGTAATGCCAGCTGACGATAAGTCTGGAGACTAATTCCACATTCTTTGCGTGTCCTGCGACAGGACAAGTTAGTTGGGACCCACCAGTGGGGACGTTTGTGTGAGTGATGTCAGAATTTGAAATGCCCGGTCATTCCATAACTCATCCGCACCTCGTCAGTCTCCCTCCGAGCGAGGAAGGCGAGTGGTGGGAGCTAAGTGATGAATCGCGAGGAGGGATACCATACTATTATCAGACGAAGACTGGCGAAACAGTTTGGGAGCGCCCAGATGGATTCGTCATTCCTCTGACTATCATCCAAGTAATTACCTTACCTCTGATAGGGAGCGCTGGTTCTCACATGTTTTATTGCAGCAAACTGCCTTGGGCCGGCGACTATCCCAGACTGGCATGCGCAGCAAGGGTGCAACTGTTAATGGCACCGACGCGCCCGATCGAACAGCCTACCGGAAATCTAGGTCGCAAACGAGTGGCATGGATACGCGCCGTGTTTCACTTCGATCAAATAATTCGGAGACCCCATTTCCACGGGTCTCGGTGTCTTCGGCACACCATTCTCCAGGGAAAATATCACCTAGCAGTAGCGACACGGGTATTAGTCCACGGAAGAAACAATCATCTCCCACATCGAGACCGTCAGTCACAAACGATCAACATGGGCAATTAAGTTCCTTGCGAGGTTGGATGAGCGGAAACCAATTGCCTCCCATTCCCGGCTCCCCCTACCCTACAGAGCCCTCGACACCTAATTCGCGCAAATCAACATCTCCGTCTCCTTCGGGTAGACTAAGTGCCAGACAGAAGAGTACAACCAATGGAGCCGTCACTGATACCGAAGACGGATCACTTTCGCGATCGCGATCCAAGTCATCTTCCTACGTACCGTATAGGTCACCAGTTCCGCAGAGCCTAACTGCTGCCCTAGAAATGATTTCCTTGTCAGAAAAGCGTTCCACGTCTGACCATGGACATCCTCCTGCACTCCGCCCGGGCGCCGAGAATATGCCTCGGAAGAGCACAAGTAGTGCCACTCCTCCGACGGACAAGAGGGAGAAGCGTGATATTCCATCGTCTCCGACAAAGAGTTCCCATGGGCCTTTTTGGATGGCGCGTAGTACGTCCACCCCTCCACCACCTATGGTCAATGGAAAGGCCATAAGCAGGCCGGTTGTTAATCAAGGTAAGTTGCTTTCGCTCTCAGCAGTCATGCAATTTAATTGATTCTGTAGAGGCAACATTGAGCATGAGTCCTGTCAAGAACCGAGGTACCGGAAAACCGATTTCCATTGAGCCACGCTCTATATCTCAACACGCACCCACTACAACCTTAGCATCAGGGTCTGTTTGTTACTACTCCCCCTTTAATCAAGTTTACTAATTCTAGCGCAGAAAAACATACCCAGTTCTCCCTCATGACCTCGCGTCGGATATTCAACAATTCGTGGAATCAGAATATGCCAAACGGTACTTCTCGATACACCGCACCGGATTCATTTTTCGCCGCAAAATTCCCGTCGCACAGATGATGGCGTGGCAAAAGGCACCACTATCTTCTCCGCTCCTTACTCTTAACCGAACATTGAAGCAGGATGCGGTCAAAATTTTCAAGGTCATCCAGCACATCATGGGTGACCGCGAGCGTGACCGTCCTGCTGGAATTCCTTTGTACAATGGCTCAACCACCTCCCTTGCTTCGTGTGCTTCGCTTAGCCTTCTTGAAGAGGAAAGGTGGTTGATTAGCGAAGGCCTTGCGCACGGGGAACTGCGAGACGAGATATACTGTCAACTGATGAAACAGTTGACTGGGAATCCCAGTGCCGAGAGCGTATTCAAGGGGTGGCAGATGCTTTGCGTCCTTCTGACTGCTTTCCCACCGTCCAAGAATTTTGAGACATACCTTCGTTCCTTTATTCACCAGCACACTTCGCATTCGGAAGGCCGCGTCGATGTCATCGCCAAATATTGTCTCAGACGATTAACTGTCATCTCGAAGAGAGGGCCACGTGGCAAACCTCCGTCAGCGGCAGAAATCGAAACCGCTGCTGATGCCGCCTTCAATCCGTCTACGTTCGGGGAAACTTTGGATGCAACCATGCGTTTGCAAGAGCGGAACTACCCTAACGAGAAGATCCCGATTATACTTCCCTTCCTTGCTGATGGAATCCTTGCGCTCGGCGGCACCAAATGCGAGGGAATTTTTCGTGTTCCCGGAGACAGTGACCTCGTTTCTGAGCTCAAGCTCAGAATTGATAGGGGCTATTACACGCTCGAGAATGTCGATGATCCTCACGTGCCTGCTTCGCTATTGAAGCTATGGCTCCGCGAACTATGCGACCCCCTCGTCCCCGAGGAGCTTTATAACGACTGCATCAGTGCAGCACCTGATCCGCCTGCTTGTGTCACTATCGTGCGAAAGCTCCCGACCATCAACAGAAGGGTGGTGCTATTCGTCATGAGCTTCCTACAGCTCTTCCTAGAAGAGAAGGTTTTGGCAAGCACCAAGATGACAGCAGCAAATATGGCCCTCGTATTGGCACCCAACCTACTGAGGTGCAGTTCTGAGTCTATGACAGTAGTGTTTACGAATGCGCAGTAAGTCATGCACGGTGCCCTTCAGGTTGTTGTATCGATTCTGAATGGCATCGGGACTCCTAGATTCGAACAGATGTTCGTGTACAACCTACTCATGCATCTGAAGTGCAACGAAGTCGATGAAGACTACGTACCAGTCCATGGACGAGGTGCAAGCCCGCCGACTTCGCCCAAGCCTCGTATCTCCAAATCTCGTAATCGGCGATGAAATAGATACCAAGTTCTACTCACTGGTCCTTCATTCTGCAACAGCCCCAAACGGACTTCCTAATGCAACCCAGAACCACTCAAACTGTACGATATTTGTTCAATCGCTCCCTTTGGGTGGGAGAGCTCTTTCGTCACGACTTCATACCATTACGGTCGCCTCCATGCACGCGACATCATTGGTCAGCAAATGCTCCGTGTCTTTCTTCTTTATTACCATTACATACATCTTACAGCTATTCTCTATGTTCTGCGTTTACTTGCGGCTCACTGATACCTACACATTCATTCGGAATTGATATCTGATATGCACTTATATACACATGAACAGTCAATCCTTTCTTACTATTTTTCTTTTCCATAGTCGTTTTCTTCAATCGACTGATGTCAATGACACTCCAACGATGTGATGAACATCATAACAGAGTATATTCACTAAGGGGTAAGAACTCATGGGTGTAGAGATCCAATTAAAGCGCTCGTAGTGTAACATAGCAAACCCTGGGCTACTGATGTGTGTTACTATGATCCAAGTCCAACAAGCCCAACCAGCCGTGGTTTGAATCAGCTGATTGGGGACTGCTACACACATCGGCGAGTGAGACCTCTTGGCGCTTGCCTGACGCCCTCCCCTGACTCTTCTTCCCCTTACTCTTCTGCGGTCGACTCCAACTATCAAACTCCCAACCGTCATCTTTCGTTCCGGGATCTAGAAACTCTGTTTTCCAAGATTCTCGACCGAGAACCGGCTTGCCTCCTACGGATGACCGCGTTCGGCGCACAGTTTCTTTGAGAGAGAGTTGTTCAATTCGCGTGAGGAGTCGTACGACATCGGTCTCTCCAAGGTTGACCCAGAGACGTCGCGCTAGGAGGTTCGTATCGGTTGCATGCATTGCCGGGTTGCTAACACTACTCAGTTCAAATGGCTGCGCCTCTGCCACTTCCCGCCTGATCTTCTCGATAATTGATTTGGTGAGACTGTCTCCTCTCACCCCGTTCAGTCTCATTTCTTCCAGTGCCGTGCAGATACCAGGTAGGTCGGCCCAACCCTCCCATTTCGCCAGTATGAGTTCGTTGTACACCGGAGCAGTACAGCCGAACACATACGATGGGATAGAGAGACGAGATGCATATGTAAATATGCAAAGGGAAAGTGATGGGTTTGCATAGGTGGTTCGGAAGAGTTTCATGAGGTGTGCGAGCAAGTACGGGTACGTGGGGGGTTGGAGGGGTGGTATTTGTGCAGACCTGTTGGTCGAGCCTGGCGTCTCTATGTCCTGGACGTTGTCCAGGGAAGATCTGCCGCCGGCATTAGCAGGCTCCAGCGCTTTTTGTGCGTTCTCTACATATTTTTGAGACTCTGAAAACACCTCTCTCGCTGCCCACTCGAGAAGCTCCTGGTCTGTATCGCAGAGTTCCATTTCTTCTTTCTTACGATCGAGCTCCTCGTCTGACGCAGTGGTCCACCGGACACGAGACGAATGCCGACGGAGCGTCCGGAATATATTGAGTGGTGCGGCAGAAGAGGAAGGACCAATGCTGGGTGGCTGGTGGCCGAGAGACTGTGACGATGACTTGGAAGCGGCTTGCCGATCAGAGACGGCGTTGAATATCATATTGAACATCTCGTCAAATGCACTGATTTCTTGTGCTGTCATGGCTTGCCTGCGGACCTTGCCACCAGACCGACCTAGGAGAGAGGAGTTGGATGCCGCATTCGAAGAGTTTCCAGCTGAGTGCCCGGAAAGGCGGGAAGGGCCACGGGCGGATGCGGGTGGGAGGGGACGTACGGAGTCGATGTCAGCGAAGACATGGTCCCATGGAGAATCAGAGGTGGTGAAAATAGAGTCAGACGAGGGGGATGCACTGTTCGAGTGTGCATCCGCCGACAACGCGCGACACGTCGTGCGAGCGAACGAGACCAGGCGCTGGTAGCGACATGGGTGAAGCATTAAATGATGATGTCTGTTTCTCGAAGGCTAATAACTAGTCTACCGTCGTGACCCGTATTGGACTGTCTGTGCTGATGCTTTCAAGGCGCTATAGCCAAGTGGTTACGGCGACAGATTAGAAATCTGTTCCTCTTTGAGGGCGCAGGTTCGAATCCTGCTGGCGTCGAAGCTTTTTTTTCTTCTGTTTCCTGATGCCCCAATCGATCCACAACAATATCTATGCATGTACTTAGTCGCAAACTTCAGGTTCCAATCAGCCAGTATTTTCCAACATCTCATCATAGTTATACATTGACCTAGCATACCAGTGCTAATTTCTTTAGAAAACGATCAATTATTCATAAATCAGATGGTGAATGCACGTGGGGGAATGTGTCATGTAAGGGTAGGGGTAATCAAAACACGGGTACATTAGTGGGAGCGATGAGAAAAGCGAGCAGCTAAAAGTGTTGAGCAGAAAAAGTCGCGATGCAAAATTTGCTGGTGAAATGACAAGAATAAAGACGCCTCTGGCGCGACTGAGAAATGTTCAGTCGCGTGATATCTCCCAACGCTAGTGGGTATCGGGTGAACAGCATGCGGATCGATGCCGATGTATGGCAGTGACCGTACCCCCGCAGAATGTAGCGAACCTGCATAATCAAAGCACAGAAAAAGGACTAGGAAAGCGACGTGGTCAAAACAACTAGACATGAGGGGATAAACAGGTCCTGGAGTGATGAGGGATGCTGAGAAAAGGGGGCTCGAAGAGATGCGTAGACCAACGAGAGTCATCGATGACGTTGGGGGGGCTTGTGGAGACGCCAGTTTTTTTGGTCAGAGGTGATCAGGCGGCAGAGAAGTCCCAGTGGTGAGAAGTCTGCTCATCCAGCGATTCTGGTATTGTAACTGGGGGCTTCCAGCTACCTCCGACCCGACGAACCGTTGAGTTCGCAGCTCCCGCGGGAGGGACGTACTGCCCCGCGACAGGTGTATTTGTCACCTGAGTGAAGATAGGCATCGGCTGTGCATGCGGAGGGGGTTGGGGATGAGCGCGCACCTGCTGCGGGGAAACTGTAGAAGCAGCAGGAAGTACTGTGGCATCCTGTAGCACACCCTCTGCGACCTCGAGATTGAGGAATTGCATCACATCCTGTGTGAATATGCTAGGTTGACGCTGACGTGCAGCACTATAAGCTTGCTCCTCAGGGGCACTGGGTGCCTGCAGCAGGGAAGCTAGGTCGTTCGCGTCATTAACAGCAGTGGCTGGGTTCAAATCCATCGGTTGCTCGAGGGCGGAGAAATCGAAGTTGGCAAAGAGCTCGCCCGAGAAATCACGCGGTTGAACATCAACCCCTACAGATACCTCAAGCTCACCCTGAGGATGTGAAACTAAGGAGAGTGGATCCAAATTTGCCAAGCCAAAAAAGCCGTCGCCTGTGGACATGGACATGATATCCTGCAGGCCTTCAAATTGCAAGAGGTCGGTAATGCTTTGCTGGGCAAATGAATGATTTTCAGGAAACCCGACATCGAAATTCAAGAAATCCTGAGGAATGCTGGCTTGAGCTGGAAATATACCGCAGGGGCCTTGGGGCGTACCTGATATTGGGCATCAACAGGGGGCAGTTGACTGGACGTAAGATTATTCCAGTCAGGCGTGGGTGATTGCATGGGTTCACATGACGAAGATGCCTGTGATTGGTCCGACTGAGGTAGGGATGGCTGCCAATAGTCTTCAATCCCCTGGACCTGCGAACCTTGATCTGGTTGAGGGACATGCGGTACTAGAGGGGGTAATTCAGCGCTTAGGAGAGATTGCGGGGCATACTGCGTGTTCGCAAGTGAATGCTGCGAAGCGGTCGAGTGTTGAGACTCTGAGGTTGGCAAAGGAAGGATAGCAGTACTTGTAGAGGGTGTGGGCTGTTCCTCTGTGATAGGCTGTGGTTCAGGAGAGGCTGATGTCTCCTGTGGAGAGGGTGCAGCTGAAATTGGGGGAGATGGACCAGCAGGTCCAAAACGCGCTTCGTTGCTTATGTGCGGTGTCACGTAGTAGGACATCTGCATCATGGCATACCCTGGTGGCATTCCGTATTGTGTGGCATATACCACAGGCGACGTCGCGGCTGGCGCACTCGGTGCGGGAACAGGTGTGGATACGGGGGGAGGCTGCGCGGCAGGCCGGGCAGACGTGGCGCGACGTTTGGACTTCTTTTCTGCGCGAGCACGTTCTCTTTCGACCTTCTGCTGCTCACGCATCTTTGCCCTCTCCTCTTTCTTAACGGGTTGAAAGCGGTACTCGGGGTACTTGCGCTGGTGTTCGGCTTTCCTTGCATCAGCCATGCGTTCGTAAAGGAGCCTCACGGTATCCGTCTCTTCTGCCCACATCTTCGAGATCATCTTGGACACATCGGCTTGGGGTCTACCCTTCGCGGGTGGCAACTGCCTGAGTTTGTCTGAGCGATACAGGATCCATGCGTTCGGCGGACGTGGGGGTTGAACAGTAGTGGTTCTGGTTGTGGTTGTGGAAGACGCGCCCTCGGCTGGAGTATCGTTGGTTCGGATGGGGCCCACCATCGTGTACACAGATGACCGGGGTGTGTTGCAGTAAGCAGCAAGATATACGCTCGAGGGGCAGGACACGCGCAGATGGTAGCAGGGCGTTGGAAACGCGTCGACGACAGAGGGACGGGAAAATACACTGGAGACCGTTCCATATTTGTAGGTCCCTGTAGGTCCACATATGGTGTTGTGGTCTTGTTTGCTCTGCCCGTCCACAATATTAATGTCAACACCGTCCGCCCCGTCAAAGCAATGGTGGACGAACTCACCGCAGCAGTTTGCATATTGCTGTCGCTATTGCTTTGGCACCTGTGCACAAAGGGAACAACCACTTGGCGTGGGCCCGTCCTCTCCGGTCTTTGTGAGTGATCAAAGCGCAGGTTCAACCGACGAAAGCACAAATTCTTTTTCTGTCACCGAACTCTTTGAGAACTTCAAAGCAGAGGAGCCAGTAAACCTTTTCATCTAAGTCCTGGGTTGTGTGAAGCGTGAATATCGAATTCTATTACAACTACTTTCGCTGTTCCTGGCTGTTCACTTTGTTTTTGTGTGTTCCGCGAGATCCACCACGACCATGTCAAACGACCAACGCGACATCCCGATACCCTCTGTGCGGCTGTCGACTCCGGCTTTGGTACAGTCCGTGCTATCTCAAGTGCAGACCGAGTTTGCGGAGTGGAGCTGGAACTATTCCTGGCAGGTACTGCAAACACTCTCGCCTTCTCGAGAACGTCTACGCGTCAGCTTCGATGCTTTCGAAAGCAAGAACTCTGCCCCCTCTGACACCATCCGTGCCTCTGAGTTACGCGAAAATAACTGGCATGAAACGCGCACGGGCACTGTAACCGCCGTGCAGATCATGTACTCCCCTGATAGACAAGTCCTATCAGAAACGTCCATATCCCTTGAAGTCATCGATATGGTTCCACTTCTGGATGCTCATCCCCCATACGAGTCTTGCTCTCCATCACCGCGAAATGTCTTCAAGGGAGACGATGACGACAAGATGGTGTTCATCCCATATTCTGACGACCCCTCCTTTAACCAAGTCGAACATTCATCATGGTATGAGTCGTTCTCTTGGCAAGAGGACTTCGATCCGGATTGTGAGTTGCAGTTGCTTAAAGGGGTGTTTGGTTTGAATATGGAGGATAGGGACACAGTGCAAGCCATCCTTTTGGAGGCCTCGTATCGGTTACACACTCGACATGCTTTGGAATACAAGGATATCGAAAAATGCGGTGTATTGCCATTAAAGCTAGCCTCGTGTCCAGGGAAACCCGGTTTGATCGCCATTAGCCGTAGGCGGCAAGTTCAGTTTACTTTTCCTCCTCATGCCCCGACGAACGTTTAGTAGTGACCCCCTTATCTGGAGCGGAAACTCTATTCCTGCGGGCTGTGTGTTCCCGTCAATGAACCTACCGTCAAACCTTCGTCAGCGCCTGCAATGTGTCAGTTCCCTCTTTTGTCCTAACCTCAATTGCATGGAACCCCTTTGTAGCGTGCATGGTAAACTTTTTGCCTCCCCATCGTGTCGCCGTTGCAGAGCTCAACTGTTAATCATAGTGGAATCGAATGCCATGCCCCCTTGCAGCACATCGTCTAAGCTGGCAACTCAAAAATGCGAGGACGTCGAAACTACCATGTGAACGCCAGTGTTTTCTAGCCGCAGGAGCGAGTCAGGTTTGTGGTTAGTGTCTTTGCTGAACTTGTCACTTTGATGATGGCGCAGCAGGAGGTACCTTGTTGGAGCAATAATGAAATAGAGTCATTTCAAGTTATTTTCGAGATAGCATCAAGTCTATCCCCCTGCAATCTTTCAGTACTGTGCTTGAAACCTTGTAGCGAGGTGAGTTATGTGCGCCATGAATGACTCTGATGATCCTGATGATGCAGTAGGTGTATTATTATAAGAACCTCCTAAATCCTGGCGATCCGGCTGGAACTCGTGTCAACGTCCGCAATTCAAAGTGTAAGCAAAGTGCAATTGAATTTTGTGGTGCGAACACCTGCTTTTATCATTCTGAAACGTACGAACGGGGTTGCAGATGATGACTGCAACGAGTTCACTCCGTAAGCCAGTTGCTGATTTCCTAGTGTATCAATTGCCAATCAAGTTGTCCCGATAGCAACGAACCTTGCCGCCATAGTGGTCCTTGTGACGCAACCAGCAGTTGTCCGTGCTTTCAGAACGGGGCTCACTGCCAACGTAATTGCCACTGCCCCTCAAAGTGTGGGTTGTTCCCCTAATCCGTTCCCACACACCAATTCCTTCACAGGCCTTCGTCGGTTACGGGGCTGTCGGTGCTCTAGAGCGAAATCCAGTGTCAGCTGCGCGACTGCTAAGTGTCACTGTGTTGAATCTCGTAGGGAATGTGATCCTGAACTCTGTTTGAGCTGTGGATGCAAGTGAGTTTTTTGTATGTTGGTAATGGTGGTCTGTGACGAATAGCTGCCGTGTTTCAGAGGTAGGTCGTTCACGATAGTTGTCCGATGACTCTCGCTGTCCGTGGCGTAGACGAGATCACGGCATGTCACAATTCTCAGATACAGAAGGGCATACACAAGGTCATTATCCGCGGGCATTCCTCATTTGAGTTACAGTTAATCATTTTTTTTCTGGCACCTCCAGGCGCTCGAGATAAAGAGGAGTCGCTGGGGCCTCGGGGCGTTTCTAACGGAATCAGTTAAAGGGGGTGACCTTATCGCAGGTGAGTTTGCCTTGACCTTACTGTTCACCTGGTATTTTCGGTGTTACGTAAACGTCACTGTCCCCTTTTAGAGTACGTTGGTGAGCTCATATATGAGCCGACTTTCGACAGTCGCGGGTATGTCACTGAGAAAAGGCTTTATACCCGAAGCGTAACAAACTCCGTTTCCGTTCAGCGAAGTTGCTACACACCGCGGCCGAAGCTACTCCTTCAAGCTCGACAGCACATTCACCTTGGATTCTTCCTACCTTGGTAACCCTTCGCGATTCATAGACCACTCTTCAAGTGCCGTGCAAACGATGCCACCTAACTGTAGAGCATATGGTGGGTACCATCATTCCTCATAGCAGCCACAAGTTTTCACGGGGCGATGATTGATTTTTGACGTTACAGTACGTCTCGTGAACGGGGAACACCGAATAGGAATCTTCGCACGTAAGTTACCCAGCCCCCCATGGTCTTTCTAGCAGCCGATCAGGACGGCTTGTGTTAGTGCAGGATTTAGAATCTGGTTCAGAGATTTTAATGGATTACGGACGCGACTTCTTTTCCAAATAAGTTTGTACATCCTTGCAATTGGCAGACTTTGCTTTTCTCCACGTCGGTGATAGGGTGCTGTCTTCGAGGCTATGCACGTATACTGGCAACGCCAGGGAGTCTCCTCTACCGAGGTATCAGCCAACGACCATCCATCGCTTGAGGACCCCCGAACTCCGTATACCACACGTGTTTGTCCTACTTATATTCTGAATGAATGCACAAATGGGGGAGTGATTCGAAGGTTCGCTTGCCAGGTGCGGTTAGTGGGCCGCTTTAGCCATGTATGTGTGCAGCTCGCACGGAAGAACAGTGGAAAAACGTTCCCCCCCTTGCTTGGAGTTTTCGGACAGATCGGAGTCATACAGACCAAACTGCGGTTACCGAATAGATGTGCTCCCAAGACTAGCGAAGTTGCACAATTTATAGGTTGCTTGAGTGGGCTAATTTACGAAATGGACTCTGCGGCCGCCGCCGGTGATTGACGCCTGGTTTTGTTTTCTGCATCAAAGATGAGTTCTCTGTCAGGAGAAGGGTATTGATCTGATTATTTTGGGTATCCTGGTCCTGACGATATTTGGTGACATGCTCAATCGATAAGCACATTTGCATCTACTAGTTTCAATTCCACGGGCGTCGGCCTGCGCCTGTCAGCTTGTGGTTGACCTGTATATGGCTAGCATGTGGCATATCATTGCCAACCCCGCTAGTTTCGGTGTTCCGAGAGCCTGGAGATTGATTATTAGCAACGCTAAGAAACTTTCCCTGGTCGTCAGCTGGGCTGAAGGGTCGTGTATAGATTTAACTTCAGTCATGATGTTCTGGTGCAATTTGTCGCGGTCACAAGTCATCTGTCGAAATCATTGTTTCTAGACCCTCTTGTTCTGGACGGCTATAAGTCGCGACTACGTGACGGTACTATTGCTGTAATATGGCCCATTGCAGACACTGAGTGAGGTCCCACTGTCAATTGCTGTGCATGGGAGTCTGACAAGGTTTAAGCGCGCGTCAGGCTGGAGATCGGGCAGTTGTTGTGTATTCAAAATTTCTTTCAAGATGCTGTCGCCACGGACGTCCCCGTGTATGTATCTTCACTGATCCGAGTCGAAATGGGGCCCGTCTGATTTCTGTACCAATAGTTTACCTCCGACAGATCACGTCGGATTTGGCTAGCCTTACTGTCAACGGAGGTCAGGCCGTTAACGAGCATCACATCTGTCTGGGTTATCCCATGGGTGTTACACAGTACAATTTTTCTTCACATGACTGTATCAGGTCGCGTGCCGCCAGTAACCGATTGGTGACAGGAACGACTGCTTTGACAGTGTAACGCCCCTCGCCTTCTCAAAAGATGGACCTGGGCAGCTAGGTAAGAGCTCCACCGCGTCTGTCGTAAAAAGTTTAGAGTCGATGTGTTCGCGTCATAAGCTACTTTGATGAGACCGAATTACGCGTCCTGCTCATTACCCATCTTTTCCGCGGGGGAAAAAGTCACAGTTCCTTCTGTACAGACAACACTTGCTTTCTTTAGCACTTACCCTCCGGACATCCCCAGCTATAGCGACTGGCGTTTGCCGAGTGGGCCTTGGAAGGATGGCCATGTTTGTAACAGGTATGTAACAGCGGCACAGGTGCACTGCCTACTAGTGAGCTTTATACAGCAGGAAGACCCCTTCGCCCGAAATAGCTCATCTCCTCAAAAAGATCCTGTCCCATAATCTTTGTTGTCGTCGTATTAAAGTGGTATGCACTCCTGTGCTTGAGCAGCGCAATGGCGTCGTCTGGCTTCTTTAATCAAACCGGTCAACCACCATATGGTGATGTTTATCAGTATGCGCACATAAACTATGCGACGACTAGTATGGCGGCCCATCCCTCGGTAGGTTTTCTGTTATCTCATCTAAAATTTTCCGCCCTTTGAATGTGGTTTTTAGCCATTGAATGCTGGAGGATACCCTGACAACATGCCTGTCCCATCCACAAGCTATGGAAATCAATGCATCTCGCCACAGTTTATGCCCCACAGCGTCTCTTCTGCCGTTTCCCCACACCCTACCCTGGTTTTCCCCAGTGGCAATTATAACTTTCCACACGGGGACAGTCGATCCTCATACCCACCCTCTGTTCAGTTGCCATACTCCCCACAATCGTATTCTAGCATCTCACCCCTACCTTACCCCGCCGATCCGGCCATCCCTTCCAAACAGCCGTCTCATATCCGAATGCACGCTTGTAAGTGGGGGGTGAAAGCATGCAATACGCTGGCTCCGGGCAAGAACAGGGAAATGGGGGAACACCTTCGGGAATTCCACGAGTTCATCGGGAATGAGAAGGATATTGTTCACTGTCATTGGAGCAATTGCAACAAGTCGTTGCAGCGGATGAATATGGGTAGGCACATAGTAAGCACCCATCTCCGCCAGACTACCATATGTCCTCGGTGTAACAAGTCCCTGAGTCGACCCGACGTAGCGTCAAGGCACGAGAAGCAATGTTGCAAGTAGTTGGGGTTGGTTGGGGGTACAACGGTTACTGCACTTCTAACTTCTGCAACGTCAGCGTTATTGACAGCAAAGTGTAGTAAGAAGCCATGATACTAATGAACGTTTTCTTCCGTCCAGATTATCCCCGCTGTACATTTGCTTATCCGCTCCTCCATCCACGCTTCCGTACGTGAACAGTACGACTTCTATTATTCGACGTTGTCCCAGGTTCTTATATTTATTTGCCATGTTCGGTAGTGTGTACTCACATAGTCTCGCTCAATGCTGAATCGATGTGTATGTCACTGAAGGGCGCATCCACCCCCTTCTTGCTCTGAGAGTGGGGGGATTTTCAGCACTTCTCTCTCATCAACCACGCCGCTGCGAGTCGGGATTGTTCCCTTTCTATGACGCCGACGCTGACCAACACTTTGGACTGCCCTTCTTTTAGAGTGGAATCCGTGGATTGTTGTTGCCCATGGAAAATGCATTAAGGTTCAATTGGACGGTCATAGTCAGCAGACATCTGTTGTTCATTTCCGTAGCGTAAATGGGATTCGGTCCTAAGGGTGACCGCGGGGCCGACCATTTCCCGCTGACTGGCACTACGGGAAATCACCGCCCCTAACATGGGTCCGAAGCCTTCTGATGAAAACGGACAACGCCATCGGTCAGAAACGTGCTCATGACAGGTTGGCTCCTGTTTTCTCGCAGGCCTCGGGGTTCCTTCCCTCACTGCTGTCCTTGGAAGCTTTTCTGATCAAAATGTCTAGCAGGATGCCACACGTGACGTGACCTTAATCACCACTCACATGTGGTCCAGGTCGTAGAACTTGGATATATGATTGTGCTGGCTGACAAGCATCGGTGGCGTGCTCAGTCGATCATTGTTCCGCCCGGAGTTATCAGATGTGACGCAAACCTATCAAATCTATGGCCGGGTATACCCCGAGGTATCGACGGCGCAAATGGGCGATACTTAAACCATCAGCGCTGTCGTTATGTTGGTCCACGTAAATTTCTGCCTTTTAGAGCAACATTTGGTAACCACGATTTTATAGTGTTCATGATGGGGACACCGCCTGAACGCGCCTGCGATGGTGAAACGTAGCCACAGGTGTGACGGGAAGAATCACAAGATTTTATTTTACCTCATAACAAGACTGGGAGAACAGTTGGATGCATGCCATCCTTACTACACCCACCCAGCACTGTTGAGCAACCTTGCGGGCCGCTGAAGACTTTTTGCTTTGTACATGCCAAAAAATTATTTTCCGAGGGCACGGAGTCATCATAGATGCAGTGCTGGCGAGCCCTCCGCTTATGCATGATGAGGTATGCGATACAACCCAAAGATGGTGGCGCGATTAACGAGCAATACAGCACGTTCACTTCTCACCGATAACTCCCTTCAACTTACGGTAATATAATACATTGAATTGATTGAAACAAGTGCGTTCGAGAATAATCAGGGTGGGTCTAATTTCGCCATCCAACCTTAGGCTCCACTGTAATACAGTGTTTGTGTAATCGGGTTAGGCCTGTACTCGTAATTAGTCTTGAGCATTGCAGCTGAAGACACACGATTGTACTCTGTAAAGCGATAGCAAGATTCGTCCATAGAAAGGAGACAGTTTCCAAGACAGGAAATAGTGATGGTGCTTGTTATGTAGCGGCACATGACTGGCGCGTAGTGTAGTCAGCTTATCCAATCCTGTTTTCCTGTTCTCCAGCGGCATACGATATTCCACGTCGCTAGCACCCATGAGATCCCCCTCTTTAACTGCTGCAATGCGTCTCATGACGTACTCAGTCGGCCGGCGACATTTCACTGCGAGCGCCCAAAGGCAACAGACATACATTGTGTGGGCACCAGACAATACCGACGAAGGCGCCTTGGCAAGGAGAACGGCTGTTCGGCAGAAGCACTTTGTCACTGCTAATAAGCTTATCAAACAAGGAATTCTCAGTGAGTATCCAATAGTGATGTAGAATTTGGGTACTTCTAAACCCTTGTACTTATTCATGCCCAAAGAAGTTGCTGGTGGTCTTTTGACACCTGATACCCAAGATGCCGCCCCCGGAAACAGAAGGTTCGTTGGCTCTGCTTTGCTATACGAAGCGGAGAATCTAGATGCTGTCCGGAAATTCGTGGAGCAAGATTTGTATTGGACAGAGAATGTCGTGAGTTCGGTTCTCCAACTGCCATTTAGGTCACTTAGATACTCAGTGCTGCGCCTGACGAAAGTGGGACAAAGACAAAATAGTGATCCTTCCGATTATTATGGCCACTACCCTGCAAGAGAGGGCGGGTATCACACAGCCAACTCCTGAAGATTGATGGAACCAACGGTTGGCTCCCCTGATCTTACGTTACTTCGGCGGGCCTCCTTTGATTGCCACTTTCCGCTTGGCTTTCGAAAAGAGCGCAGGGTGATCAAACCACACTGTCATTTCCGTTGACTGTTCGGAGTCCGAGGTGTAGTAATGACACAGTTATATTTTCGTCCCCAAACCATATTATGTCGTGTTCACGCACCCGAACTAACTCTCCCCAGATACCGGGGGTGTGAAGGTGGACGTAAGTGCTATCCTGCTCACTACAGTTCGATGCTCCGCTTGCTGCGCAACTTGCACACAAGGATCACCTATTGTGGCCATGCGAACACTCCGGAATAAGGGAGTTCCGCGGGCACCGAGGGATGAGGTGTCCAGCTATCGCCATGCGTCAGCTCGCTACTCTATCCTCCTTAAGTTTAAGGCACTCTCATAGCTCGGCCAACCTCATACGTGCTTACATAGTCCATAACAACGTGATAGGCGAGGCAACTGTACATGCCTGAGGGACCCACAAGCACCCATCAAAGCCTTATCACGTCTAACGACCAGACTCGGGGCCCGAAAATTGCGGCAGCACCGACTTTTGTAGGCCCCTACGTAAAATAGCGATTATATTGTTTTCATAGGGAAGCGATGTTGCAGGTATGTAGACAGTATCGTTAGTCACGCGAAGGGGGAGCCGTGTTTCAGGCAGCATGAACTAGTACTCTCGGAAATCGAAATCTGATTGGGCTCACAATGGAATATGTGTATAACCGTATTTGAACGGGAGCAAGCCATATTCAAGGGAACTCAGACTATCTCCTAATACTTCAGTCACATCGATATATTGGTGACATCACTCCCAGGCTACCGTGTTTCGGAGGTGGGGGTGTGATATGTTTGGTTATTGATGTCATTGCCCACCGTAGTGGCGGAGAAAATCTGATTATCTCCAGGTCTGCCGATGAAATCATGCCCATGACGGCGCAGTAAGTGCGCTGCGCGTCTGCAAGGATTCCATGGTTATGGAATCAACAACTGGGGTAGGACTAAGAGCTTTCTGGATATCTCTCTCTTGGATTCTACTGTGACACGTATATACAATTAATTCTGATGCTAGATGGAGCGATAAATGACAGTGATGTATATCCTCCAGAGCCAATGGTTAGGGTAACAGGTAAAGCATTCCTAACCCAGAGATCTACAGGACTCTGCATCCAGGACATGATATCAGTCGGAAGGGCACTTGAAACGTTTTCTGTATCATGTGACGCCTAGGGGGCTGGACGAGTTTAGTCAGCTAAGCCATACCATCTATACCCGGTGCCGTCAGCGCTGCCTTTTGTCTCAGACCAAGTAGCGCTTTTCTTTTCGCTGCAACCACCACCATCTCCGAGACACAGCTTCGCTGCTGGCTATACCACAAGTTTACAAGCCAGCCTGGATGTCCGTGTCTTTTACTATCGCTTAGCTGCAATCAGCTCTGCGTCATAGCTATCTTCAATATCGCTTGCACTTGTCTCTGCGAATATTGTATTGCGCTCAACCTTCTGTATCATATCTCCTACCCAACTGTCAAGCTTATTTAGAAATGCTCGCGCCGTGTCGAAATCATAGAACAGAGGCCAAATACAATGTCACAACAGAATGTAAGTTGGTCCGATGAACGTCTCGTTCCTGGTTTTCACGTTCCGCTTCATCTAGTCCCATACCTCGGTTTACATTCGGCCTCAGCATCAGGGGATATTGGGCTCGTACAGTATGCATTGTCCCATGGACAACCAGTCAATTCAGTCCTCGATGGCGTGCTCCCTCTGCATGCAGCTTGTGCAGGGGGAAATGATCTGGTGGTCAAACTTCTGATCGAGCATGGTGCAGACGTCAATGCACCAAGGTTCGTCGCCTTCCCTATAGTCTCAGCAGTACATTTTTGTCACCTTCGTTCCTCTGGGTATAGATTACCTAGGCGGTATTCTGACAGGAACCGTGATGTATCAGCGCCGATTGTGGGCACATCAGGGTCTACTCCCCTCCATTTTGCGTCTGCCAATGGTCACCTGACGGTTGTTCGTACACTCCTTGCCCATGGTGCAATCCCAGACGGGGCAGACAAACACGGCATTACTGCCGAACATATTGCACGGGAGAATGGGTGGATCGAATGCGCTGAACTCCTTGCAGAGTGTGTGGCCAATGTGAGGGAAAAACAGAGGTCCGCAAGGAGTGATAATAAGCCAGACAACGACACTGCTGTCCGCAGTGTACTCTGCCCTACTGACCACGCGGAAAGCCCGTTGCGAAGGCGTTTAAACTTCAAATGCTCTATCGATCATGCTCTCAACGCGTTAAAGAGTGGGAGTGGGAGCAGTACGCCTGACGTTGAATCGAGGTCTGTTTCGTTGCATCCCGACTCCTTGGAGCAGAGCCAACCTAGGGAATCGACCCATCCCGCACCGCTTGTCCCTGGTCGGCGACCATCGCTACCACAGGCTGACGACGGGCGGAGTCCGGGAGTCTTGTCTCGCTCACGCCGCCCTAGATCTGCAGGAACAGGCGCCGAAACAACTTCTCGCAAACTGCATCCCAAGCTATCCCTTCTCAGCCTTTTTAGGAAGTCCAATGATGATGGATCCAATTCGAGCGTGACTTCTATTCCGGAGCATAAAGGCCGTTTCCCTTTGCCGTCATCATCCATGCCTTGCGACCCTTCACCACCTTCCAGTGTTGCTGGTTCACCACCGAACCATTCCACTTCCCTTTCTTCTTCGCCTCGTGATGCTTCTCAGCACGAGTATCAAGGCCGGTCGGATAGTGCTGCCTCCGTCTCGGGGGTTGGAGATTCCGCCCTACATCCTGCTGAACTGCAGAATAGTTTTGCTGACAACCATCATTCTACTCCCGGTTCGAGTTCTGCGTCAGGCTTCAGTGAAGGAAAAGCTACGGACAACGTGTCTATGTCTTCTTCTGGAGTCCCCCTTCGGCAGGGCATACTCCGAATGCATAACCGGTCGTCGTCCGCGGGGCATAGTGCATCGGAGCAACCTCTGACCTCTTCTCGTATCCTTCGCTTCCAGAGTTCAACCTCCAGTATCAAGTCTATTGGCCGCTCTCGCAATCCTAGCGGACGCGGCGGGCAATCATCACGCTCTTTAAATACCTCTTCCGGTGGACAACTTGAAGAGGACCACGATGGCATTCCAGACACTATCGAAGAGTCGCCAGTTGTACCGCCGCAACCAAACCCGCCGATTTTTATCAACCTTCTGGATGATGAAGACGATATGGATGAAGAATATGGGGTGCCTTTGAATAGTACGACTCTTCCCTCCGGATCTACCGACTCCGTTGGTCCATCGATGGGTGTCTCGCCATTACCTTTTAGCATAAGCTCTCCCCCGCCCACGGAAGAGCTGGCAACCTCTTCGACAGCAGACAGCAGATTGCGCGGAGATTCGATCAGCAGCAAGGACACTACAAGTACCACGAGTACATATCCACCATCCAGTTCTAGTGATGCGGTATGGAGCTTGGGCACTCCAGACACTCCACACCTGTCACCCCACCCAATTATCGTCCCCGTACAGGGCGAGATATCTTCCGTCAATGGATTAGTACACGAGACCCGCGAATCTCATCGCGCGAAGCCTTTGTTGCTTGATATAAACATCTCGAGCATCTCGAGCATATCTTCATATGCACAGGCGGAAGAACTGGTGCAACGAACTCAACAATCCATAATGAACATGGAGCAATACCTTGAAGGCAATACCACAAGAAACACCGAAACGGGCAGAACTGCTCTCAGTGCGAAATTGGCAGCATACGGGGAGAGCCTGGCCATTGAGCGACGGTTGAAGGAGGCAAGAACGTGGAAACGACCAAGTGAGGTAGATATGAAGAGAGTATATCACCGTGGTCGATATTCGCTCTCTTCCGCCAATCTGTCGACGCCCGACAATGCCATGTCAAGGGCCCACAGTGCAGATGGTATGTAAACGATGTAGCTCGCGTGTTTCGTGTGTTGACCCGTATACGATAGCCGTTATGAATGAAGAAACTCCTGTTAGGGAGCATGAAGCCTATGGAGGGCACGCATCGCGGATTACATCTGTTAGCGGCCCTGATACTCACCCGACGTTGGGTGGCACTGAACGCTTCTTGTATACGCCCCCGCGCTCCCGGACCCCCAAACTAGATCCCGACTTCAATGACGGTGTATCGTTCTCCCACATATCAGCTGCACATTCGACGAGATTTCCAAGAAACTGTGGTCGAGACGCAGATCCAACGCGTAGTGCACGCAAGCTTTCTCGCATGGGCTTTTCCACAGTGGATGCCTGGCACCCCAACCCATATAAGCGTGAAGTCTCCCGCTCGCCTCCACCGAAGCATTTCTTCGGGGGCATACGAACTTTGATGCAGAGTTTGCAGGGTAAGTAAATCACGAACAATGTACCAAGAGACAGCGCGGCCGCAAACCTTCTTTGCTTCCTCTTTTCTCAGTTTTGTTATTATTAGCTGGTGTAGCATCTTGCCCGTTTGTTCCCTCGAATTTGTCAGATTATCAACAGTGTATGCAAAGCGTATGTAAAACATCATATCTACAGTCTATCGATCACAAGCAATCCATGTTCGGCAGGTGTCGGTATTTATCAAAAGAAAGAAAGAAAGAAACTGAAGCCCAGAAGACCACGAAAGGTACGTAGGATAGGAGACTAATTGGAGGGATGTACCGCCGCACCTGCTTTCGGCGCTGATGCGCACGATTTCTGGTGCTTCCTCTTAGCATCTTGTCTGGAAAGTGGAATGCCGCAATGTTTGCAGAGTACTTTAACCCCGAGGTGGTAGGTGACTATGTGCCTCGCAACATTCCGCCGCTGTAGTAGCGTATCGCATTGATCCCAGAGACACGTCATCTGTTTTTCGTCACACACGAAGTTATGAAAATCGCGCAGGTGTTGAGCAATTCTGTTCTTTTCTCCTTCTATGTGATGACCACACTGGTGGCCATGTGAAGACCACATGCAAGGATATGTGGCGATGTCGGGGGTACTGGGCACGGCATCGTACACAGCCCAATCGCGCTCACCTGGCATTTCCGAGGACCCACCACCCCCTAACCCAACCAATGGTGGCAAGAAGTGTGTTGCAACCGGGGTTCTCGGTGGTGGGCGTTGCATAGCTGTAATTCTACTGATGCCACCATCCGGGACAGGCGGCAGCAACATGCGTTGGTCGTAGGCATGCGAATGCGAGGAGAATGCTAGGCCCGCAGGGGGTGTCGCACAGTGCGCGAAGGAGTGGGTATCTTGGTTGACGAACGTCCCTTGCAATTGCCCAGACACTGGCTGGTTGTACGACGTAGCATCCAGAGGAATGCTTGTGTATGAGGACTGAGAACGGTGGTTTTGATGGGTAGCTTGTAAGTTTGAGTAAGGGTCTTGGTAGGTGCTGAATGCATATCCTTGTTGGAAGTCAAAGTAGCCTTGTGAAGTTGTCGGAACCACAGCTGGATGAGAGTAGCTGGTAGCGTGGTAAGCGTGGGAGACTTGCGCCGAAGCCGGCTGCCCCCTAACAAATCTGACGCAATGGTTGAGGTCAGCGGACCAATCCGCCTCACAAATCGCATACGCACCCGGAATAACCTGCAGGTACGTTCGGATATGACGGAGGCGAAGATTGGATGTATTCGGGTGCCACATCACCATCACCGCTAATAGTCCTTGAGCCCCTGACTTAACCAAGACGTCTGGTAACGTGAACCTGACTTACCTGGGTGACCACTGGGTCTGCATACCGGCCATGTCTGACCCCTCCGGCAACGGTGCGCGTTGGTACATCGATCAAGGGAGATGCGTTTGCGTCCAAAACCCTCTCGGAATGCAGGCTTTTATTAGTCCGCATACTTCAGAGCCCAGTATCGGTAAACTCGTCCTCCCGGGCCCCATGGACTCTGCTGAATCTGCTGAAGCCCTACAGGAACGTGATCGATTACATTCGTACAGCAGCGATGGCTGAGAAGCGACGCGAATTTTTTTCCGTGAGCGGTATATCTCAGGTTGTCATCGTGCGCTTGCCACGTGGGACAACACTCCACCCCAGGCTATGTCTATCCTACTCCGCCCACCCGCAGGACCTGCCTGAGGCCATGGAGATGCGAACGGGCTGTCATCGCGCATTTTCCTGTCTTTTTCGTGCCGATTGTCTGTGGTAGGTACATGAATTCACGCCTCCGGAAAGCTTTGAGGTCACCGCCTCCGGGCGTAGTGGTAATACTGAAGAATCCATATATTTATCCATCCAGTAGTAATGTGGTGGAAGAGCGGTGCTGCTCTACATGCGATCACTGTCCAGACGTCCTTGATGGTCGGGTGCCACAGAACTGCTCGTCTCGCGTTCTTATGAGTTCAGCCTTGTTTGCCGTGGTTTTCTCTGTACAATAGGCTATGTGCATCCAGGTTGCAGTTGCCGCAGCCTTTCTTCGCTACTTGAAGTTTCCCTTCGTACCCTCTAAGCACCCTGGGTCGATTAGTTTCGGTTCAATCTTTCCGTTTGTATACGAAGCAGAATTACTCGTTTTGCATCGAGTAAGTAATTTTAAGCCGAGAACATCAGGTTAGGGTGTTTAAATTAGGTGAGCCGAAAGTCGGCCGGTCGCTGACCGAGATCACGAAAACTATTGTTCCGAACACCGTGTTCACTTTTACAATGACTCTTGAACAGTCCCTCCAAATGGTATCGAATATGCCATCACATTCAGTATGCGGCATACTCCAGCCACCTTCTGCGGCCGTGGCAACCGTATCAATACGTGCCTAATAAATCTGAGCAAAGTGTAAGAATGCTCGATCCAACTAACCAGGTAACGACCACTGGCAAAGAACGGGCCACATCTGACCCACAGATAAGCAAGAGAATGCGGACTAAGCGGACGAAACGTGCCCAACTTATCTTCGATTTGTCTGACTAAATGAATAAGCAGTGCAGAAGTCCGTGCCATTCTGCGCCATTGCGTGTGCGGAGATATTGTATGGCGGCTAGCCCTAAAGGAGACTTTGGTGACAGGTGTGTCTCCGTGGACGTTGAACGAGGCAAATTACCTCGCAGCGCAGTATGTTAGAAGATTTGTCTCCATTCGATGGAATCGGCTCAAGATTCGGAGTCGATGAAAAACATAACAAAAATAGTTTTTAACTCCTCGCTGTGTTGGCAACAGCGACTACTTACTGTCTCCAATCGTTGGAGAGGCAACAGGATGCTTACAGCACTGATCGCAAAGTGGTTTCTGCCAGCTGCATATCTCACGGGATATTCTTTCCCCTATCACCAATACATGTGCGCGGGATTAATGATCCTGATCTATCACCCAAGCTTCGAGCACGACCCGAACAGTCGTCCAAATCTATTATGAGGGACATTAAACATTATTTTGACCTCTTTGTCCTGTGAGTGGAATTCTTTATGCGGAAGACCCGCAGGAAATTTTTTACGGAGCTCCTGTGCAGTCCTGGCGGCGAAGCCTCGCCTCTACCAGCTGCTTCGCTAGCTATGCAACCCGGTAAAAGAGTCAGACTAATCACGGACCCCCCGATAGCAACTGACACGCCAGAGTCACGACGGCCCTCTTGATGAAGAAATGGCATAGAAAATACACCAAGGCACATTCTGACACGGGAAACTGACGAGGAAGGTACCTTTAGTCCTGGGACCTTTGTACAGGGGACTCTCAAGAATACTGCTGACACGACCAGAAGAGGGAGGGATTGTGTTTTCTGGTCAAATTTCTGCTAAACAACCGATACATTTTCCTGTAAAATTGCAGCATTGTGGTTTAGTGTGGCAGACTTCGAGGCTACCATTTACTGTCACTGCCCATTTCCCCTGATCAAGGGTGAATGTGTTATAGTGCGTGTCGCGCAGAATGTGCCATTGTACCGAGCCTGGTATGCACAGGAAAGAGGTGGGAAGTGTTCATGTACACAGCGTCGAACGTTGACCGGCGACGAGGGCCGTGAAGCGGCACAGCTTTCTGTGGAAAGGCTCCGACTCGATGAAACCATGAAGCCTAGCACTGTGAGGCGTTAGGGGACATGCATCTTGCACAGTATTATACATAATAAGCCTGAGCCTAAATACTCTTTCGATATGTATGTCTATTTGCAGTGTGTCGTCCGTGCTCCCCTGAATGGGAAAGTTGCGTAAGCGACCGGGGCGTGCATGAGGAGTCTGAAATTACCGGTGCAGTAAGAAAGAAAACTCATTCAGACCTTACATATGATCTTTAGTCTTCCCAACTGTCGTGAGGCCCACACCCAAAACAAAACAAAAAAAATCGTATTATGTCTGCAAAAGTCTACGTCGGGTGTGACCAGCCGATTCTCCCAAAGTCCTTTTCAGTCCTGACGCACTATCCCAACGTAGTAACTTGAGTTGGGAAACGACTGATGAGACTCTTTTTCTGGTTGGTATTTCGACAGGTACAACGTTGTGATCGATGAAAGCTGATCTTTGCGTGCAATTACCACTAGGCGTTTGCCCGTTTTTAAACTGTCTTAGATGTGCGTGAACCTCCGTCATCGCACCGCGATGGTCGAGATTTTCTTTCCTCTTATGTTACTGAACGAATCCCATATTTTATGTCTCGTTCGTCAATATCGACCATGTCTTCGATGCCCACATATCTAAATACAGTCGATCGTTATGATAGATAGCGAGACTGGACGTTCTCGGGGATTTGGATTCGTTACATTCAGCAGCGCTGACAACGCTGAAGCCGCGGTCCATGAAATGCATGACAAGGTACTTGACGGTAGACGGATCCAAGTCAACATGGCTGGTGCTCGTGCCCAGTGAAGGGGGTCACGGTGGAAGTTAGTGTTGTTGGCAGAACCTATGGGGTTATGTATGGCGGTACCTGGCAGAATCTCACACCAAATGTAACTTAGTAGGCGGTCAGGTTGTCCGAACATCGGGCTATGGAAAGGTTGACATCAGTGCATTCCCAGTCTGTCATGTCATCCAGCATTGGTGGGTGACCCGTCCCTGATTTTGTTACTGCAAATTTCACCTGCATCAAGAAAGTTGGCGACAAGTCTGACCGGTATTGCTGGAAATGCAACATCTGTGGTGACAGCCCGGGCTCAAAAGATGTTCGAATCCAAGGATGAAACAACCCATCAGCTGCTTCGCTAGCTGCGCAAACTGGTAACAGAGTCAGATTAATCACCGACCACCCAGTAGCAACTGACATGTCCTAGTCACCACTGCCCTCTTGACGAAAAAATGGCATAGAAAATACACCAAGGCACACTCTGACACGGAAAACTTACAAGGAAGGTACCTTTAATCCCGGGACCCTTGTACCGGGGACTCTCAAGAATACTTCCGACACGACCAGAGGAGGGGAGGGGGGGATTGTGATCGCTGGCTAAATTTCTGCTAAACAATCGAGTCATTTCCCCGTGAAATTGCAGCAGCGTAATTTAGTGTGGCAGACTTCGAGGCTAACCATTTACTATCACTGCCCATGTCCCCTGATCAAGGGTGGATGTGTTGTAGTGCGTGTTGCGCAGAATACACAACTACGCCGAGCCCCGTATGCACAGGAAAGAGGTGGGAAGAGTTCGTGTACACAGCATCGTGGACCGACGACGAGGACCGTGAAATGGCACAGCTTTCTGTGACAAGGCTCCGACTCGATGAAATCACGGAGCCTAGTGTGGCAATACTGTGGGGCGTTAGGGGACATGCATCTTGCGTAGTGTGACATAATATGCCATGAGATAATGCAAAAACGCCGGGCACGCCCTCGCTTACGCAACTTTCCCATTCACTTCGGGGAGTCAAGGGGAGTCTGAAATTACCGGTGCAGTATAAAAAACGCATCCAAACCCTAAATACGATCTCTAGTCTTCTTTCCCGACCGTCGTGAGCCTACACCAAAAAAAAAACATTTTCGTGTCATGTCTGCAAAACTCTACGTCGGGTGCGACCCGTCGATTCTCCTAAAGCTCCCTTCAGTCCTAATGCACTATCCTAACGTAGTAACTTGAGTTGGAACACAACTGACGATAGTCTTTATGAGGTTGGTGTTTCCAAGGGTGCAACGTGCGATCGATGGAAGCTGATTTTCGTTTGCGATTACCACTAGGCGTTTTCCACATACGGGCAGGTCATTGATGTGCGCGAACCTCCATCATCGCACCACGATGGTCGAGATTTTCTTTCCTTGTTATGTTACTGAACGAATCCCATATTTTATGTCTCGTTCGTCAATATCGACTATGTCTTCAATGCCCACGTTTCTAAATACAGTCGATCGTTATGAAAGATCGCGAGACTGGACGTTCTCGGGGATTCGCATTCGTTACATACGGCACCACTGACGAGGCTCAGGCTGCGATCAATGGATTGCATGACCAGGAACTTGATGGTAGACGGCTCAAAGTCAACATGGCGAATGCTAGGCCCAGTGGTGGGGGAGGTCGCGGTGGAGGTTATGGCGGGGGTGGTCGTGGGTATGACGGTGGCTCCGGCGGCTATGGAAACGGCGGCGGCGGCGGCAGATGGTGACGAAATTTGCTTGCGACAAGGAACCCTGCATGCTACAGGTTGTGATAGGCCGTCTTATGCATTGCTGTCTGTTTTTCTTGTAAAGATCGGTTGATACCCTCGCCGTGGGCGCGAGAGCTCTGACTTGATGGTTGGCTGGTGACGTTCCAACTACATTGTAAGCGTATACAGTAATAGGCAACCAATACTGGCAAAGCGGAGAAGCGACACCAACACGATAGGGCACCGAATTCACCTCGGTGTACTATCCCCTTTGCCCTATTGCTAGGCCATAGTACATTGTAGAGTTCTATACTACAAGAACGGCGGCAGTCATGAGTCTGTAACATGGATTTCACCTAGCTTGGGTATCGTGTAAATGGGACATCGAAAACGGGGAACGAAGGAACATGACTATCATCGACCTCGTAACATCGTACATATACAGCGCATCTTAAAAACAAAAGACTACATATGCAGTGAATTGAACAAAAAAAAAAAAAAGATGGAAGTGGCGCTACAAAACAAGGCTGGATTGAATGGGGGGGGGGAGGTTCATAAGCCACAAAATGATGGCGAAGTCAACACACATCAGTTGATCGCAGAAGAAATGGATGAAATGAAGCGTGATTCATGGACACGTTTGGCTCGTAAATTGGAACAGTTCAATACCCATAACCACCACCACCACCACCTTGTTGGTACCCTCCTTGGTAATATCCCCCATAGCCGCCGCCACCTTTCAATAGGTCAGTGTTTCGTACATTTTCGTCACAAGAAAATATCACTTGGATAGTAGCCTTGTTGTCCGTAAGGTTGTTGACCGCCGCCATATCCGCCTGGTATCGTCATTAATAGGAATCCTTACTTCCAAGGAAGAGCACTACCGTAGCCTCCACTGCCATAGCCACCGCCGCCGCCACCGCCACCACCAGAGCTATAGCCGGTGGGCCGAGTATTAGCAAGGTTGACTTTTATTCTTCTCCCATCCAATTCTTGTTCATTCATGCCACTGATAGCAGTTTCCGCTTCCTGAGAGGAGCCATAAGTGACAAACCCGAACCCTCGCGAGCGGCCGGTTTCACGGTCGCGCATGACAATACTCTGAAGTGCAAACCACAGCAGCAGCGGACGCAGCAGACGTGGGGGATTTTACGATAAGTTTCATTGTGAGGAAACAGAAAACAAAGCGCACATCTATCACATTTCCAAATGCCGAGAAAGCCTGGATTGCAACACGCAGGGTCGTGCGCCAACCGTACGTAGCATGACCAAAAGTAAGGAATGAGGGTCGCGGATAGCAGGCTTGTAAGAAACAATCGCTTAGAATATAAACGAGACAACATAGCAAGAGCCATTTCCGAATCCTGCTATATTTCGTCACTGACTTCACGTAAAGTATCATCGTTCGTGTTCCAACTCAAATTTCTACAGAAAACCAGGGGAACAAGCCAACGATCAGTCTTGCTTCCCGTGGCCATAAGGGACAAAGGAAGCACGTGTCTAACCAAGTCAAGCACAAATGCAGACTGACCCAACATAAATTTTAGAGGACATGTTGGCTTGTTTTTATGGGAAAGGAGGAGTCGATCAATGTCAGTACAACAGACAGAACGTGCACAAGGGAACGGGAAATGATAAACGCAGGTGGAGAGAAGGTCGAGGGCGAGAGAGAGGGGACCCATGAATGCCCCCCTTATAATCGACATTTCAAACTCCGGCCTGAACTCTAACAAGGCAACTCTCTCCGCCGAATCTAGACTGGTTTCCTTACTTGGATGCGATGATCGAATTAGCCCCGCTGAAGACAGGGGCAACAGAGATAAACGGAGATGTCCGGGGGGAGGAGGGTCACGAGCACACCACAAAGACGCCTGCAAGATCTGCACAACCCCAGATATATTGCTGCACGAGTAATATGACCGCGGCGTTTGCGAGACGCGAGTTCCACAGTGTCTTTTCCGTCGTGCGTCGAGAGTCGGTCAACTCACTCGCAAATGCGGGCATCAAGTGCATCGCTGCGGACCCGTTAACAATGTCGCTCCAAGACCACTGTGTGTGCGCGTATGTTCCCGGATCAACGCGTGTTTGGTGGCATCCACCAGAAGGGGGAATGGACTTGCAATGTACCATGAGTCACGTTGCACGCCCTATTTCATCGTAGAAGATTCATTCGGATGTTCCCGACCCCGGGGTATTTGAGGACGCCGTCGCCATATCTCCGGATTGCTTCCTTCTCAAGAAGATAGTCTGCAGGGCAGTCACCAGTCACGACTTCCCTTCTCCCGTAGATGCAGCGCTGCGTGTGCCCATTCAAAGTGTCCCATTCATTTGATCATAAGGGTTGGTGAGCTTGGAGTTAGAGTGAACCTGTTATCAACTCCACCCGCCTTCACTGTAAGTGGATCGGCGTCACATTGCATCTTAGGGTGGAGAGCATTGGCAATTTGCCTTGCACCTGCGAGGTCTACTCAGAGAGATGCAAGCATTAATATCTCGACAGATACGGCCACGTCAATATAAAGCACAACCACATTCTTCCCTCATGAACAATAAATCGTGATAACAATTTGGCATGACTGTCGTAGGAGTCGTAAAGTACTTCAAACAAAATTTGGGTTTCCACTCCGAGAATGATGTGACGGGTAAGTAGGTGAACAGACCGTATGGCAGTGTAGAGATGTGACCTGGACGACGTATAACAAAACAAAGCAGTAAGACGAAGTGAGAAAACAAAAGAAAAAGATAGAAAAAAAAGAGATCATATCAGATCAAAAGAAATGATTCGTTAGACTTAACTCGATCTCACACCGATCAGGTGGAACCGCTGCTGCTTCCAAATTGCATGAAGCTTCTTCTCCTTCTCTTCTTCTCTTCTCGTTCCTTGTCCTTCTCGGTTTGCCTGCTTATCTCTCCAGAATTGCGCGCACTCTCCGCACCACTTGCCAACCCACTGCCGCTTCCGGTCGCGCTTGCAACATCGGCGTCCTTGCTACTCGACTCTCCGCTTTTTCCTTCATCTTTGTCGGCAGCCTTGTCCTTACTGTCGCCCTTGAGGCTCGAGTCTCTCTTAAGTACATTCGCAATATTGGCGATACCAGGTATACCAGCACCCTTGCGTGGGGTACTCAAGGAGATGCGACGTGCGAGACGCTGGAAATTTTGCGATGATATCCGCTTGCGCTTGCCATCTGTCGGGTCATTGGGTGTGCCAGACGGGTCGGGCGTACCAGAACGTGGCGGGGTAGTCGTCGTGTCGAATGTGACAGAGGCACCTTGGACATGTCCCGGAACCGCAGGGCGCGGTTGCGACGCGACAGAGCGAGCGTCATCCGAGACGGGGAAGGCAACTGGCTCTGGTGCCTGGGAGCTCGAATCACCTGAAGTGGGGAACGCAACAGGTGCTGGCGTAGTGGCAGGTTCCTCTTCAGGGTCCGAGGTAGGGAATGAAACCGGAACATTGTCTTTAGGGGGAACTACAGGTGCAGTAGGCTCTGCGTGGATGGAAGCAGCTGGAGCTCGGAGAGAAGGGGCACGGATGGAGTCAGCGGGGCGAAGGGAAGCAGAGACTGGTCGCGGGGAATCCGCAACGACGCGATCGACGTCTTCAGTATCGACAGCTTCGGCATCATATCCAACGGGAGGCGGACCAGCAGGAGCTGACGTTGATTGACTGTACTCGGCCCACATGGACGTGAATATCCCATTTTCTGCAAGAAGCTCATCGAAGGCACCCTGCTCGACGATCTGGCCATCCTTTAGGACGATGATCCTACGAACAGCCAGAATATAATGAGCGTCTGCAAAGCCGTAAAATGATTGCCACTGACTGATCTACACTCCCCTGGATCCTTCCTAGATCCGCAGCACCAACCTCCCAAAGGACCGTCCTCCCATCCTTCACAAGGGCCAACGTCTCAACATCTAGATCACCTTCAACGAGTATAACCCGCGCAGCTTTAGCAAGTGCGCGAGAGATGGCCGCCTGCCGTTCATCGGCGTCAACCTTTGCCACGACTGCAAGCTTCTCGCGGAGACTGAGGGAAGAGATATTCCGAATGTCTTTACCGTCGATGTAGATAGAGCCACCGTTGACATCAGGTAGGTACAGGCGGTAGAGAAGCTTCATGATGGTTGATTTTCCACTGCCAGGCGCACCAACAAGGGCCACGGTGGATGACGCAGGTACAGTGAAGGAGACGGAGGAAAGTAAGGAACCATAGGGCTGAGCGTGCTCGGGAGAGTAGGGGTAGGTGAACGATACATTTTCTGTGAATATCGTTCAGGTACACAGCTATACCGGCGATTAGAGGATACGAACCGAAGCGAACCCCAACACCACCTTCACCATCAAGTGACATGTTCCCACAGTCTTTAACCTCGGCAGGTTGACTCAGCGTATCGAGCACAGAACGGACGTCTAGTAATGTTCCTTGTGGGCAAGGGATTGATGATAATGGCAATACAAGCTAGTCAAGCACATCATTTTTAGGTTTGCATTGACAACGTGAATGAACAGGATACTCACAGCCAACCAATACCAGACCCAAGCAACCCAAGCGCCGATGGTCCAGACGCCGTCAACAACTCCTTCTGCGATATACAAACTACCAAGGAGCAAACCCCCACAAGCAATGAGGGCCTGCACGAGAGTGAGTAGTGCGAAAGCCGGATACACACGAGAAGAGGAATAGGGGACCGTGCAAAGTGAGAGGGCACGAGAAAGAACGCGGGTAACAAAAACTGTTCAACGATCACGTTGAGCTATTCTGTTCTCAAACATGGCGCACGATCTACGTACCGTAAACGTCGAGGACGATGAAGACGCCCAACGCAACCTCCCAGCCGAACAACAGACCTAGCACAATAACACCTATGAAACTATCAAGAATAGCAGCCACACAAACCGAGACGGCTTCCAAGAGCTTAGAGACTGCGCCCGTTGGATAGAGGTTTCCTTTCACCTTCAGTCCGGTAGAATTGCCAAGTAAGAGGCCTGAAAGGTGGGCAGCATAAGCAGATTCAAGGGTGGCATCCGCATGTTCTCCAATGCGAGATTCGGCGGCAAGGATCAGTGCTGGAATTCCGCCCTGCGACGTGAGGAAGTATGCAATGACGAAGACGAAGATGTACGGATAAGGCGAGGTGCCGAGAGGCATGGGGATGGGGTATGTTACATCGGACTGGGAGATGAATGCATTGACAGCTGCGCCCAAAGAAAGGGGTAAGGTGGGCTTCAACACTCGAACGATCAAATGGAGAAAAGTCGTGAAGGCCTAAAGTGGGTCCAGTTTAGCAAACGGAAAAACAAAGCCGACGGGCAAAGCTTACAAAAACAAATTCTCGTCTCTTGGAATTGGATGGACAGATGAAACAGCCCAAGCGGCACAGAGTAGCAAGGGATGATTCGCGCTTCGAGGAGTTCTCCTGAGTTGCAGCGTCATGAAGTGGCAACCGTATCACTGAACAGGATCTCACCTTGACATCTGAGGACGTGAGAGGAGGACCAGATTCGCACTGATCCCGAGCAGCGAAAGTACCGTATTTACTACTTTCTGCGGCTGGGCCGTCCTCTTGGAGGGGAGTGTTCTCTTCCCCGGCCGTCTCCAATTCAGGCTGTCTCTCCGCATTAATATAGGTGACACGGGGTGAATTGAGGGCGAGTAGGAGCGTGAAGAGGAAGAGAACGCGAAGGCATGGCGTGAGGAGGTGAAAGATGTCAGGGATACACTTGGACAATTTAGGACTACTGCAGAAATGTGCTCTGTCTAAAGATGCCGGAACAAGACATGGTACATTAGCTGAGAGCATTTGCTGTGAAGCTGTGTACTTGCCACGTGTATTGGTAGTCAACGCAAGGACGACCTGCGTGATGTCCAACGCCAAAGCAATGGTAATGGCGAGTTTGACACGAGCGAGAAACCATACTTGGACGTTGTTGATGTCCTTCCAGGCTCCAAGGGCAGCCAGGCCAGCATAGGCCACCAGGCCGAGGAGAGAGGCAAGAGGGATGCCAGTCCCGAGACTCCACACCTTGTTGAAGACAGCATAAGCAATGTAGGCCAGCCCGTCGATAAGAAAAGAAAGGGCAGAGAGAGAAAGAAGGACGAGGATAAGGGTTGACCTTGGGACGCGTGACTGGACGACGACGGGGGTGATCGGCGACGGGGAAGGTGGAGAAAGCGGCTTCGTGTACAACAACGAAAGGGTCGTAAGGAGAACGACCGCAGGGGAGGATACCCGCACTGCGAACAGCGCAGCAGCTGATGCACCGAGAGCTTGCCCCGCAGAAACGAAGACAACGGCAGATCGTTTGCGTGTCATCGTCGTCGGAAAGTATTTAAAAAAAAAAGACGGCGACAACGACGGCGAATGGAGTGGCTTGACTTGGATGTGTGAGGTCTGTCGTCGTCCCACTCGCACTCTGTCAATTTATTTTAGCGTTGCCCGCCCTCCAGGTCCACAGAGAAGGAAGGCGTGGGAGCGACGCACCACAGGCTCGCCTTTTGTGCTGATGGGTGGCTGTGCTGTGCATCAAAAATTATCCAAGATAGCTCCAAGCTGTAATCGGTTCTCGCCTCGTGTATCCCCTCTGCGTCCTATGATTCATCTCAACACGTGTGCCCAGCATGTGCCCTTCCTATCACGCAGCACCATCGCCGCATCTCTATTCAATTGACGGAGAACACGTGTGGTTATTTCCTTCCGATACACTTCGCAAATCGCATTTGTATACAGTTCCGTTAGACCTAAGACAATACGTAGTCATGCCGAAGAGCCCCGTCACTCCCGACGCTGCAACTCCTCTATGATCGCGTTGGCACGCTCTTTAGACATTCTGCACTCCTCAACTAGCTTTTCCCTGATAGCACGCATCTTAGGGAGGTTACCCCCACGAATAAGATATCCCATCTTCTTCAGGAATGCAGACAGCCACTTGTCGGTCTCCATGAAGAATGGTGTTCCAGGCTCGTGTACATGTGTCCTCAGCAACCGCAGTACTGTTTGACGCGACTCGTCCAGCTTGTCTTCGAACAAATGAGTGTTCTTGTTGATTGCAGTGACACATGCATGCCCGATAAAATCAATCTTGAAATTCCTGAGATCTTCCTCATTGTCCGCCCACCACTGCTCCATATTGGCCTCCTGCTCCAGGTGTGTGACGACTATGGCCACCGGCACCTTCTTCTCGCACAGGTACTCCTGGAAAAGCCTATAGTTATTCAGCTGGGCCTCGTTCAGCCTTCCCCCACGCATACAGAATAACAAGAGGTCGACACCTCCCGCACGGTTCAACGCATCAATAAGTTTGTATGCTTTTTTGATCGCATGAAGGTAGTCACCCTGGTTTACCGTCGGGCTGTTCAGACCAACAGTATCGAAGATACGAAGATGAGACTCGTTTGCGGCAAGGCGATATTCTTTCGAGTCCAGAGTGCAGCCTCGCACGCCGGAGGACACAGAAGCAATCTCGTGCCCAGCAATGAGATTGATGACGGAAGTCTTCCCGACGCCAGTCTCCCCGAAGAGTACAATGTTTGCTATCCGGAGGAGCGGATTGACTTTGCGAGTCAGTAGTCCAGCTTCCTTGGACGACAGACCACATGTCTCAGTCAAGATTCCCGTCGCATCGGCGAGCCGATTGAAGAGGGGGTATACTGGCGTAGCCAAGACCACTTTGTTATCAGGGGTAGCAGTCCCAAGAAGCTGAATCAGTGCGTTCCTGGATTGTTGATATCGAAGATCAGCACCGGACCCCCGCGAACGTAGGGCGGTGACACAAGCGTGCCCCGCGAAGCGCAACCGGAACTTGTTGATGTCTTTCAAGTTCCTACCCCACCATCCATCCATCGCGCTCTCCTTCTCCCGATATGTTCGCAACCAGTACAATTGGAACCGTGCCATCGAAGAAGAAGTCGTTGAATAGATGGTATACATGTTGAGTGGTGGATGCTCAGCTTGTCTTTGTTCGTGCAAAGGAAAACGAGGTTGATTTTCTTTTTCAACGACTGGATTAAATTGCACGCCTTTTCATAGGGGACAAGGCGGCTCAAACTGTCCACATGCGCTGAGCTGAAGCCCATGGTGTCATACGCGCAGATTTCGGTGGATTTGACTGTGAACTTGTATTCTGCAAAAGCTTTCGTGCAAGCGTCGACATCGGACGACACCGAGGCAACATCGCTGTCTGCTAGAAGGTTGATAATAGAACTTTTGCCTGCCCCTGTTTCGCCAACGATAATGATGTTCAGAGGCATTCTACCTGATAATGAGCGCGGTCGACTTTCGTACGATGCACATACTCACAGTCAAAGCTTGGAGAAATATACGTCGGACCCCGAAACGTAACAGTATAATATTCAGTTGTGGGCTAGGCTTGGCATTCAAGTGAACGCGGGAAGGGATATGCAGGGAAACTCACTGAGTTGGCTTGCACGACGACGGGCGTCTGATTGTAATAATTAGAATAGGGGGGGGGGGGGGGGGGGTTGGTTACTGGAGAGTTCGGTATCGGGGGCAGCACGGACAACGGCAAATTACTAGTGCAGTCGTTAGCCAAGCAACGCGCACCTCGCGAGAAATCGCGATACGTAGCTCAAGGATCCTGGACTGTATGGCGGCTGTGATACGATCTAGGGTGCGTTGAAAACGTGTCCACCGCAACACGATGAAGGAGCGTGCATACTGAAATCTTCCTCCAGCAATATCACAGCTTGCAAGTGCTGTGCGAAGTTATCATGCTTCTCGTTCTGGAACCACGAGATTAAGCTCCATTGTGCGGGAGTTCTTCAACACATGGAGCTCAGACCGCAGGCACGAGCTGCACCAGTGATGCAATTTGAAGCTGTTTGAAGTACATACCTACTAAAAGCCAAGCCAGGGAACATACTTTCTTTGACTGCTACGTGCGTATTTCAACTTCACGGACACCTCGAAACATCAGGCTAAGTCATGTTTCCTCCATTTCAGTTCAACTTCCCCCGAAAACTTCCACCGATTCGGAGGTCGCAGCTGCGCTAGCACAGCGTCGGCACGCTCCGCGGACATATTACACTCCTCAACTAGCATTCTCCTGATAGCAACGTCCTTCGGAAGGTTACCTCCACCACTAATAAGTATCCCCATCCTCTTCAAGAAAAGCGATAACCACGTGTCCGCCTCCATAACAAACGGTGTTCCATGATTCTTGCACATGCGTCTTCAGTAAATCCAGTAGAGTTTCTCGCGACACCCTCAGCTTGTCCTCGAGCAGAGGGCTATTGATCTTGAACAGATCATTATCCTTGTCGATTGCAGTGACGCACTGCATGTCCGACACAGTCGATGTTGAGTTCCCTTAATGCTCTTCTCATTTCGTTTCCACCATTCGTCCATGTTGCGCTCACCCTCCAGGTACGTAACGACCGCAGCCACTGGCACTTTCTTCTCGCACAGATGCTCCTGAAAGAGCTTGTAGTTATTCACTTGGGCATCATTCAGCCGTCCTCCGTGGATGCAGAATAACAGCAGGTCGACACCTCCGGCACGGTTCAACCCGTGAATAAGCTTGTGTGCTCTTCTGATTGCACTGAGGAATTCTTGTTGTTTTACCGTCGGGTTATTCAGACCAACGGTATCGAAGATACGAAGATGAGATTCGTTTGCAATGAGGCGATACTCCGTCGAATCCAGAGTGCAGCCTCCCACGTCGGGTGATACTTTAGCCAAGCGGTCCCCAGCAATCAAGTTGATAACGGAGGATTTTCCAGCGCCACTCTCTCCCAAAGAGGACGATGTTTGGGATCCGGAGAATCAGTCTGACTTTGCCAGTCAACAATCCGGCTTCCTCGTCGGACAAACCACATTTCTTAGTTAAGGTTTCATTGGCACCAGCAAGTCGGTCGAGGAGAGGCTGCGTTGGTTTAGATAAGATGACATCACCCTGAGCGGTAGCAGTCCCAAGAAGCTGAATCAAGTGCGTTTCTGGATTGTTGATACCGAAGATCAGAACCTGGGCCCCTGCGAACGTAGGGCGGTGACACAAGCGTGCCCTGCGAACTGCAACCCCGAGTTGTCGATGTCTCCTGAGTTCCTCCTCCACCAGTCATCCAATGGAACTCTCCCTCTCCCGATATGTCGCAACCAGCACAATTGGAACAGTGCCGTCAAAGAAGAAATCGTGGAATAGATGGTATACATGTTGAGTAGTAGGATTCAGCTTGTCTTTGTTCGTGCAAAGGAAAACGAGGTTGATTTTGCTTTTCAATGACTGGATTAATTTGCACGCCTTTTCATAAGGGGCAAGGCGATCCAAACTGCCCCTCTGCGCTGGGCCAAAGCCCGTGGTATCGTACATGCAGACTTCAGTGGAATTGACCTCGAACGGATAAGGTGTAAAATCTTCTGTACAAGTGTCGGCGTCGGATGACTCGGGGGCGAGTTCTTTATCTGCGAGAAGGTTGATGACGGAACTCTTGCCTGCCCCTGTTTCGCCAACGACAACTATGTTAAGAGACATCCTACCTAGGAATAAGGGTTATGATGGTCTGTTTCTGTACACTGAGTATACTTACTGCCAAAGCTTGGAGAAAAACACGTTGATCTCGAGCAGTTAAAGCGTGTCAGCACAATCAACTATGAACTTCATCAACATTGAAGCTAATGTGGGAGACGGACTGCTAGAAGACTCACTGAGCTGATTTACACTGCAGCTGACCTCTGAACCGGAGGGATTGCGATAGGAGCGAAAGGCGAGGTCACCAGTTCCTCGCTTTCAAACTGGTACTTATGAGAAGGAGGCTTCGACTTTCGCAGACGCCGGACAATGGAAAGATTACCATTCCTGCGAGAATAGAGCTCAAGCGCTCAAGGGTTGGGTTGTATTCGTGCGTCGGGAACGTGTCCACCGTAACACGACGAAGGAACGCGTTGCAGGGACATATCCTGTGAGTGCTGGTCCTGTATCGTGATAGGCTCCATCGTAATGCGTGCAGCTCGCTGCACTCGACGGTGTCATACATTGAGACAACGTATATGAATGAGTGCAGTGCCTGCAGGAGCCCATCCTAATCATCGACTGTCGGGTGCAAGGCAAGTACTAGTAGCGCCCGGTATTTACTAATGTTTGTACCTGAGCTACATAGTCAGAGTAGTAGTCCGCTGCCTAATGTAGTAATTCCGCTCCGTTCTACAAGGACTAATAGATCGAGGATGCGGTCGACGGATCTTTCTAGTTTTCTGTCAAAGAAAACACGGGGACATCTCAGATCTCGGGTTCCAACCCGTGTGAGCATCCCTAACAACACGCGTTCGATTTCAATGATGGGTTGAGGGCCATTGCCTTGCATCTTACGCCCAACCCACGACCTCGCGTTGGCCGCACGGCAGCTTGACCACCCAAGTAAGAAACGCCGGTGGTATTGACCTACTATCCAAGTGTACTTGACCTCGTAAATTTGGTGAGACATAATGCTCGTCCTACAGCTCATGCACTGAGCAGCCTACGCAGACATGTCTCCAAACACTCTCAACATCATTCTTTTCGGAGAAACAGGAGTAGGCAAAAGCTCTGTAATTAACCTCATCGCTGGAAGACAGGTTGCCAAAGTGTCGCCAGATGCTGATGGCTGCACGATGAACTCTACAGATTACGAGTTTACGGTCGGCTCCAGGACAATAACAATCTGGGACACTGTAGGGCTCGAGGAACCTCAGATGGGCGTGAATGGCTACTACGCAGCCATAGTGAAGGCCTTCAATCTAATCCAAAAACTGAGCAGGGCTGGCGGTGTCGACCTCCTCTTGTTTTGCATCCGCGGGAATAGGATCACCGCTACTACACAGAGCAACTACCGCCTTTTCTACGAGGTTCTCTGCGACAAGCGAGTTCCGATCGCTCTTGTTGTCACACACTTGGAGAGGGAGTACCGGATGGAGGATTGGTGGGGGAGGAACGAAGGTAACATCGAGAGGTATGGAATCAGGAGTGCTGGGCACGCCTGTGTTACCGGCATCACGGACAAGGAGGAAAAGTTCCGTGAATCGAGAGAGGCGATTAGTCGCCTCCTGTCTCAGCATGACAGCCGGGGCAGATTCGCTATGCCGCCAGAGCCGTGGCTCACCCGACTTCTTCAACATCTAGCGTCGCTGGTTTCGACCAACTCTTCTTGGGGGAAAGACTTTTCACGTGTTTTAACCAAACGGTGTGGTTTGGATGTGGAAACAGCGCATCGTTTGGCGGCGCAGCTGCGAGGTTACGGAGACAGGCATTCTTTCACTTGATCGACTGATTATAATGTAGAGATATTCTGTACATCTCACAGTCCGTGGCATTCGAATCTTTGCTGTTGTTTATTAAATCAACAGGCCCCTCAGGTTCGAGTAACAAACGAGGATAGTCATGCTTTCTATGCTGCGACATCACGGTACTTCCGTAGCACGTATATCTACATGTCTGTGGAGTGGAAAGCCACTTGAATGGCTAGCAGTCCAGAGTATACATATCTGACAGGCTTGGACGTCACGCCGAATCCCTTCCCTCTGCCATGTCCAAGCCAGTCAATTGTCATTATCCGTCATTGTTTCCAGAATTTTTTGTGCGGCTTCTGCGTCCAATCCACATCGCTTGACCAGAGCTTTCTGCAAATTTTTCCCCTTCGGTATGCCAACTTTATCGCCCGTGAAGAGCTTTAGCCCCTTGATGATCCTTGCAAGCCAGTCACCTTCCGGCATGGTATACCTTCCTGACCCATCGTGTTGCTGCAGCAAGCTGAGGATTGCCCTCTGCGATTTCCAATACTTGCCCTCTGGTCCTCTGTTATCTGGTATCCCGGTCACGCAAGCATGTCCAGCGCACTTGATACCATACTTCTCGATACTCTTGTAGTTTCGAGTCCACCAGTCCTCCATGTCGACCTCGCGTTCCAGGTGTGTAATCACGAGCGCAATTGGCACTTGTTGTCCACAGAGGACTTCATAGAAGAGCCTATAGTTGCTTTGGGTGGTCATAGTAACCCGGTTTCCGCGGATGCAGAAGAGGAGGAGGTCGACTCCTCCGGCTTCTCTCAATCGCTTGATGAGAAGCCAGGCCTTCTCGATCGCAGGGATGTAACCATTCACCCCCATTTCTGGTTCTTCCAGGCCGACGGTATCCCAAATACTGACACGAGTCGAGCCGACGTCAAACTTGTATTCCTTCGACTGCAGTGTGCACCCTTCGACATCTGGCGAAACCTCTGCTACGGTTCGACCCGCAATAAGGTTTACGACAGAACTTTTCCCGACACCCGTCTCCCCAAATAGTATGATGTTTATAGACATCTAGGTAGCGATGTGTTAGACAAGGACCCAAGAAGGTAAGCACTTGAGAACATACTGGACAGGTGAGGCCTATACCGCTGATATGGGAGGTCAAGATATGAGATTCACTTGCGAGAACGCGTAGGTACGCTAGGAATCGAGAACGAGGGGGTCGTTGGCAGAGGCTTATACTCAGCAGGGATGAAGGGTTCAGTCTACACTGAAATAGTCGCTAAAATGCATCAACATGCTGGTGCTTAATCCAGATCGGGTCGGCCCACGGTGATTACCATCAGCGAAGCAAACAAGGAAGCCTGCCACGAGTCAGCCGCACGGCCTCATGGCTAACAGGCAGCACGTCCACAATAGGCGAAACAAATATGCGATACGTGCCTAAGTGGAGAGACCGGAACATCTAGATGTGATGTTTGGATATCCAACGCAGAGGCGCTGGACTTTAAATAATTGCATAAATGGGCCCTTAGCTGGGAGCCAGATGAGGCCGCCATACGTACAGGCCTTGCAATACCAGTCACAAATGCGAAAGCAACTTGCAACTCTTAGAGACATGGTACACCACACCAAACCCAGCTTGTCGCAAAGACCCTTAGGCTCGTTGTTCACTGCGATGGAGAGGATGGCGCAAATAAATCGAGTGAATCATCTGAAAGTACGGATTCAGCCTGATAGTTATGATGAGTATCTGGTGATAGCACCGCCCGATGTGTGGGTGGGGATGAGTGAGAAGCAGCAGGGGGAATGACATATTTTTCTGGTATCGTTGAGGATCCCTTGGCATGCAAGACCACTCGATTCGTTTGAGCGTCAGCAAGCAATGTTGAAAAGTTAGTCCGTGGCCTTTTTGATAGTGGTCCGCATCGAGGTGAATAAGCCGAGCAGGCTTCTCGTGTATCGTCGTGCTCCGATCTTCTAATATCTGAATCAGAGAGCTCGCATAGTGTCAGTTGCGAAGAATGCCGCCTCCCAACGTTCCTCGTAACTCGTGATGCAGATGCGAATCCGACATGTGAAGTTTGTTTTTCGCGAACAATGTGTCTCAACGATCGAACTTCAAGGTTAGGTTGGTCGTTGCCAAGTCGTTCCTTCTGCTTGTGGACTGGAGTGGCGCGGATCCAACATCCCACCATTTCTTCCCACTCCCAGTGTCCACTCGGTTTCCGTAGATGATGTCGACGACCCCCTTTGAACCGGCGAGGAAGGGAAACTGGAGGACTGCTACCGGGTTGAGTCTGACCAAAGCATCTGCGCTCAGCAGCGTCAACGGTATCCATTAGCTTGCGTCGATATTCTGCTAGCAGAGAAGAATTTTCCTGAGGAAGGTTTTTGATTGTCCTCTCGAAATAGCTGAGTGCGCATGCCCATAAGGATGCATCGAGCTTCAGGAGCTTTCTGGAGCACAGAACTGATGAATACATCTTGAGTTGGGACATGAAGTGTTCGGAAAAGACCCGAAACTCTTGGGTATCCTCGCGCTGATTCAAATACAAGACTAACCGGTGGTAAGTCGTTGGTACAGGGGTTATTCCTCGTAAGATAGAAGCCAGTCTGTCGCCGAAATCCTCCAAGTGAATTAGCGCCTGCGTTGCAAATACAGCGACGATGTCAAACAGTGTGTCCCCTGCCGCAAACTCGCCACCGTCAGTGCAACATTTCTCTAACACGTCGACCAGCAGGTGTAATCTTTGGCTCGGAAACAAGTCGGGTATAGCCCATGATGGGGCAAAGCTGTCCCACAGGTCATTTAACCATTCTACGAGCTGTAGTCGCGGCTCCCCGGTACAGATATTCCCAGCCAACCGATGGGCTCCGCTGGAAAACAGGAACGTGGTCAAGGCGCTGATCATACGGATGAACGCGTCGACATCTTGACGTCCGATGGCATTGACCAACTTGATCAGTGCATTCCAAGCCGGTAAGGGTAGATTCCCCGAGAGAGGAAAGGTCGAGAGTACTGCTTGGCAGAATGCCGATGTGGTAAAGGGTGACAGATCGCGTGCAGATTTCTGTTTCATATCGGCGCTGATCCATCGAGTGTGGAGATCAACAAGATATGTATCATGCGCTGGATATGTGACGAGGTCAAGACGAGATGGGTTTTGAAAGGTGAAAACTTGGGACAGCACTATATTCAATAGGTTCTGTGCATCATGCAGTATGCCGAATGATATGCAGACGTCCAAAAGAATGTTGATAAGCGTATGATGGCGTGAAGTATGCAGGACGATGGATAAAGCATGCGACACGACCGAAAACCTAGTAAGAATAGGTTCACAAACTACGCACGGGTCTCACGAAAATATCAAACCATACCTTCGATAATGAGACGGAACGGATTCGTAGATTTCTTCCGTAAATGCCCTGATTATATCTTCATCCACAGGGTCGTCTAAGGAAGCGCTCCCAGAGAAATCAGAAGCAGTCACCGGAATACTACCCCCTACGATTGAGCCACATATGGCGGCAAGACTGATGATGCGTTCGCTGCATGGCGTTCCAAAAATCGCAATCACAATATTGCGAAAAGCACCACTAACTGCGTATATGTGCCGTGTGAGCTCGTGGTCAGTCATTGAGCTATGTTCCAATGCGGATTTCCTGTGAATCCCCGTCGCGCGTGCGGAGGCCAACAGTGGGACCGAACTTCTGCCCCGAGTGGCCGACGTTCCAGAGGACTTGCCAGTGGATTTCATGTAAGTTGCGAGGGCGGTGCATTTGCTTCTAAGAGGCCGCATAAGCCGGCTTATGCGAGAAATTGTCGGTTGACTATGATTCTCGACGGAACTCGCGGGCATGGCTGAAGAGACTCTTTCAGGTAGTCTAGCGGGGTCACGCGACGCGCGGACGTGTCTGCTCACGTGATTCGTGAATTTTTGTAAACAGCAAGTACTTCCAAGTCGTACATGTTAATTGTAGCAAATGCAATACATACATACAAGAAACACACTCATCACCCTCGAGTTATCCGCACAAAGTACCTTTCCCCGAAGTCCCTGAGGCGCAAAATAATTAGCCATATGCATATTGAAGTAAACGTAAGAGTTCGAGTTCGCTACGTGGTCAGTTGTCGTCACTTGTATTGCTGTCGCTTTCATCATTTCCCCACACCGCAAATGCACGACATGGCTGGTGTTCGTGACGATCCCTGGAGCTACTCCTGTGTTGGCGGTTTCTCACAGGAGCAGTAACGGGAACAGTGGGCGTTTGCGGGTTGTCTTCATACTCTCTGTCCCTGGGAATGCGGCTACGACTGCTGGAATAATGTTCACAGCTGTGAATATCATCGCGCGCCCCTCGTTGGGCCAGGTCCATAGTTGCTAGCGAATCATTGGATGAGTCTGACTGAGTGGGTGACGGTGGGGTTGGACCAAGCGCGGTGTATTGTCCCTGATGTCGCATAATCTGAGGAGGAGAGTGGGTAGGCCCGGCGAAGCGTCCGGGAGTATCGACACCTGAACGGAGACCAGATCTCGATCGTGACCTCGACTTTGAGCGTCCGGCCTTCTTCATGTTCCGTCCCCCGACAAGGGCAAGTGCAGCTAGTTCGGGGGTGGAAAGGCTGTCGTCCCTAGATGTATCTTCTTGAACTTTGGCAGTTCCTATTGCAACGTCCCTCTCGTTTTGTTCATGTGGCAGGCGGGTGGGTCCCCCATTCGTAGGAGCCTCTGGAGATGAATCATGGATATCAAAATCATCCTCATCCTCACTCCCGTCTTCTTCATCTTCCTCGATTGACACAACACTGTCTGAACCACCCTCTTTCACGATCCTTTTAGCCGGAGAACCTTCCTCGACCACAACAAACGACTTCTGTCGCTCCCGTTCATTCCACTTCAAAGTACGCGAGATGGAATGGAACCAGTCCGTCGACTGCTTATCGGCGCAGACGGTCGGAAATGGGAATTTGGAAGCAGTGATCTTGACATGGTCGCCCTCTGTGGATGTGTGTTAGTTACAATAATTGCAGCCAGGAGATACGCACGCTTCAACTCTACCCTCCCCCGGCCATCAAACGAAGCCCAAGCGGTGCTGCGTGAGTTGTACGGAACACATATACGTAGTTCCATACTATCTGGGAGGAGCATGGGTCGAAAGGAAAGAGTATGAGGACATATAGGGGTGATAAGCATGGCGGGGATTTCAGGATGAACCAAGGAGCCACCAGCAGACAGCTGCGGTGATGTCAGAGCAACTCCTGAGCGCGAGTAATGCTACTCACTGAATACGCCGTTGAACCTGTAGGAGTGGCAACACAGAGACCATCCGCTTGCACAGTTGTCATGTGGTGCTCATCACCTTCGTGGTCGACGTTAACTTACGCACATGTGATTAAGATGGCTAACTCACCAAAAAGTTCCAACAAACTGACATAAGGGCTGGGTCCTCGATCCACGACAAGGTCATTTAATACTTCGAAACTTTCCACCGGCCTCGTAGTGAAGCACATAATTTCTTTGTCTTTCATGCATTTGCCGACGTCTTGGGAGGCCGATCCTCCAGACCAACCTGCTTCCACAGCTTCCCACCCACCGTTTCTTATATCTTTCATCATGATTTCTCCTGTTTCGCCCTTCTTGACCGCTTTCTTGTAATTGCGTTTCTCCAATGTCGCACGGTAAATAGTGCACGTAAAGCGCATTCGCAGGTTAACGCGGATCCCTGCATCGATGCACGAGTCGACGACAGCAGGATAGTCCGCGAAATCAAAGTTCGTCAGAAAGCCCAGCGAGCCAAGTGCAAACGGGAGGACAGGAGGGACGATTCTTTGGAACAACCAAGAAGTAAATAGGACTGTCCCGTCACCTCCGAGCTAGGAGCATGTGAGCCAGGTTCAACAGAACAGTCGGTGTACCTGCCGTGACAACGAAGTCGAACAGGTGTGCACTGCGGGCGCACATATCGCTTGTCCAGTACCTGAGTTGACCTTCTCCGACGCCGGTGCTTTCATCCTGCAACGACGAAACGGAAGAATTTGTCGACCTTCGTCTTGGAACTGGCCGAAAAAGCTCAGGGTGATCGCGATGTATTCCAGTTGCGTCAAACCGCCTCGACGTTCGTAGTTGATGGTCAACATAACTGCAAGAGGTATCAGCGACCAAGATCATTGTGATCAAAGCACGACTCACACCACAAGACCGCGGTCCCCATGACGAGGCTTAAGCATGAAATAGAGAGCCAAGTCTCGGGTGAGTTTAATGAGTCTGTTGTCCCGAGCCTTGGTCACGATTAAGACACTTTGTATGTTAGTTCGAATCCTGGCCCGACCTACACGTGGACTTTAAGTAAAGGGGAAGAACGGAAGAGTTTGACGGAAATACCAAGCTGTCGACTCAGTTCTCGAACACCTGTAGCAGTCTCTGCCAATTGTCTTGTTAAGCTTCCACCGTGGACCTCGTCCTCGCCACTCTCGGCTATCACAGGCTCTGCGCGATCCGCACATGGCAACTCTGGAGTATTGGACGGGTAGAAGCTGTGATCTTTGGGCTTGGTACTCTGGAGCGACTTCGCGATGCCGAGGTCGATGCCTAGGACTTCCTTTTCCTTGTCCCGGAGCCAATCTTGTAGAGAAGCGCCCTTATCTAGATGCGAGTGGACGAAACAAGGAGACCTCTTGGGGAACTGGTTTGGATTCATTACCACGGGTTTTGGGGAACCTGTGGTCGACATTGAGCTTGGGCTTGAGCTTGATAGTGGTGACTCGAGGTGTGTGATGAGGTGGGTGGCTCCATCACCATTACCATGATGTGGAGTGACCAAATCAATCATTTTCGTTGGCGACCGTTCATCAGCGTTGTCAACAATAAAGCCAGGGTTCCAAGGTATGTCGGTGTGCAGCCGCGACAGAGACGGGCATATTGACGGTCGATTTCGGCTACCTGGTCTAGAGAGAGAAGGACGAATGGTGCTGTCGGAAAACATCTCCAAGGCCAAGTCGTCTTCTTGCACTGGCGAAGTCGGTGGTGTGGAGTATATCTCACTGTCAACGATGGTCATCTCCCAGGAATGGACTAGCTCGGGAGCTCGGGGTGAAAATACTGGGAATGGTCTACGCTTTGCTCGGATGCCCAACTTTTCTGTTATGTACGTCTGACCTACAATTTATAGGCCTTCGCGATCGCTACCGGCTCAAATCACCTAGGAATCATCACTCGGACGACATAGGTTGAGCATCGGAAGGTGGGAGCCTGGGTGATGGTCAGGCAGTGCGTCCCGCCTTAGTTCACGTTTCTGGGCACTCTGATCTTGATTGGATATTGCTCATCAGACTCGCGACCGTCGTGGTGGTGACTAGGCAACTTATAGTAACCGTTGACCTCCACTGACCCACTCTCCTGCGCTGGGCTTTCGCACTGACTTCACGGACTATATATGACTCGTCCCCAGTGCCGCCGCAACCCGACAAGTCTTGTAAAGCATATTGTAGCAGGCTTCCTGAGCTGAGTCCCAGATCGTGATAGCACTAGCTCCCTTAGCAGGCGGATTAAAACGCTGCCTTTCAACAACGGGGCCCATGTAACCTTTGCCATGACATCACGAGCCCGGTATCGTTGCCCTTTGCCCATGTCTGAGTCATAGAAACGGCAACTTTTCTTGTTTCCCAAGACGGACTCCTTCGAAGTCGAGAACAAGAATCACAGTACTCCACCCTGCAAACTTACATAAAGTCAGCGGCTCTGCGTGTTCTCCGTGAGACAATGACTAGAAGCCAACAACTATGTCTTCCACTCCAGTAGGATGCTGTTTCAACATAGCTTCAAATGCCAGATTTCAACCGCCGAGAAAAAAAAAGAATTGTTCCCGTGTTGTGCTGTGATTTGTTGGTTTACATTGACGATGACGCACGGGTTTACCGCATCAAACTTGTCAAACTTGTCGAGGGTTGGTTGTCATCCAGCATCCGGTCCACACTTTTTTTGGGGTAAACGGCAAATTACCAAAGAACAAGGCTGCGCACTGGAAACCCCTACATAGGGCGTGTTCTATAATCTGCTGCTCTGCGACAACTCTGATGCTATCAATCAGGACCACCTATTTAGAAAAAAACTGTGTCTCGCAGTGTAAACCTTTCTAGCGTTCTGTAGTCCGCTCTGTCTTTAGCCACAGCCCAGAGCCATAAATCTAGCTCAGGCAATGTGATGGATTGGATCCATTTTTGATCTGCCTGTAGACTATCTGGATCGAGAGTGCGCGCTACATGGACAATCCGTTCGCAGGCGTCAAGTGCTGCAGCACGCAATACGTAGGCTTGTTCCAGGTTCAACGCGGGTCCTTCTGTTGGGAATAACTTCTCGGAGTCCGATGTATGGGATTTTGGCAGTGGCTGTAGGAGGGAATCTATTTGAGCCTTGTCCGCAGCATTCGGAAATATAGTATGTAGTCCATGTGCAGTCGACCTCGATAAGTCGACGACTCCCAAGTGGACAAGCATGGATGGAAGAACGTTATCAGTAAACACTGGGATTTGAGACGTGTTTAGAAGTGGGAACGGAGGTGTGCTGCGGATTCCGAACCGGATAACGATCGCGTATATAAGGAACAGAGCCTTTTTGAAACAGTAGACGGCTGTCAGCATGCGCAGCGAAGTGAGTAACTGACACTCAAAGGGCAAGGCAACTTACGCTGGTTGTCTATGATAGTCCATGTCTCGAAACGCCGGGAAAGCACCAACCAACTATCGCATGGTAGTGTGAACAGCTGATAAGTTGTAATGGGAATTGCGAGACTCACTTTAGATAAAATAGCATCTGCACCCGCGTTGGGGTCTGCGCCATGCTTAGCTGCGTCGGCTTCTCTGAGGCTCCTGACCACAAATGTGCCAAGATCCGGGTCCCCTAGGTCCTCTAAAATTTTTCCCGTCTCCTGCAGCGTTGCAGCAATGAGTTTAACGAGGTCATAGAGCGGCCCCCCGAGTGTATTGATGGATACTCCAGGTATTTCATTGTGAGGTTGCTCAATATATAAATTAACTGACATGAGGTCGGCAATTTGTTGTTCGCTAATAGTCTGCATGCCCTTTGCAGACAACAGGTTTCCATTGCCCGTTGAGGAGGACAGGTAGAGGCCAAACATGAGAGCCCGGATACTGTCCCAAGCTCCACGACCAGTTTGATGATGAAGTGGTACTCGGTAGCCAGAGCCGAAGTTGAGGAGGGAGAGAACCGACAAAAAATTCACTTCGGAAAGCACTGAGGGAAAGTTGAGGGGAAAATTCAAACCATGGTATCCTGATACGCGTTTGAATGAGGAAAGGAAAGAAGGGGAAAACAAAAGGCGTTTGATCGCGGTCGTGGACACCTGTCGAACTGCGCCTCAGCCACAGCCTGGAGGCTCGGTAATTAACAGTAAGAGTAATGCAAGCCAGGATCGCTCGCCGCCTGCCGCACTGTGCTGCGTCCAGCGATTTGGATCTCGAGGATGATCGAAAAACCTGACCCTAGTCAAAAAGAGGGTCACTTACTTGAATCTTCTGACTGTCACACAGAGCTGAACAAGTTCTCTTCACCTCGGCGACGTAACTCGCATTAGGAAGCGGAACTCGACGTTGAGGCGAGCTCATGGCATACATGCACCAGCCCGAGGCAAGCAGGCTGGATCTATGATAACTCCAAACAATTGATTACATAAAACGTCGCTGATCATGTGATCAGGCCAACTTGTTCTTTTCTCTTGAATACATCACTGAGATTACTGGTTAGTCCACTCTACCATTTATTACGAAGACAAACTCAACTGTGATCCTGTAGGGAAAAGTATCTGGACCCGTAACGCAGACTTTGCGTAGTGACTTTCTACTACTATGCACTACGTGTTCCGTCGCTCCATGCCAAGACCGGGTCCTTTCGTTTCCCGTTACTTTCATTCAAACCACGTTAACCTAGGTATTTCCTAAACATCTGGACCAGCATCATGAGTGACCTTGAATGTCCTTCCTGCAAAGATATCCGCAATGAGCTTAACGCGGCAGTTAAGATGGCCATGAAGGTATAGTCGTTGGGTGATTTTTGGTGATCGTTCGTTGAGGTCCTCACAGGACAGATATTTGGTAGCTTCTACCACCCTGAGGGTGAGTTGTATATATATTTTCTGAGTCGCATTATTTCCTCACATCTTTCATGTATATTCGGTAATAGTCTGTACTTTCCGAGGTGCACAGTCTCGATAAAGCCGCGGGTTCCAAGGCCCCATCCTCCGCAGTAGTACGGGTTTTGCGAAAAGCATTCTCTCGGCGGGTTAGTCCTGACCGAGTGCCACCCAGTTTTTGCGGCTGATACTTGTCATTCCATTAGATGGAATCTGCCACCGAGTTCACGAAGCGCAGCCGGCCTGATCTCGCAGCCAAAGAGTCTCGTGAAGCCGAAATAATTGCCGCATTGCTACCTCCCTTGTTGTCGGGAAGTGAGGTCGACCATGCTCTTGAGGAAGCAATGGGCGGATGTACGACAGATGATGCCAATCCTCGCAAAGTGCCCGGACATGTCCTCAAAGCATTTTATACTAAGGTGGACAAGTCTAATGTCGATTCGAATTTCGTCAAGCGTAGAGCTGAAGCATTGCTTAACGCCAACCGTTCTTGATTAATGATCACTCTGGCACGCTGTTCGTGGACTCTCACATAGTCAACCATACGATAGAATGCTCAGCACAAACAGTATACGACTTCCGCGATTCAGCCACACTCCTTCACAATGACACCCTGGAGGTTTCAGTTTGCTCCCTCGTATTAGTAGAAGCATCACTTGCTACACTTGGACCTAAACACACGTTAGTCCGAGCTTGTCTATCGAACTCAGTAAAGCTTACGTAGGCCAGCTTCGGCATTACGGCTTGTCGAATGCAACGACGTGACTGTAGACACAGGAAGAGTGCTTCTCACCCTCAGTAGATCTTCCACGCAACGATCAATGGTCCTCGACACGTTCTCCAGGATGCGTAATCTTTCATTGATAGCCTCACGGCTTAGTCGATCCATAAGCATCAGCTGCTCATCGGATACAATTGCCCCCGCCGGAGCCAGAGTATCAGCAATGACGCCCAATTGCGGAGAACTTCGGTCAGTACGGGAAGCACTCAATACGGCAGGAAGATGGAAAGGTTCCAACGGTATGAGAGAAGGTAGAGTAGCTGGAATTGGCGTAACATTGCTCTGCGACGTAGATGCATGAGGAGACGAGGGACGGGAAGCAGTGGGTGCAGCTGTATCAGTTGAAGCTCCTGACTCCTCAACCACTGGCGGATGTTCCACCTGAGGATTGGAAGTTGAAGTGCTTGCGCTGCCCATGTCCGTCCGGGAACGTGTCGCATCTTGATCTAACCATCGTCGGTCTAACTCCCAACGACACCAGCTTCCATTGGGTCCGACAAACCCAGAAAATGGCGGGACCGCCTGTGAAGAGAACGTCGATATGGGTGATCGCAGTTGCCCCTGAGGATGTGGGCCAGTCTGATACTGAATGTTGTATTGTATTATGACACCGGGAGCATGTCCCGGCACCCAGCCTTGGACGGTTGGCGAGTTCTGCTGACCAGTGTTGGGACCTGCAGGGGGTTGTCCTGCGCGGGCCAAACGGCCCAAGATTCCCGTTGGGCCATTATTGTCTCTCTGTGGGAACTGTGCAGCAGGAAAACCGGCTCCGTTGAGTTGATGCGCTGCGGGCTGTGGTAGTGGAGGGGGCGGCGGAACTTGTTGAGGTCGGTTCTGGTCTTGTGTTACATTTTCGAGCACACTACGACGGCTGCGATGACTCGTTAATGAGAGTACCGAGAGAGAGAGCAGAACACATTACCAAGTTGGACAGCTTTGCTGACGTTCAAGCCAGGAGCGTAGGCAGTAAAAATGAAAAATATGTCCGCAAGGTAGCTTCTTTGGAGTGGTATTGGGCCCATCGTATGACGCCGGTAAGCCATCTTCACCCGAGTTACCGCGGATGAGCATTTCCTCACGGCAGATTATACAAGTTCGGTCTGTCAATGCTAACATCTCTTGTTCAGTTGCATCCGGGTAGCGCTCCTCCATATTGCGGGTAGCCGCCCGGTATCGGAAAAGGGCTCGAAGGCGTGAGATGAATGATTTTCCAGTGAGGTACACATCCCGGATGATGTTGAGAGGCAAACCATAGAACGCGACGATGAGCATGAAAAATATGAGATATGTGGTGAGCTTTAGGAAATCTAGAAAATACGTTGGATCTTAAATACCACAAATGCAAGGGACACAACACGTACCAGTTACCAGTTCTACGTAGAATACCCACATGCTCTTGTTCTGCCAAGGCGGAGCGTTTTCCCCGCCTCGCTGACGAGCTCGGCGTAAATCCGCGACACAGATAAGATACTTTGCTGAAATATTCAAAGCACTTGCCATTAAAATGGCATACTGCAAAGGCCTTTTAGTCCAATGCTACGGCTGAGCTTGGCAGACACTGACTTCACTGGCGAACATCATCACACCGCTGACCCCATTTTTGGTAGTGCTCTCGACAGCAAAAGCAAACATGGAAACGTCGATGAACCACAGGAGAAACATTAACGACCCCATTCGAACATGGAATTGAGCTGGTGGGCCGGGATATGGTCGCTGGTCCATCTACCGTGGTATCTCTAAGATGAGTACTAATGGAGTAACGAGAAGCGGGATAACAGACCCATTCAATGCGATCCGAGGCCAACCAGTGGAAGGACTTGATGAAGAGGAGGAAGCCAAACATGAGCACAAATGGTATGTCAAAGTCATCACGGAAGATTGTGAATGCGAGAAGAGACTCTGTTACGAAGAACCACAAGCGATCGTATAGACGCTGTATATGATCATGTGAGAATCTCTTTTGCCGTCGAAAGAGTGGAGTGATATACTTCTACTTCTTGAGGCCGGAGGGCTCCAAAGAATATACATTGTGCGGCCCGCCCACACAGCAATGCAAAGAGGAGACCAAAATTTGCCAGGATCTTAAACCGCCTGCGTCAACATAGTACACTAACACCACGACGACCAACTGGCATACCAGTACACTCCGATTGCTCTTGGACAGATATATGGTCAATGAGTAGAAGTTGCTATGCCTCTTGAGGGCGTTCGCAATGGTGGTGGTCACTGCGACAGAGGACACCAGAGCGTATAGCAGCATCTTGTGGGCATATAGCGAGGATACGATCGTACTCCGTGTGGTCCAGGGCATGACTACTACCGTGGAGAACGGTTGTGGACCTAGTAAAGTGCAACGTCACTGTAGTAGACCGCAGTGTGCACGTGATACTCGGCTGTACGTTCCCCGTCCTCGAGTCACGTCCTCACAGAAGTTGATATCACGATTGCTGATATATATGACATGCCGAAGTCCCAGATCACCAGTGACGATTCCATCGTTGGTAGTAACCAAAATCTATCTAGGACCAGGACTCGGCGGGGAACTGAAGAGACCAGGAAATCTCTTGTTCTTTTGATATCCCTTGTCTTCCCTCTTGTCGGGTTCTTTCATCTGACCATCTCGTCTCATTTACCAAAATTTTATGCTGTGTGCTCTCGTGAAGGCGCGAAAATATATACCGTGGACGACAACAATACTGTTGCGCAATGCCTTGTAGTCGATCATATGTTCATCGTCGACACAGGTAGTCTGGGTGAGTTTATATCTATCGTATCTAAAACCGAATTTTTGGCCAGCCCATTAATATTGGAATTGAGCAGAGGACGTTTCTTCACGCTGGATCGCGAAACTTGCCTCCCCACTTTCGGTCCGGTATATCAAACGCGGCTCGATCATAGTACCAGGTTTGACGGGTTAGTCTACATACGTCCTTTGATAATTTTCATTTGTCGGCATCAGTCGCTAGATTCCCATGCACACATCTTGGAGTATGGGGCTAGCCGTCAACTTTTTCTAGGAGATACTAAGTCGGTAGAAGGTTCGTTCTTTCCTGTACTCTGTCGGCATGTCACCTGATCCCGTTCTCGCTCTTGTTGTCACAAGAAATTATCACTCTCGTGAGGCAGCATATTTCAGTGAATGCAGACATGTACGACAACACATCGTTCATTGAGGGCTGGGGCTGGGATCATTTGTCCTGGTCTGTAAAAGAATGGCCGACCGCAGTACGTACAGTCTACGTGAACTGGTAGGAGTGCACCAGAACCTGACCTCAGCGTTACCAATGTCACCGAAGGACGCATTTGAAAGTGACTTGATTGTTAGGGATAGAGCAGTGGTTCTGCAAAGCAAGGATGGTCATGCCCTTTGGCTTTCAAAGAGAGCTCTTGAATTGAGTGCTCCGCTGCCTAGGGAGATCGAAGGCGGTGTCATCTTCCGCAGAGAGAACGGAGAGCCTACTGGTCAGTAAGGTTAGGCGTGGTGACACCCCAAGGTCTTACTGATTTGAAAGGAGTGCTACTAGACAGTGCACAATCTTTGGTAAAAAAACCTGGCCTGACTGAACGAGACTTACTCAGACATTTCACTACGACGATTGACGATGCGTTGTCGTTAGGATTGACTTCCATTCACGATGCAGGTTACCGATCCGTATCGTTGGCCTTCTTTGAGAGGTGAGAGTCCCTTTCTGGCATTCCTGGGCAGAGACGCCTATTCTTCGCAGACAAGCTGCCAAGGCCGTGCTTCCTGTATGCATAATTGGTGATTGCGCCTGTAAGATCTGTTCAGACTTAGCAGATCCGTATCTATGGAATGAGGCACTTCGACGAGAAGGGTTCTTACCATGGGAATTTGTCGACGCCGATCATAAACGCTGGAAACGGTAGGCTGAATGTACGCAGCGTCAAGATTTTTGCGGATGGTATGTGTATTTGCCGCATTTTTAAAAAGTAATTAGCGTGAGTTTAACACTCGAAAGGCGCACTGCGATCTGGGGGGGCAGCGGTGAAGAATTATCCATACTGATGGTTTTTGGCTTACTGACATTTCACGTTGCTTGCTACAGTTATGCAGTCCATATTGGGATAACCCGGAGAAAAAAGGTTTTATGCGAATAGAGGAGCAGCTACTACACGACGTGGTCATACAGTATCTCCTTGATGGCTGGCAAATCGTGAGTATTTCGCGATTATCATCCACATAACCCAACCCACATCCCCGATTAGAATGTGCACGCTATTGGTGACTGCGCAAACAGGGCCGTTTTAGATGCTTTTGAAGACGCTCTTCAGTATGTTAACGTCTCTGCCTTGCGTCCGCGGCTCGAGCATGCACAAATCTTAACTCCGGAAGATGTCATTCGCGTTGGTAGACTGGGAGGTACGTTGCCTAGGTAATGAAGTGCGGTAATCCTCAGTTGTGGTCTGTAGTGATAGCCAGCGTTCAACCTACACACGTGTAAGTTCTCCAAATTCCTGCTGCCGTCTTCTGACGTGCTCGAATAGGACTAGTGACATGTGGTACGCGGAGGAGCGTCTTGTAGGTGGCGCGTTATTCGCGTAGCATTCTTTGGTACAGCATATGTTGACCATTCCTAGGGCCCTGAACGTGTGAAGGGGCTGTATGCGTTTCGGTCATTGCATGATAATGGAGGAATTCTCGCTTTCGGCTCTGATTTTCCAGTAGAAGATATGAATCCTCTTGCTGGATTTTTTGCTGCGATAACGCGACTCTCGCCGGATGGCACCTCACCCAAGGGTTCAGCCGGATGGTCAGCTAAAGGGCTTATCACATAGCATTTCGTAATGCCAACTATCTTCTAGGTTTCCTGAACAACGCCTATCGCGAGAGCAAGCCCTCAGAGGTGCGTGCCCACTGGTTGACTACTTTTGAATGCAGATATTTGTTAAGGTTTGCACGGCAGGAATGACAATCAATGCTGCACACGCTTCTTTTGCCGAGGACAGGCTTGGATCAATTGTTCCTGGAAAACTCGCAGACTTCGTAGTTTTATCGCAAAACATCATGACGATTCCAATTGATCGGATTTTGAAGACGAAGGTGCTGGCTACCGTCATCGATGGGCGCCCTGTTTATGGGTACATCTGATGGAGACGTGGTGGTGTGCCCTTCGTATACCCTCTTGGTCAATGTCATGTGGTGGTTGTGTGGAGTCAAACAGGTTGAGCCATGTTTGCTGCGTAGACTATCCAGTTTATTAGGCGTCCTAGTCGCGTTATGTAATAAAGCTTGGGCGACGCGTCGGGTGGCACGCGCGACGCGACGCATCTTCGAACCATCCACCGCCAGTAGTCGAACCCCTTGACTTCGCATTCCCCTGCAACCTAATCGGACTAGAGTCTCCATGCTTGGTGAAAAGCGGAAGTCGCAGTCATTAGAACATCCCGTACGGAAGAGGACTGCTCTAGACACTTCCAGTGCCGGCACGAGTAACCGTGACAATTCCAACCACGGGCAACTGTTTTGGATGATACAATGGTACTCACCTCTGTGGCCCAAGTTGGGTAATATGGATTTCTAACCGTTTGTATGTTATCAGGCGATACCCTCAATACAAGAAACATAAGACATGGGATGGAGACGCGGTACTTGTGATGAATGGCTCGAAAGGAACCCTATATGATCTTGAGGGAAAATTGTGAGCACAGAATATGTTTGGTGTCGAGTTGTCGTTGCTCATAACACTTTACCAAAGTATGGGGTCAGGCTCACTTAACACAGCCGACCTGGAGGTCGGTGGAGAATACCAATGCGGGGGAAGAGAAATTGGGATCGATCGTTCTATATCGCGCGCTGACTATTTATCTGGAAGATGCTTTGGCCGCGACCCCCAACCCACTCCCACTGCGAAGAGTTCAGCACCTTCGAAACAGTTCACACCATTGAAGCCTAGCAAACTCACCGCACCATATAAAGCGCCAGCCATTCATAGGCCAGTAGTAGAACTCGAACCCGTAGATTTGAGTTCGACGGGTTCTAGCAAATCTCCACAAAGACGAGAGGCTCACATGTACTGGACAGCCAATTGGTAAGTCACTACATGCTTAATTGGAAACAACTAATCCTTCTGCCCCAGGCGCAAACAACAAACTAAAAAACACAAGACCTGGGATGGAGACGCGTTCGTCAGCCTTGTAGGCAAGAAGCTGATGGTGATATCCCAGCAGGGCACAATGTCCGGTACTCGTTCTCCAGTGGCAAAAATCGTCGGCTTAGTCTGTATCCCTACAGATTTGGGCGCAAGGATTGGACTGGCCATGAGCTACAAAGTGGTTACCGCTTTTATATCGGGAGTAAGGAAGTGGAGTTGGATGCTCCCGTGGAGGCTTCCCAAATGCCCCGTATCATCGACGTTGAAATTGAAAACCATGATCCGGGTGCTGAAGGCGTGGACGGTCTCCCTGCTATGACATCCAACCCGCCTCAAGTTCATTTCCCGGGGACGGATAATGCTACCCACATTCAACGGTCTCAACACAAATTTATTTCTCCTGTGTCATTTTACGGCCAGATACCCGAGACGAAGCCTAAGGGCCCTCTGTAAGTTGTGCAGCTGGTTGGTAAGGTGATTACTGACTTGAGTCGCAGTCATAACCCTGATGCCGAGGGCGCGGTAGTGATGAAAATGCCGACGAAAGAGCATTCGGAGAAATTTAACAAAAAGTAGGTTCTCATGAGCTCACTTCGTTCCAGTTTGACTTCACGCCGCAGAGGGTTGCCCGTAATTGCTGTTGTGCTGGATCCGATAGTTGCGAGACACTTGCGTCCTCACCAAATTGAAGGTAGGCGCCTTTGTTCGGGTTTTTGCAAGGCGAATTTAAATACCTCTTGTTAGGCGTGAAGTTTCTGTACGAATGCGTTATGGGTATGAAGAAACATGAAGGCCAGGGATGTATCCTCGCAGATGAGATGTGAGTTGTGTCCACTACTTCGGGTGTGCTGCGGATACATGACTGCTATTCTCAGGGGTTTAGGCAAGACACTACAGGCATGTGTCTTCCACTGCGTTCGCGCCTCGCAGTTTGTTGATTACCGCTAGTCTGTTGCACTCATTTGGACGCTACTCAGTAAGTTCATATATTTCTTTAAACGTTCTGAATTTATTCGAGTGTCGAAGAGCAAAACCCATATGGTGGAGGAGGAGTCATTGGGAAGGCGTTGATCGTGTGCCCCGTGTCACTGATCAATGTAAGGTGCTTCTAGGCTTTTTGCAACACCTCTGATTGAGACGAGATAGAACTGGCGCGCTGAATTTCGGAAATGGTGGGTGATTCCTGCTGCCATCACAGGTCGTTAACGGTTCCGCAGGCTTGGTCGTGACCGCGTCGGTGTTTTCACTGGCGAAAAGGATAAATCCTCGATCAAGCATTTCATAAATTCGTGCGCTGCATTGTTGTCGGAAATAATTTTGTCTGAACTTGCTTTCCAGAAGAATCCACCAAGTGCTTGTTATTGGATATGAGAAATTGCGAAGCGTGATGTGCGTTGCCTTTTTCATGTAATGGACACGATCCTAAATTCCTCAGTGGTGAACTGGCATATTGCAAGTAAGCGCAGTTGTTACAGGTTTGGATACTTATGGACTGCATTTATTCCAGCCCCCCGATTGGACTTATTATCTGCGATGAAGGTTTGCCGTGACGTGTTCCACTTGCATACTCTAACTTGGAAAGCATAGGGCACAGATTAAAGTCAGCAAATAATAAGACCTCAACGGTGTTTAAAGCCCTGCGCACGCCTCGCCGAATTATTCTTTCTGGTACCCCTATTCAGAATGACCTGAGTGAATTCCACGCAATGGTGAGCAGTACGTGTTGGGACCCATACATAGTTGACTCGACCTCCGAAAGGCTGATTTCTGTAATCCTGGTCTGCTCGGTGAGCATTGAAATCCATAATTTTGTTACCCTCACGAACATTACAAAGATGATTACCCTACCTTTCGCCGTGTATATGAGCTGCCAATTCTGAAGAGCCGAGTTCCGGATTGCACTCCGAAGGAATTGGAGCTCGGGGAAGCACGCGCGGCGCAGGTACAGACTTTGCTTTAGACCTTTGGTCGATCGCTGATTCAAACCACCCAGTTGACAGCGATAGGCAAGAGTTTCGTGTTGCGTCGTGAAGCTTCGATTCTCAAGAATTACCTGCCACCCAAGCGTTTGTCATAATCTACCTCACATGTACTCTCTCCTGATTATGTTTACAGACGAATATGTCGTTTTTGTGACTCCCACGCAGTTACAATTGTCAATGTTTGCAGCAATTCTTCATCCTGAGAAGCTGGCTGCTCTGGTTGAGGGGTCTACCGCAGAGTCTCTTGCCCTGATCAACATGCTTACCAAAGTTAGCAATAGTCCCGTACTCCTGAAAGCCCAAGTAGAGAAAGCAAAGCTGTCCAAATCAGGCCCTATCGTTCGCCCTGGAGTGACTGATGCGCTGAACCTACTTCCCGGGAATACGCCGATGGAAGACTTCTCGATTAGTGGTTAGTAGTAGCGTCGCCTCGGTGATCTGAATGCTGAAAATGACTAGGCAAGCTTACTGCGGTAGCCAATCTGCTGAGGGCGATTCGAGAAGTATGCCGAAGCTCTAGGCTGCGGTGGACAATGCTAATGAACTGGCAGCATACTAAGGAAAAGTGTATCATCGTCTCTCATTACACCTCAACTCTCAACGTAATCGAGGCGTTTTGCAAGAAGAATTCTTACACGTACCTCCGCTTAGACGGGTAAATCAGATTACTTCTCCGTGCAATTCGTTGGTGCTTATGCGGGTACATATAGACAAACACCGGCTAACAAACGGCAGGAATATGTCAATGTGTTCAACAAGTCTTCACAGCAGAGTCATTGTGAGTCCTCTTAGTGAGTTAACCGTGCTGCGCAGTGATCGGTTTTCTAGTTCTGTTCCTTCTCAGTGCCAAAGCAGGAGGGGTCGGCTTGAATCTCATCGGCGCGTCACGATTGTGTTTGATCGATTCTGATTGGAATCCGAGGTACTGTACATGCCAAATTTCTGGGTGAACTTCAGGCCAACTCTGCAAGCAGTCATGACTTACAGTCTATGGCACGCATCCATCGGTAGGTTCCGGTGATAAACTGCACTTGATAGTTTTCTGAGGCGATCATTAGTGACGGTCAGAAGCGACCAGTGTTCATCTACAGGTTTCTCACCGCTGGTACAATTGATGGTCAGTGTCCGTAAGGCTTTGAGCTGTCGTATCTTCACTAAGCAACAGAGAAAATCTATCAGCGGCAAGTTACGAAGATTGGACTGAGTGACTGTAAGTCGTAACCTCTCCTGACTGAGAAGCTTACCGACCTTTTATTCGCAGCCCTAATGGGCACCGTACGAGTGTCATTTCCTATTGGTGCATTTATTGATCACACAAGCTAGGGTAGTTCCGGGTCTAAAGCAGATTCATTCACGCGGAAAGAGGTAGGAAGCTTCACAATTTCGTCATGAACTAAACGCCTTCACAATCTCGTATAGCTTCGTGACATCTTCCGCGTACATCCAGACACTGGTTGTCATACCCATGCTTTGCTGGGCTGTGGTTGCGGCGGACGAGTGTCCGCCTTCGAGGGCGCCGACGACAAGAGTGAGAGAGAAGAGATTTCTTGTGAAGACGCCGCACCACTCGTGGATAACTTCGTAGTGGCCTCACAACTCACCAAAGCCCACTTGGATGAAATGGACAAGGCGGTGAATACTGTTGTGTTTCGCCTTTACCGTTCACATTAATGAGTATTGCAGGATCTGCAGAAGAAGAGGGCAGAACTTGCAAGTTTAGGAGAGTGGACGCACATCGACTGTCTTCGCCGTGTGGCCCCTGATGAGATACAAGATGACATTCTCCGACACCTTCTTCATCCAATCAACGGTGACTTAGAAGTGGAGGAAGCTTCCAGACTGGATAAATTACTAGCGGCTGCCGACCTTGACAACCTCGCAGCGATGTCGGACGACGCACAGTTGGCTCGCGACGTTCCGGGTGGAACAATTTCATTTTTATTTGAGAAGACATCCAATTCCAACTTTGGCGACCACGAAGCAGAAGATGGGTAATTAGTTCTGTACATCCACCCCCCCCCCCCCCCCCCCGATCCAGTCGGACTATGTATCACAGAGATCAGTAGATATTACGTAATAGCCAACCCTGTCCCCTGTAGCGCGAGTAGCAAAACCCTTGGTCATGTCTTCTCCTTTCGTTAAATCCAAACTCAAGGCAGCCAGGGATGCCCTTGGGAAGAAGCAATACGAGGCTGCGCGAGACGCGGCGTCCCAGGTTCTCGATCACGAACCAGACAACTACAACGCGTGTGTGGTTTGGACATACGTCCCATGGCGCTTTTCTGATGGATCCCTAGCCATGTCTTTTTGGGGCTTGCATATCTGGAATTAGGTCGCCATGACAAGAGCGAACAAGTAAGCTGTCAAATTGCAAGGTGTCTCGTTGAGACACTAATGACCTTGTAGCTCTATCGTAGGGCAACTGAATTGAAACCTGATCAGTTTCTCGCCTGGCAGGTGGGTAATACTTTTGTGCCCAGTATAATTTTCACAACAGTCTCAGGGAATCTCCAGATTGTACGAGAAAAAGGAACAATGGGATTCTTTCGCTGGTGCTCTGGAGGAGGTACTGCGCATATTTTCTGCCAGGTGAGTTGGTACGTCATGTCTTGAGTCCGCATGATTTTAACCGGCGTGATACCAGCAACGATGCGACGAGGGCGGCAGAGACCTTGCAAAAACTCATCGAAACAAGTCGGCAGCATGGATCACGGAAGCAGGTAAGCTGAATCATCCAATAATCCATTGTACCAACTATTTCTAGATTATCACAGCACTTTCCTATCTTCTTCCGGATTCCCCGTATTATGACACTCTGTCAACGTTGCCGCCGCCGGATCATACAAATCCCGATTCTACGACGACATTTGTTACGCAAGAAGCGATTCATGATTCACTCCCTGTGATAGAGGAGATCATGACCCTAACCGAGCAAGAAGAAGAGACATTCATGAAGGTCGAGTTCGACAAGAGACGCACACGCCTCGGAACTTCCCCACCACATATATTACGGAAAGAAATTGGGTTAGAAGTGTGGAGGACATCGAAGGTCTGGCAATCTGCAATTAGCTTCCTTTATTGACGCCAGCATACAGCTTCCACTTCTATACCAAGAAGTATTGAACCACCCTAAAACATCTGATGAACTACGTCGCTCTGTAGAAGCTAAGATGATACGCTACAAACAGCAAACATTTCATGCATTACCTTCGTCAGATCCGGAGAAAAACCGTATTGGGATCGAGCTTTCCGAGCTAGTTAATGGCATTGTGGCCATTGGGATACGCAATCAATTAGCATGGTCGATCTCTTTAGAAGGAATGGACAAAGAGACAGTCTGTAAATGTTACTTCATATTCATGACAGTGCAATGACACTAAAACTGTCCATTTAGGTGAATATGGTCTGGACCTTCTCAGGCGATATATGCAGGTCTTCCCCGAAACTGATCTGGCCCAACTACTAAGGGGCTACTTCCTGTACATGGGCATACCAATTGATGAGGACATCGACAGCGAAGCAAACGAGCCACCGAACGTCGTGTCGAAGCTGGCGAGCGATGATGGCGAGCTGCTCAATGCCACCTTGGTAAGTTTGTCGTTATTCTCCATCAATTTATGCCATTATCTTCTCAGAATGCATTTGGCTCACTGCAAGATTCACTCTTGGCTACTCGAGTGGTTGTCGACGTTTACTTACAAGAGCGGGACTATCTGAGTGTGATTCACGTGGCTGAAAGCGGCCTTGAACTGGTTAAGAAATACGAGGAGAACACAGGTCGTAAGCTTGGAAAGTGAGTGGCCCAACTCTACTAGGGAGACTTTCCTGATACATCGCAAAGTGTGCGCAAGGCGCTCAATGTCGCCCTGGCAACCGCTCTAGTTCACTTGTACCCTCCAAAGCACCATCAACGTGCCCGCCGACTGCTGGATGATGTATTAAAACAGGATCCAGAACACGTCGATGCACTACTCGCCTGCGGTTACATACTCCAGCGAGCTGACAGATGGGAGGAAGCCGAGAGAGTTTTCTCCAAAGCCATAGCACGGCTCCCCGCGGACGCGCCGAAACGTCTGCGTGCCAGGGAAGAGTGTGCATGGTGCCTCTGTAGAATTAGGATCGCAGAAGGCGTGCAAGCACTAAGGGAGGTGTTGAGGGATTTAGAGGGTGAAAAGTTCAAATTTGACAGGGCAAGGTGTCTGTGGCGCATTGGTAGGGCCTGTTGGGATCTGGGTGGTCAGTCAAATTTTCCTGTGTGGGACCTGCGAAGACTGACTATCCTCTACTTTCCTACGTACCCAGGTAGCTCCCGCGAAGAAGCTTACGCAAATTTCATTCAGTCACTGAGGTGTGATCCAGAGTATGCCCCCTCATACACCTCTCTTGGCGTTTATTATTCCGACTTTGCTGTGCCACCCGATCCCACGCGAGCATCGAAATGCTTCCAGAAAGCTTTTGAACTGGATCCTACAGAAGTAGAAGCTGCAAGGAGACTAGCCGAGGGCTTTGCGGATGAGCGAGAATGGGATCTTGTGGAGGTCGTCGCCCGCAGGACAATGGAAGGTGAGGGTGAGCTAGATCCCGGCGCTGAGGAGGAAGGTGGCGTAGTTGTCGGGAGGTATCTTCCAACGAACACTTGGGCCTGGAAAGCAATCGGTGTCGTAGAACTGGTGAACGACTAGCTTTTTATGGACGTTACGTCACGCTGACCATATCCGCTCGACTTAGTCGCGTCGAAATTATGCGGAGTCCATTGAGGCGTTGCAAATAGCCTTGAGAGAAGAGGAAGAGGACGGAGTCTGCTGGCTGCGCCTAGGTGAGGCCTATAGTAAAGCAGGCCGCTATGCTGCTGCGGTGAAGGCGCTTGCACGAGCAAATGAGCTCAACCCAGATGATTGGTTATGCACCTACCTCATTGGAGAAGTGCAGAGGCAGACTGGTCGATTTGGGGAGGCCTTGGACTCCTATAATTCAGTACTGCAAAAACGGCCCAACGAGGCTGGAGTCTTGATGTCTCTTGCGCTAACTGAGTTGGCTCTCGCTCGACAAGAATGGCTTGGCGGATTCTTTTCCCGAGCAGAACGAACTTTCGCATCAAGTATCGCGACGTGTCTCTCAACAGTTCAGGCGAGTTCTGGATACGGTGGCATTGCATGGAAAGTAATAGGGGACGCACTCCTCGGGCTTTCGGAAGCAACGACATTTGTCGATCAAGAAGTTATTCGGGATATACTTGTGAAGATAACATCGACGATACAACATGTTACTAGCAAGCGCATTGCACACGTTTTCACTCTTAACCCCATACGGGACGGGGTCCCACTAACTGGCTCGCACGCGCTTCAAGTTGCTGTTGCTAGCTACGATTATCGCATCACTATCGGATCAACGGATGATGCTGTGATGGGCAGCGCACTTTACGACCTTGGACAGACACTGCATGCGTGGTCGAAGGAGAAAATGGCCGGTCGTACGCCGGCGTTGGAAGTGGCTGCCTCACTACTGAAAGAAGCTTTATGCCAAGACCCAGACAATGCCACGTACTGGACAGCACTCGGTATAACGTATTTTCTTGACAAGCCGAAAATTTCCCAACATGCATATATCAGAGCTTTGGAGCTGGATCCAAAGGCAAGTTTGAAACGCATTATATAAATATCAACTTCAACAGCTCACCTCCGATTACAGAATACAGTCGCTTGGATTCAACTCGGACTGTTATATTTGTACTACAATGACGTGGCCCTGGCGCACGAAGCGTTGTCTAAGGCACATATACTGGATCCTGACTGTCCTCTTGCATGGATCGGCCTAGCGCTGGTGACGGTGACAAGCGGAGACGACGATCATGCTCATGCGTTGCTAGAACACGCAGTCGGGTTATCCCCTCTTGTGGTAAGTTCGAACCCATTAGAATAAGGTCAACGCATCCGTGGCTGACTTTAACTTAAGCCAGCAGCAACTGTAGAGTTTGCTGCTCGACTTTTCCGGCCAATGTCCCGCCAAGTGAAAACCCGAGTTCTTACGAAGGAGGAAATGCTGCTTGCCTTCGCTGCTCTGAACCTTTACGCGAAACAACGTCAAGACGACGCAAGAGCTTTGCATCTCTTGGGATTGGTATGTGAGCGCCTCGGCGGACTAGAACAGGGCGCAGAGTGGATTAGCCGCGCAATAATGCTCCTGGAAATTGTGTATGAGGACACGGAGGACCCCCTCATAGAAAGGCAGTTCACCGTTGCGCATACCAATCTTGCCCGACTGAAGGTCGGTTTGCGTGATTATAGTGGAGCACTAGAGTCATTCGAGACTGCGCTCGGATTATTGCCGGAACAAGTTGCCATGGATCGTGAATGCGAACCTGAGATTGGAGTACTGAAAGTACAGGTGTTGTTTGGGAGCGGATTGGCGCATTTCAAGCTTGGAGACCTCCAAAGTGCTATGACGAGGTTTCAAGCTGCACTTGATGCTACTGTAGACAACCAAGTTCTCCGAGGACACGCCACCGTCCTCCTTGCTCAGTGTATGTGGACAATCGGGACGGACGAGCTCAGGGAGTCAGCGAAGGCATTGTTACTTGACAGGTGGCAATCAAATTTTTTGGGTCACCGACCAGTCCGCTTATAATCATACAGCATCACCGCAGATCCGGAGAACTTGATCTCAATTAGCACCCTCACTGGGATGGGCATCCTCACTGAAGACGACAGCCTTGTGGATGCGGCTTTATCCGAGATACAGTCCCTGCCTGTCGGGCGGCGTCAAGAGCTCGATCCTCGCGGAGATGTCACGTATCTTCTCATGCAACATTATCTCGGTCTAGTAAATCTTGATCTCTTGCTTCTCATTTCTTAGTGACTCAGTGATTCCACCTACTTCCTAGGCCGATATCGAGCAGGCTGTCCGGGTCGTTCAGAAAGCGTTACTATATAGAACCCTCTAGCCTAAGACTACGCCGGGACCTTGCGTCGCTCATACTCAAGCAAGGTAACAGAGCAGCAACACAAGCCATTCTCGCGGTCGACTCTGCGGTGCGTAGCTTGGAAGAAGCGAAGGACACCCTTGCAGTAGCGTGTATCGCCGACAATGGGAAAGAGGGACATGCCTTGAGTCACGCACAGAAAGCAATCATGTTGGATCCAGGGAATGTACAGAACTGGAAGACGTTGGCATACGTACGAGCAAGGAATGCGGGTCTGTAGTAAGGATGACGTACCTGTGCACTACTTTTAATTATCTTTCTTTTCTGCTCTACTGTACAGCAGTGGATCACCGCTTTGACTGATTCGCGGCCTCTGTAGACAGACAGACTTGGGATGTTAGACATGAGATTTAACGCGATGCACCCACCTCTCCGTGTTGCATCTTCCAAGAGCTGTGTGTCGACGTGTTCGGCCGGTAGCTGCACGTATCTTACGACAGATCCCCGGATGAAACAGTTCTTGACCGCCATCTGAACCCAGGCTTGAGTTAGACACAGTAAGAGAACACCAAGCATCATGGGGTTGTGCTCGCCATATGTGGATGTCTCGCTTCGTCGAGGACTTTAATGGAATCCAGGCGGATGTTCAGGAACCTACATCGAGTCCATTGGGCGGTGGAAGTTGAAGAGGTAGGTGACGAAAAATAGGAGAGATGGCACGAACTGGTCAACTGACTTGAGGACGCCTGTTATTGAGAGATCGTTTTTGAGTTCGACGGTTACACGCTGATCTGTCAGCGTTTTGAATACAGAAAATATGAGCTTGGTACGCGGTTAGTTATCGGAGCGGGGGTGCATTTGCATGGACTGACCATGTTTCACAGATAGGTGGACCACTAAAGAATAAGACAGAGTACAAAGATCATGTTACTACAACTTCCAGCCTGATTGTATTTCCTTTTTTTGCAGAGGCATCAACTCTCTACATTCACCAACCCAAGCCACCACAACTAGGTTACACTGGATATCGGAGTAACTACCAGGATGAAATGCTACAATTGCCAAAGTCCGACTGAGCACACTAAATTATGTGCGTTCCCTTTGCAACTTGCCTAAGCTGCTGCCTGTTCCACTTCTTGACGGCTTGTCCATGTTCTTCACTGGGTAGCGGGTGATTGTTATCCCGGTTCGCAACATGTTGCATCTAATCAAATTCGGACATATCAAAGTTGTAGGTGAAATGCTAAGGGAGGTCCCGGTTAGTCGAGTATCTAGAGGTAAGTTGAGACTCTATATGCGTACCTTGTACAGACACATCACTTTGACCACCCAAGCTTCGAGGTGGTATATCTTCTTGCTACCTAACCGCATACGCAGTTCCTGTTTATAATGACTATGGACGCAGAAAGCAAGAGTGGAAACTGCCAACTTACGTAGAATGCAGCCCAATGCATGACGTCGGCTTTCAAAGCCTCATCAACCCTTTCCGCTACTTTTTCTGCCACAGTCTTGTGTAACATTCATGTAAACCAAAGTCCATAACTTCGATGAGGCATGGACGAACCTTGAGGATAACAGTTGGTGGTATACAGTGACTTAGCAATTCGTAAAACTTCGCACGGACTTCCATGACCCGTGCTGGCGATTGCTCCTGAACTATAAGCTCGGCCACTTTGTGACAGTAGGTCTCCCAATCCGGTTTTGCAATCCGGAGAGGACCAGAAAGGTCGGGACTGGCAATCATGGTATTGAAAACAGGTACCGGTTACGTGTGAGTGTTCAAGACATACGATTGCATCTTAAGTGCTTCAAACACGAGAAGGGCCTTCCGCATATTCCCAGCAGCATCCTCCGCTATTTGCAGGGAAGCCTCTGGAGGGACGTCGAACTTCATTTTCCTCGCGACGTGTTCCACTACCGCTTGGATCTACTCGTAGATAAGTCGTGAAAAACTGGTGTCAATAGCAAGTCTAACTGACCTCCTGCGCTGTCGGTGCAGCTACACGCACGAGCAGACACCGACTCCTGATTGGTGCAATGAGTCTGCTGGTACTGTTGGCACATAATATGATTCGCATGTTTGACATGTACTTTTCCATCGTGCGACGCAAAGCTGCTTGGGCATCTCTGGATAAGAAGTCGGCTTCGTTGATGACGACAACTATAGGAAAAATAAGGATGCGTCCGACGCAGCAATACAACTAGGAGAAACCTTTAAAGCGGTGCTTCGCACCAAGATCTACCTGCTGGGTCTGCGCGATCTCCTTTAGAAGATCCTGCACAACCACTCTGTCGTAACTCCCTGCTTCACTGCGGCACCGTCTGTTGGTTAGTTCTCATGGCTGGAGACAGCACATGGACGCACCTGGGAGTAATCTCGATGTGGTAGCTGCTCTGTACCAAGTTGATCTCCAGCTTTCGCCTTGAGGGTGATACAAAAACTCTTTGATCAATTTTGAGCTTTGCACCTCAGTTAGTACGTCTTAACCTCTGCACAGGGGAATGGAACCCTCGCACCTTCTCCACACCGGTGCCGAACAGTTGCCTCAGCGTGCAGTTTATGCGAGTTTTCTTTCCTGCACCTGATGGACCATAGAAGAGCATGTGTGGAAAATCTTCAGAGGCGGCGAGTGCTTTCAGCCGGGTAGAGAGGTCATGGTGGTAGTGGAGGTCATCAAGTGTTTTTGGCCTAAACTGAATTTTTTCCAAATAAAATTCTTTGTGTGAATGGAGAAGAGAGGAACTTACTCGGTCAACCCAGAGTGACATGGGTGATTCAGAATGAAATGTTGGTCGCGTCGACGCGTTCACTTTGATCTGTCGCGTAGTCCAATAGGGATTCTATTACTCAGTACTACTGCCTTGCAATAAACCAGATAACACGGAAAACATGTACAACAGTAGCTAGTTCGTATGTTCATATGCATAGCTCACACAACCTTCCGACCTAACGCTCGCCGCTCTTTATAAGACTAGCGACCCTTTTCGCTGCGTCCGGTTCCATACCACAACGTTTTGTCAGGACGCGAGTGTAATCTTTTTGTTTTGGCACACGCTTCCGTGGCAGAAAAGTTGCCATTCGCCTAAGGAACATCACGAGCCAGCTCGGGGTGTCCATTATCAACCCTGTGCCATTTGCTGTGCACTTCTGCAAGAGCGACAACAGGGTCTTCCTAGACTCATCGTACTTTGCAACCTGCTCCTGGTCTTCGGGATCCTGAACCGCCGTTATGCACGCGTGACCAACGCTATGGATGCCATATCTCTTGATATTGGTCTGGTTTCTGATCCACCAATCTTCCATCCTTTCCTCCCGCTCAAGGCCGGTGAAAATGAGCGCGATAGGTACTCTCTTGTCGCAGAGAAACTCGTGGAATAACCGGTAGTTGCTCTGCGTGGTGGCGGTTATCCGGCCACCGCGCATGCAGAAGAGAAGAAGGTGAATACCCCCGGTTTCACCCAGAGACCTGATGAGTTTGTATGCCTTCTCTATAGCATCGTAGTAGCCGTTGACACCCATCTGGGGTTCCTCAAGACCGACAGTGTCATAGACGGTATAGGACTGCGAGTGGACTTGGATATCATATCGGGTTGATGACATCGTGCACCCGTCAACGTCAGCGGAAACCTTGGCGATGGGTTGCCCGGCAATGAGGTTAACAACCGAACTCTTCCCTACGCCAGTTTCGCCAAAAAGGACAATATTGATAGGACTGGACTATGTGGGGAACATCAGAAGATATAGTTACCATACATACATCCCACTACTCACGGCTGGAGGGACGGCTGGAGGGTGTTCTGACATTTCGCCTGAGGACGTCTGAAGACTCGGAGCTACGGGGAGCAGCGTATAACGCCTTCTACGGTATATGGACGCAGAACGATACACTGCAAGTGGTTGAAAGGTTTAAATGCGCCTACCGTGCAGAGGACGACGGGCTGGAAGTGAGTGGTTGGGGTTGATATGTTACGGAAACACACAGTGGTAGGGAACGATGCATGGCTGGCATACCGTAGTGATGCATCTGCCTCATGGAGGCAGCGTGTAAAACCTCCACTAAACCTACCGTCCGAGTCGAACGAGGGTTTGTAGGGAGTCAGCAACGTTTGGCGCTCGCTTAGCGCCAAGAAAACATCGCACTCGATATGCAGTAACATCCAAGTCAATTGGTTTCGTATTAGGCGGCGTATGTAGTACAGAGTTCAAAACTCTCAGAAACGACCGGTCCTCGCGAACCAGCATCCTTTGTGGAAAGGAACGTTTACCCCTCGAAATGACTTGTGCTCTCCACGTTGCTCACTTTGCAACCCTAAGCAACCTCGGCAATGTCCACCGCGGGGTATTGCAAGGTTGGAGTCACAAGGCTGGTCCCCTGTTGGCACCGTCGTGTGGTCCATGTGATGTTGTGCAAGCGGTCCTATCTCCTCTGCTCTACACAGACACCTTCGTTGCACCGTCCAGCTCAACGCAGCAGTGCGTTACACTCCAACGAGTACTTCTTTCTAGTGTTATTGAGGTCCATACAAGTGGTTAATGGACAAATCAGGTCCTGTTGTTCGGTGGGCTGCCAATCTATCAACAAGAACCACAGAAGGATATCAAATAGCACGGTTGACACTGTTCACCAAAGGAACCAAGATGACTTCGAGGGAGGTCCGTTACTCTTCTACCACGAAGTGTAGTTACAGTGTTCATATTCTTCCAGCAAAGTGGACAGCCCGTCCATAACGTCATCATATTTGGGGAAACCGGCGTTGGGAAGAGTTCCCTCGTTAACCTGATAGTCGGGTCGAACGGAGCAGAGACATCTTCTGATGCAGTTGCGTGCACCGCACGTAATCAGGGATACGAGGTGACCATAAATAATCGGAAGTTCAGAGTATGGGATACCGTTGGGCTGGATAGTGGGACGTTCAACTGGTTACCCGCTACCTTCGCAGAGAGGCCCCTGAAGCGTTTTCTATCGAAGTTATTCAAGAAAGGAGAAGTGGACCTTCTGGTCTATTGCGTACGTGCTTCGAGAGCCACGCGAGCCCTTGTTCGGCATTATCAGACTTTCTACTCCACAGTATGCAGGGCTGCTGTCCCTGTGGTCGTGGTTATAACCTGCCTCGAAAACTCTTCAGGAGAAATGGATAACTGGTGGACAAAGAACGCGGGGAATTTCCGCAATTGTGGCATGTATTTTGCTGGCCATGCATGCGTAACGACGTTGGCCGACGAACATTGTGACTCTGCAATGTTGCAGGAACGTCGTGCATCCTCTCGACGGGCAGTTCATGACCTGATATCTAGAACCTGTGTCCCCTATGAATCGCACCTAGCATCGGGAAACACAAGCCAAACACAACAGCGGAATGCCTCCGGGTTTCTGTCATCTATAATGCCATGGCTACGATCAGGGTGAGTTGCCCTTTTGCAATAGATGCCGATGATGCTGGAACGGCTTTTCATTCGGGTACGCTTCTCTACCCTGATGATATAGGACTACACCGCAACGATAGTTCTGGTCTGTGAGATGGGTATGTGGTCGTAGTTTTATTCTTCGTTTGGAGATTGGCTGCTTGGATTGTGGGTACGAAATATTTAGACATGTATCTTGACGTGGTTTTTAAATGACCGTTCAGCGTTCAACGTTTCAACGTTCGGACTCTTTCATTCTCTTTGTAGCTCGAGACTGACAGTCTCAAAGCCCAGTTGTGCCGACCATCCAATACATGGCTGGGAGACTATGACCCACTGGCGTTGCGGGTGCGATGACTGACCAACGGACGTGGCTGCAGACCCGCTGGTAAGTTGTCATAAGGCACGAAATTAACCAACATAAGTGAGTCTGTACATGTCCATGGGCCATAAGCCTATTAACACATAGTGTGTAATCTGGTATCCTTCTGGCCGCGTATCTTACCGAAGCTGAAACCCAAAACTTGGATTTCGCGATTAAACCATCTCCCAGCGTCCGATAACTTGTCAGGGACCACAATTTCCAATTTCCAGTTACTGCTGGTGGTATCGCTATTACCACTGACTCACTTATCCCCTCGCCTACCCTTCTGTCAATACAAACTGATTGATGTGTGGAAAGTTGGCTATTGTTGGTTACAGAGCTTGGCATCAACCTCGGCACAGTGGAATTCCAGGCATATTTCGAAAACATCTTGAGTGGACGTAAGAATGTCTGCAGTGCATTCCTTCTGACTGTCTCCCTTTAGCATCGTCAGCAACTGACCTTCTGAATCACGGACCACTGTTTGTCTGTCTGGATGCATGATTTCGCAGAGTGGTAGTGCACTCACTGTGATCGGCAGACTCTTCTCCAATTGTCCTGGTGCAGACAATGTCACATTGAGCATCAAGGGCAGCCCACCAGAAGTAGCACATCGGTGGCTTGGCTCACTGCGTTCAAGACTCTGACGCTTGATGTTTTTTTTACCAGGCCAGAAGTTTGATGTAAGTTCTCGCCCATGTCTCATTGTAAGATACGGAACACCTGACTTTCTCAATCTATAACTTTATCCGATCTCAGCACTGTCATGGAAAATCAAAGTGAGGCGTTCGCACCCCTATCAGCTTCGAATAGCACTATCGCTGAAAGCAAAAACCTTTTCGGGTTCTCTCTCCAGGTCGTCCAGTCTGCCATACAAATGACTCTTAGTTCCGGAGGCGTCGTGGCCGCCGAGGGGCCTATACTTAATCTTTTTCCCAGCCTTGCAGGAGTATGAACATGCAGTACACAGCTTATTCTGCCACTGTTAGACAACGTTGATGGCGCGTCAACAAGAAACGTTGCCTTACTCCCCGTTAGATTCCACAATATAAGCCTACAGGCACTGGACGGAGCCGTATTCGAAGCGATGTTCCCCCAGGTTATTGAGAAAGATTCCACCACGTTTAACTTGAACGGGGCAGCTAATGTGACAGTCAAGTCAGTCATAGGCGACGCACCCATCTCAGGTATCGCGTTTTTCGTATCCTCGAGTGTTGGTGGTAGGTTTTGTGATGAGATCAACTGGGAGTATGGATTCATCGTGGAACCAGTACATCAACTCCCCGCTTACCGCTACCTTACAGAACAGATTTAATAAATCACTGTCGACTATCGACATTGCGCTATCGGCTTACCATCAGAACATTACGATAGGGCACGCAGTGTTCGATGCCGATCCTTTTCTCCAAGAACTTCTGATTCTTAATGCTGAATTTGTTCCGCAGCCATTTGATCTAGTTTCTGGCGACGACTCCATCCAAGGAGAGTTCTGGTATCAGCTGGCTAATGCCAATGACACAATTTCTCAGAACTTCTCAACACGCTTTATACAAAGTGGAGACACCTTGCCTCTGAGCGTCAAGGGGGACCCCGCGAGTCGTCCATTTACATTCCTCCAGTTGGTGACGGAAGGGGTGACCCCCTCCACAAGTGTTACTGGTTTGTATGAAGAACCCGTGAGATATTCTGCGCCTTCTATCATTACCCGTGTGTACGCTATAATCTCCCTGGATTCGCTTGTGACGAACGGCACAAGTCATCCTGTCAAAGAACAGTTGTAGGGAGACGCTGATCACTTTCCTTCAGACCTGCTATCCCCTCGATGCCTATCTCGTCATTGGGTTTGTGCAGGCCGATGGTATGGTGAATAAGGAGATTTATGCTCGCTCTAATCAAGCGTTCTCCATTCCCCGGGTCAGACAGTGTAACTCGTCAAGAGCGCGTTGGCATCTATGCAGATTATACCCCCGGGTTGCTTGGACATCCAGACCGCTGATACTGTTAGGTACGACGTATTGGTCCTCATGCTATGACTGTTTGAGCTCACTTTCCATCGCACAGGATGGGCGTTAAGGAATACCAATTTCCGCGACTGCATGTCAGCCAGAACGATGTTGCGACAACATACAGGTATGACCTCATCTCACCTAGTGGCCTGCTGTCGGCCACTCAATCTATGACAGCTTCCCACGCTAGTTACATCCTACTTTTGCTTTCGTCACTCGGCGGGGGATTATTCACTGGTAGCTCGGTTGCATTGTCAAGCAACTTGCCAGTTAATCTCCCGACGTCTGTTGCTTTGAGTTTGGTGAGGTTATAGTATGATATGGTTTGACATCAACTGATCCTAGTCATCGCAGGAGCCATCTTTTACTGGCAATGTGGCCCAACCCACTAACCAGACCTCACTCTGAGCAGCCATGTCAACACCAAATTCAACGCAAACGAACCAGCCAAGTCATTTCAATTGCCGTCTTTAAGTGCCTGGTTGATTTATCGATCAGTTATATACTCGCTTTTGATTCCAACTAATTTCGCTCATGCCATTGCTCTATCCATCATATACCCCATCTTTTGAAGCATGCTTCGACGAGGATGTCAAATGTTATTACAAGCTTTCAACTTATTAGCACACAGTGGAGTAGTTTTACACTTCGACAATCTACAAGCAGACGAAAAGATCGCAGTACCTCAATCTAAAGGTGTACAGAGAGTATCGCTGATATGGTGCCCAAGAACGAAATAAATATTGCCAGGCTGTGCCACGAGAGATCAATTTGCAAGCCGGTTGCTTTTGTTTTCCTTTTTTCTAATCTTTTTCCCGCGTACTTGTAGTTTCGAAATTACGGCCGCATCGACCATCACTGCTAGCCAGTCGCAACGACAGCTGGCTGCTCCGGTCTCGTCCTTCGTTTCGCCCCTCCTTCTTTTCTATCACCGCTCCTTGTCGTGGCCTTTTCGCACCAGATCAACTTGTTTCGCGGTTGAGCCACTATGACAACTCGTTTCGCGCAGCCGACTTTTACCGCCAACGACGTCCCAGTACCAACAACACGACTCCCACTGTCTACGGGTACCACCATTCGACGTGCTAAGACACTCACTCGCCCGGAGCGTAGTGTTGCACCCGTACCCCTTATCAATCCAACTCCCTCGCTCGTACCTAACGCATCTGGCTCAATATCTAATGGTTTTCTTGGAACTGGCGTCGATCCTTGGCGGCTTTTCTCCAGAATAATCACATTCTGGGCACCATCCTTTCTGCTTAGTTCTTTTGCTGGTTTGAGGGACAAGGCAAAGATACAGGCCTGGAGGGAGAAGATTGCTTTGTGCTTCATAATCTTCCTCCTCTGCTGCTGTGTCGCATTCGTCACCGTTGGCACAGAAAAAGTCCTGTGTCCAAATACCTCAAGTACCGCGATCTATACCCTCCTCGGATCCGTTGCCGGCACACTGAGTATAGAGGGTTTCATGTTCAATGTGTCTTCAGCAAGGAGCCCTTCAGGCGTCGACCTTCTCGCTCTTGCTCAGCAAGGGCCAGGTCAAGATATCACTCCTTACTTCACTCGGAGCGCCTCCGAGTTTACTGCTTGTAATGGCTTGTCTTTCCATATTGCCACCGATAATCCTTGTAGCACCACTACGTCTTGTCCTCTGGGCCCCCTCAACTCCTCAGCCACACTTACCGGACTTAACATCCAAGAAACGACCATGCTTCTCGGCTATGATTGGGACCAAGTAGCCAATCTTTCTAATTACTTCGTCATCGACGGCGCTGTTCTCAACATGAACCCGTACATCACTCTTCACCCTACCCCTGTAGCATCAGATAATGTCGACCTCGCAATCCGCACAGTCCTCAGCCAGCCTGCAAATAGCGGAAAAGATGCTACCCACTTGTTCTACAGTCGTAGCGATATACGATCTGCGGTCCCTTGTCTCATGCAGCGCTACTATGCCGGTAGTATTGCAAAGGTCACACCCGGTTGCTTCATCTCTTCCTTATTTCTCTACGTCGGCCTTATTGTTATATTGGGGCTCGTCTTGTCACGCTTCGCCATGGCCTGTGTATTCAATTGGTTCATTTCTGCGCGGCTGGCCGGTCCTCCAGACAACGCGGATTTGAACCGAACAGTGATCAGTCCTGCGGTCATGCCGGAGGGTGCCAATATCTCTGTTGATAACAGAACTGGCGTCGCCCCATGGGCTGGTCCCGGAGGCACAAAGAAACTCATAAAATCTGCCAAGAACTCCCGAAGCTCCGCTGTAATGTCAAACGCGACGCTGGTTCCTCCGGAACCCAGTCAGACGATTACTCTGGCGCAAATCGGTGCTGAATTGTTTGCTGTGTGTTTGGTCACATGTTACTCGGAGGGCGAGGAGTCGCTGCGGACCACTCTGGACTCCATATCCCTAACATCATACTCTGACCGTAGGAAACTGCTGTTTGTCATCGCTGACGGCATGATCACTGGCGCGGGAGAAAAGAGGAGCACACCGGACATTTGCGTTAGCTTGCTCAATGCTGATCCCCGTTTTGGAGACCCAGTCCCAATGAGTTACCTCGCCATAGGTACAGGGGCGAAGAGGGAAAACCGTGCAATGGTTTACGCTGGTCATTACAGTACGTCACGGCACTAACGTGCTGGCTGGGTCTAACACATCCTTATCTCTAGCCGTTGCTGGTCGTCGTACTCCTACATTGATTGTTGTAAAGTGTGGAACGGAAGTAGAGGCTTCTACTGACAAAAAACCCGGAAACCGTGGCAAACGCGACAGTCAACTTATTCTGATGAACTTCTTTTCTCGTGTTACCTACAACGACCGGATGACGCCGCTTGACTTCGATATATTTAGAAAGATCCAAGTCCTGATGGGTGTAACGCCCGATTTCTTTGAAGTGTGTCTAATGGTAGGGTCAACTCCGGCGATGACGGTGAAGTTTGAGCTCAAACTTCTACAGGTTGATGCAGATACCAAGGTCTTCCCTGATTCGTTGAAGTATCTCGTCAACTGTATGCACCACGACCAGATGATTATGGGTGTCTGTGGGGAGACGCGGATAGCCAACAAGCGCCAGTCATGGGTTACAGCCATCCAGGTCTTCGAGTACTTCATATCCCACCACCTCGCAAAAGCTTTCGAGTCGGTATTTGGTGGTGTTACGTGTCTCCCGGGCTGCTTTTCGATGTTTCGGCTCAAGGCTCGGAAAGCAAATGCAGACGATTGGGTACCCCTCATCATTAAGCCAGAAATTGTTCGCGAATATAGCCAGAGCGAGGTTACTACTTTGCATCAGAAGAACCTTCTTCTACTTGGAGAAGATCGCTTTCTAACGACCATCCTTCTCCGTACATTCCCTAACCGCAAGATGATGTTTTTACCACAAGCTCGTTGCCGTACAGTTGTCCCCGACACGTTCTCAGTTCTCCTTTCCCAACGACGACGTTGGATCAATTCGACGGTCCACAACCTGATGGAACTCATTCTCGTGCGCAATCTCTGCGGTACATTCTGTTTTAGCATGCAGTTTGTTGTTTTCATGGATCTACTCGGTACCGTCGTTCTTCCAGTCGCTATCATCTTGACATATATGCTGGTTGCCGGAATGGTTCTGGAACCACCAGAGACATTCCAGGAGACGATCCCGCTGTTGTTGCTGTGCTCTGTACTCGGTCTCCCCGCGGTCTTGATCTTGATTACGACCCGCAAGGTTGTGTATGTATTCTGGATGTTCATTTACCTTTTGGCACTTCCTGTCTGGAACCTTATACTGCCCGTGTACGCATTCTGGCACTTCGATGACTTCTCATGGGGAGAGACAAGGTGAGGACCTTCGTTCCTCCCACTTTAGTGAAGTGTTAATGCGGTTTACAGAAAAGTGGCGGGCGAGGCCAAGGGAGAGGGTCACGACTTGGGCGGTGGTGTATTTCATGGAGCGTCCGTTCCTTTACGTCGTTGGGAGGATTGGGAACGGTCGCGACTTCGCAAGTTGAAACGAGAGGAACGGCGGAGGCGAGAGATGGAACGTATGCACCCTGGCGGTTTCCTTTCTCCCGATAATGATCTTCTCAGCGTACGCACGGGAAGTCAACATGATGGCTCGGATACCTATTCTCTCACTTCTTCTGACGACGATCACTGGGGGTCACAGATTGGTCCATACAACGAGAACACTGCACCACACGCTCCACCCCCGGTGGGTCCCTTCCCAGTACCACACACGGGTAACGACAGCAAGTTCCTCGATGGTGTAGAACTCGAGGCCATGCTTGAGACGGGTTTTGATGACGACTCCAGTCCTTCGCCGTCACAGACACCAACACTTGGGCCTCGATATCATCTATCTGATAACCCCTCGCACCAACACCTCATGGGTTATTCCTCCGTGTTATCAGCAGGTTCCTATGACGATCCACGGACCCCTACATCTACATCTCCAGCTATTTCGTTTCCGAATGCTACCCAGAGCTCAGACGACCGCGCGCGACGGCGACCGGCCCAGGCATATGGACCTCTTGGACCTCTAGACCCAGGAGAATGTGCATAAAAATGAACTTTGTCTTGGTGCTTGTTCACCCGTATTGGTATCCGTATCCCTTCCTTTACTACCGTTGTTGAACACATACCGGTCATGACCTCCCTTATTATCTGTCATTCAACAAATTCCAACGAACCTACATTTCATGGTCTGCTTGCATATTCGGATGGCTTTCTGGAACACCTACTCTGCCTTCGTAGTACTTGTCGAGTGCTGGTGCTCATTTGTTTCCTTCAATCGTTTTATAGTACATAACACATGCGCACTGACTGGATCCCGACCACATTTTATTTGTCATATTTCGTCAAATGCTAGTCATCGCCCTCTATCCCCGTGCGGCGTTTCTCCGGTTGTCAAGGTAGTCGAATAAACGTTTTGCAAGAAGTAAACTGGATGGCATCTGCAGTGGCACTGATTCTGGGTCATGCCGTGTTCCGACACAGGCTAGGGTCACCAGGTGTAACCAGTCCCGCAGTTCCAGCACCTGTCCAGCAAGGCATACTACTTTATGCCCTACTACCGATAATATTGTTCCGTGATCTATACTTATTGATCTCCAGAACCCCTGTATGGATTTCGTTGTCTATCCAAACAAGAAAACGCCGAAGCCTAGGTCGATCACTCCGATTCACTCGATCATGTGTCATGAAACAGCGGTAATATATCGTTCTGACCGGAATCCCGAGAAGGATCTCGCATAACCCTAGCAAAAACGATGTCGAGTTCCAAAAATCGAGAGAGTAACACCGAGCATTACACTTGTGACGAGGAATTACACTACAATACTACGTAGATAGTCGATCACCGGGATTCGGGGACAACCTAATCCAACGAGAAGTTTCTGCAAGTCCTTTCCTGTGTGAGACACTCAGATAATGAGGTTAGTCCAACGAAGTCGCGAATTCCAGCGCACTGAACCTATCACTAATACTGAAATGGATTGCTTGAGTAGCATGTAAGAATAATACAGAAAATACAGAATGATACTGCTTCGTTGAGTATAGCGATAGGCAGAGCAAGTAGGGGTCCCTTGACAAAATGCATGCGAGGTTACAGAGTAGTGAGAGGATACAGACGTTATTTGCGGCGTTTTGTTCGCACGAAGTAACAGCAAAGAAAAAGGGTTTCATCCGCGTCGTCGAGATGCGAAGATGAGTCAGAATCTGGATTTGCTTGCGTGCTATCTGATGGGTTCGAGAGATCCACAGCGGGACTCCAGGGTCGCTTCCCGCTTTTGTCCCGGTGCGCTCGAGATATGGAGGACCTCTGTGCAACGCTTAGCCACACCCGACAGTAAATGCGAATTGCTTACTTGTATGAACTGGCGAGAAATGGCCATGAGTCGTGCAGTACCCTTCGTACTACGCGAGTCTGTTCTGTTTTGGTTCTTCTGCGACCGTGTCCTGCTCGGAGGCCTGGCGTCAACGGAAGTGCCGTTGCCAATTTTGACAGGAGCTACCAGCTCTTCCCTGGTCGGGGTTCTGGGAATCTGTACTTCTGATTTTAGATTGAATGACAATCAAATACCAGGTAATACAGACCGCAACAATGGAACTCAAAGGAGAGGGAGGAAGCGGCACAATGGCAGGCGAATGTTTGGCATCTTCTGATTCATCTATTTCCGGAGGAAGAGGAAGCTGGCTTGGATGAGAACCCTACAACACTGTTTCTTCGACGAACTCAACTTACTTGAGGGAGAAATGGTGTGCTCGGAATCGGCGGGGTCGTTGGAATCTGTCGTGCAGGTTGGGTGGTTGGTTGATTGCGCCACAGTAGGCTGGCGTCCCACAACCATATTCTGAAATCACAACATCCCCCTGCAAGGTATCGTCCATCCAAGGAGAAAGCGACGCAGGAGACATCGTTGGCGTGGCGGAGAATGGGGCTAGCTCCCTGTCTCGTAGAGAGGTTCCAGACTTGCATGACAGTGCTTGGCCCTGCAGTAGCAAGGAAGGTGCCGTCTGGGGAGATTGCAATGGAAGTGATGATGGCTGCGTGGGACTTGATCGGCTCCCCTATTTGTTCTCCCGTGATGACGTTCCAGACGCGAATCGTACCGTCGTCGGAGGCCGTAACAAGGGACTGACCGTCCGGCGTGTATACGACGCACCTCACATCACTCTCGTGGCCTTCCATGGGGCCGACAAGCATCTGGCCAATGTCTGAATCACATACACGAACAGTTTTGTCATTGGCAACGCTGGCAATTTCGAGTCCATCAGGGGCGTACGTGAGCGAATATAGATTGCCGTTGTGTGATCTGAAAGGACCGGCAACTAAGCTGCCAGTACTTGCATCCCATATGCGTATCGTATTGTCACCCGTCGTAGCTATCCGCCGGCCGTCGGGTGAGAAGGTGACACACCAGAGACCGGATGCGTGCCCTTCTACTGGGTCATACAGAAGTTCGCCTGTTGCAACGTCCCAAACCCGCAGGGTGTGATCCTCGGAAGCGCTAGCTATTCGATCACCGTTTGGGGAGACGGCGACTGAGCGGACGACGTCTGTGTGGCCCACTAGCGGGCCTCTTGTCTGTAGACCTGTCTCGAGGTCCCAGATACGAATGGTGTTGTCCCAGGAAGAGCTGACGAGGCGACGGTTGTCAGGAAAGAAGGCGACACATCGGACTGTGTCAGTGTGACCCGTGAGTGTTCGTAGTGGACGTACGTGGTCTGGGCGACGTGCACGGGAGGACGAAGACAGCATTGCTGAGTTCTATGAATTGGGAACAGTTTGGGTTGATCCGCAAGCTGCGAGAGCACAGCACATGAGCGAGACGGGCTGTGAACGACTCGACGGCTGTCATACCCAGAGCAGTCGCGGTGATGCTATTCGTGCACTGCAACAGGCGCTCCCGACGCGTGCGGACGACGTGGTAAGTACAATAAGTGGATATGACAGTGCGATTAGTGGACATTATCAATCATGGCTTCGATCGAGGGCTGTACACCAGCGGGAGCCTCATAATCTCAAGTCCCAGGCTGTGAGAGAGCTCCGTATACTTCCATTCCTCCTCCCATCACCACCTCCCTGATATCAGCACAGAAGACTGTTGCCCTCGCTCCATGGTCGCAGGTGCTACTACAGGTCTACGCAAGGGCGTCTGGGAGCCTCTTCCACTCATCGCATATGGCTATGCCGTTCACCCACTATCACCGTCGAAACGAGATACCCGCATTTCCAACCGCAGACCGATGTCTACCATCACCGAGGGATCTACAGAAGAAAACCCCGTACACCGTGACGTCGTCTCGCTCGAAGTCGGCGATGAAGTGTACGCCTTCGAAAAGTACGTCCCGAGAGGCAAGGAGGTAGAGGCTGTGTGGTATCGTGGGTGCGTCCATCACCGGGTCCCGTGTTTCATATTGGGATGATTCACATTTGGCGCTATAGTTATGTTGTGTGTTCCGCTCGTCGGCCGCCCATATCGTGGTCAACCTCCGATTCATCATCCTCGGTTATTAAACCCGTGAAAATCGAAGAACCCCAGCAGGTTTTCATTGGAATCTTCCCTGCTTCGCATGTGTACATCAGAGACGAACTCTCAGACGCAGAAGGTCGCCTTCCCGATCTTGTTACTTCCCTCAATGTCAATCCCACCACCCAAAATGTCGCCCATCCCCCACCAACCATGTTATCCCACGCAGCAGACTATCTTGCTCAGTGGAAACGAGAGCGCACTAATTCTGGACCCGAGCCTCCTCATCGTGATCGTCAGCCTCACCCAGACCGAGACAAGGAACACGACAAGGACAACCACGACGAAGAACGCAAGGAATTCAAGTTGCTCCCTCCCCCAGACACCGCCAAGTCATCTCGTGCTGCAGTCACGGTATACTCTGCCAGTGTGTACTCCGGGACCTCCCCCTCGGAACCGCAGAAACCCCTCCCACCGCGTCCCTCCCTCAAGTCCGGGGACGATACTGCTTCTGGAGCAGAGCAGCCCCTTGTCGACGAAATTGCATCAGCCCTCAGAGAATGGCACAGCTTCATGTTTCATTACCTCGCGCGGAGGGACTATGCCCTGTTCCACACCGTCAAGGGTCACATCGAGGCTCTTCACCTCGGCAGGAGGCAATTGCTAGCACAGACACTCAGCGCAGAGGAAACCGTAGCCCTCGCACGAGACTGTGTGGTGAGACTCGTGACCGGAAACGTAGTGCAGGACTTGGACATCATCGTCAGGCATCCGACGTGGGGCGCATTGGTCACGGTGGATGTCGAGGGCGAGTTTGACCCAAGGAGTTGGATGAGTGCAGTCAGGATGTACGCGATGCAAACGGCTCTTGCATACATGAACGTATCAACCGAGCATTCCAATAACTCCAAACTTACTGTCGGGCCAGTCGAACACAACAGCCCACTGGTCCCGATTCCCACTCCAGCACACTCCGCCTTCCCCGACGTCGCCCGTCCGCGCCTATTGTCCCGCATAACTGGCTCCTTTGCTTCCACCAGCACTGTGGGCAGCAAGCCTGCAGCTGCCAAGTTCTATCATATTTTCCTCGACCTTCGTGCTTTCGTCGCGACGCTATGTGGTCCCGGGGAGACAGCAGAACTTTTCTTCTCGATTTACAAACACTCCGACGCCCCTAGGTTCGTTACAGAAGAGTTTTGCGTCGTTCTCAACCACAATGGTGTCCCGTTTCGGGAAGGAGGTTTAACAATGCGTGCTCGCACACTGTTCATTGACATCGCACAGAGCGATGCGCAGGACACGTTGTTTCTCGTGTGCAGAATTGTCAGAAGTGGCGCCATGAAAATGGCCTCCCACATGAGCTCCGGTGCACCGGGCGCATCAGGCGGAAGTGACAGTAGCCGACGTCCTTCCGAATCATCCCTTTCTATCAACGACCAGGGACTTGGTACACTTCGCGGTTCGACGACTCCTCTCAATCCTTCACTAGAAACAATCAGCTATCGGCGTCCGTTCGGGTGCGCAGTACTCGAGTTGACACAATTGAGCAAGATGCTTGCTGATGGCACAGAGGTGTCGCCCATCCGCGAGCATACAATGCCTATCTACGTCCCCGTGAATGAGGCTTTGTTTTCGATGTTACATCAAGATATCATTGCGAATAATATGAAAGAATACGATAAATCGGCAAGGTATGTCGCTTCACTCGATACGTGTGGCTTGGTGATCGAGCACGTTGCATACAGGGCAGAGATGGTCGCTGTGGCACTGAAAGTCTTCCACGGAGAGTCAGCGACGATCATCCGGGAGAATATGTCACTTTTGCAGGACATCCCACTCACCCTGCGCCTTGGTTTCCCCGACGTTGTATTTCCCGGTGACGTCCGCAATGAACTCTACATCAAACTATGGTCTGGCGACTTCCCTACCTCCCATGTCCCTGCCAACCGTCTCAGTATGGTAAACCTCGCTCGTCCTGGGCCGACGGCACACAATATCCAGGTCACTATGGAGGTACGCGACTCCCAGGGCAATCCGGTGGAACGCGTGATCTCTTTGGGGTCAGGAGAGCCCTGTGTCACACATTTTCACTCCATGGTCTTCGCTCGCAACAACCAGCCTACGTTTGGCGAACTTATCAAGCTGCAGCTTCCTCTTCGCGGGATTCCGGACTGGCATTTGTTCTTCACTTTCAGAAACCGGACTGGGAACCGCGCGTTGGGGCCGGAACGTCCATTTGCATTTGCATTTCAGCCACTTTTTCCCGGTCAGGGTGCATTCCTGGAAGACGGAAGTCATACTCTGGTCTTGTACAAGGCAGATAAACTGAGCCAAATCACGCCGGACATGTACTTGAGCTCATCACCGTGGCATATACCGAACCAACAGTTGACTATATCGCCGGAACTCCAGAAATTCGCTCCATCCTTACGCGACACCCTCACCATCCGTTCCTCCCTATGCTCGACAAAATTCACGCAGAACCCTGTCTTACTGAGCTTGCTCAAGTGGGACCAGTTGGCTGACAAGATCCTCTTATCCACCGTGCTCAGCAAATTCACGTTCGTGGGTGAGGGTGAAATCGTCAAGTTTTTACGCGACATCTTCGACTCGCTCTTCGGCATCCTCGTTTCGCCGTCGAACCAATCTGGTGAAATGGATAACCTTGTATTCAACGCACTCGTGACTGTGCTCGGCATCGTTCAGGATAGGCGATTCAGCAATTTCCAGCCAGTTTTGGACGTTTACATCGAGCAACACTTTAATTGCCCTGCTGCTGCATCGCTTATGCTGCGCGCGATGAACAGATTGATGAGGAATCCTACTGGCACGGATACGGCTTCTCCACTGAGGGCTACTCTCAAGGTGTGGCACTACATCTTCAAGTTCATCACACGCGCACGGGAGCTACAGAAGGCGAAAGAAGTTGGCAGTGGGGCAACGACTGAACACCTCGAGACAACCTTCAAGAAAGAAATCCGTGCTCATCTCGTCGAGGTTAACCGCATGATGGCATCGACTTCCCCTCCGTCTATTATCGGTACTCAAACAATCGCACTCCAGCATTTCACGTCGACGTTGCCAGAGCTGGCGAAGATCTTCCCCGTAATAGAGCTCGTGACTATTGCAACCAACTTTGCAAATGCAACCTGCGCTGCTAGGGGCAAGCTTATCATCTGGCGACTGATCATGTATATACAACTTGTGAAAAGCTTTCTCTTTGACGACCCGCAAGCTCGATCCCTCCTTACCCAGGCCGTTGTCCTTTGGATCAAACCACATTTCGGCCGGTATGATGAGTTTACGCAGACTCAGCCGGGTGATTCTGAAAGCGCGAAGGACGCATCGCGAGTGAGCTGGTTGGAGTCGATGAGGTTATGTGTTACAATTGTTGCTGTGATACTCGATAAGTTGCAACAGCAATTGGTATCACCAACTGTGGGTGCCGATCGGGCCATGCTGAGACAGGAACAAGATAACGTGGAGTATTTACTGATGCTCCTACCCAGGTGAGATTCTAAGGAATCGACAAACTAATAGACTTATGATTTGGCCAGGTTGCTTGAGACGTACCGCGAATTCCAGAACCCAGCAAACCACCGTGCGCTCGAGCGCGCGCGGACGCCAACAACCGTCACTGCCCCAATTCCTGTCTCTTTTCCCGAGTCATATCCATTCTCCCTGATGGCGTCACTCCCGAATGTACAAAAGAGTTCTGGGTCTGGAGATGATAACAAAAACTTCAATCCGGGATTAGGCGAAACTGCCATCGTTTTTTTGGCCCTGGTACTCTCCGCCCCCACGAAACATATCTACAGCTTCCTCGAATCCTGTTACGAAATAGAGGGAAGGGAAAATTTCGCTGCTCTCCTAACTCAGTTCTTCAAAGTTGGGACTTCTATACTTGACAACGATGCCTGGCCGAACACATGGTTAAACGTGAATATTTTGACCCACAAAGTCCTAATCAAAATGATGGATCCTATCTCCACGCTGCTCAAGCGAATCTTTATACCAACGCCCACAGCTGCGAAACAGCTTAGGATAGACTTGTGGCGTGATGCGTTTCATATGTTGTTGAAACTGCTTTCGTCCGATCAACTTGTCATCGAGGACTTCACGGCTCAGGTACGCACTGCTTCATTCAACTGCTTCTGCTTTAATACGTTATGCTTTGCAGAAAAGGCGTGCAGTATGGCGTCTTGGTGGTGATATTCGTGGAGAAGGTGCCGAAATTTTGAACCGACTTTGGGAAGCTCTCGTCATACCGGAGTCTACCGAAACAGACACTGTTCACAAGGTTTGCATTGCTTCATTTCTCTTGTCGTAGTGCTGACTCGTCGACACAGGGATATCAACATGTGCTCAGTCCGCTCATTGGCCAAATCGTGAACCTATGTCTCAGTCACCACGATTCACTCCGTAATACCGCCGTTGGCATTCTTTACGGTATGATAATCTGCGAGTACCAACAATCCGGCAATTTTGACAAGATTGAGAATGAACTCGTGAGGAAGTTGGACTCGCTGTTCATGTCGCAATCCAAAGGCGACGACATCTCACGTGCATTCTTCATCGCCCAACTGAGGCAATTGTTTGATTCCTCGGAAGTCGAAGAACAGCTACGTGAACATGTTTCGACATTCTTGGATTCTGTGGATGCATTCTTGAAACTCCTACTCAGTGTTAGGAGTCTGCCAGAGGGTGAAGAATTCGCTGAAGATCGGGTTATTGCGACTGTGAGATATTTGCACCGAGTGTTTGAAATATTCCACTGATAGTCTCCACAGCTACGCTTGATGAATTTCATTCGTGAAATTGGGCGCGAAGAAATGTATATCAAATATGTACACCAGCTTGTAAACGTGCGTGGTTGCACGCCATGCATAATGGGAGGACCTCACCAATTTTCATAGGCCCACCTGCAATCCCAGAACTACGTAGAAGCCGCGCTAACGCTCAAACTACATTCTGACCTTCACGAGTGGGATCTCTACTCCTTTGTTCCGCCAATGGAAGAGCTTGGCCTTCCGCAGCAATCTCAATTCCACCGCAAAGAAACTCTTTGTCTTCTTATCCTCGACTATCTTGGTAGGCGTACAGCACATGGAAAGGGCGGGATACTGACAAGCTGAGGAAGGTAAAGGAAAGGCATACGAAAGCGCCATAGAAATATGCAAAGAATTGGCTAAACAACACGCTGAGGTTACCTTCAACTAGTGCGTTGTGCGTCCATCACGTTCGGTTAACCTCTCACGAACAGACAATCCCTGCAGCGCCCGCTTGGCGGAAATCCTGAGGCATGAAGCAACTCTGTTAGAACACATAACTACCGATCAACGCTACTATCCCGACTACTTCCGGGTCGCATTCTGGGGTGACTTCCCAGATGCCCTTCGCGGAAAACAGTTTATCGTATGGCTTTATCTCGTGTGCAATGGTCTTAATATAACTATTCGGTTTCAGTACAGAGGATACGAGTGGGAGCGATATGGTACCTTCTGTGAGCGCATGCTGAACAAGCACCCTGGCGCCCAACTACTGAAGGCAATGGGCGAACCACCGGTAGACATCCGGTTTGGCAACGATCAATATATTCAAGTGACGGCTGTCTCACCGGAACCCGAACGTAACTTGCCTGTCTTTATTAGCCTTGATGTTCCCCAGGCGATCCGGGGCTACTATGAACACTGGCACGTTGCTCCAATTCAACATTCACTTGCGCACCATCCTGACATACCCTTAGCTCTATCAATGTATTCAGCTGTTCCAGGCAGGTCCCGAAGTCAGACAATGATGGCAACGAGGAAGTTTGGACGGAGAAAACTTTGTATACGACAGAGCAGGCATTCCCGACGGTCCTCAGGCGATCCGACATCACTGATACCGAGATCGTCCGCATCTCCCCGGTGGAGAACGCCCTGAATGAGGTGGAACAGAAAACCAGTGAACTTACTTCTTTTCATCTTAGATATGCTGCTTTCGCCAAGACGGCACAAGCGTTCTCCACTAATCCACTCTCAATGAGCTTGAACGGTGCGGTCGACCCCCCACAAGACAGTATACCAGCGTATCGGGAAACTTTCTTCCACCCTAGCTATGTTGCGCGTCATCGCGATAGGGCGGATCAGGTGGATCGCCTCAGGACGGCTATTGATGATCAGGTGCGATAGCTTAAACCGTGCGATCCGTCGACAAGTATACTTAATCTTGACAGGTTCGACTCATCGACAGTTGTCTTAAGCTACATGGCCAGATATGCCCACCGGAAATGCTCCGCTTCCATCAAACACTTCATGAACTCTTCCGGAAGAACTTTCCAGAAGAAATTCGGCGGATCACTGCTGAAGGCGGATTTGATGATACTCCCGCAGAGTCATACATCTCACCTGCTCGCACGGGAACGTCAGTGCATGACCTAGGATCAGTCTATGAGCAGGGCTCCATGCACAAACCATCCTTATCATCGTCTGCTTCTCTTCAGGGCGGGACAGCTCCGCTGTCGCTCGGTGGGTCTTCAGCGGCAATTCATGTTCCTATATTACCTTCGCCCCTATCGTCACACGGCCACATCCGTTCGCCATCCCATGCTTATTCACAAGCACACCCAAATTCGGACGGCCGCCATGGAAGCAAACCGACGCCACTCCAATTACACGCCGCGCATGTGGCGCGGCACGGCCTCACCGGCGTCTCGACAGGCTGGCGGTCTGACACTCCACCCGGAAATGGCGTGGGTGCTAATACAGGAATTGGGATGGCAGTCGATGGTCCTCCAAACTCACCCCGCGAGTCGCTGGTGACCGTGGGCAATAGTAATGGCCTTGGAGTATTGCGTGCGAGTCCTTCTGTCGGTACAACAAGTACAGGCTCGATCAAAGGACGATTGTCACGCCTTGGGAGTTTGAGCTTGGGGCCGAGGAAAGGTGGCATGCAGTGAAATTATAGTTCATCATAGCCCAGGGTTCGTGGTACAAAGTGCAACTTTACTTCAATCGGCTGGGATTTGATTTCTTCCTTATGTCTGTCCGTCTATATGATACCGATACCTTTGTCTATGCGAGTACATAAGTACGCTAACTTAATTATTTCACAATGTTACGTGAGACGACGTGCGAGCGTAACTTGAACATGACAGGCCGACATCAATTCGAAGGCGATAAATTGCATCATTCTACATCTGGGAAACAGCTACGCGACGCGGCTGTTAACAGCTCTTTCGCACTTGAGCGAGCTCTCTCATTGGCCAACAAGTGTCTTAGCGAGTCTTACGACAAGTCACTTCCAAACGGAGGCAGGTATAACCTGCTCACTCCCTCGGGTAGTTTTGCGGATGTACGATGTCCACCCGACTATAGACGGTGGCGTGAGCCCCCGGGGTGATCAAGGTCAAGTGCGCAACTATCTTGAACTTCTAAACCCCCATCTACAAGTATATGATGGCAGTATGAATGAGCGGTGAGTATCGTTGTAAATGTCCGACCTGGTATGAATCCCAAGGCCAAGCAGAAGTGCCAATCATTTCGTCATTTCTGCGAACCGATTAGTCCAGTAAGCAACAAACGCCTACTAATGGAGTCCGCGCCTTGCGGCATAACCTCCGTGTTGTCTAACCACCAACGTAGCTGATCCCTTAGATCATCTATTGACCTTCGCTCCGGCGTCGGTATCCTGAAAAACGATGGCTTAGCTACTAGGTTTGAACTCTCGCACCACTCACATTCCGCGCTCCGCAAGCGCCTCGTACAACTCCGGGGTGGTCAAGTCACGACCGCAGCCTTCTCCCCTCAATAAATCATCGTCTTCAGCAACACTCTTCAAGTGTCGGCGTATGCGCCAAGCAGCAAGCAACGACGGGCCCCATGCAGGTAGTCCCAGTAAACTGTAACCGCAAACACGGTTGTTTTCAAAAATAAAATAAAAAAGCCGGAGATGGCCAAGGCATACCTGCACACCGCAACAGGATTCTTTAGGCTGCGCACGTGAAGGAAGCCCGAGCCTTGGCCCTCCTTGTACATCGTTTCGTATACCCCACGATTTCGGAAAAGCGCATTTAACTGATCGGCTCGCCCTTTGAGAGCGATCCGGTCCCGCTGTCCAGGCAGTATACATGTAGAGGGCAACATTCGGGGAAAATAGAGAGCGACGAATGGTACAAGCTCTTCGGCAATGAGAACGATGATCATGAATGGCACAAGCCTTGAGAGAGATTAGCACGACAAATGACCAAGAGAAAGAGAAACGAGTCGTACTTTAGTGCATCTCGTTTGAATGTCTGGATGAACCGCACCTCCGCTCTTGTGGGCAAGGCACCTCCAGACTTAACGCGCTTCCGGATACCGTTCACTTGTTTTCGGTGTGTGTTGATCGCCTTGAGACCACGGAAGTAGAATTTCTACGAAATTCGACGATGAATAAGGAGTCTAGCTAGGATAAAACAATGTGTGGGATACGCACCAGCAGCTGCAAGGCCTGATGGAAGACGCGTTTCAATGACCCTGCATCTGCAGGGGGAGCCTCGAGAACACCCTGCTGGCTAGCCTCTGCAATGTCCCTCTTGGCGAGCTCGACCGCAGACAACTCGACCTGGAAAGGTTTCGGTGGGTGCACGTGGCGAGGTGGGTGGTGGTGGCTGCTTCTGCGGCTTGTAGATTTGGAGGGCGGATGGGAGGGGGGCTGATCGGCACCAAGTGTCGCAGGTTTGACTGGGCCGGGTTTGAAGTCTATCCTTGGTTTCCGAGGCCCCATAGTGCCCAGAGGAGGAACCTTGTCATCAGTAGGTTTTCGTGTCCCTGAAGGCGTGACGGTGGACAGAAAACGAGCATGCACGACGACTTGATTAGGAGTCCGTACGGGTGCTGACCTCCATCGTCCTTGCAACGATATACGGTTAACAAGGCGCTCAGTGGGCCTGTAGGAAAGTGATGGAAATTTCATGCCAGGCTTCCGATGCGCCTTCTCGACTAATCTGCTCACGGTGACATTCCTGTCCACCAAAGAACGCAGCATGCAATATGAATACACCCTCGAGAGGTGTTGCGGATTCAGTTACTGTAGCGGACTTGCGTTGCCCCCGAAGACTCGACGACCAAAATGTTTTCCGTGCACCTGCAAAAAGCCACACTTGCAGGGTCCTATACGGCTGGTCACAACCGGGTCACACGACCTCTTGTCACGCTGCCGCGGTTCACCAACGTTTCCAGAATTTGCCTAGTAACTCCTCTGAACGTACGACTCCGACCGATTTCAGATGCCTGCATCACGTCCCTCAGGGTCTGCTAGGGTCTACCTACAGGTAACATGTAATACTGACGTGAGCCCTGCCCCTCCGAGCCGATGAGGCTCCACATAAGTAATACTTACACTTCTGATGGGGAAAGTGACAGTGGCAGGACTTACAACAAATTCCCCGGGTGTCGACTCTTGTGGTCACTCGATTGTTTAGGTGTACGGGTAACCCTTGACTATCGCGGATAGTAGACACAGTTATGTCAACTCTCGAACTTCGGTTGCTGTATTTTACCATAGCTTCGCGCCACCTCGCAACAAGAACGGAATTTGTCGGGAACGCCCACGTTGTCTCCTCGACCACGGACCGCATCCTAGGGCCTCGGCGAGAGGAAGTGCATCCTTTCGCGAAGGTAAATTTCCGTACCTGCGTCAGAGAGTCTGCCTTGTCTGCAGGTCCACCAGTAAGCAAAAGAAAAGGCAGAAGTTTCCAGCGCTCGAGCACTGCTAACAAAGAGAGGTAAGGGGAAGCTAACGTTTCGACGGATTGAATTACTTCAGCTCAGAATCATTCAAGACTGGATGTACAAAGAACGATAGTCCTGCCACTAGTGTATCAGCCACATTGCATTTTTGGAACGAGACTATACCATGCTGCGCAGGTTGTTTCACATTTTCGTCGCATGGAATAAGACAGCTGCTGTGGGTCCATCCCATCAGGCCTGGGTTCACACCTGCCAAGAAAAGACCAAAAACGAAGCCTATGTCAAGACACAGAAATCCAGATCATCCAATCAAGTTCCAGACATTCTCAGAGGTGTGAATTCTGCGACGGCTTTCATTTTTTTTAACTTGAGCGCTAGCTAAAGAGGCAAAGTCAAGGTATCACGCAAAGTAGTCAAGGTGGACCCGAGGACCAGCGTCACTCGGCGGTGTCCCGCACCCGTGTAAGTACAATCATTTCGGCTCCATGATAGTTGCCTCATGGCATCTCTCGTGATATGACGGCCATCAATGTCAAGAGGGTACGGTGGCACATATTCGAGGAGAGAGCAGAGGCGCGAGATGGAATAACTTCATGTTTCGCATGTCTCCCTGGATGACTTCTACCGACCGCTTCCGCTGCCCTGGTTTTTCAGGTTTCCGTACTTGGCCGTTTGTTTTCACCATATGAGTGTGGTGCCCTGCCGTTTCCACGTTTTTAACCTGATTGTCTTCACCTACCCCCCGGGCTCGGACATAACTAAAGCGACGATTTGTCCGATTATCATCTGTTGGTCGCTATGATTGGGACGCGGGGATTCTAAGTGAAGGGGGGTGCCCTAACACTGCATAACCCTACGCTATTATCTGCAGTCTTCATTTCCACAATACTAAACTTACCGCCGTGCAGATACTTACAAGGCAACTGTTGGTTCATCTCCAGAGAACGAGCAAGCTGGTGGGGCTTTAATGATACAGTAATCCCTTCAGGTTGCGGCAGGGACTGTCCCTCGTGGAGGGGGAATATGAGCTTTTCGACGGAAATATTGATGTCATCTGGGGGTAAAATAAAGCTCGTTACAACCTAGATCCCTTGCGAAGGCGGCTCCTTTCCATTCATGAAAGAAACATGATCACACCCGGACGAAGGCGAGACGCAAGCGAAAATTTAGCAGCTATGTTCTGTGGGTAGTCTTGATGTACCACACACAATCAGTATCACATAAGTTTTCACGACAGGAATCTTCAGGTCTCGGCACAGTGCTATCCTCGAGGACGGCCGAGATGCCGCATCGGACACGATGATGGGATCATGTAAGTCGTAAGGGCACTGATTCGCGTCATGTTCTTTCGAATCTTTCGTTCTGCTTGGGAGGCTGACAAGTGACGCGATACAGAGGAGAAGCTTACACGGTTCGGCATCAGTCAGCATGTAAAGCCAGTAGGCATAACAGAACCCAACTTTGAACGTTTCTACCAGGTACCAGGGTTACGACATAACTTACTGGGTGGATTCCGGGTACATGCAGATTAGTTTGTATAGCAGCCGCCAAGGGTCGCCATACGGTCGACTTGTGGCTCTGCAATCATCGTGTTAGTGTCGATGATTCCATCTAAGTCCTCACACTGGCGAATGGGCGATGGTGGGAGGGCGGTCTGTGAACATACGGTCCTAACTAAAGTTGCCTCGAGTCACTAATTCGGATGCAAACGCCGAAGGTATGGGTGGCAACTAGCTCTTTGGGGAATGACTTGCATGGCCATGGGGTCCCAGACTTCGGGATAACGGGACACCCGTGATTATGAAACGCGGCAGACGGAGAAAAGGCTGCGTAAGTGCGGTGCATTCAAACGACCTACGAAGAATTTGATATTCCTGACGCTTATCGTACTCGTACTCTGCTGGCGGTCCGAAATGTGAATGTAACATTTGGAACAGGTCCAATTACTACATCCTCAAAGATCGGAGCCTTTTGCGGCGCTGCGCCCTCGCTGCTCGGGATATCCCAGTGGGTTACACAGCCACACCGTGTTGTTAGGGACTATCATCTGAATCGATCGAGTTCTTTGTTCTCGGGTGAGAGTGATCATATTGTGATTGCACGGTTGCTTGTCATTCGAGGATGGAAACTGCGGACCCTGCCATCGGCATTAAGCTCGCCAATACCAATGGCAACAGCGCCTCTTCCTCGGCTCCAGCAGCCTCCCCAGCACCATCCGCACCGCCAACCCTCCACGATCGCATCCAAACCCTCACTGACATCCACGCACGTCTGACTACACTTCGTCATGTTCCATCTATGACCTTAAAACCTCCCAATTTCTCACCGACCTTCGATGTTGTTAATCAGGACTTCTCCGTTGCAGGTTTTGATGCCCACCCCACACATGATCTATTCCAGAAGGTGAAGAGTCTGGCAGAAGCTGTGAGGTCCGCCAAAGTTCAGGACGCGTTGCGTGCTGCCAAAGAGAGCGAGGAGGTGGATAAAAGTGACCTCGGGATGGGGGTCGGGTCGTTGGGGAAGAGAGGATGGGAGATCCGAAAGTATACATCTCCGCTCGCTATCGTGTATTTGACTGATGAATCAGCACCCGAATCATGACATTCGCTCGTGAAGACGTCCGCCATCACCCGTTGGCTCGCCGCAACCTTATGTCCCGCCTCCAGCACGTTCCTCTTCATTATTTTCTCCTCCAGAGGATGATCCACCGCCACTCCGAGCTGAATCGTTGGTCGGATACATTCGCTCGTTTAACAAAGGCTCGCTGCCCGAATTCAAGCAACCACCAGTCCCACCGATTCCAGGTATTGAGCAAATCCCGGTGCCTACGTGCAACCTTGCAATATGGTCTCGAATAAAACGATCTGGTAAGACAACAGGGGCTGACAAAAGTGGATTTTGTGAATAGTAGGAATTTACTGAGCATCGCAGACCAGAGCACAAAACTGAGCATCCCGGTGATCCTGCGTTTCACGATAGCAGACGTCCTAACTGCATATGTATCTCTCATATTCGAGAAGGAGGAAGATCCGCTCGTGATAGAAAAGGCGACCGCGTTCGGTCCGAGAGAGAGGGTATGTGTCACTTATAATTTTCCAACGATTTTCCATTGTCTGATAAGCTGCTTTCTTTCGGACGGCGGTTGTGGTCCTGGTCATGGCAAACCCGGCTATGCTTGGGATGGGACAGAAATTTCCACACGAACAATCAGATTACCAGGTTTATCAAGTTCTTTCACAGCACCTTGCTAAGATGCTGCAGTCGCACCCGCTCGTACCGCTGCAGACGTTGATGGTATGTTATAATTCCCCCAATCATCCCTGTCCCTTATGTTTTCGCAACAAAACACAGCAAGCTCTTGTATCGTACCGAACCTTGTTCGTAGATCAGTGCACTAGTTGCCAACGTGTACTGTCCCTTGAGGGACACATTCCCCCTGTTGGCAGGATATGGATACCCAAGGACGGCTCATTCTCGAATTCTAGTTCGAATCACGATAATGCGGGAAGAAACAAGGGACAAGCGGAGTCGGGTGTGTCCACACCCGGAGCGATGGAGGTCGTTTCTGGAAAAGAGACAATGGATCATCTCTCTATGGACCGCTGGGAGCCACGTCATGTTACTTGTCTGTACAGCTAGGCAGAATGCGCCTGTGTATCTTTCGGATCTGCATCAAGATGGTATCCAAAAACGTATCAAAATGATGTTCACCGTCAACACTAGTCGACTCGGCCACTGGGACCCACCGAAACGCAAGGTCACGTTTGCATGACACAGGACTGCGGCAGAGGTGTGATGGAAGCGTCGCTCTAGGGAGTATTTAGACATTGTGGGTCCAAGGAACAGATCTCGTGACAAGTGATGCTGCTATTTTCTGCGGGATAAGGTAAAGACGACCATAGGACGAGCGTGGCGCACAAGGAATCGAGTTAGCATCAATGTTAGAGCAAGTCGCAGATCTCGCCCCCTGGCGTCTCTGGTTACGATAATGGTAGACGTCGGGAAGCCAACAGGCGCAGAGACTGGAACCCATGGAGAAACCTAGAGAAACCTGAACTTGGATAAATGTTACTCAGTGGCCAAAACTTATGTTTATGCAGGGTGCAAGTACATTACATTTGCAATGATGAGATGCGGCGGTGTGGGAACAAGATAAACGGTCACCTGAAGTGGCCAATCGGGTTTGGTGCTCGGACTCGGAAATATGTCAGTGGGAAGTTCAAAAGAGAAAAGGGTGGCGTCTCCGGGAGTTGTTTGAAACGCGAGGCTATCGCGGAAGAGTAATACGTACCAACGGACGCACGCATGTAGTATACCGAAGAAGACCTGGTATATGATCACACTTACAGGAACGCGGACCCATAGATGACGATGCGGATAACGGCAGCCGAGACCTGATCAAGGCGTGATCACGTCCAGCAACTTAGACATGCCAATCCCATGCAACAGAGCGACAGCTGTGCAGTATAAACAAACATTTCCAAGGCTGTTGAATTCCGCATTGTCTTGCCAGACAAGTTATTGTTCTCGCCCAACTTGGGCGCTTGTTCAAGCAGCCAGCTGTACCCCGCGAAGGCATAAACTGTCAGTTAACGTTTTCACCACGGTCATTTCCTGATACGGCTGTTTGATCCGGAGAAGAAATATCGGGGATTATGTAAATTTAGATTTCAAGCTCGTTTTGGCTTGGTCCTGCATCTTATCGTTGAATGTCTGGTGATTTTATTCAGATAAAAACGACGTCTCGCGTATGTCTGCTCAGCTGAGAAGCCCTGCTTTGCGATGCGGCGGCATCTTCCATCTGGCCTGCCAAGCGAGATCCCGTGGCGATCAGCCTACGATCGGTAACATTTTTCTTTTTACCTCAAATGGCGAGTGTGCAGGTGACAGCAAGTCGGTAGTTTCCATAATAAATGGTGCTCTTGTTATCATCAGAAAAGGCAAAAGAGAGACACGAGCCTATCGTCCCATCAGTTCCTGAGGCCGATCTCATCTCTCCCGGTATGGACGATTTACGCTTGCTTTCTGGCACACCATCATCTTAGATTGTTGGACTCCTTTGTCCTATAAGTATCCGTCATTTCCCAACCTTTCCCGCCTCCGACAGCATCCAGTCGATTTGAGCCAAGCTACTCTCCTGTGCGCTTCCTCGTCCCCCTGTTTGTGGCCACGGACTGCCTAAAGTCCACTCGGTACTCCGTTCATCACGACCAATTTTTAAATACTCGACAACCCCCGTTTATTTGTCCTTCCTGGGCTGGCTTTTGTTGACCGTCCTGCGAATCGGTCTGTAATCCAGCAACACTTGCCCCTCCTACTTGTCACCAGTTGCGACGAACTGCAATTCTTCTTCTCTGTCCTCCTATACCGTTTTGTAACAGTACATTCAATTTGACAGGCACTCTTCCGTTTTTCTGAAAACTTTTACAGGATGTCGGCTTCTACCCTTTCTCCTGGAAGTGCTGCCCATCGGGGCGCGCTACACGATGACAGTCACTATCACACCGATGGCTCTAATTTTGATCAATTCATACGTTCAGCTCATTCACCCGCGGGCGGGAATTTATCCGTATTAAGTTATTCACCTGCTCACGGAACAGCTGGAACACGCCTCCAGGTCACATTCAACTGTAAAAATGATATAGGGCTCGACGTGCGCGTGCGCCTCGTGGTCGGAAGCCTGCGAGTGACAACAAGTATAGATGAATCAGAACCTCCTGGATCTGGCAGCTGGCAGCTGGACTGCTTCAGGTACCATCGTTCGCAAAAGCGAGATGGCCCTCCTCGACGGTCCCCCTGACTATTGAGGCAGTCGACAAAGATAATCGCGTCTTGGATTGGGTCAGATTTGGTGCATTTACTTATGGGGACGCTGGTGAGCATTTAAAAAAAATTTCGTCAATGTGCTGCGTGCTTATAGGGCGGCCACAGTACTAGAAGAGTCCTTGGCTCGTCAAAATCCGCTGAGACCAGGATACGACTTGTCGTCGGGTAGCTGTCCGCCGCCACCATCTCTTCGTTTGGTCACGGGGGTGGGTAGCCCGGACCGGTCATCCAAGCGGAAGAGTCCTTACAACGTTCCGCCGACACCCATTTCCGACTCGGACTATTCTTCATCGCGGTCTAATCCTCGACCCCCTCAATTCATCAATCAGCCGCCTAATGTGCCTGGTCTGCGGCGCATCCGGCAAGGCGCGGAGCAGAACGAGCAGAATAGTCAGAATGCCGTCCTCGATATCCTGACGCCTTTAGAGAGCCTTTGCTATAATTGGGACGAATCTGAGCTGCAAGCGGGTCGTCGGCTTGTTCGGTTCCGACGGGTGCAGGACCGCAATAGCCTTATGGTTTCTGCGGAGTCCATCTCACAGGCAGATTATAACCCCAATGATACTGTCGTCTCTTGCATCTATCGCGAGGAGACAAACAGTTTCTGCGTCACATCTGTCGACATCATCCATTTGCTGCAGCGGCTCGTCGATGCTGAGTTTGAGGTTGACGAGAAGAACAGAATCCGTAGGAATCTCGAGGGTCTTAGGCCAACAACGGTGTCAAAGTCGAGACCCGGTTTCGAGTCCTTTTTCCAGCGGATCATGGATTTCCCCGACCCCAAACCAAGGAAAATTGAAAAGGACCTGAAGGTGTTCGACTGGAAGTTGCTTCCACAGGCTCTGGATAAAATTATTTCGAAATATGTGAGTACATTTTAGGACGAAGCCTTCGACGCGATGACCAACTGCTTTGATCCCTGAAATAGTCAATGTATACCTCCCCCCCTTCCACAAGCCCTGGCAGTAGGGAAGATGGATGTGAATATTTGGCAAGTCGCCGACAAAGCGCCGCCCCGGGCTCTTCGAAAGATGAGCGCTTCGAGTATCTCCCATCATACAACGATGGCGGTTCATTCACATCGGCAACAGCGACGTGCCCTGATTCGCACTTAGAAATGTCGCAACTTACTCAACTATCACCCCTGGCGCACCTCTCGCCGTTCCCCAAGGAAGAATCAGATGATTCCGACCCTGCACAAGTACATAGCAATCTATTCCCCGTCCAGGAGGGACCGCTTTCGCTTGTCTACATGGACCCGCTTGGGCTCCCGAACAATCTGGACGGAGATATGGCCTACGATATCCACTCGTCCTCGGACGACATATGCCACGATGGTGCTAACGGGGACGCCGGCCTGCGGGTTGAACCGGCTCATGATTGGGGAACTGCCCCTCACCGGCATAACCATGATGCGGACGTGATGCTCGGTTTCTCTGTTCCCGAATCGTCTGTCTTTCAAACAGAGACTACGCGTGCGCAACGACATGGACACGCATACTCCAGCACCCAAGAGCATGCGCAAACACCTGCACATATCCTTGCAGACGACCAAGTAACCGCGTATCCCTCCGTCGGTTCTGAGATACTCTCTCTCACAGGTCAATACGGATTCTCGGGTGCGCACGAGTCCATCGATCTCTACTCTCCCATCCGTTATAACACGAATCCGTACGACTCATTTGAACTTCAACCCCGGGAGTACAGCATGGACATCCATAATGGCACGAGCGACCGTGCCGTAAGCATGAGCAAGATGAATGCTGCTGCGCTGGCGGGACAGGTTGCATTCTGAGTATTCGGTCTCGTTTAACGTGACTACAAGCTTACACAGTGATACCGCTTTTTCGCGACCCATGGCCTCGTGATATTCACGCCTCACGCTTTCCATGGAAAATCCCGACAACCCATACTGGTTACCCTATTTCGTCGTTGGTCGAGACGCCCCAGCGACCCCGCTGCCTCTTCTCGTCCCATTCCCCTCCCTCTGTCATGTTCCCTCCGTTGCTGTGCTCGACTTTGCAATCCCGTATCATGTAGGAATGTATATCTTTGAAGATCTGGCCTGTTGTATGTCATAAAACGCTGCAATTTCCCCCGTGTCATCCTATATCGTCCGTATACTACTCTCATAGTCTGTCTACCTATCCGTGTACCGTTCACAATGCCTATCACCTGATTTGGACTGAATAGATTTTGACGTAGTAGGCTTTCGTAGCTGGGTATGGGTCTTGAAGGTGGAGTGTTTGTCAAAAATCCAAAGATCCACTGGTAATACTGGCGACGTTCCTGTTGCATGTACACACGTCCCGGGTGGAAATACGTACTCAGAGAGATCAAGGCATCGAACCTTGTCCAGTCGGAAAAAATACACAACTAGCAAATACGTACACACATTGCATCAGACGTCAAATCTACGCTCTTCTATACCCCTGATCCCAGCACTTATGATTCGTCGCTCATCAAACACTACCGTCCCACGCGACCAGGTTGAGCCCCGCTCCATACATACCCCTACGCCTGCCTCCTCACCCGATTGTTCTGCCGGAGGCGCAACCTCAGCAGGACGTCCACTCTCTAGGTCCCACACCCAAATAGAGCCATCTGCACCAAGACTCACACATCGTCCGTCTGCAACCGCAACGGCAGAAATAGGCCCACAGGGACCATACAGCGTGCGAACAAACGTCAGCTTAGGTCCATGTAAGGAGGTGGATGGGGGCAGGTTTAGACGATACAACTGGAGTTGGGCGAAGGAGTGGCATGGTGAGGAGACATGTGTCCTTGGCAAAAGTTCTATGGACTGAGCGCCAGACGGTTGCGATACACTGGAGCTGCTGGCCTCCACGGATTCCGCTCCCGCCAAGAGTGTTTGCAGAGAGTCTTCTGGAGCCAGAACAACCCATTTTCCGTCTGTCTGCGTGTCCGCAACTTGCGTGACTTTGCGGCTCCACTGAGCACTCATCGCCTGGAGTTTATTTTCATCAATCCATCCCTGAGGAACGTCAAACGCTCTTGCCGAGCGAGTCCCGCTGACAACGAAGGTCCCAGGAGTAGAGACTTTCGGAGGTTCAGCCAGTGTCGCCAAGGACGACGAAGTGGATCGAGGGCGGGATATTATGAGTTCTGTTGCGCCCACGCTCCAATGGGAAGGGTAAACGGGGACAGAATACGCGAGCACTAGTTTAAATGACAGGGAGCTTGGCATGGCAGACAGGACGATAGATGCAGGAGGATGGCTTGTGAATGAGCTTAAAGTTTGCGTATGGGTGATAGATTCGCCGCTGAGATCGTATATCATTAATGAGAACGACTGCGATAACGTGACCAATAGGGGGTGGTGGTAAGCAGCGTGTGTGATCGGGACACGATGCTGAGGTAAAGGGATGTATGTTCGTTTCGGGACAGTCGTTATCACAGATGGCTTGTAGTCGTAAATAAAGAACTCTCCCGTAGAGAGGAAGACCGCAAGTGACACTGCGGGACCGCAAGGCATTATCCTAGAAGCGAGCGGGGACTGGTCGAGAACCATGGTGGAGATGCTTAATGGCCCGCCGCTAAGCTGCGACTTGCACTTAAGAGTCATTGGTTGGGTTCCGCGATCCCTAAGAAAAATAATTGGTTGCTCGGAGCACTCAGCAGGGGCAAAGATGGTCGAGGTTCCTGCCAGTAACACGTGCCATTTAGGCAGGGGCACCTTTGAGTGAGTAGCTATGCGACTCGACAAACGGTTAATGTCAATGCAGTTCCGGTCCTGGAAGATCTCGACGGCACAACGACCTTGATGATGTGGATAAGATCGACATGAAAAGAACTACCCTCGACGGTGCCCACCATTTCTCCAGTTCGAACTTATGCGATACATCCATTTCCAGTTGAAGGCACTCTCTTCCGGAGGATACGCTCTCGAGGGAAGCGGTTTAACTGACCTCCTGTCGGCCCTGCCATAGAAGCCCCTCCCACCCCTTAAGCGAGGGCGACCAAATTCCCTTAAAAACAGGGATTTCCACAGCTTGAAAGGTTTTATCAATTGTGGGGCTTTCAAAAACCAGTACGGTTGTGAGCATACCTGGTCATCGCTTGCAAGACGAGAGCAGTTCTTGTTGGTCGCCTGGACGGCGCAGAGGTCTCTGTGATCGAGGAATGAGAAGATGAAGAGCATGAGTTCATCATACAGTGCACTGTCAAAGGTGATGACCGAGCGCCGTTCGAACGACAGCTGTGGACCAGCATGGCGCTTTGGAACGGGCAGCGTGGCTGGCGATGCCCGGTGCTTCAAGTTGGACATGGCAGATGGTGTCTGACTGAGATCATCAGCAGCCTGGCATGTCCCAAACAGGCAGCCACACTTTGGATATGTCCCCCTCGCGAGGCCCGCAGGTGCTCCCTCGCAAGCTACATGCAACCCTTGACAGCCACAGAGGTCCAGTTCATGTCGTCAGGTATGCCAAAGGAAGCGCCAAGTACGTCCTCAGCGGCGGCCAAGATCGCTGTCGTACGTCTCTGGAACCCCGACCTTGGCACTGAAATCAAGGCCTTCGAAGCACATGGATATGAAGTTCTCTCCATCTCCGTGTAGGTGTACCGTCTCAGGATACCCAGTTCCACACCGACTAGCTTTGACAGGAGCCACGACAATGCCAAATTCGCGTCTTCCGGAGGCGATCGCTCTGTGTTCGTCTGGGACGTCACGGCCGGTGTTACGAGTCGGCGCCTGGCAGGCCACACAAGCAAGGTGTTTTCCGTTGAGTTCAACGTTGATGCCACTGTTCTTGCGAGTGGTAAGTGCTGTCATCACTCGACTTCCTTGTGAATGACAGAGTAGACAGGTTCCTATGATGCGACTGTTAGGCTCTGGGATCTACGGTGTGCATCGTGATAATAATTTAGATAATTGAGTCCTAAAAGTTGACAAGGTCGCAAAGCCGCGCTCCCATACAGGTCCTCGAAGAGGCCAAAGATGCAGTCCAGACCCTTCATGTCGACGGCAGCCACTATCATTTCCGGCTCAGTAGATGGTTACGTGCGCACATATGACCTGCGCAAGGGCGAACTTCGAGCAGACTTTGTCGGCCGTCAGCTCTTCTCCCCATCATCTCATCCTCTGTGATTGACTCCTGTGTCTCAACAGAACCAGTCACTTCCGTCATTCCATCTGCGGATGGGACAACGTTCCTCGTAGCCACCCTCGATTCGCATGTCAGACTTTTCGACTTCGGGACTGGGAAATTGCTCAACGCGTTACTGGGCCACTCACACACCTCAGTATCGGTGCCGCGCGTGTTTTGGACATGCCGAGGCGAGTGTGGTATGTGGTGATGAAGATGGACACGTCTGGGCGTGGGACCTTGTAGATGTAAGTACGCTCTTGACTGGAGAAGCTCTTGAGTGACCTGTTACAGGCCACCATTCTCCAACCCAACCCACCGCCAAAGGTTCATGATAAGGTAATCACCTGGACAGAGCATCATCCCACTCAGCCCGATGAGATGGTTACCGCGAGCGCAGATGGTACAGTAAAAGTATGGAGACATACATAAAATCGGGGCTTACTGAATCCTGTACATATTCATACACCCTACTGAGACTGAAAACGTTGTACCATAAAGGTATTATCAGCGACCCGAACCATCTACAGCAGCTTTTCAACCGCTTGCCGCAACGTTCCTCCTGGCTGTGGTTCCTTGGCTAGCTCTGGTGCCTGTCACCACACTGTCCAAATCAGAGAAGCTAGACCGTGTGGGTGAGGATCGATCCCAAGATGTCGCCATCGAGAGAACCTTGAAATCCTTGGAGTCATGAACGACCCCCACCTCTCCTGGACCCACCATCTCCACAGTCTCCGTCAACCTTGCGATGCGTGTCCACCTACGGTAGCGTGTGTACTTCCCGATCCCGCCTCGACCACTTGATCCTTCCCATTTATTATCCGCGTATACCCAACCTTCAGGATCCGTTGCGATGTCGTCCTCTGCGCCAGCGATGGCAGATGGGTCATCGATGTGCTGCTCTCCAGTTTTATCATATTCAGGACCGTGGCTCGGACCAGCTACTCCGCCCGAATCCCTGCCACGTACCGCACGTAACATCCGTGCCGCCGCCCCAGCCGTGTCTTCACTTGCATCCTTATCTCTAGGCGGCGATCTCTCCACCCGCCATACACCTTCCTGCCCCTCCCTTTTTACAACAACGCGCCATTCTGGTTCTTCCCACGTCCAGCTCGCAATACGTTTAGCCCGCGCCTCACCATTATCCACGGTGACATATGACACTGTGGGTGCTGGGAGCGAGAATGCAGCTGGAGGCGGGAGCGGCACATGCGAGGCACTACACCACGCAGGACGCTCACCGGGGAGGAGGGCAGCGGTCCAATCGAGGCCCATCCACCACCGCTGATTCTCGAACACCGTAAAGAGGAAGCGGACGGGCGGTGCTGGGGCGGGTCCACCCACGTCAACGGAGCGTGAGGTTGCACTAGCATACTCGGAGAAACCAGAGATGGGTCGAGAGTCATACGACGGAGGGGGGGATAGTGGGGAGGGAAGAGGAGTTCCGGAGAGCAGGGTACGCAAGTGATAGTATCCCCAACGAAGGTGTGCACTGCATGCAAGGGTTGCGCGTGCATTGCGGGCCCATCTTGCACGATGGATGAGCACGAACGTTCCTGTTATCGCAATGCAGATATGGAGGGGAACGAAATGGGTGAGAATGAGATATGGGGGATAGATAAATGCTGATACACGAAATAACGTCAACGATGGAGGTAATGGGAGGTCTGTAAAGGGTGACGAAGGGGAGGAGAGTATGTATTGTCGTCAAGTCTGATAATACAGCGTGGACGAGTTGCCTCGGTGGCCGGCTGAGACGATATTGACAAGCCATCATGTGATGACCACTTTCTTAACCCGCAGACGAACAATATTGCCAGTGGCATAAAGAACCTGCATGAAAAGTATTTTTTTTAAAAGCTGGTTCATCTGTGGTACTGGGACGTACTTGAGAGTAGCTTCTGAGAACAGGCAGAGCGCCCACCATGCACCGAGAGCCAACCAGCTCTCTTCCCATGGCGATTCCCAGCTTATGATTTCCAGAAGATGTCTGACTGCTTGAATATAAGGTGCGAGCGCAACGAGCTCATAGGTGAGAGGCGCCGGGGTTGAGGTCACGAACTCGAGGAGTGTGGGTTTCGGTGACGGAGGCACCACCGGGGTGGTTGGACGGACCGTCGCAGGAGCCGGGGACATCTGCAGACTTTTTGGACGTAAGTTGAACGGTGAGGGAGATTTGGACTTGGATGTCATCCACAGTTGCCCGTGATTTCTGTCTGATACTACATTCAGAGGAAATCAGACAGCCAAGTATTGGTATGCACACCTTGTTTTCAAGCTGTCCGCTGGGTCACTAATAGGCCGTTGGTAGCGAGCGCCTACCAAGGAAGCTCGACATGCTGCTAAGGTGCGTCAACTTGGTTGTTTGCAACATACGCCTACTTGACACTAGAAGCAGAGGGTTCTACCCGCGACCGCCAGTCTTCGCGGTGGGGACGGCTCTCATGGCAGTCGACCGCCATGGCCACTCCTTGCTTGTCCAATCTTTCCTCAGCCGACTACTCATTTGCGTGTTGATCGTTTCGTCGACGGCACTATTGACCCTGTTTGACACATCCCCCAAACTGATCCTGGACGACAGCGGTTCCGCATGGACGAACTCTCTACTTCGTTGGGACGCCTTCCATTTCGCACACATAGCCCGGGAAGGTTTTGTGTACGAGCATGAATGGGCCTTTTTCCCCGGGATTTCGCTTGTCATGCGTTGGTCCTGTTCCGTCCTATCGCTACTGGGTCTTAGTCCACCAGGGTGGCCTGCTCTCTTGATCGGTGGAGCCATCGTTGGGGCACTCTTAGATTCCACCCGCATTTTGTATCAACTTTCGTTACACCATCTGCGTTCACCCTCCGCTGCATTCCTGGCTACCAGTTCTCTCATTTTTCCCGAGCAGTCCTTCAGCGTCGCGGTTCGCCCCTTACAGTGAACCTTTTTTCACCTACTTTTCTTACAGAGGTATGCTTGCCTGCGTGCGATTGCAGTGGCTTCCACGCTTCAGTTTGCTTCACGAATCGCCGGTGCTTTCCGTTCCAACGGTGTCCTTCTCTGCGGCTTCATGATATGGAACATGCTCGTGGCTCCTCTCCTGTCTGGTCGCAAGGACTCGGTATGTGCATCTTGTGGTCCTTTGGTGTCGCCGAGGTCCATATTTGCGTTTAGCTTTCGCTGAACAGGACATTGTACTGCATCGTTTGCGTGGCCCTACCGCTTACTCCCTTTCTCCATCACAATTATAGCGCCTTCCTTCTGTTCTGTTCGTCTACGGAGGGCCGCCCTCAGTGGTGCGAAGAAGGCATGTTACCTTCGATATACACACATGTCCAACGCGAGTATTGGGATGTCGGTTTCCTTCGTTACTGGACAATTTCTAACGTCCCAAATTTCTTAATTTCGTTACCGGTGCTCCTGAATGTATGGATCTTTTGCATGTTCTACCTCTCTCATCTCCCTCGCATCCTCTGCGGTGGTCTTGCCCAAAGGGAATGGAAGAATATCGCTCATCCTCCATTGAAGAACTCATTATTCCTCAATCCCTCCATTTTGCCTCACGTTCTTCATGGCATCCCGCTTACTCTCATCCTGATGTTTAACGCACACGTTCAGATTGCCTTGCGAGTGTTGCCTTCACTACCCATGACATACTGGGCGGCTGCTCGACTCCTTATTGAGCAACCAAGATGGGGAAAGGCGTGGGTGACATGGAGCATAGTGTGGTGTGGGTTGAGCTGTGTTTTGTGGGCAGTCTTCCTTCCTCCTGCGTAATGCATGAGTGAGGTGACCTATCGCCGCTCCGTAGTTCTGATTAAAACAACCGCAATGACATAACTATCTGACCGAGTGGGATTCGAACTTGTGTCCCCGAGGGCCCGAACAGGACGGACCTTACGAATCATTTCCTCAAATGTCTAGTCGAGTGAGCACGCCATCGCACAGCGTCATTCATACATTAAATACCATACCTTGCGCGACATGCTGGCTGGTCATCCATTGACCACCATGGAGCAACCCGACGCGGTGGAAGGGAGGATGTTCAGCGAGCAGCCAGACGGCACGAAGGACCAAGTTCTTCCCACTGTGCACCGTGATACCTTGCACAGGGGCCTGTCAGCACGACAAGTCCAAATGATAGCTATTGCTGGTACTATTGGGACGGGCTTGTTTCTCGGGACAGGTCGATCCCTGGCTGAGGGTGGTCCTGCCAGCATGCTCATATGCTATACCCTTGTGGGATCGATAGTCTATGTTACCCTCCTTTTACTCGGAGAAATGGCTACACAATACCCAGTGGCGGGTTCCTTCAATGCGTACGCAAACCGGTTCTTCTCTCCTGCATATAGCTTTGCACTTTCGTGGAACTATTGGTTCAATGACGCCGTGTCTATGGCCTCGGATCTCACCGCTGCGCAACTCGTTCTCCAATTCTGGACAACATGGAACCCTTGGGTTGTCAGCCTCCTTTTCTGGGTGTTCCTCGTCTCTATAAATGCCGTCCACGTCAGAGCATATGGTGAACTAGGTTAGTCAGTTTTTCTGAATGGTAATCTCTCCGTATTCACTCGTTCAGAATACTGGCTTTCATTCCTCAAGGTCATAACGATAGTTATATTCATTATTGTTGGAATACTCGTCAATGTCGGCGTTAATACATCACACAAGTATATCGGCTTTCATAACTGGACCATCCCAGACGCGCCTTTCGTGGGAGGTTTTGGTGGTTTTGCAAGGGTTTTTGTGACAGCTAGCTTTGCGTGTAAGTACTCCTCTCCAAATGACTATGGGGTACAGAACATCATCTTCTTGCAGACGGTGGTACAGAGAGTCTCGGAGTTACCGCAGGCGAAACAAGGAATCCTTCTCGCAATATGCCGAGGGTTGTAAGATTTGTATTTTGGCGGCAAGTGGACCCATGGATTGTTTAACTTGTATCATTGCTCACATATTTGCGTAGGATTCTAATATTCTACGTACTTAGTATACTACTAATCGGCCTGAATGGTGAGTGTCCTTTCTCTCTGGGGGACGGGTTGGCAAACCAAGTTTTCAGTACCTTGGGATTATCCTGGTTTATCGAATAAGACTACTACGACGTCACCTTTTACGATTGTCTTCCAGCTTGCGGGTTCCAGTATGTTATATTCGTGGTCTTGGGGTCGAAACAAACCTGATGGGATTCAAATAGCTGCAGCCGCTTCCTTTATAAATACAGTCATACTCACTTCCGTGCTCTCCGCCGGAAACCATGCTTTGTTTGCGGGCACGAGAGTCCTTTACGGACTCTCTGTTGTGAAGCCTCGGCGATACGCCCCTCGGATATTCTCTCGGACCACGCCTAGTGGTGTACCTGTATTTGCCTTGCTGGCGACGAGTAGCGTGAGTGTACTCTGCTTTGGAAGCAGTTACATTGGGAGTGGTCAGCTGTGGGGCTGGTTGCAGAACATCGTTGGCGTTTCAAATCAGGTATGAAATGTTGGCTGGTGGATATTAATGTGTACCAAATTGTCTTTCGCTAGATTGCATGGCTTTCCATCGGCCTGGCGAGTTGGAGGTTTCGAAAGGCTTGGTTAGTGCAAGGGCGGCCTATAGAAGAGCTCAAGTTCCGCGTCGGTTGGACGTGGCCATGGGGACCCTACTTTGTGGTGCGTAGAACAGATTAATGAGTGACGTTGTCTTATCGCAACACAGATTATAACCGTGTCTGCGTTGATTCTAAGTAAGTGCTACATTTAGCAAGCCATTTTCATGGAGGTGCAGCTGACGAACCACTACAGTCCAAGGTTGGACCTCTATATACCCGACATTCTCACCCATCGACTTCGTTTCACTGTACATCGAGATACCCGTCATGGTTGTGATGTACATTGTCTGGCTCATCGTCAAGGCGACCGTGGCACGTTCCGCTCCCCCTGATGCCTCGGGAAACACACTACGGCATGCTAATGAGACCACGCCATTAACTGGTAGACGCAAGAGTCGCAAAATCGACTTAAGGGCTGCGTTTGACATTGTCGATATACTTACCGTTGATCTTCATGAGGACGAGTATGTGGAGGTTAACGAAGACGGGGCGGAGGATAGGGCACGTGAGCAGAGGTTGAGCGGTCGTTTTGGATGGTTTTGGCGGCTGTTTTATTACATTGCCTAGTCTTAGATGAATAGATGACGACCCGAGGTGGGGTCGAGAAAAGGGGTTTGTAGTGTTCTGATGCCTGAGTTCAGCAAGTCACTTTGCCGGAGTGGTTAACGGGATCGCCTGCTAACAGCTAAGCGGTTGGGCTTTGCCCGCGAGTGTTCGAATCGCTCAGGTGACGATTTTTTGCCTTCTTTTTCCCTTTCCTACTCCTTCCCACGCCTCTCTGGCCTCTGCAGTTGATGGCTACACGCACAGTCGCACACGTCCGATGACGATGAGCGCGAACAAGTATGCCAACCTCCCTGATATTGTCTGTTGCCGTCTTCCTCCAAAGTGTCAAATCGGCTGACGGCGGTGACCCAGGATACAGCGCCAGATGTCTATGAGACTGAGGACGTCATTCCATCCTCCCATGCGGACGTATGTTCCCTGCCTATTCATCGAGATCTCTGGCTCATGCACGCTGTCGCATGTACACATCTTCAAATAGAATGGCGACTCGACCGATGACGAACCGTCTGCCGTCCGCACTCGCACCAGGGCTGCGGGCGGTGCTACATTAGCTGGCCGCGAAGAGCTCGACACAAGCAACCTCATAAGTACGGAAGATGCTAGCAAGCATTTTAGAAAAGCAGAGCGGAAACGTATGTGTCATCAGCCAACCAGTTGATGTATGCCGTATACTGAACGAGGTACTATGGACCATCTGGTCATGCAATCCAATGCGTAATGCAGGTCGACCGCGGACGCGATATGCCTATCCGCCATCACCTTCTTCCAGTCGATCACGTTCCACGTCACGTTCATTATCCCCGACGCGTCGCTTGTCACTCCCCGCTCGATTGCGCGCTCTACAAGCAGAGTTAGCCACGCTTGAAGCAGAACTCGCTGATCCGTCAAACCCAGCGCTGCAAGCTCGTGAGAAGGGCGGCGATGTTGCTGATCCAGGCGAAATGATAATGGGACTTGTCGATGTGCGGGAGAGGCTGGAGAAAGTGAGAAACGCAAGAGAAGGCCGGGGGAAATTGGTCAGTGTGGTGCTGGGTGACAGATTCCGTGGCGGAGCTGGGGAAGAGAGGGATCGTCATGAAGGTACCCCTGAACGGAATGAAGGAGACATGGCCAAGGATAGTCATGTCAAGGACGGGGATGTCGCACCCGAGACACGGAGTATTACCGAAATGGACAAGCGCGTCGGCGAACTGGAGAAACTCATAGGATCGGTGAACGTCACACTTGACGAAGTAGGTCACTGTTTGTTTATGTCAGATTCCCTGTTGAACGCTCTTCTAGACGACGCCCCTCACGCCGCCTCTTCTCCCAATGCTAATGCGACTGAACAATCAGCTCACGCTGCTCACCCAACCGCGCCACATAGACTCCGTTTCAAGGCGTTTAAAATTGCTTTTGTCTGACCTTGAGCGCGCGTCGACTAATCAAGCACAAAAACGACAGAATGGCTTGCAAGATACCCCACCAGGAAGTGCCCCTGCTCAAGATGCCGTTCTCCCTTTACTTTCCCGCCTTGCTCCCTCCCTGCCACATATACCCCACATCCTGACCCGCCTTCGGACGCTCTCTTCATTGCATGGATCTGCAACCGACTTCCAAAGTACAGTTGCCGCTCTTGAAGAAGAGCAAAAGCGGACGCGAGAGGCACTGAATGCGCTGAAAACTGCTGTAGAAGGTGTCGAAAGCAGCCTGGAAGCAAACCGTACCACTGCTGCTGGTAACGTCAGCAATTTGGACGGGCGGGTCGACGACTTACTCAACAGATTAAATCTACTCTCGAAATGAAGACGGACTTACAGGGTATATGTCAAGAAATGATACACCTGTTCTGATTATACACTAAAATACAAGGATTTGACACAGCACAGATGGCAATTAATACAGTATAATTATCTTTTGAAGAGATTCGTGGGTCTGATCATTCAATCTCGACTCCATGCTCCTCAAGATACTGGCGCGCATGCTGCTTAGCTTCGTCAGAAACTCGAGGGTCTGCATATATCTTGCTCAGAAATCCGACTCGACATGTAAGTGACAATCTACTTACTGTGGATAGCAGCCTTATAGCCCGCCAAAACTCGAGTCCCGTGCTCCTCATCTGTTGCGTCCTGATGCCGCCCGTAAATTCCCGCGGCCTGAAGGACTTCTTCAGCGTGTTTCTTGGCCTCTTCTGAAGTGTACGGATCTAGGAAAGTTGGTTCATATCTGCGAGCTGCACAGCGTCTGCGGCGGACTCACTGCTCAGGGTGGCCTTGTAACCCGCAAGAACACGTCCTTCATCCTGTTGGGGGGGAGGCTTCTCAGCTGTCTCCTGTGGTGCGACATCGACATCCTGGCCCATTTCCCTGAGCCGTTGAATCGCGTGCTCTTTAGCTTCTTCGGACACGTGGGGGTTGTGAATTGCTGCCTTCAACCCTGCCACAACGCGTGTCGTGTCTTTGGTGTGCTCTGTTGCGCCATCATATTAGCCCGGCGAGTGTAATTGAGGTAAAAACTGGGTGACTCAACCTGACATGGTCGCTTCCTCTCTTTTTTTATCTGTAGGGACGAGGGTAATGGGTGTTGAAAAACTTGTTGGCAATTTTTTAACGGGGGTGTCTGCCTTTTTATATTTTCCCCGTGCTCTCGCGAATGGTGGATCAGTGACGTCGTAGTGACGCATCGGTCACGTGACACGACGTGACTTACGACCTGATATGGCCGAATATGGCATTCAAGGCTGCGTCACTGGGGGGAAAAGAATTTGGCAAACAGGTTCTAAGTTATTAGCTGCGGCCCGCGACCATCACTAGCGAAGAAGAAATTGGTACTTGATTTCAACAGCATGCAATCAGAGGACTATGTGCATATTGTTGCATCCCTCTCCATTCATACTAACATAAAGTGGAAACAAAGGCAGTCGCACCCAGCCAATTAGTCTTGGAGTCGCCATCATAAGTTGACCGACCATAAGGATCCTGTACGTTAAGAAACGATGGTCCTGGTGGATTCATTAAAGAAATGCAGAGGTTTACGTTCCAGCATCAAGTACACGTTCAATTTCTTGTAGTCACTGCTAACACCTAAGCCGCCCTCCTACGTGATTCGGTTGGACTGTCGAGGGGTTTCATCCCAACCATTCGCTCTACCACAGCCTATGATACGTTTCCAGTGTCACCACATGAAGAAAGAATCCCAATTTAAAATCTTACCTGGGCCTGGTCCCAATCCATAATCTCATCATCGTCGTCTTCCTCTCGTTGCTTCTCCTCTTTCCCTGCACCAAGCCCCCAGCCACCTGTGCTCGCGCGATGGCGATGTTCTACCGACGGACGGAGTGCAGGGGGAATCTCCCTATCTGATTCCATTGCGCCAATCCGTGGCGTCTTCGCGCCTTCGTTGCTCAGTTCGTCAGGCTCCGCGTGCACGTCTACGTCACCCACCCCCGAAGATGGTCCATGAGCAGCAGCCGTTCCTCCATCCGCACCGTCCGCCGTCCACCCACCTGCATTGAGGATCATCCTATCCATGTTACGTGCACCACCGATGCGTCCCCTTCGGTCACGAGGGATCCTCGCAGACGAAAAATCCGGAGTCGTGGAGCGCGCTATTGCGGATTGAGCGAAGGACTGTCGTTGCGACTGTTGATTATGGATATTGTGACGCGCCTGCGAGAACAAGCGGAGAAGCTCGCTAATGGCAGCCTCGTCTGTGTCGGGTTGTGCAGTGGGTACGCATGGTGACAGCGCCGGCGACGACGGCCGGGAACGCCGTTCAGATGTCAGGACCAGTAGCCTAGGGGAATAGGAATTAACAATGGAGGTCAAAAAGTAACAAAACACTCAGACAAACATCTGCTGTAGCCGTGGCAACCGATATTGACCAAGTCTTGCAAGCGTTTCCTTGGTCAACGGTGGTGAGAGTAAGACGTGAAGTCGTTTGGCCAGCGGTATCACGACACGGTAGCGAAACGCGCACAGTGCGACGCTTCGAACGTCTATTGTAGGAGATCCTTGTCGTGTGGATGAAGACGGCAAAAGTTGCTTCGGAGTGCGATGGAGCGATGTTAGCAGTGGGTCCGTCTGCAAAGGGAGTAAAGCCTGTAGTGTATCACTCATTGGGTCTCTGGACAGAACAGATGATTTTCAACTGTACTCACGCCCTCTATGTATGAAAGTACGTGATCCCAAAAGAAGGACCATACTTCCACTAGCCGGCCCATGAGAAAGTCGTCTGACCCTGGGACGAGTTTAGCATTTAGGGTAACCATACCAGCTTCGATAAGCTCTCTTGCATCTGCGCTGAGAGTGGCAAGAGCTTTCGAAGGCGATGCCGCCAATACGGTCTGAATGTGTCGTTTCACTAGTGCATTGAGGTCCTCTCTGAGAAATGTAAGTCACCGAACGATGGATAGCAATTCACATACATGGGTACGCGCAATGGTTCCTCGTTGAACAGGGGTAGAACGTGTACATGCAGCATGCCCCATGGGTTGTCTTTATCTGTTATGCTTGTACCAGGCAGGGTGCTGCTGTGGTTATACGATGAACCAGATGCAAATGTAGAAGTCGAGGGTGAGGTAGCTGGAAGGGTAAGCGTGGAAGTTGATGGGCCAGAGGAAAGTGACGGCGCGAGCACAGGACTAAGACCGGCCAACGTGCCTAGCCGGTGCATTTCCCTTGTTACCAGTTTAGCATCATACGTACGTCCTGTGGAAGGCTATTGGGGCATTAGTTATGTGAATGGAGAAAGAGCGGTGGTGTCGAGCTTTGCTACAACAAACCTTGGAAGGTGATGTGGTAACCTTGTTCACAATAGTACTCGAGGAGTTCACAGAAGTCATGTTATTGGCGATTTCTCTGCCGGTGGTAGGTGTTTCAGATATCGAGTAAAAGCACTGTACTTCTCTCTTGCTAGCTTGCGGGGAGTGTGATTTGGACGGTGGGGAATGTTTCGCTTGGTTTGGAGTGCCCACCTGAGGGAAGAAACCCAAAATCTTTGGCTGTGGATGGTGTTGATCTTGCCGTTGCACCGGTGGCGACGCAGTGAACGGGTCGATGTTGATAACGTCAGCGTGACGTCCTGGTGGTGTGAAGGCATTGAAATTGAAACCACGATTAGCATAGGTATCGATCCCCGACTTGGAGTGAAAATGACGATGACCATCATGGCGGAAAGCAGACAAGCCTTTGAGAAGGAATCCCGAACGCGGTACTGCATCATTGAAGGATACAGGCCGACGATGTTCGGTGCCACCGTGTTTCCCAGACTCACGGTTCGCATGATCACTCGAGTCACCATCGCCATGGATGGGTGTGGGCCCGTTGTCGTGGGACCTCCTTGGAAGGCCCAGGGGCATCGATTGATACAATCGGGAATCGTAGGAAAAGGACTGAACTGAATGCCCGAGCGGTATGCTCGTGCCGCAAGATGGAAAGAGGGGGAGGAGATCAGTCACCCACATACCTTGAATTGAATGGCCGCGACACTGCGGTGAGCGATAGACGATAATAGCTCAGATGGCAGTTCGGGGGATTCAGTGACACTGTCGGGTGGCTGTGCAACATCACTCAGGGGGGGGGGACGGGGGGGACGGGGGGATGCGCCAAGCTGGGTTTCTGGCATGTTTTTCGTTGAAAATATTAACTGTCATGTTGGTGCAGACAGCTGCAGAAAACACTGACAGTGCTGACGGCCCGTTTATTTGTTGCGAATGGAGTGACATTGACGTCGAACGTTGACAAGTCGTGATAGTGCCACGCTGCCAACTTACAAACACCATCATCATCATGCCCTCCCTTTCAGACCACATCGACCATCTCACAGCAACAGCCAAAGCGATTCACACCTCTGCAACGAGCATCCTTCCGACAGATGACAATCCCGCCGCTCAGACAGGTCCCTTTACACGCGCCGTCCTCGACACTCCACTCGGTGATCTCATACGCGACATCGATACCTCCGAACTCGGCCTCTTCTCACTTGTACCTCCCCCAGATGCCGGCGTTAGGAAGCAGCCAGAGAATGGTCCCAGAAAGGGCGAAATATCTCGCGCAGGTTTTCCTGGAGCAACTCCGCTGAGGAGACTGCCAACTAAACGCGACGAGGCAACCAAACCAAGAGAACCCGAGCCCGAAGTATACGCCATGGCGGCTCTGAAATACCTGGATCGATAGTGCGTAGTCTTCTTTTGGGGAGTAAGCCTTTCTCAACCTAACAGCCAGTCGATACGACCGATGCCACGGGCGCGATCACAAGTCATCGCACTCACTCAACAACTGACTGAGGTTCGTGCAAATATAAAGCACCTGAATGAAACTTTGCACCAAGTCAGTCCGTCCATGTCAAAGTAGACATTCGGCATTGATTCTTTGTCAAGTCGGCGTCGTCTGCACCGTCCTCAGCACCAACACAGACCTCGAGTGTCGCCGAAGAAGAAAACCGGATACATGAACTACAAGACCGCCTTGCGGAACTCCGCTTGCAGGTATGTGCCACGTACTATTGGAATACGGTCCACCTCATACGTGTCTGACTGTTCTATAGAAGGAGTCACTGCTGCGAGCAAAGGAACCCCGAGGACGCCACAACAACCCATCTGTGTCTTCAAAATCTAACCTTAGTCCAAACCATCGCGATACGTCCCTACCTACTCCCGCAAGCGATCCTGATGCCCAATGAAAGAGCATTCTGGTCCACCCCCTCCACACCCGCTCGCACGCTGCGCTTCAGTGAAAAGTTGATGGACGAGGAGATTAAATTCGGCGACGTCTCTACGATATCGTTTGATAGTCCTGAACCTGTTGCACCCTCGGTATTTGCCAATCTGACCACCGGAGGGGGTATTAGTGGCGCAGGCTTTGATGGCTCTGCAATGGATGATAGCATATTCGATTCCGTTAAAGATGGAGGCGACATGGGGCTTGGGGGACAACCTGAATCCGCTTTGAGCAGGCCGAACGAAATCAAGATCGGTGACCACGGCGGTGGAGGTGCGGGAGAAGAGGAAGGAAATGGGGAAGAGGAAGGAGAAGGAGAAGAAAAAATCGGTTGTGCTCAGTAAAAAGCCATTACTTCTGTCACAATCTCCGCCGGCGGCCCATACTAGTTCCCTACGCGCGGCCGAATGTTGATGCTGCTGTGCCACTGGTAGAGTCTCGGGTGGCCTCGAACGCTTCGAAAGTGAAGGTGACACCAGAACTAGAACGTATTGTGGTGTGTCGATATACAAAAGTGAATTCTCCTTTAGTCCTTACTGATTACGATGTATGCGTTCTCGCAGGCAAAAATATGGAGTACAGTGGGCGAAATAATTTTGCCAGGTAGTCCTTATTCGAACGGTGCGAAACCACCTCGGGCGAAGGAAACGCTGTTAGTCCCGCCGTGCACACACTTGAATTGGTCTAAACCACGTTTATAGGGCTCATATCCAAGTACTGGCCGTGCAGTCTCCGACACCGCAATCGCCGACATCCTCTAGTGTCTCTTCTTTAACTTCAATCTTGTCTTCAGGCACAGGAGGTGGCCCAACGCCTCACCAGATCAATACCGCGCAACTGTTGTACACATTGCTAACGGCACCCGGTTTTGCAATGCAACTTAATAAACTCAAGGCGGCTATTGGCGGGACGCGAGTGCTATACGCTTGTGTGGCAAAAAAACTTATTCGTATCGACAGGAGTAGTGGAGAGCAGGTTGTCCATTTTGACGTTTAGAATCAGCAATCATCTTGAATTGCATTCACAGTGGAAAGGGCAATGAGTATCCCAGTGGTAACGTGGAACCTGCGGCAACGTGTTGTAGGTGGACTTCTGAGGCTGACTACATTCAGTATTGAGATACACAGCTGTAACGTTGTTATATCTATGTAATCTACATGGCAATTACCCAAAAAAACAAAAAGTTCGTGGGAGGCATTGACAGTGAATGAGCTGCCACATGTCGTGAAAAGATTCACAAGACCGTCCCCCCTTACAGAAATGGAATAATTCACCGGGGGTGACGGGGTTTCGTGGCACCCTAGAGCTTGGATTTTTGCATTTTCCCTTCGGTTCTTCGAGCTCCTGATCCCCCTCCGTCTAATAACCAGTCTCCTAGCCTGCCACTCAAGCCCGAGTTTTCTGCTCCCATTCCCCAACTTCCTCTGGCAACGCGCTGGCAAGCTTCATAGTCACAATCGTAATCGCAATCATGACCACATACACGGCATATCCACCCAGCAATTCGTGCTGAAGTGAGTATGCAAACATCGATGTAGCACTCGCCGGCCCGATGGCACGCACTATCGACGCCGTGGTCTGCGCGAGGCCGTTTAAGGCGCCTAGGGAACGACGACTGGGTGCCGAGGTAGTAATGTACATTAAAATGGAGCCTTAAATTACGCGGCGCGGTATGATAAGAAAGGCTCGAGGAGACATAGAAAACGACGAGAGAGAAACTCACTGAACGCCATGTCAGTAACAACTGCCAAACCCAGTTGACATCCCATGAGTCCCCAGACGCCCCACCAGATTCCCGTACTCCGCGCAACGCAGTTCACAACCGGGAAGATAGCAAAAATTGGTATGAAACACGCATAACTCACTCTGAACAGCGTCCTTTTGCCGAAACGGGACACCAACGGGGCGAAGAAAAACGCCTGGAAGAGACTGTTTACAATACCATATCCAGACATCCACAGCCCGATCATCGCTGGGGTTTGCCCAAGCCCGCCAAGCTCAATCGGAGTGGAAAGGAAAAGTGGGAGGAGGACGAACATGCATATTTCAACCATGGCAAGGATGCCATAGTTGACAATGTACAGAATGCGCTCCGGAGTGAGTAGGGTCCGTAGAGGGACAGGTGCATCGTATTGTGGAGTGTGGGAGAGGGTTAGATATGCGGAAGATTCGTTGATGGTATCGTACCGATGGCTATCGTGCCCTGCAGTTGCTTCAGCGTCATTGGATGCTGGCATTTTTTCACATGAGGTTTTTGGGAGGGTCTAGAAACCTTGATGATAAGACGCGGGTTCTTGGATTGCATTGCATACTTGCCTCTTTCAGGAAGAAGACAATAATACTGAAGACAACAACTGCAAATGCAGATGCGATGCCGCACGGAAGGAAGTACGGATATTCGGCCCAGAAAGGGGCGCCAAAAAGACGCGGGAAGTGGTCTTGGGGTCGTGAGAGCATTCCACCAATTAGAGGACTGGGTACAAATGCAAACTGATCAACATGCCATAACAGAGAAAAATGCTCATTGCTCCACATACCCGAGCGTACACCCCAAGGACCACATAATCGGCATGAGGGCGAAACCCTGAGCCATATTCGACGAGTCGGTAAGCTCACCAAGCATGCTCTTCATTACACCAATGTTCCCATTTAGTGCTCCCGTAATGCACCGGCTGATTACTTTAGTCAGAATGGAGTAAGACACACCAGATGGCGCATGACCAACCTTATTACCAAGCTAGCGAAGGTTTTGGAGAGCCCAAAGCAGAGAATTGATAGCGAAAGGCCGAAGATCCCTACAAGAAGAACGGGTTTTCGGCCAATTTGATCGGATATGCGGCTCCACTGGAAAACTGTCAGTGCTTGGGTCGCAAAGAAGAGAGACTCCTGCAGAAATGGATTAGTCTAAACAGATTAGTCTTCCTGCGCTAGCCCACGTACAATGAGGCCCGCATAATATCCTGATCACCAGGTGAGAATGAGTAGGAGGGGAGTAGCGTGAAAAAACCCACCGACCGCCCTCTCGTCTCCACCGGTGATGTCGAGGTCGCTGACGAGCTGAACACAATACTCTTCAGCAGTTACACACGAGATCGAAGCGCGGTGCCTACTTCATTGATAAAAGGGTAGATGCATTGGCTGGCGATGGGTTCCACAAGGGCAACCAACATGAGGATCATTATCTGCCCCTTGGGAAGCGGGGTGGGTTTCTTGAGTTCCCTCCCATCCGCATTGGAGAGCAGAGGCGATCGGTCGTCGTGCTGTTGAGAGTTTGATGAAGCGGAAACGACAAGCATGTATCGAAAGAGTCAGGGGATGAGGGTGGGATGGAAAAGTGCCTGGTCCTGTTTCGGAGGGAAACGTGAGGCTTTATAGGACTGTTTGGTGTTGCCGAGGAGTTCAAAAGGAGCAAGCGGAAGGGTTAATTATGTCAAAATGAAGGGCACCTTGCCGATTCACCCCAGGGCCGGGTGGAGGATCCAGTCCGGTCGCGGAGTACCGGATAAACCATATACTATCAGCAGATTTGCACTGCCAAACTTCTACCGAACGCTGCGATGGCGCCACCCACATCATGGCACAGTGAGTGACGCACGTCCGTGTGCCCAGCGGATGTTCGAGAATGTGCTCTGTGGCCTTGCCAACCTTGTTGGGTGCGCTCGGCGCAAAGCCACGTAAAAAGTGACAGTGACAGACAGAACATTCCATCAGCTTCCACGTTTTTTTTTTCTTGCCTACAATTCCGGACTGAGCTGGCAACAGGTAAACCGCTTTGCGATGCCTTGTATGTATCGCTGACGATGAACACGTCAATCAGGTCTCCCACTGGTGGGCGAGGAGTTGGCATTGTGTATGCATATGATACCAAAAGTCTCTGGGTACCCCTGGACGAATTCGGAAAAGCATGTGATGTCCATTATTACAGAGACTTACAAATGAATGCATTACAGGCAGTGAAATTTCTAATTTTAATAATGAAATTATGTGGAAGAGTGTCAGTGGGTTGTGTAAAATGATGTTCTGGAAAACTAAGTGGAGGGAAGTTAGTGTAGGTGTTATGGGGGTCTGTACAATGATGATTAGAGGTGTGCAGATGGTTGCAGCTGAGTTTGGGTTGGAAGTTTTGGTGCTTTTAGGTGTGATGAAAGATGGCAAAGCTGTAGAGTGGTGTGATATGATGCTAGGGGATGGGGTGAGAATGGCATACAAGCTGTCATTCATGATGTGGAGGATAGGTAGGACACATAATGAAGTAGATCCAATCTGTGTTACACCTTGACCTGCCAGCTTACCATTTTTGATCACATGATGTCTATGCAGTCATGTACTTAGTGGTAGGAGTGGTCATGGTCATCATGGTTGCCATCTGGAGTGTGGTCTGGATTTCACTCTATCCATGGAAACACCTGGTGGACTCCAACAGTCCCTATGGGGTTATTGCCTTGTTGTTGACACTGCATCCAACTGCAGTCTGATTGTCTACTTGTATGCTTCCCCTGTCCCATTTCCCCTTTACTGCTGTATAGTATATTTGATATGTTTCACCTTCATCATGGCTCTGCCCTCTTGCTGTGTGTGTCTGATTGCACAGCCAGTTTGGACCTTGCCTCCCACAGCTTTGAGTCACTCTGACTCATTTCTATTTCATTGTTCACTTCTGCAGTGATTTACTACTTACAGAGCTATTGTGCACCCTCCATTGGAGGTAGATAGATAGGCCTACAATGTTATGCTCCAATGCAGTGACTTCATCAAATGGACTAGGCATGAAGCAAAGGAGGGACACACTATGGGCTGAACTTCTTGTAACCCCTATGGATCCACTACTAACCCTGACTTTGAGAGTTTCCCTCTGTTAGGATGACACCCAACATGAGAGGAATGGAAAGAGAGAGTATATTTGAGGGGATTTGTAAGGTAGCAAAAAACTAAGGTTACAGAGTACTGTGCCTCTACCTATATACCTCCCTAAGGAGGGCATACAATAACTCTGTAAGTAGTAATCTGCTGTGGACAGTAAGCAGTGAAATAAGAATGAGTCAGTAGGACTCTGTAGCAAAGGGAACAAGGCCCAAACTGGCAGTGCAATCAAGTGCAGTGAGGGGGCAGGACAGATGGTGGTAGCAAGATGTATCAAACATACTGTATACAGCAAGGATAAATCCAAAACAAAGGCAAGGAAACATACAAGAGAACAATCAAAGTGCAGCAATCATATATTTAAGGGAGAACCCAAAGCATCACTGATAGTTGCTGACTATTTCATGTATTTTGCTAATTTTGCTAATTTTGCTAAGTAATATAAAACTTCTGCTTTTGTACAACAAAAACCATGTGTGACTTTTCCTGCAATTGTCCAACTAGAACAGGGCTAGCACCACTGGCAGGCACCTTGTTTACCATGCCCAAGCATGCCATATACCACATATGCCATGAGAAACATGCACTGCATTCATTGTACCACCCCCCAGACAGAGACAACCATGCAAGAGGACATGAAATGATGTAATACACCACATCTTGCAAATGCTTCCAAAATCCCCCCTGTGCAACCCAATCATGGCTCCTCACTGCCAATGAACCCCCCCCCCCCAAGCAAGTCCAGCCTAACTGCCATGAGAATGGAAGAAACACTGTAGGGAGCTGTATACTCCCTGAGGCTGGAACAGGAATCTGTCACTAAATTCTGCTGGCCTCTGTGACAAACACTTATTGCTCTAGGCCTTTGGACACTTTTGGAGTTCTTCCCACTTGTAACCTCATGTTTCCTCCCAAACCCTGTTGCCTTTGGGGTTTCTCCTGACCTTCAGCATGTCACCCAGTCATCAATAAGTTGATCTGGAAATTCCACATTTGCCCAGAGTCATCCAGAATTCAGTAGCCAAGCCACTGCCCAGCCATGTCACCACTCATCCATGCCAGTCACCTCTAAAAAACTCCAGTTGCCCCTGTCACCCCAAATTCTGCAAGCCAGACTTCATGCCAGTATGCTCTGCCTTCCTACTTCCCCCTCCCACCAGCTCCACCTCTCACTTGTACATGTACCCTTATTCTGTTGGAAGATACCCCTTACTGTTGTCCCATTTTACCCTTGTCTACTACTTGCTGGACTATTTCACATGCATCTGTATTTTGCTGACATCTGTCATCCTTTCCTTTATTTTCCAGTCTTTTAGTTTTTCCACCCCACCTTACTCCAACTTGTACCTACATCCCTTGTACTATATAATTCTGCTGTAATGTCAGGAATATACCACCCACTTTGGAGTCACTATCTGTTTGTGTTCCATGAGTTCAAGAGTTCCTAGAGTCTAAAAGCATCTTTTGAGTCTACAGCATCTACAGTGTCTCTAATTTCCCCTACACCACTCATGTTTTCCAGTCTATCATGCCCTTCCTTGTTTCTCAGATCCCATCTTCTCATCACATATCTGTCTCTTGATATTCCATATACCCAACTTGCCATTGCTCATGCATCAACAAGCCTCCAGAATTAAATTCCATGCACCTTGCACATATTTCCCCACCCCCTTCTAGGGTAATCCTCAACTTCTCCTTCCATGCAGCACCCCTTGGGGTAATCCTAGGGAATTCTCTCTTCAGCTTTCCTCTAGTTGCATGCTTCCCAGAAGTTGTGTCCCACAATGTTTTGGAGCCCACTGTGAGGGGTCTGTAGATCTGGAAAGGAGATTCTTGTGACCCACTCATCAAAGAACTGAACTCAAAGAGCTCCTAGAGCCCTTCCACAGACTATCTATCTCTTCATCAGAAATCTTAATCTTGGTAGCTGATCCTAGAGATATTTCAGAGCCACACTTGTCAGACTCAGATCTCAGTTTAGACAAGATCTTTTGGAGCCCAGAGTCCCCAGCATTTTACCCAGTGTTTCCAGGAGGTTTCAACTTTGATGAACCTTTCACTCCTCCCACAAAGCATCAATAACTTTTGCCTCTTTCAGAACTAACTTCTTCATTGCCCTTGCCACCAGCAATTCAGAACTAGCCACTGAACAGCTTCTCCTTCCTTCCTACTCCCTAATCACAAATTCTGCTATCACCCTTTCTACTCAAATACCCATACAGAATACCCTTGCTTCATCTCTCTTGAATTCTGCTCCTACCATTCCCCAAATTCCAATCCAGACCCCCACACCACCTCACATAATGTCTGGAGCAAAAGATATGCTGCTCAGGGGTTCCAACAAAGCCCCAGAGTTTTCCAGGTGTACTAAAGATATCACCCATTACCTTGAAGATGTTGAACAACTCTGTCTCAATGTTGGTCTCATTTCCAGAAAAGATAAGATCCACTGGGTCATTTGTTACACTGACCACAACAAGGTGGAATTTTGGTCCACCTTAGATGCTGCAACCAATGGCCTCAATGACTGGGATGTGTTCTCCAAAGAACTCCTGAACTACTATCCAGGTGCCTCAGTGAAAGATCATCATTATACCAAAGCTGACCTTGAAACTCTACTCTACCATCAGGTTCAGAAGCTTATGGAGTTGCTGAAAGATCTTGGGAAATACATCTGAGAATTCCAATGCATCCTCAGCCTTTTCCAGAAGAAGAAGAAACTCCCTGAGGACTACATCAATGAGAAATTCCTTGAGGGGTTTCCCCTGAGGTTTCAGAATTCCTTACTCACACAATTGCAACTCCCTGACCTAGATCATGACATCAATGAACCATGGGAGTTTGATACAGTCTACAAACATGCCAACTACCTCAATGGGGCCAAATGAAACCTCCCTCAGCCAGATTTGTCAGCACTGTTTCCTGGAATTCCACTCCAACTTCCTTGTTGACTGTTCCCACTATCTTGAAATGAGAGTATGTTCATGTCACTCAGCAACCTGTCTCTGCCCCACCTCCTCAACAAGGTCAAGAAGGCCAATTCTGCCATTCCTTCGATCCATGGTGTTTCTTCTGCAGGGGAACAGATGGCCACAGAACTGCAGAGTGTGCACTGTGTCACAAATATGTGCAAGCTGGGAAATGCTCTCTGATGGGGGGAAGAGTTTTCATGCCAGATGGCTCTGACATTTCTAGGGCAGCTGTGGGTTGGAATTTCAAAGAAAAGATCAATAACTTCCTCATCATGTGCTGTGGGGAGAGGGATCTCCCTACACTAGGAGTGTATGTATAGTGTCAATAGGAGGTCTACTAAGTGGCTATAGGGTTTGTGACAAAAGCAATGCAAATGTGACCCCTCTTGAGCATCTTCAACATGCTCTGTGCTCCAGGTCACCCAATACTCCACTCTTTTTGGTTGGGTCACTTCCTCTGCTGTCATGTGACCTCAGGAGACACTCCCTGGCCATTGTGACAAAGTTCTGATGCTTGTGACTGCTTTCAGGCCACCTGCACTCTTCAGGCCCACACTGTCAGTTATGTAAGCACATTTCTGTTGCTCTCACTGTCTTATTGTTTGCTTCTCTTTGGAACACTTGTGCTTCCTTGCGCTTTCTTTATTTTAGTCACTCTTTTGGTTGCTGACACTATACTGGCCTCATGGCCACCATTACATCAATCTCAGCTAATTCCTGTCATTTCCTGTTGCTCTTTTCGCTTTTGATGTCACTTAATTCATAGTTACATACTCCCCATGTAGCTACACTTATACCTGTCCATGTTGACAGAAAAATAACAACTTTGAAGCCCCCAAGTTAGAGACAGAGAGAGCAAGCAGAGTAATGACATTGACATGACCCCTACCATTTCCCCTGCCTAGCGCTGAGTTGCAGGCATAATTCTGACAGTTTTCTAGGCAGGCTCAAGGCTTGTGGACTCCTTAATCCATTGCACCTTTCATTTACAGGTCAAGCAACTCATGTGACTCAGTTGCATTCATTCCTATCACCCTCCTACTGCTAGAGCAGCTCCCCTTGGGTCAAACTCACCCCTTCAGATTGCCTATCTCTGGGCTGGAGCCCACATCCCCATACCAGGTAGCAGATACCTGCTCCCCACAGCATGACTCAATCATTGCCTTGGAAAACCTCATCTCAGTTCAGTGACCCAGCCAGCAGTCGTCCTTGTCCAACAGGCCCAATACTCCTCCCCATCTCATCAGCACAATGTTCTTCAGCATGGGAATACCTTGGAATACCAGGTTGACTTACACCCCTCTTCTTATCTAGTCAATGAAGACCTAGAGGAGGGTGCTGACGAAGAGGACCAACATGCCATAGCAAGAGCTTATGTGCAGGTAGAAGAGCTGAAGAATGCTATCAAGAAAAAGAAGACAGCTTGCTTCAATGGTGTAGAAGTCCCAGCTCATTGTCAAAGACCAGCCCTAGCAGCCCCAGCATTGGCCAACACACCAGTGGCCCCTATCCCAGTCAGTAATCCCATGCCAGCTAACCCCACCTCTTCTTCAGAAGCCCCAGCAGCCAGAAAAACTTCAGTTACTCCTAATCTTACAGATCACCAGAAGCTTAAGCCATCTACAAATTCTACTGTCACACACCAAAGGTGTTGTGGACATGGTTACAGCTGACTCTGCCTAACTTGTTGATGAGTTGTCACAATGCCCATGCCATGCAGATGAAGACTAAAGCCCTCATGTGTAGAAAGACTGCTGGACATGAGCAGTCATCCTTCACACAAGGATGAGTCATCAATGCTAAAGAGAAAAGAGGGAGTGAGTTAAGTGCACTTCAGTCAACCCCCTTTGGAGACCTGTTAGGTCTACATATTTCTACAGATGTATATACCTATGAAGTCTCAACAGGTTGGGTATCCCCAGCCACTGGCAGGGAAAATCTTTTCTCCAGCACCATGCTTGGGGATTCTCCACACCTGCCATTTTATAGAGGTCAGAGAAAAGGATTTTGCCATAATTAATATACATTATCCTGAATATGTCAGGGTGACTGGGGTCCAGATGGACCTTTCTCCAGCTGAAATTGGGCCTCAATGGGACATTCTCCATGCTAAAAAGGACCCAAATGAAGCTTTCTCCAGTTGAAATTGGACCTCAATGGGACATTCTCCATGCTAAAAAGGACCCAAATGAAGCCTTCTCAATTGGACCTCAATGGGACATTCACCATTGGACCTCAATGAGACATTCTCCATGCTAAAAAGGACCCAAATCAAATTTTCTCCAGGTGAAATTGGACCTCAATGGGACATTCTTGATACTAAAAAAGACCCAAATGCAATTTTCTCCAGGTAAAATTGGACCTCAATGAGACATTCTCCATGCTAAAAAGGACCCAAATGAAGCTTTCTCCAGTTGAAATAGGACCTCAATGGGACACTCCATGCCAAGGACCATACATTGTTTTGGTTGGGGTACATGGTGCATTCAGTAGGTGAATCTGCCATGAAACCAAGTCATGAATGCCACCCTGAAGGATCTCAGAACTCCCAAGGTGGAAAGTGTTAAGTCCATGTCAATGATGTGTCACAGCACCACAGTTGTTGTTGATTGAGTGCAACTTACTCAGTATCAATTCCTCCCCCAGTTTGTTGGGATCATTGGTTCTGATACAATGTACTCATGTTCACAACTGCACTGCTTTCAAGATGCTGGTGAGATGACACAACTGAATCTTTCCCCTGAATTGGTTGTGATTGTGCCAACTTCCTCCAAGTGGGTGTTCCAACCATGGTGTGGAGATTTACCAGGTAAGCACCCAGATGCATAATTCCAACCACTTTACTAGGGGATCCTTCATGCCTATTTTTGGCATTTCCTGCCAATTCTTCAGGGATGTGCTTGTAATTTTTGCACTTTCCAGTAGTTCCATTAACATATTTACATTCCTGATGTGAATGTGATCACATATTACAGACATTCAATGTACATCTCCAAACTCTAGTATCTACATCTTTTTGATGGTAATTGAATTGGTGAGGATGGCAAGTAGCCCATTTTCAAGACCCTCCAACCACCCTTCATCTTCTGTGAATTCCTCTTCATCTGTTTGTCCAATATCATACTCTTCTGATAGTGCCATCTCTCCAATGGCCTCCAATGGTTCATCACCTTCTGATGTCAAATCCTCCCACTCACAGTCATAGTCTTCTGGTAGTTGCTCAGCTGCATGGTGCATGGCAGGCACTCCACATGGCTTGTAAGGGGCTGAATGAAATGTTGCTATGTCCTCTGCTGTGGGTCCCCATGGCCTTGATGGAGGCCAAGCGTGTGGTATATGTTGAACCTTGGCTTCCCATTTAGTATATGTTTCCACCAGGCTATCCTTTTGTGCTTGCACATGATACTTGTAACATGCATCTAGAAAGTGACAAACTCAGAAACCATGTGATATCAATAATAACTCTACTCACCAGCATTGTTCTGAGCAGCCTCTACACTTCGCCACTCCACAGAAAACCACTCCTGTAAAATGGTCTGCTCTCTTGACAACCTTCTTTCTTCTTCATTGCAACAATCAACCTCCAACATACAGTGGCTCAAAAAACTGACCACATGTTTGTATGTTTTACATTAGTTATGACTAAACACAATAACCCCTAACCCTAGCCCTAAACCATGAGTGTATGAAATAGGGTACTTACTCTTGGCTTTCTATTGGTCCATGAATCAAGTGATTTGGATAGGAATTGATAGAATAACAGTCATTTGAAAATGACATGTCATGCAGTCAGTTTTTTGACTTAAAGTTTTGATTACATAGTTTTGAGTTTAACAAAGTTTAAAATGCTGTGAGGTGCTTACTAATGCTTACATGGTAGATCACATGGTCTATTTGATGATTTGTCATCATACAAACAATGCAAAACAATGAATTGGGACCATCAAGGCTCCCTCTTCTACCCCAACTCATGAAACCATCCTCCTGGTCCATCTGGGCCATTTTCTCAGAGTAATCCCCATAAATATTGGTGCCCACTACAGTAATGTCATCAGGGTATATGTCCAACACAATCAAACCCTTGAAAAATCTGCTTTCAGTCATCCCTGTGCTGTTTCCCCCACCCATACCTGACATGTTCTGCAACTAATCAGTACTGAGAATGCTGGAAATGCCATGGAGGTCAATCCAGCACATCAGGAAATGGTGAACAAACAAAACACCTTTTAACCAGTGCATTTTCACCACAATGCAACTAGTTTTAATGCTGGGGTGAGACAAAACATTCCTGTGCACTTCAGGTGGCATGGGAAGCATGGCTAGACTGTGCTCTCAGCTGACTGTGGATGACTGGGAATGGGTGATTTGGTTATATAAGACCATAGGTAATACCCAGGCCTAGATGGATTGATGGAATCTCCTTCCTAGCAGTTCAGTGGACTATCCTCCCAGGGCACCTGGACTGTAATGAAGGTTTTCAGCTCACCCTAGCCCTCAACCCAGCACCCTTGAGGTGGAAACCCACCAGATAAGAGGTGATTGGATTGTTGGTCATGTTTTACAGTGCCAGATTAACCATCATGGCTTTTTCAGCATTCTCAGTACTGATTAGTTGCAGAACATGTCAGGTATGGGTGGGGGAAACAGCACAGGGATGACTGAAAGCAGATTTTTCAAGGGTTTGATTGTGTTGGACATATACCCTGATGACATTACTGTAGTGGGCACCAATATTTATGGGGATTACTCTGAGAAAATGGCCCAGATGGACCAGGAGGATGGTTTCATGAGTTGGGGTAGAAGAGGGAGCCTTGATGGTCCCAATTCATTGTTTGACATTGTTTGTATGATGACAAATCATCAAATAGACCATGTGATATACCATGTAAGCATTAGTAAGCACCTCACAGCATTTTAAACTTTGTTAAACTCAAAACTATGTAATCAAAACTTTAAGTCAAAAAACTGTCCACATGACATGTCATTTTCAAATGGCTGCTATTCTATCAATTCCTATCCAAATCACTTGACTCATGGACCAATAGAAAGCCAAGAGTAAGTACCCTATTTCATACACTCATGGTTTAGGGCTAGGGTTAGGGGTTATTGTGTTGAGTCATAACTAGTGTAAAACATACAAACATGCAGTCAGTTTTTTGAGCCACTGTAAGTCTTATTCCCTTGCACACACCCTCATCAGCAAGCCAACCAAGGGGATCAGGGTAACCCTCCTCAATTCCAACATCCTGCCAAATATCACTATCAACATCCAGTTGAAAAATACCCTTGGACTGGTATGGGAGGAGGAGCAATAGCATCAGGAGGTGCTTTCTGCAGCCAAATCATACCCTGCAATTCACCACAGAGATTATTAGATGCTGTGACTAGCTTCAGTACAGTGGGTTCTCATCATTTGATGGATGACTCCACATGTTATTGTAAATGATTTTCTATGGCTTGTTATTGGCAATAGAAACCACAAACAAAACACCACTCACCATTGACAGAGCTCCTGTATGATTGTTCCAACCTCTCCAACTCAAACTTGTGTTGACAAAGCTGCTCTCTAATTCAAGTCTTTAAGGCTTGTGTATTTGTTTGGGTCTGTAGCCACTTGTCATTCCTCAACAGGTGTAGGTCCACATGTGCAGAAACTCCCAATGCTTTCTTTTTTTGGCTAAGAGCCTGAGTTGCCTTTGACAGGGAGGCTTTTGCTGCAGCATGCTGGAGATTGTAGTCAATGAGGTCATTGACATGATCATTGACAAGATCCTTCTCCAATTGATCCACATGGCATTGGTAATCTTCAACAGTCTTTTCCAGTGCAAGTATATGTGCCAACTGTTCAGCACCCTTGTTCTTTGACCACCCTAGATATCTGATGAGAATATGATTGCAAGCACAAGGAAAAGACTAACTGGGTAAGGGTTGAGTTTGTGAATGCACCTGTGCAGCCCATTGCTCTCTCAGTGTTTGCATGTCAACATGCAATGCATGGAGGGCTGCCAAAGCCAACATTTTCTTGCTTTTGCAGAGCATCCATTTCTTGTTCAACCACTGGCCAAGAGCAGCAAAAGACTTCTTATCCAGGTGAAGGATCTGATTGTCAAGAAAAAATAGTCTTTGATGATGCTGAGGAGGAAGTTAGCACCTGAACTTTGCAGTATATTACAGAAGCAGAAGATCAATGCTTACACCAGAAACTTGGAGGGTGGGAATGAGTATCTTCAAAGAGCTCTGCAGCTGCTCACACCCTTCACCATCTGACAAACCAAAGCCCACACATTTATGTGGGTGGTATACCAACTGGCAAGGCCACTGATGACCATAAGCATGGAAAACTGAGATACCAAACTTCAACCTAGATAATATTCCATCATCCAGGAGCTTTCACTTGTGGCAACTATGCTCCAGTTGACAGCCAATGTCATACAAGAGACCAACAGTCATGGTGGCAGGGAGATGCTCAAACAAATGTTTCACTAGCACTAGAGCATAGTGCTGCCTTTCCCCTGCTGATGTCATATTGACCAACCAGAGAACATGATCATGACAACAGAGCAAAGCCATAAGCCCTATGTCTGCAAAGAAAGAGGTACTTGCTTTCTGCCTCTTCTCATCTGCTGCCTGGAAAGACTCCCCACATCCATCCAACACAGAAGTAGGAACTTTCATCCCATCCTCCAGACTGTCCTCCTTTGATTAATTTTGAGTCAGGGAATATTGACTGGATGGGAGGGACCACTGTTGCCCAATGAAAAGTTCCATAGCCTTCACATCTGACTCAGGGATGAAGACAGTACTGGTAGGGTTAGGAGGGTCATTGGCAGCAGAGTTATGGGGATTATGGGTTCACTTTTGAGTGAATCATGCATCCAAGCAGACAATGCACCCCAAACTATTGGAGGTCAGCAATCAAGTCACTAGTAGTGTGCCTGTGAACTCACTCATCCTGAGCAGCACCAGTTCTCTGCAAATCACCTCCAAAACAAAGAGGGCAATGAGCACACAAGTAGTCACTTGCTTGAGAACTACTTTGTTTTTCAGAGGCTGAGGGAAAGGAGTGTACCAGGGCAGCAATATGTTCATCAGAGTATATTCTCAACACTGTATACCAATGATAAGCATTGGTAAATTGTCTCTGAAGAGTGTCCTGGTGGTTTTTGCTCAGTACACTTGTCATGGAGACAATCAAATGCATGCATGTGTGCCATAAGATATATCACTGCAGCAAGAACAGTACTCTACAGTAATCTACATGCAGAGACATGTCATACAGTAACATAGGGGTACAGAGTGGGTGAAATGTACATAGGATGAAGAGGATTAATATCATGAAGCAGAACATACCTTTGACTGCATCTTGTACCCTTGGGCATCCAAAAAGCTTTCAAGTGCCTCATACCATGCAATTGTGTTGGGAGTCAACCACACAAAAAGTGTCTTCACAAACTCCAGGACATGAAGATCTACAGCAAGAGTTGGAGTAATCAGTGAGCACACAAACAGGCCATGCCCTATGAGCTGTACAGGGGCTGGAGTGCATGTGCAGTAGCTGATCTCAATCTCCTCCAAACCTGATACATGTAAGCACAGTGCTAGGGGGATACAAAAGCTACATACAGTCAAAGAAAAGACAACAGACACTGAGCTGATGTACAGCACAAGTACATTGACTTGGTGTGGCAACTTGAGGCTCTACCACTATGTGCAGGCTTTGTGAAACCTCAAGGTACCACAGGTACAGCTTGATGAGGACTGGGATAATTTCCAACCACCACCACCATTGCTTTTGTTGCTTCTGAAAACTGCTTGGGGGCAAAGTACTCTGGATGACTGAAACCTCAGGCATGACATCAAAGATACCAAGTTCACATGTAGGATGTTGTTGTTGAGGTCATTGTGGTATGGCATCTGCATGCTGGGAAAGTTGTTGGTGGCCAGGAAGGACAAAAACAGGAGGTGGGGCAGGAAGGTAGAGCAATTTCATACCAGGAGGGCAGCAGCAACAGGCTAGGGGAGGGGGGACAAACAAGGCATGTGCTGGGCCCTAGTCAAGGATGAGTATCCATGATGTCATAAGTTAATGTCAAACATACCAGAGGGCCAGCTACAGTGGACATGTTCAAGACAACATTCTGTGACTAACTAGTTGATGTGGATGATGTGGAGGAACCCTATAGGGGAGATAAGCAATATGAACACCATGTAAATGAGGCTGGACATGCCAAAAGATCAGGCATACAAGGTAATTGCTGTTTATTCAATGACAAAGGGAAAAGGTCCAGAACTGTTTCAGAATCCTGTAGGGAAAGATAGGTACAAAGAACTATTCAATGAAGAGAAAAACTAACATAACCAGAACTATCTAATGTAACATGGGCAGGCTGCTCTTGGTGCATGGAAGCAGAAGCTTCATGATGCTTCCATGGCTTTGGACAATGGACTACCATGAAACCCATGACACAAAGTCAATGGGATATACCCTGGACTCAAAGTCAACAGGCAAGGAACTGTGACACAAAGTCAACAGATGGTCAGTACAAAGTGAGTTGGCAAGATAACAAACTGGTGGGATTGAACAACTGAAGCTAGAAAATAGATGAGAATTAGCAGTGGTGGCAGGGTGAAGATGGTACACACCAAGGTCACTATATGTAGAGCATGATGCATGAAGATGATAGAGAGCTAGAGGCCATAAAGAAAAGTGTGAGGCAGTCACAGTGACAGTGGTGAAAAGTTGCTACATATCCAAGTCACTGGATATTGAGCACAGTGCAACAACAGATGACAGGAGCTAGAGGCACAAAAAAGACATAAGACAGCACACAGTGAAGAGTTATACTCCTTACCTATAAGCATGAGCCATGATTGATATGGTAGCAATGAAAATCAGCAAGCTACAACCAGATGTCAGATACAGTACACAATGAAAGGGATGCTACTGACCAAAGTTGTGGCAGTCAAGAGAGTAAGTTGCTATCAAGAAGAGAAGTGATTAGACACCCAAGATACCAAGGATAAGATAAGGTTCAGTCGAGCATGACAACATGGCATGCAGTATATTGCTGACCCAGACCAATGAATCAGAATATGCAGTACAACTTATTTAAATACATGTAAAAAAGCAGGGGATTGCAGATGAGAAGGTGCTCCAGGCCACATCAAAAGCAACTCACAAAAACTGTTGAGGTAGGGCAACACAACTTGTGTGTCAGAGGAGCACATACCCATCTGGCTGGAGTCCTGCAGCAGAGGCTCCAACCACATCACTAGACCAGACTCTCTGGGGAAGATGCTGTAAAGGAGCATCTGGTGAGTCAGCTGAGCTTCATCCGATGAGGTCCAAAGAGAAGCAGCCAGGACATGATTGAGTGCATAAAGTTCAAAATGGAAATTGAGTTCATACAGTTCCCACAAGAGGGAACACATGAACTGGAGAGGGGGATCCAAAAGTGTTGAGACCTGAACCTGTATTAACATATGAATGAGTTGAGAGGTGGATTTGAAGATAACAATATACTTGCCTGCATTCCCTGCCATACAATTTCTTCCAGCACTCCTGCCAACCCTTGAGCTGATTGAATGATCCTGTCACCAAAAATGTCCTGAACTGCTGATTTGGTTGTTGATGAGAGGGACAAAGAGAGACACTGGACATTAACAGTATTGAGGAAATCCCTCCACATCTGAGGGGAAGGGAACTTGGGGGGACAGTGAACATCAACTTCACTGATCCAGAGTGCATGGGCAGACAGCCAATTGATGAGATACATTTTCTTTTGCTCTGGAGTTGTGGTGTTGACAAAAAGTGTCAGCTTTGGAAATTGATAGCCTGGGTCAACAAAGCCAGACTTGACTCTCTGCAAATCTTTGGAAGCTCTCTTCCAAGCTGACTCAAACAGGCTGTGTGCCTGTGGAATTTCAGGGTGGTCAGGCTCATCCCATCTTCCCTGTCCACCTGTTGATCATTGGGGGGGTGACACTACTGCTTGGTTAGCAATGAGACAAGCAAAATACAAATGGTTACACACCTCTAGAAGGGCTGCCACTGACAACTTGTCTTGCAGTTCTGGTCTGCTTTGTGGTGGACTGCCTGCCAGTACTTGAGGATGTATTTGATGAGGATGGATATGTGGCAGCAGGTAGGGCAGGTGTGGACTCTGGCTCTTCTGCAAAGGAGCCTTCATAGCTACAGCAAGTATGGAAGCAGTGGAGGGAATTGCCTGGGCCACAATGGAGAATTTGAAATGGATTAGCTACCCCATTTTATGTATACATGGCCTTAACAATATGGTCTGTGTATGTGGGCCACACTGGTTGGACAATGTTTATGGTTGGAGGGATGAATGCTTCCCTGTGATACAACCAAATGGGTACCCCTGCAAAATATAGTGACTCACATACTTGGGTATCTTTTGTGAAGCACCCCATCCAGATCAGATTGATGTGCACAGGATGTGAGGGCAGATTTAGGAGAAGTGGATGAAGAATTTTGATGAAGTTGAGGATGGCAAGAATGTTGAGTAATGTACACTGCAGCTGGCCAACAAAAACAATGAGATCACAATATAGGAGGGGGTGGTTCTGAGCCAAGCAGACCCAGATGTGCATGACTTCCTGTCTGATGGGTTGGTCTTGGAGCTTGTGATAGTGGTTTTGCAAGGCTTGAAGTACATCCTCAAAATCCTTGACTTTCCCCTCCTGAAGGGTGCCTACTGCAAACCTGGAGCTGGTTGGGATAATGAAGTCACTAGGAGCAAGAGTGTCCCACACAATACTGAGAGTGGGGAGTGTATCCCTTTGGGGAACACACATTGAATATTTGTATTCCTTCTCATATGTTTGAGGCCATTGAAAGCAGTCAACCAGCCCAAGCTGACCATCAGCTCAGCATTGAAGGTCCTGGTTGTTGAAAATGTGTGTGTTGGGGACATAATCTGCATTTTGCGACATTATTACCCAGCCATCCTTGCATGCCACTGCCCACACATTGAGCAAGGTAATTGTAGCTGTGAATATAAGTTATCTGTTGCCATCCACCAAACAAAACAAAAAGAAAATGCAACATACCATTGTTGGACCAGGTGTAGGGTTTAAACCAGAAGAGGGTGGTGGCCATGGAGAAATTGAAGAAGCCTTCATGGTCAACAGATACAAGAATAGTTAGTGAATGATAGGATTAGTATGAGGACTAAGGAATGGGATCTTTCTGTGAACTAACCTTGGGCTAAGTACAGGTGGAAGGGGGAAGGGAGACAAGTCCAAGGTGTGGCAAAAAGTCTCCCATTCAAGGCCTTGCTAACAGTGATCCCCAGAAGACACCACTGGCCTTCCCACTCTTCAACACTTGCTGCACCAGCCCCATTGGCTAGTCAATGATCCAAATGTCAAAGGGCACCAAGCTGAAATCAATCTGCTGGTCCATATAAACTTACAAGCCATCATTCATCTCTGGGCCCATGGGCTGGCCACCCCAGTAGGTTAGTCAGTCCTATATTTTTGGCTAAACAGTTGAACTGATACTTCTATTAATCAGTGGAAATTGTTACTCCCCCATGGCTATCCCAGTCAAGGTCTCATGTGAGAAGTGTTGCAACAGATCCACCCATCACTCCAGCACCAACTATGACAACCAGTACCAATGGGCTGTGCCATTGTGATGAGTATCAGGAAGAGGTTACCATCCTCAAGCAGGAGAATGCTGACATGAAGTGGGAGATAGAAGTAACCTGTAACAAGCTTGCTGCTCTCCATTGTGTGGTAGATGCCATCTGGAATCACCTATTCACAGCCCCAGACATGCTCAACCATCTTCTGGTCCCCTTTCACACCACTTTGAACCCTGCACCAGTACCTCACACTCCACTGCTACTGGAGTAGTGGAAGTTCAACCATCCCAAAGCAGCTTGAGACAGGCATCCACCAAACCCCCTTGGCTTCACTTGAGGTAGGTGTCGACTTGGAAGCCCCTCCATTGAATGTTCTCTATCACTCCACCACTGCCAACAGTAGGATCAGAGCCTGGACAGGAAGGTAGGACGGAGGTTGACTAACAATGATGTACATCACATTTCACAATCTATTCATGTTTTTTTTTGTACTTGTACTTTGTTAGATCCAGCAATATATTCTGTATCTTCACAATGTAGTGCAATCTCCAGGACAAGGTGGCTACCCCGGCAGTGGTTGTTACTGTATGATTCAGATACTGGAAAACTGATCTGCTAAGGTTATGGCTGTACCAAGGCAGTGGTGATCAGACAGGTTATCCACAGTGTACATCAGTAAATCACTTTTGCTGGCCAGAGCTGTCCAGAGCTGTCCAGCACTGGACAGATTCCCTAGGACTACCAGCTCACAAAGTGGTCTACTGATGAATGGTCCCATGGCTGGCATGGTCTGCAGTGTCCCACACCACCCCACAGACTCACAGTGCAACAGCACCACAGTGCCACAGTAGTACAGTCCCTCACAGGCTCCCACGTGTAGTGCTGTGGAGCTTGGTAGTTATACTTGGTAGTCTGTACAGTTGGTATTTACATTTGTTACTTGCTACCAGATAGTGCTAGGCAGTAGTGAGTTGGTGGTGATTTACTAGAAGAACTTCTTTTGCCTGTAGCTCACTCACTTTTGTGAATCATGACAAGGCAAGAACACCATTGTGATCATCCTGTCAGGGGCTACAAGTTTACTTATGATGTCATCACAATCTAATGACATAATGTGTTGAAAGACTCATGACTTTCCAAGTATTTTGTTGTTTTCTCATTGTCATAGCCATGCCTTGACCCTGGCAGGACTTGGCCTTGCACTCACTTAGTCCAGCCTCAGCCTTGCCAAACCTTTACCTCCAGATGGTCTAGTGTGGTTAGCAATGCAAAGCAGTGCTACTATGAAGTGTCATCTCAGTTGAGCCTGACCTGGCTTTGGCCCACCCTTGTCTCTGTCCTGGTGTCACACACCAAAGGTGTTCAGTGATGTGGACATGGATACTGCTGATGAATGGAGATGAAGACTATGGCCCTCATGCATAGAATGACAGCCAGGAATGTTGGCAGGAATCCTTTGCACAAGAACAAGTTGTCAATGCCAAAGAGAAAAGAAGGAAGTGAGTTAAGGTTAAGTGCCAATAAAAATTCTTAAGTGCCCATGTACAGCATTCCAGTTTTCAACATATCTCCACCATTTCCACAGATACCAACACCATTCACACACTCACTTATAGTGCTCAGCCCTGTGATTCTACCTTCCAAAATTGGGAAGGATCTGCACACTCCACACATTCCTACAGCACTCCCTCCAAAAGATGCTCATTACACTAATTCTTCTGATATGGCCACCTCCACATCAATCATTTCACTTGTCCCCTTTGCTAGGGACCATGGCTACATATATTTACCAGGAGTTCCTACAAGCTTCTGTCCTGAAGCATCCTGGTACATCCCATCCTCATCTGCCCCCTCCCAGCCCATCCAGCTTGGACAGTGGTTCTTTTTGTCAGTATGACCTCTAGGAGGTTGGTCTTTGGTTGCCTCAGGTCTGTCATTCAGGCATCCATGATGAGTATGATGCACATCTTGCTTCCTTGTTGCAAGATACAGCAGAAGACACTCCCCCTTCATCCTCTCTTCCAACAGAGCCTCATTCATGAAGTTTTTATTTGCTTCACTGAGAGGACAGTTGGGGGGGAAAGTTGTGGTCCCCTATGCTCCTGTCACCCCACAGACCCCCAAAGCTTGACCCCTTCTGACACCTGACTCACACTGTCCCCTTTTGGATGTACTATATCAGCATCAGATCAGTGCTGCCTCTCTGTCATCCTACCTTGGCCTAGAAGCAATCTCTTCAAGATGTGACATGCACAGCCTCCCCCTAATCACAGTCTACCCCATTGCAATCTCTTGTATTCTTGCTCCCTCCTCACCAGGAGCACCCCCAACCCTCAGCACTTATCTTTGAGTGTTGTAGCTTGCAAAAACCCACCTGAATAAGACCTTCAACTGTCTAGGTATCACATAGGCACACCACCACTGGCTTTTATTGTCTCTTGTGTTGGTTTTGGTTGGTTTTCACCACTGAACCACACTTTGACTCACACTGCAGCCAATTCAGAGCTAGTTCTTTGCTAAGTACCAGCAGGTCTCTCACAGTTGTCATGACCATGCCTAGGCTACCCTAGACCAGTCCTGCCCCAGTCTCAACTGGTCTCATCCTGCCCCTACCCTGGTCCTGGCCCTGACACTTCAACTCAAAAACATGTTAGCTTGTGACACACTGCAAGGCAGTGCCCAGTTGAGCTGTTCACTCAATTGAGGCTGGATTGGTATGATACCCAGTTTGTCACTAGTCCTGCCCTGGTTCCCAGTAAACCTTTGTTTGCACTTTGCTTGATAATATTCTTTGTAACATTGTACTTACCAATCAGTTTACCAATCACCACTGTACCAGTGCTATGTTACACTTAGTTTACCTTTAGTATTTAAGCCATAGGAAGAATTGTTTAGCCTCAGTCTGAAATCAATCTAGTCTTGTCTAACCCAGTCTCCTCCTGTTTCTGCCTCTTGATCAGACTATGGTCCACACAAGGGAATAGTGCTGCCCCTCAGTTGCTAAGTCTAATTAGTCCAACCCTCTAGTATCTTGTACCCCCTCTTAATTGTCATATCCATGACTCTTGGACTCAATCCTGGTCCAGTCTGGACCCCTAGCCCCTATCTCCAGTCAAGTCTGGTCCTAGTCTGGCCTGGAAAACCTAACTCTGGCCCTAAGAAACTCAACTCCAGCCTAAATAACTCAAGTCTGGTATTTTACCCCTATCTCTGGTCCACTCTGGCCTCCCAGCCTTGTGCTGCTCCACCCCAGTCCTCCCAGGTCCATGCCTGGGTCACCCAGACATAACTCCAGTCTGTTTTCCAATGTTTGTACTATATTTCATCTAGCCCTCTCATCTGAACTTTGCTTACTGTACAAAACCTGTGTCTGACTCCAGTTATGCCAGTCACCTGGACTTTGACTATTAGTCTTGGCAAAGCCTCCATGGCTGTCCACACCTTGCTAATCATCTTGCTAATAGCTTATCAACAAGTCTGGCTTCATGTTCATTACTCTGGACCAGCCTCATGTATTTAACCCCTGTACATACATATGTATGTACTTTGTAGCACTCCAGTCAGAATATCAACTTAGTATTACCCTCAACTCCATACTACGCTCTGAGTCTACTCAATAGCTAAGGCCAAGCCTTAAGCTATCCCCAGCCCCTGTCCCAGATCTCTCCCTGGCTTGCATAAGGGTACAGCACATAGCTAAGACCAAGGGAGGTAGATCCAACCCCAGACTGGCTTCCTCCAAGTCCAGTCAGTTCCCCATGCTGGCCTTATTCCCATGCCCCTGGTCTTAAGTCCAGACCTCCAGACTTAACCCCTGACCTCCAGCCTTAACTCCAGTCCAACCAGACTTGGCCCCTGTCTCCTGGCCTTGACTCCAGTCAACTGGACTTAGCCCCTGTCACCTGGTCTTGAAGCCTGGTCACCTGAGGGTAAACCTGTACTTCACACTAATCACTGACCAGACTCTGGACTGGCTTTGGACTGGCAATGAACCAGTGTGGCACATGTCTTCTGGGAAGCATGTGGCTAGAGGAAGGCTGTAGAGAGAATTCCCTAGGAATGTCCCAAGGGGTGCTAGGTGGAAGGAGAATTTGAGAATAAAACTAGAAAGGGGGGGGTATTCATGTGAGGGTTGCAGAATTTAATTCCAGAGGGTTGTGGATGCACAAGGAACAGTGAGATGGGTATACAAAACTCTGGGGAGCAGTTATGCAATGAGGAGAGTGTATCTGAGGTGAGAGGGAAACAGGATAAGGTGTATTGGATTGGAGGGCACAGGAGACACAAAGATCACTGGAGATGCTGTAGACACTGTAGACTCAATATATGCACTTAGACTCTGGGAACTCTGGAACTTGCAAAACACACACAGATAGTGACTCTAAAAGTGGGTGGTATATTTTCAACATTACAGCAGAATTATATAGTACAAGGGATGTAGGTACAAGTCAGAGTAAGGTGGGGCAGAAAAACTACAGTGGCTCAAAAAACTGTCCACATGTTTGTATGTTTTACATTAGTTATGACTAAACACAATAACCCCTAACCCTAGCCCTAAACCAGTATGAAATAGGGTACTTACTCTTGGCTTTCTATTGGTCCATGAATCAAGTGATTTGGATAGGAATTAATAGAATAGCAGCCATTTGAAATGACATGTCATGTGGACAGTTTTTTGACTTAAAGTTTTGATTACATAGTTTTGAGTTTAACAAAGTTTAAAATGCTGTGAGGTGCTTACTAATGCTTACATGGTATATCACATGGTCTATTTGATGATTTGTCATCATACAAACAATGTCAAACAATGAATTGGGACCATCAAGGCTCCCTCTTCTACCCCAACTCATGAAACCATCCTCCTGGTCCATCTGGGCCATTTTCTCAGAGTAATCCCCATAAATATTGGTGCCCACTACAGTAATGTCATCAGGGTATATGTCCAACACAATCAAACCCTTGAAAAATCTGCTTTCAGTCATCCCTGTGCTGTTTCCCCCACCCATACCTGACATGTTCTGCAACTAATCAGTACTGAGAATGCTGGAAATGCCATGGAGGTCAATCCAGCACATCAGGAAATGGTGAACAAACAAAACACCTTTTAACCAGTGCATTTTCACCACAGTGCAACTAGTTTTAATGCTGGGGTGAGACAAAACATTCCTGTGCACTTCAGGTGGCATGGGAAGCATGGCTAGACTGTGCTCTCAGCTGACTGTGAATGACTGAGAATGGGTGATTTGGTTATATAAGGCCATAGGTAATACTCAGGGCTAGATGGATTGATGGAATCTCCCTCCTAATAGTTTGGTGGACTATCCCCCCAAGGGCACCTGGACTGTAATGAAGAGTTTTAGTCCACCCTAGCCCTCAACCCAGCACCCCTGAGGTGGAAACCCACCAGATAAGAGGTGATTGGATTGTTGGTCATGTTTTACAGTGCCAGATTAACCATCATGGCTTTTTCAGCATTCTCAGTACTGATTAGTTGCAGAACATGTCAGGTATGGGTGGGGGAAACAGCACAGGGATGACTGAAAGCAGATTTTTCAAGGGTTTGATTGTGTTGGACATATACCCTGATGACATTACTGTAGTGGGCACCAATATTTATGGGGATTACTCTGAGAAAATGGCCCAGATGGACCAGGAGGATGGTTTCATGAGTTGGGGTAGAAGAGGGAGCCTTGATGGTCCCAATTCATTGTTTTGCATTGTTTGTATGATGACAAATCATCAAATAGACCATGTGATCTACCATGTAAGCATTAGTAAGCACCTCACAGCATTTTAAACTTTGTTAAACTCAAAACTATGTAATCAAAACTTTAAGTCAAAAAACTGTCCACATGACATGTCATTTTCAAATGGTTGCTATTCTATCAATTCCTATCCAAATCACTTGAATCCTGGAACCCCAGACTTGAGCTGCTCAATCATATGCAGTGTTCCTCAGAACTTTGCCCTCAGTGTCCCTAACCTGGACCATTCTTACAGGCATTGCCTAAATCCTCTGTCATTTACAGAGGTTACTGCAGCCATTGCTCTGTAGAAACCATAGTCTGCAACTGAGCTCACCCTACACCTCAACTTCAGTCCTAGCATAACAAAAGCTCAAGTCTACACAGCCTATTGGCTGAAGGACACTGTTTAGTGCTCCACCACAAACCCCCAAAACAACTGACATTGGGTGCCATTGCAACCCACACAAGAAGAATCATTGTCTGATGAGGAACAGGAGAGTACTGTCACAGACACCTCCTCCAACAAACCTGAACAACTGGATAGAGGCTTTACCTCAGGTATCCTCTCAAACTTCTTCAACCAGTCCATTGGATTGCTTGGTACCCCATCCCACCAGTACCTACCCCTGTCACACTTCCTACACCCCCACCCCTGCCCAGAATCATGAGGTCTGGTTCATCATTGAAGGCAATGACTGGCACTGCTGCTGTCAAAGCCACTGAACTGAAGATTGGTGCCCTGTCCAATTTTGACAGTGACCAGAAGAATGCCATGAGCTGGCTGTTTTCAGTCCAGACCTACCTCATGGTCAACAAAGAAGTGTATGACAGCAACACCAAGAAGGTTGTCTACACCCTGTACTGCATGAAGAAAGGGGTTGCTTGCTCTTGGGCAGCAACCTTCCAGAAGACATCTTTGGAAAAGAACCGCCCAGGTTTCAGCACCTTCACTGATTTTATCAAAGGCTTTAAAGCCTCATTCACCTCCCCTGACTCTGCTGGTGCCACTATTACTAAACTGCACACCATGAAACAAAAGGATTCTGTGGAACAATATATCACTGACTTCTGAACTGCCACTGCTGACTACACCATCACCAAGGGTGTCACCCTGATTGAGTTCTTCTCTCAGGGATTAAAACCTTTCATCGCCAATCACATCCATATGATGGAGACCACTCCAACCAAGATCAGCAAGTGGTACCAACACACACAAAAGTTTGATGCCAAATGGAGGAAGGTAAATGAACTTTCAGGAAAGAAAGAAAGGAGAATGTTCTACCCAAAGAACAACCTTTCAGAAGAAAAAGATCCAAATGCCATGGATGTGGATGGAGTGAGACTCTCCAGAGAAGAAAGAGACCAACACATCAAAGAAGGGTGATGATTCAGTTGCAGAAACAAATGACACCTCTCACAAGAATGTCCAGAAAAAGGGAAGGCCCCCCAGAAAAAGGTCAAGAAAATCAGAAAGATTGTAGAAGTTGATGAAAGCAATGATGAAGAAAAAGTCACCAGACCATCCATTGCCTTAGTCAATATCACTAAGGCATTAGGAAAGGATTTTTAGAAGGGAACTCTGTGTTGACACCAGATGTTTCCAGAAAAAAGGACAGTTCTACTTCTGTTGTGCCTGTACTAGTATCTTCTACTCCAGATCATACTATGCAAATCCCCATCTCCCTTTACACATCAGAGAAACTGGAAAAGTCATCAACACTACTGCACTGGTTGATTCCAGTGCAGAAATATCCTGTATTGACTGGGGTTTCATGTGAAAGCACCAAATCCCTACTCAACAACTTGCCAAACCCATCCTCACTAGAAATGTGGATGGATCTCAGAACTCCAAGGGAAAGATCTTGTTTTCTGCCACTCTCTACTTCAAGATCAAAGGACTCATTCATCAGTCCTTCCATGTTATAAACTGTGGATCAGAAAATGTAATTCTTGGCCTCCCTTGGTTACAAGAGAAATAACCCTGTCATTGACTGGAGAATGGGAACTCTCTCCATCGACAAAAAGACTGATAGATTGAAAGACCTATCCCAAAGCATCTCCTCTGTTCCTGTCAAAGAACCTACCATAAACTTTGTATCCCCTGTTGAAAAGGAAGGGATCAACAATTTATGGATTATGAAGAACCAGAAGATGAAACATTATGAGCCCACTCCATAATGGCTCTTGGAAAACTCATCAAAGAAGCCAAGAAGGTCAATCCAAGAAACAGCCTTCTTAGAAAGATTACCACTACTACTGAGATTGCACAAGAAGAAGCTAAAAAGAAACCAAAAGCAACTCTTTCTGAAGAGTACAAAGAGTTTGCTTTGGTCTTCAAAGAACCCTCTGATGGAGTACTACCTCCATCCCAACCCTATGACCATGCCATTAACCTTGTAGAGGACTTTCTCCCCAAGGTGGCTAAAGCATACCCACTCTCTCCCTTGGAAAGAGAGTCTGCAGAAAAGTTTATCAAAGAAAATCTTTGAGAAGGAAAGGTCCATCCCTTGAAGTCTCCTCAAGCTGCCCCATTCTTCTTTGTTGGAAAGAAAGACAGCTCCCTTTGACCATGCCAAGATTACTGATATCTGAACAAAAATATGGTGAAGGATGCATACCCTCTTCCCCTAATCTCAGATCTCATCAACAAACTTAAGGGAGCATCTACCTTCACAAAAATGGTCATAAGATCAGGCTACATCCATATCAAAGAAGGAGACCAATGGAAAGCTGTGTTTATTATGCACAAGGGACTCTTTGAACCTACTGTCATGTTCTTTGGGTTATGCAACTTTCCCACCACCTTCCAGCAATTCATGAGTGACTCTTTCAGAGACATGATTACAGAAGGATGGCTGGTCATCTACATGGATGACCTCCTCATATTCTCCACTGACCCAAAGAACACAAACAAAGAACCTGCCAAGTTCTAGAACAAATGAGGGAGCTGTCACTACCCCTCAAACTTGAAAAATGTCATTTCAATCTTACCAAAGTGGAATACCTTGGTATGATCATTAAAGAGAACACTATTGCCATGGACCCCATCAAGGTCCAAGGTATTTTTGAATGGCCTGTGCCAAAGAAGGTCAAAGATGTGTGATCCTTCTTAGGATTTGCTAACTTCTACCAAAGATTTGTTCCCTATTACTCAGACATTGCCTGACCCCTAATTAACCTAACCAAGAAGACTGTTGCTTGGGAATGGTCAAAGAAATTTCAGAATGCCTTTGAACTCTTAAAAAGGATCTTCATGGCCCAACTGACCCTCTGAATGCCTGACACCTCTTGGCCTATTGCAATTACCACAGATGCATCCAAGTATGTGACTGGAGGTGTTCTCCTCCAGGAGGACTCAAATGGCCAGTGGCAACCCTGTGCCTTTATTTCCCAATCATTTAACCCCACAGAATGAAACTATGATATCTATGACAGAGAGTTATTAGGGGTTATCTGAGGACTGAAGACCTGGTGACACTATCTCCATGGGTCTTCATTTCTGGTCAAGGTCTTTACTGACCACAAAAACTTGACCTATTTTAAGGCACCACAGAACCTAAACCATTGCCAAGCTTGCTGGCTTCTTGACCTTGCAGATTTCAATCTGCAGCTTGAACACGTCCCAGGCAAAGACCTGGTAGCCCCCAACACACTCTCCCACTGACCTGATCATGTTCCCAACAATGATGAAGATAACAAAGGAGTAACCCTCCTTCCCCAAACCCTGTTCATCAACCTCATTGATACCAACCTCACCCAGAAGGTTGCCTCCTCCTCCATGTCAGACCCAGTGGTCCAGACAGCTCTCTGAGCCATTGAAAATGTTGATATGCCACTTCCATTCAAATCTCATCTCTCTGATTGGAGATTTGACAATGGAGTGCTACTTTATAAGGACTGGGTGTATATCCCCAATGACCCCTCCCTCCAACAGACCATTGTGTCCAGTCACCATGATCATCCCTCTGCAGGACACCCTGGCATCTTGAAAACCCAACAACTCATCTCTTCCAAGTTTTGGTGGCCAGGACTCACCTCTTTTGTCCAAAAATATGTTGAAGGCTGTGCTACATGCCAACAAAACAAAGTAAACACCCATCTGACAACCCCACCCCTTATGCCCATCCCCTTGGCCTCAACCTGCCCTTTCCAACAGATCTCCTGTGATCTGGTTACCAATCTACCCCTTTCAAGGGTTATGATTCCCTCTTGGTCATGGTAGACCATGGGCTTACAAAGGGGGTAATTTTAGCACCAATGAAGAAAAC